CTGTTACAACTTTAAATTTTATGAAGAAATCGACTCAATTTATATCTGGGAGTTGTGATAAATAGATTATAATATGGTCTATGAATTCAAATAGTCAATGGATCTGTTCATACAAATTGAATGAACATCAGTCTTAGATTAATTGTTTAATATTGAATAATAATGAAGATATTATTATATCAGGAAGTGATGATAAAACTATTAAATTTTGGATAAAGAATTATTAATGGACATGTTCACAAACTATTACAGATCATACAAGTTATGTATATGGATTAAGTTTGAATGAGAAATAGAATAGAGTGATATCTTGTGGATATGATAAATTAATCTTAATAATAGAGGAGTCATCGTAAAAATGGAATGTAATATAAAAGATAACAGTTGAATAGTTTGGTTATCGATTATGTTTCATAAATGACAATAGATTCACATTTCAACCTTATTGTAAAGAGTAGGTGCGTGTTTATGAGATAAATAGTAGCAATAATTAGTACTCAAAAACAAAAGAAGTTCCTGTTAAATGTGATTCCAATTCATGTAATTCTTTATTTGCTTAATAATATATCAAGTCAAAATGTGTGATTTTGAATAAGAATGGAAAATGTATTAATTTGATAAGGAGCAACCAAAATGGTGATTTTATAACATAATAATCTATTCAACTTGGGCATTGTTAGATATTTGGATAGATGAGTGAAAATGGAGAGTATTTGATGACTTGGGATTATTAATCTAAGCAAATTTAAATTCGAAAATATCATTTATTATGAATGATTTATGAATGAATCAATTATTATAAATTATTAATTATCGTTTATTTTTTTAGTTAGGTTAAAGTATTTAATAAAAGATAAGATAACAATTTACTTTATATGATTCGAATACAATTGGATAAACATTGAAAACAAATTTGATTCCACCTTAATTTCAATATTAAAAGGCACATAAGAATTTAAAATTTAATACAAATTATTATGAATGATTCATAAGATTCCTTTAAGAATGATTATTTAATATAAATTGTAGACCTATTTTAAAATTGTGAAAAATAATCACAAACTTAACTAATTAAAACTATGTTAAATCAGAATAGACAACCTTACTTTCTACTTAATCACATCAAAAATAAAAATTCATATCTACTAAGTATGATAAGTTAGATTTGGAATTAACAAGTTTAGACAATTTTCCTATTCAAATTAATCAAAAATTATTTCTTCATCTTGTTGAAAATTTAATTCAATATTATCAGGCAGAAGAATTGAGAGGTTTATTTCAACTTTTTATTTACAATTTTTAGGAAGTACTAGAAGTAGACAGATCGTGATTAGGCTGATAATCACCATTAAAATTTGTTCTTTTAAGTTGAATTCAAAGGACTTACATAAAGTGGCTTCCTTTAATCTTGATGTCCTAAAATATTATGAAAAATTAGTATATCTAGAGGATAAGTCTAGATTTCGATTTATTTTTGTGACTTGACTTACAAGTTATGACTCCACATGATATTTTTTTAATTTAAAATCAATATTACGATTCCAAAACATATATCGCCATTCTCAAAAGCATAATATCAAATAATTCAATATTAAATCATAGTATATTTCTAATTATTATTTGACTTCTCTAATGCTTAGATTTCTCGTTATCTACCAATAATTTATATTTAAGTTTATGATAAATTGTATCAACTGCTTAATTCTAAATAGAGCAAAAATTTAATAAATTTGGTGAACTTAGTCTATATTTTTGTGAAAAAATGAAAACAGAATAATAGATTTAACACTTGGATAATATTATGTATTTCGTTATGACATAATTAATTTAATATATATGTATTGATTATCTATTATAAAATCAACTACATAAAAGGAATTATTAAACAAAAATTTTTGGTAAAATAAAATGAAGAAAAGGATGTGATTTCGTTATCAGGTCCATCATTTTGTCTAAAGAATATTGTAAAAAATAGAAAATTGATATTGGCCAAATTATATTTTATTTTTGATGTTATGTTAAAGCTGTTGTAATTTCTGATTCCTAATTAAATTTTGAATTTCAATGGAGAATAATAAGGGAATAATTTGTTACAGCTTTGAACATCTCCCTACATCCTTTCTATCGGTTTTAAAGACCTAATATTTCTATTTTATTTTTTTAGTTAATATTGAAATTTTTTATCACCTTGTAATCTAGAAGGTAATTAATATATTAAGGCTTATAAATTTTAATATTTGTACTAACCATCTATTACTTATCTTACAATAAAATTATTATAGATATCTGCAATTGTTATATTAGCAGGTTAATTTTTTGTGAAATTTTAATTATCCCAATTTTTGGCACTTAAAATAGAGGAAGAAATTAAAACAATTATCTAAATAAACTTTATTGTAAACTAATTCTAAATGTGGATAGAAATGTTGAACGTTGATTTGTCAGATATCGATCATTCTTTTGGAAATCAATTTCATTTATTCTTTATTGCTCTTTTGAGTTCTTTATGGAACTTCCACCTAATAAATAATTTTGTCAATCTTCTGTATAAATCCATAGGAAGGTCTCTTAGCTATTATTCCATTTACTTTGAATCTCAATCAAATTATTCATTTTTCTTCAAATCAATTATTTGATATTTTTTACCATTCTGACTTTATTTTAAGTACTCTAAAATAAATTCTAAAATTAATTTTTCCCAAACTTGCTTACATAAAGGATCCAAATTTTTGTCAAATTCTGAAAGGGATAATCTATTTAATCAAGGTAAATTATCTCTTCCTATCACATCTATATTATACAGTTATGTTCCCCTAATGTTAACCCTAATTCCTAAGTGCCTAAAGCATTCGACTTCGTTGATCCCTAAATCCTTCAATTGTTTATTTGTCTTGTTACTAAGAAAATTTGATTTTTAACATTTACAATTAGGATTACTTATTCACAGCTTGTAATGAATACTGATGCGCATATCTCCTAAATAGCAATAATCGCTAAGTCATATGGATAAACCATAATTCTGAGTTGATCAAAGTATTTTTTCATCCCCTTACATTCTTTTTTCTTATTTACACAAATATGAAGGGTCTAATTATGATGTTGATGAAGTTGTCAAAGGAAACAAGATTAAACTTAGTTTTGAGATAATTAAGTCTTAAATCTTATTTTCTCGCTCGTAATGAAGTCAAATATGTAGAGCGGATCACATGAGTTGAATAAGTACTTAAGACATACTATTAGTTTGAAATCTTCTCCATCAGGATTTCCTTGAACTTGACCGTATATCCTATTTTATAAATTTGACCAGGTCATTCTAAATCAGTATTGATCTCCTATCTCCTATCGAGGCCATATTTTATTTTGGTAATATAGGCGAAATTAAATAAGATAGCATTATTATATTTTTATAGATAATAGTCATCCTTCCTTAGTACTGAGTCAAAATCAATATCTACAAGATCATTTTCATAAAATTTGATAAACTCCCATTCTATAGTATGACAGTCCCTTCAAGGTCTCTTTTCATATTGTTGACACCCCTAAAATCTCTTTTGGCTTTTCAATACACAAGTTAGTAAGTTCTTACAGTTAGTGAATTAGTCATGTATTGAAAGGAATATTTATAATACCTCTGTCTTTATCCTTCTTAAATTATTTATTATGTTGACTCATTTTACTTACTTTTTTCCATTTACAAATTTTATCCAAACTACCTCATCCGTTTTGGTATATCTAAGGTGCAAGTATTTCAGAGGTCTCTCATAACTTGAGAATTAGATGGCTGCCATTAGTTGATCTTAGATTAAAAAGTTTATAAAAACTGTATTTTAGCTCCCATTTTTTTTTTTTCCTAATTTTCATAAAATGATTCTCTTTAAAGAAAGGAATTTAATTTATTCATGTCCAACTAGTCAACATTAATTCCACGCAATCTCCAGAGATACTGGTACCAAAATATCTGGAGAGTATAAACCTTCAGCAGTCGGTTCTCTGAGTCGCACTCCTTCTCCCAATTCTCTAGAATACCCTGTAACTCATAGTCATCTCTCGTGTCCTAATCTTGTAATAAGTAGTCAAAAGAAGGGATCGGATAAGATTATGACATCATCAAGAAAATAAGTTAATTGCATATTTTACAATAAAATTGCAGTAAAAAATTAATACTCCCATACATAAAATACTCTTCATATATAAAAAATAATAAAGGAATTATTATTTTGTCAGTAATACGACTTAGTAATATTTACATTATACTCATTAATAACCTATCGAGGATAAAATGAATAATATAAATTCAGTGAATTATAATTAATTTTATGAGATAAAGATATTAAACAGTTAGAACGTCAAATTGGTGTTCAAAAATAGTTAAAATCAAAACATTACTAAGTTTTACTCAGATGAGCAGCTCAATGAATGAGGACTAAACGACTTTCTTCTCGTATCAGTTCTCAATCAATTATGTATTGCACTCTCTTGAATACATGTTTTACAAATAATAAATATATCAGCAGCATTACATAGCAACTGCTTTTATCAGAAAGTAAATAAGAATTTTTAGCCAAACGAATCAAGATCAAAATTAAATAATAGCTGCCTATTTTCAAAAGGAATAGAATTCTAACATAATAACCCATTCTGTCTTTAACTGATCATATATTACTATAAGAAACATAAAATTTTTTGGATAAAATCTCAAAGTAGCAATACTTCAGTAAGTGAAAAGGTATAAAACAAAAAATATCAATTATAATTGTAAAATATAAGTTGGCTAAATTGATAGAAATAATATATTACTGTAAACATTGACTTTTATAAGGAATTCTAAAGATTTTACAAAAACAAGATTGGGTATTTTAGATTATACTCAATTTTTGTGATAAATTTTTCTTTACTTCAATAGGTTTGATAGATAGTAAAATCTTGTGGAAATTATTTAAGTCTTGTTTTTGATTTTTTTTTTTCTTTTTTGAGGATAGAAGATATTTTTATTTATCAACTAGTTTTCTAACTTAAATACAGTGTTTTCTTCAAAAAAATCATATTATTTCAATATTTTCCGTTTTTTTTTCTTTCTAATATTTTTTTTAATTTTTAATTTATATTTCATTTACAGAACTTTTTTTATCGTTTCTCCATTAGAATTATTGCTTTTCAGTATTTATTACCCTTTTTAAAAAATACCTCTCATTTACCTCTTTAAATTCTTTATTTATTCTTTTCCCCTAGTTCTCATATTCAAATATGTCATTAAATTGCACTTATTTTATGAGGCTCAAAAATCCATTTTTATAATTTTTGTTTAATATACCTTTTAAGAATCAAGTCTACACATTTTATTCATCATTACAGTTTTTATTTGCTTTGGATTTGTTAATTTCCTATTCTTTATCTGGATCAAGATTGTCTCTTTTAATATATTTTTGAGCTGCCTTCTCCAAAGCACATTTACAAAAATTTGGCAAGCCGATTTGGATAATTATAATTTGTTCCCGATAATAATTATTATTTTCAAATAATAGTATTAATTTATATTTTCTTTGCAATTTAGGAATATTCAATCTTACAGATTTTAATGAGTTCTTTCTCTCATACGATATAAATTCAAGAAATTTGTTTGCGATAGAAAACCTCTATGTGTGGAAGAATCTATGAAAATAATTGAAAATATCTTGCTCCTAAATAGCATATTGAGAACCTATGAGCATTTAATTCTTTAAAAATTGCTTTAAATTAATAACAAGGGCTAAACTCAAACACTTAAAGTTACTCCTATGGTTTTTCATTTATATTGGCGCCTTTAAAATCTGTAAAAATTTAATTTGTTTGGAACTCTAAACTGAATAAATTTATTCTATCTCTATTTTTGTTTATTAAAGCAACTTGCTTTTTATAACAGAGCCTAAAGGAAAAGGATTAAATAAAATTTTCAATATTAAAAATAACAAGTAGTCTTTTTCTATGGCATAGTACCTTATACGCTGTCAATCCCTATTAAAATTTAGCATAATTAATTAGGTACAAAATTTTTAATCAATACATCTAACATCTTGTTAACTTTACAGAATTTATTTGATAGGATTTAAAAAGTCTAATAATTTAGCATTTATAGTTTTATATTAATGGTTTATAAATTTATTATATATAAATTTAGAGTGCTTATCCGATAATTCATTTGAATCATATATTAATATCAATCATATTTAACAATAATTTAATATATTTTTACAAATTACTATAATTATTGATAATAGAAAATAAAATTCTAACAAAGAAAATTTTGTAATTTATTCCTAAGGATATCTGAATAAATAAAATTATTTTTAAAATATGGGCATATGTTCATTCCAATAAAGAAATGTTGTTTAATTTCAAAAAGAAATATAAAATTTTGGACCTTAAGCTTAACCTGAAAAATTTAAAATAAGAACCGACATATTTATACCTCTTAAATAGGGTTCTATTTATCAGTTTTACAAAGTGGAAAAGCTTTTGAGATAAGGTATTCAAATAATATAATAATTTATAAGGGGAATTCGGGGATGTTCGATTAGCTATTCATATAAGTACAGGACTTAAAAGGGCAATCAAATACGTAAGAAAAGATAAAATAGGAAACCACCTCGAAAAAAATTAGGAAAACCCGCTCTTAGAAGCCAATATTCTTAGAGAATTAGATCATCCTAACATACTTAAATTGTATGAACTATTTTAGGATGAATAATATTATTATCTAATAACTGAGTAAGAGTTATAAGCATAATTAGATATTTAGAGGGAGAGGAATTATTTTATATGATTGTAAAACAGAAACATTTTTCTCTGAGAAAATGGCTGCAGATTATATGAGACAAATATTAGGCAGTATTGTACATTGTCATGAGAAAAACATTGTTCATAGAGATCTCAGACCAGAAAACATCATTTTTGAAAGCAAGAAACCCAATTCGAATTTGAAAATTATTGATTTTGGAGTATCCTGCCATTTTTAAAACGATGAATTTTTAACTAAAAGAGTTGGAGCCGTATTACTACATTTTCAATCTATTAGTATTATTATGTTTCCCCTGAGAATTTGTAATAAAATTATAATGAAAAATGTGATGTGTGGAGTTGCGGAATTATTCTTTACATAATGTTATGTGGTTTTCCACCATTTAACGGAAAAAATGATAAGGAAATTTTAAGAAACGTTTTATTTGGGGAATATGAATTTGAACGTATTTATTTCAATTAAGATTTATAGCTGAGTTTTGGGATACGATATCAGATGATGCAAAAAATTTGATTAGGAAGATGCTTAATAGGGATTTTACTTAATAAATTTCAGCAAAAGAGGCTTTGAATGATCCATGGATTTAAAAGAATGCACCTATGGCTCCTTGTAAGTTAAAAGCAATTAAAAATTTACATTCTTTTTATGTATACTATTCATATTATTTCTAGTGTAAAAATAAGGTGAGAGCTGGATTAATGCAATTCATTACAACTAATCTCATGACGAATGAAGAAAAAGAAGTTTTGCTTAAAGAATTCAGAAAAATAGACAAAGATGGCAATGGTAAAATTAGCAAGGAAGATTTGGTTTTAGGTAAAAATAAGATAATAATAGTCTATATGGAAAAATACAATGATATTAAAGCTAATCAATTGGTAGATGATTTCTTTGAAAGATTAGATACAAATAAATCTGGTATTGTGGATTATACAGAATTTATTACAGCGGCTGTTGATGAGAAGAAATTATTAAATAAATTTAGATTATAATAAGCATTTAAGATGTTTGACTTAGTAAATTATTTATTCAATTTTTAGAATGGTGATGGTTATATAAATAAAGATGATTTTAAAGAAATTAGTGGAGGAAGCAATGAAAATCTTTGGAATGAAATCTTAGCTTTGGGTGATTAAAATAGTGATGGTTAACTTTCTAAATAAGAATTTATTGATATCTTAGTCAAGAAATATAATTGAATATCAATTTTATAATCAAACCTATATTAATGAAATTTACATAATTAAGTAAGGTTAATGTATTCTAGTTTTCATTAATCACTTCAAAATCAAATATTAATTGAAAGAAAAACAGAATTTATACTCTAAATTTTTTTTATTCAAACTTTGTTTTCTTATAAATCTGATATATTATATATAATAATAATTATATTGATTTAAAGAGTTTTTGTTTTAATAGTAGAGTAGTTATTAAGAATTTCATGCTATCAGTGCAGTACAATTATAATCTGTAAGTGATTTTTAAACATGATATTATATAAATAATGCTAGGGTTATTACTATAATTTATAAAGAATATTATTCACAATACTCCTTTATATCTTTTATTTTCATTCTCGTATAACTAATATCTATCGATATTATCTAAGATGTTTGATTAATTATATCTTCTTTACTAAAATCTATGAATATTTATTTTCCTTATTGGTTGATTATTAGCGAGCTACTTTTAGAGTTTCTGTTTACTCTAATCGTCAAAATCATCTTTACATAATTCATATCCTGATAATTATTGTCAGATAATCGAAAGCTGTTTGATTGGAGAGTGAACTCTATAGGTAAGGAATATTTGACTCTCTCATAATGAAGCATATAGTATAGAAGAAATAGCCAATTGGCCTAATTGTTAATTATTTTTGAATAATTGATACTCCCTGAGTAAAAGGACTAATTTATTTCTTCCATCCTCCAAGCTGCTTAATTGTTAAAGTTAACAGTTTAATCCACTTTTATTCAAAAAAGCAACCGTCTCTATAGAAAATTAGCTACTAGCAATCTGAGAGCTAAGAGGCAACATAAATGAAGAACCTAGGTCTTAAAAATTTCGTTTATAATTGAAGGGATAAATATTGATTTCGATAGAACGCTTCACCAAAAAGATGGGTTGATACTAGCAGAATGGCAATATAAATGAGCAGAGTAACAGAGTTTATATTAAAAAAAGGGAAACAATGATAAAGGGAATAAATGAACCAGAGTTTTTCTATAAATCTCAATTGTATACTGATAAGTATAAGATTATAGAATGACAATGTTTATCTCCTTTGGCTGTCTTTAGATTAATGGGATGAAATAATATGTGTAGTAATGTCCTTATATTAGCTCAAAAAAAGCCAGAAGTCATTCAATACGGTTCCATCTCAAGAAGAACGATGTCAATATGAAATGATCATCATATCCCATATTTTTTAGTGGATTTATAGAGATTATGAAAAATTTCAATTAACCTCAAAATTTCAAAAATTACAAAACGCATTAATAATAATAATTCTAAATAAAACATAACATCAATAAAAAAATTCTTAGAGGATGAAATTACACCTAAACCAGTAAATCAAGTGCTGGCAAGGATAAGAATGATTTCTATTGTAAAAATTATTCAGTTAAAAGTTTGAAAAGTAAACAAGCAAATAACGCCTAAAAGAACATAACAACCTCTAGATAAATAATTTAATATGTCAAATAAATTAAAAAATTATTAAATTCAAACCATTACAGAGGAAAACTACCTCAAAGTCAATAACCCAGATTATTGGAAGAAGTAGTGGAAATAAATTTGATCCTTGTGTATTGAACTTCTCTAGTAATATATCCTAAATCAAGGAGATTATGTAAAATAATGAAATAAAATATTAATAGACTTTTTTAATCATTCTAAAGTCTTTTAAAAAGAAAATCTATTCAATGGGATTTGCTACCTACTACTACTACTACTAAGAGTGAATTTTGTTAATTTCCAAATATGTAAAAGAAAATTAGAGAAATGCAGTTATCAAATTACTTCTTTGAAAGAAATCTACAAGTCAATTTTTATCACAACTCTTCCTTAGTTATATGATTTTTGAAATAATCGGTTAAAAGAAAGAATATTATGATATTTTCATTAGAGAAAACATTTCCAAAATTCATTGACCATTACAACTAAATTTATATATTGTTTATCTTGTTGTTTTGCAGTAGAAACTCTTACTCATGACCCTCTATATTCATCCTATTATATTATCATTTCATTTCATAATATCAAAGATTTTTGTAAGGTTTATATGTATTTATCTAGTTGATTTATCTTATAAATTTAACTGTTTTGATTAAAATTATCACAAACTACTCTGAAAATAAGAAGCTGTACATTTCTATTTAATTATAGATAGATTCATGCGATAAAGTAACATTCCTAAAATTGCTAAATTCTAATAGTAGAAATTATTTCGCTTATTAATAATCTAATATTTAATTTATATGAGTTTGTGGTTTGGTTCCTGACTTAAAAGTTATCATTCTCTTTTGGTTCGATTTAAACAACTAGTACCTCTAGTTCTTCATTTTTCCACTCATATTAATAACCAAGATGAAAACTTATAAACTAAAAGTATTTGTTTTACACTTTTAGCAAGATTCCAATGATGACCTTTATATCGATTGTAGAACGAATACAGACAGGAAACAGCTGTTAGCAGTCCTTTAATTATATTCATAGCTAATTTAGACCATGCCTTCTTTTTCTCAAAACTCCTCAAGCTAGAGTCAATTTGAACTTAATAGCCTTTGCTTAATAATGTTCGCTTTATTTAATTGAATTTTTCTATTATAATTTATTAGCTAATAGGTTGATATTTAATAAAATTATTAAAAATTTTATGCTTGAGTAAATTATTATTGATAATAATCTTAATAGGAGTGAACAAATTAAATTAATTATAATTCATTTCTTATATGGCTTAATTAACGAATGTTGTAATTGATGATAACAATATTTAAGCAATTGTTGTAGCAAATTTAAAATTCTTTGGAGAACATCAGGGTAAATATCATAACTTTTTGATTTACTTTGGAATAGCCAGTGATCTCCTGGCAATAGAATTAAGCCTTAAATCAATTTTTAGGCAATTATTGATATAATCTTCTCTGACTAAATATCTTTGGATCACAACTATCCACTTATGCAAATAGAGTAGAATTTTATGCTTAAGTTAGATAATTCTTTGATCATGTTAACCATTAAAAACTTCATCTTCGCCATTTTCATAAGTTAATAGTCTTTCTATTTATTCAATTGTTTATTTCATTAGTGCAGTATGCTAAAGGCAAAATTATCTACAGAAATCATCAATAAAATAGTTGACCTTTGATTTCGCAAGGCGTAAGATTAGATTGCTTGATCTGCTTCCATCCTTTAATTGCATAAGAGGTAACTTTAGTTTTAATGAATTTCCTATTTTAATTTATTTCCTCTAGAATACTTTACGAAGGTATTTAAAATGCTTAACTTTGATGATTCCTCATTCATTCAGTCCAATCCACTATTTTATTGAAATTATATAAGATTTCTTAATATTAGCTTTGATGCCATACTTCTTTGTAAGTTTGAGGATTTTTAGATTGATCAGCCTTCGCAGACATCAAAAGCAATGAAGGCTATATCATCAGCTATATTAAATGCATATATAAGGCTTTCTTTGCCCAAACAGGCATCTGAAATTTAGGCAATTTTAATTCTGTAATATTTGATTGCAGATTACCTTCACTCCGGTATGACTTTCATATTCATTTATCAAAAAAAAAGAGTTAATACAGAACCTTAGTGGATACCAATGAGAAAGGGCGTATTAGATTTAATAAGAGATAAAAAGTCTTTTATCTTAATTTTGAGTTCTAATGTAATTAATTGGGAGCTTTCAAGATATGACACAAATGGGTTTATTTGGATGTACAAAAAAACATTTTGAAGCAGTGTTCATATGCAGCCTTAAAATATTTAATGAAATGATACCATTATATGTCTAATCTGACCACTTTTGGATCTAAGGGTTCATCAACATTCAGTGAAACTAATGAATATGTATTTTAAGTTTTTCAGTTTATCAAAGTTATCCATAAAGTTTTGTTTCAGTTGAAATAATCGATTCGGTCATAAAGATCGCGTTCTTTGATTAAGTCAAAATGCTAAATGGACTTCCTATCTATGAAGACTTTAAAATTCATCAGCTGTTCGGAGCACTCAAAGATCTATTACATTTTAATAAAGTCTTAAATACACATAGATGGAATTTCTTTCTAGCAAACAGTCTTCTTATGTAAAGGTGAAAGATATGGAAATAGGCTTTGTGTTCAGAAGCTTACAGGATTCATTCTATAAAATTTCACTTTTCTATTCTATATTTCTACTGACCATCAAGTTATAATTGGTTTCCTTAGTTTCATTTTTGTTATTTCTATTTGGACATATGAGAGATCAAATAATAATATAGATTTTGTATTACCTTATTCTATATTTAATGTCGCCATCAATATTGGCCGCGGAACATTGAAAGATCACAAGAGATGCATTCCAACAGATTTTAGTTAAAGAAGTAAGATCTATGTTCTCTACATGTAAGGAAAATGTTTTAAAAATTACTTAACTACTAAGCAATTTTTTTTTCTCTAATTGCTCCATTTAAGTAGTAAATTTAAATAGAATTAGAGTCATTAATTAATTTCCCTTTCATTCTTTTCTAACATTAATATTTCATAAAGTGATCATTATTTTTCTTACCGAATTGTGGAAAATCTCCTACCCAAGTTGTGTTGCCAGTGATGCAAAGTGTCATAAAAATTATGAGTTAATTACATTTATTTACCTAATTATATCTCATTTTCTGTTGCTTCAGAATGAAGAATTTTCTTGTAATTATAATTTCTTACTTATCTGTTAAATGCAAAATCAAAATGCTATTACAATGTTCATAAAGTAACTACAATTAAACATCAATAGTCAAATTTTTCACTTCTTTCATATCTTATAAAGCATTTGCAAATTGAGAATAATCAGATAATATTTTAAATTTATTATTTGGATTATAAAAATAATGACAAAGCTGCATAATTTCTACTAATTGCCAATTAAAAGAGTTTTCATATTTTATTAACTATACTCCTGACACATTCAAAAATAATTCAATTACGAATTAAAATTTATTTTTAATGAAATCTGACTAATTTTTAATGAGACAATTAATTGTAGGGAACTCTATTGCGCTTGCATTCATTTAATTGAGCATTTTCACAACAATGTTTCTTTCACATTATTCCATTTAAAAACGTTTACCTACCAAATTGAAATGGACGGATGATCAAAATATATCCTTTTGAATTTAATAGTGATATAATATTGAATTCTCTTTATTATTGATGTTTATGTTAATCGCTATAATATCATACTGATAGTGGTACCAAAGGTTAGAATACTAGGCTTGATAGCTTGGCATCTGAACTACAACTACATCGCATAACTCTTTTCGGATAAAATAGATAGATATTGTTTATAAGAAGATTAAACTATGCAATATGCCCAAATTATTCATGCGGTAAAACTTTCGAGTTGAGGATTTTCGATAGCCAATGTCTTTTTTATCATTGATTAAGATGCGTATTCCAATCTATTAAATAATTGATATGGCTGTTGCAATAAATTTAAATCATTCTGTTTTTTTGGAACTTTTTTTAAGTTATATATGAATTAATCCCAATTTTATAGGAGAAATATCAAATATTATAAACCATTTATATGATACATTATTAAGGATCTAAAAATTTGAATAAATTATTTAAAATTATTGAACCTATCTTTGGTTAATACTTTTGAGAAATTTTATTTTCTTTAGGAACTTAAATGAGAGTTATCTTTGAGAACTTTAAATTATAAAGATTTTTTAAATTTCAGAAATAAGTAATCATCTCCTGAGGGTCATCAAAATTTTGATGAATAATATTAACAGTGTTAATTATTTTGTGTTTCAGAAAAATAAATTCTAAAAGGGATTTGTTATTAAATACTATATAACTTAAAGAATCAAAGATAAATTAGCAACTTTTTAAAGGGCTCATGAATACATAATAGGTAAGGAGGCTCAGNATCTCCTACCCAAGTTGTGTTGCCAGTGATGCAAAGTGTCATAAAAATTATGAGTTAATTACATTTATTTACCTAATTATATCTCATTTTCTGTTGCTTCAGAATGAAGAATTTTCTTGTAATTATAATTTCTTACTTATCTGTTAAATGCAAAATCAAAATGCTATTACAATGTTCATAAAGTAACTACAATTAAACATCAATAGTCAAATTTTTCACTTCTTTCATATCTTATAAAGCATTTGCAAATTGAGAATAATCAGATAATATTTTAAATTTATTATTTGGATTATAAAAATAATGACAAAGCTGCATAATTTCTACTAATTGCCAATTAAAAGAGTTTTCATATTTTATTAACTATACTCCTGACACATTCAAAAATAATTCAATTACGAATTAAAATTTATTTTTAATGAAATCTGACTAATTTTTAATGAGACAATTAATTGTAGGGAACTCTATTGCGCTTGCATTCATTTAATTGAGCATTTTCACAACAATGTTTCTTTCACATTATTCCATTTAAAAACGTTTACCTACCAAATTGAAATGGACGGATGATCAAAATATATCCTTTTGAATTTAATAGTGATATAATATTGAATTCTCTTTATTATTGATGTTTATGTTAATCGCTATAATATCATACTGATAGTGGTACCAAAGGTTAGAATACTAGGCTTGATAGCTTGGCATCTGAACTACAACTACATCGCATAACTCTTTTCGGATAAAATAGATAGATATTGTTTATAAGAAGATTAAACTATGCAATATGCCCAAATTATTCATGCGGTAAAACTTTCGAGTTGAGGATTTTCGATAGCCAATGTCTTTTTTATCATTGATTAAGATGCGTATTCCAATCTATTAAATAATTGATATGGCTGTTGCAATAAATTTAAATCATTCTGTTTTTTTGGAACTTTTTTTAAGTTATATATGAATTAATCCCAATTTTATAGGAGAAATATCAAATATTATAAACCATTTATATGATACATTATTAAGGATCTAAAAATTTGAATAAATTATTTAAAATTATTGAACCTATCTTTGGTTAATACTTTTGAGAAATTTTATTTTCTTTAGGAACTTAAATGAGAGTTATCTTTGAGAACTTTAAATTATAAAGATTTTTTAAATTTCAGAAATAAGTAATCATCTCCTGAGGGTCATCAAAATTTTGATGAATAATATTAACAGTGTTAATTATTTTGTGTTTCAGAAAAATAAATTCTAAAAGGGATTTGTTATTAAATACTATATAACTTAAAGAATCAAAGATAAATTAGCAACTTTTTAAAGGGCTCATGAATACATAATAGGTAAGGAGGCTCAGTATAGATATACTTCCTCTATTAAATTATAGTTATTTACATTCTTCAACATATTTATAATTAAAAAATAATTCAAAGGAGAATTAAATATTTCTTAGCTTTTTATTATGAATTTTATGACCATTTAGTCTAAATGTTTTTATTAAAATAGAAAGGAAAAATGAAAGAGTTTATCAATAATATCTATTAAGATGTAATTAAGATTCATCTCCTTAAAATAATACCAAATACTAACATATTTCAGTTTCTTTCTGTTTAGAATCTAAATGTTAACAAAGAAGTAAGTAAAGTGAAAATAAAAATCGTTTTAACATGATGATATTATAAATTTTAATATTAAGAATAATAATAATTATAAAACCATTTTAATAGAAATCGAAAAAAAATTTAATAATTATATTCTTTATGAATTAATCTTCTGATTTAGATATCAAATGCCCGAATCCAGAACATAATAAGAATGCGATATTGGTGTGTTTTGATGAATCTTGCACAGGATAGAGATTATATTGTCATTAATGTGTAAAAATTGGAATCCATGTTTCTCATCTTGAATATTAAGAAGAGTTGCCATTTATATTTGAACATATTAAATGCGTTGAAAAAGAGAGTAGTTGTTTAATTGATAGAATAAATAAATAAATGGCTTTGATTGATCAAAATTTTTATTTATTAATTGACGGAATTAGATCTAAATACTAAATATCTAAATAATAATTACTTAAATTAAATTCAGAATAACTTAATTCTTTCTTATCAATAAGTATTAATTTCAGATAATTTGAATCCAAAATCCAAAATTTGCTTGACCAACTCACCAATAAATTTTCAAATCAAATATAACAGTTATTGATTGATTTACATTTATCCGAATTAAGTTATCATCAAATACCTCAAATAAATCTTAATATATCAGACGAGTTGAATTAAAATAGGTACTAGATTAATAATTTAGGATATAATTAAAGAATTGGTGATAAAATATAAGAGAATAAGATGATCAAAGAAATAATGATGAAGAAATAATAAGGATTTTTAGAAGAATATGGAAAATTAGACATTTGCTATGTGATCGATTGTACGAAGTATTCATTTATTAAATAATCATAAATAGATCCATGGAACCTTACATTGAGCAGGTAAGAGGCTGTATTTAAGAATCCTTTACTGCTGTCAAATTGAAGACAAATAGAAATCCAATTTTATCTTCGATTGCCTACTATGATATTGAATAGAAACCTGAAAATGGAAAATATCATTAATTTGAATTCTCAAACAATATTTAAGACTTAAGAAATTTTATTTAAGAAGTTCCAATAGTAGGAGGCCGAGATATACCAGAAGATGTTAGAGGAGCTTTAGAATAGATGATTACAAATCTTAAGTGGAAGAATAAATTTAAGGTAGCAATATTAATTACTGATTCTCCATGCCATGGAAGAAAATATCATAATTTCCCTGGTGATTTTCACAAGGATGATGACATCACTGAAACTCTTCATCGCTTGATAGAACAATAGATCATCCTAATAGGTTTTAATTTGAATGATAAAACAATTAAAATGTATCAATAATTTCAAAAGATTTATGAAGCAAAAAATGCTGAAGATTTTTTTGTATATGTTGATGCTAGTGGTTTTGAAATTAAAAAGTTGGCCTAGTAAATAGCGGAATCTCTAGGAAGAGCTTCAGTAAATGCTACTTAAATAAATTTGAAAGGAACGAAATCAAAAAAGCAATTCAAAGAAAGTTCAAAGAATAATGATTGTGCTATTGAAGCTTTATTTAAAGTAGGAGATTTTTATAATTTTGAAAAATAGAGTAAAGTAGTTAATAATTTGTTTACAGTTTTAAATGTAACAATAAATGATTCGGTTTTTGTTGAAAATTTATTATCAATTAATTAGATTGGAAAAAACCCATAAAAGGATTACTTAATCAAAGTAGAAGGATAATGGGATTGTATTAGAACTGAATTTCCATATGCTTTTGGAAGAATAAATGACATTTATTTAATGAAAGACAAGAAAGGAGAAATATATTTAATAAAAAGACCTCTTGGAAACAAGTCATATCTATCTTAATATAAGGCTATAAAAAAATGCAGATCTCACTTGATATGCTAACACTTAATGAAAAAATTTAGAGCTGATGTTGAAGAAGCTTTAGAGTAAAAGAATTGTCATAATCTTAAATTTCCTAATGTGGTCTATAATGACTGCTTGATTTTAATGGAAAGCAAAAGTATTTAAACACTTTTAATCTTTAGACAAATTTTGGATTGCAGAAAGAATTTTCAAGGGTGAATTTGTAAAATATAATAACAATTATGGCTATATTAATGAAGATATTACAGAATTAAATAAATTTGCTCAAGCGTTCTCATATTATACATTCTTTCTTAGTAAAGGATTATACATGATAAATGATGTTTAAGGAGTTGGCATTAATTTTACTGATCCTGCTATAAATACAAGCACAGGTAAAGTTTATTGATATTATGAGGTGATTTTGATGATACTGATTTAGGATAAGAAGGATAAGGTATGTTTCTAGTAAATTTTCAATCCAAAATTGGGTTAGCATCTGAAATTTTAGAACTTTTAAATTTGCAAAATGAATTTTGAATTAATACATACATAAAATATATTCATCAAAAGATAATTCTATTATTTATATATTATTTATCTCTGATAACTTATAAAATGGATGCGGTAATCACTACTTACCTTAGTATTCTAACATTAAATAAATATATACTATTTCTGCAGAGGATTTGACAAGAGAAGAAGTAAATTAAAAGTGGCCTTAGTTAGAAATTTACTATTGATAATCTCTGGTTAAATTATTTTGTGGTCAAATTTTTAATTTATTATATTATCACAAAGAAGCATTGAGATGTATCTTTAGGACTATAAATAAAATAAAAACTCCCAATCAAGGTTTCATTAATATGGGACGTAAAAAATTATATAAAATCTACCGCTAGATTTTCTTTTTCATGATTGATAAAATTACTTTTCTTATTTTAAATTACAAATTCTTTATAATTTTGTTAGGCAAAATAAGTAGTAATTAGTTTTTAGAAACTGATAATATTAAGTTCAACTAGAAATCGATTATTAACAGTCAATAATATGATTAAATAGCAATAAGTCTTTAAAAAAGTAATTATCCTTTCACTGTTCTTTAATTTTGAAATTGTTTGGTCAAGTAAAAGAAAATTTTGGCTTTCACCATTGTATTGTCCTGCTATTGATTTTAATTTCATAATTGTACAATAAATTTATAGCTAGAAAATCCTTGCATAAAATGCTTCCAAAAGATTAATATAAGCAGGATTTTATCTCAAGTATCCTCTAACTTACAATAAACTTCTTCAATACTATCTGCAATGCCATAAAATACTTACATAATTCTATAATAAAGTTAACAAATGAGAATACATCTAAATCATAAATTTCCTCTATATAGTCAATTAATTTATATTTTAAGAACTAACTCTATAAGTACCTAGATATCCAGTTATGTGAATGGCTATTTTTGGATTTTATTATAATATGACAGATAATATATATGAATAGGATATTTGTATCTGGAATCATGAATGGGAATAAACTACTTAATAATCCATAATCTATTTACAATTTGCAATTCACTTCAATAAACATCCTATTCTTAGCATTAGATGTATATTTCGAATAATTAAAAAGAAAGTTTTAATTAAAAAAAAAAAAATTTGTTAAAGTAATGAATTATAGAATATTTATTTTTATTTGGGCAATTTGGTTTAAAGTATAAGCAATCGTAAATTAAAAATATATTAAAAATTCTTAGCAAAAATAAATATTAATGAAATAGATTATGGTTTAAAAAATTAATAATAAATCCAATTTAAATCAAAATTTAAAAGAACCCAAACCATATTTCAAAAGGAAATAGACTTTATTAACTAAACAATCCTTAGTATTTGTAATTTCTTGTAAATTATATTAAAACTAATTTATTACTTTATTATAAGCACTTCATAAAGATTATCTTTTCTTAAATTTTATTACCTCCTAATTGCTCCAATTAAAAACAAACTTCTAGGTTTTTTAGAGGTTAAATTTTTATTATTATAAAAAGTTTTATATGAAGTTTAGAAATTTCTTTTTAGAATAATTCTTCAAATATATTTTCATTGTCAAAATTCGCTAAAATAAGTAATCTTATGAGTTTTAATTTGATATTGTGAAAATAACTCTAATAGAAAACCTTGTGAACTCATCTGATTTAGGGTAGTCATGTAATTTCATTTTGAATTTATATTAATCAGATTTTCTTTTGTTAAATTTAAATTGTTTTTGGGAATCCAAGATTTTTATTTATTTAAATATCAGATTGATGATGATGTTGATATATGCCATTATTTTGAATTCAACATGGTCATTTGAAATAGAAAAAATAGACTCCTAATACTAGGTAGCACAATAATTAGTGAAGATTCGAGATTATGATTTTTAGCTAACAAAATATTTTAGCTATGGTATATGGTCTAAATATACTCCGCTAAGTGCAATACCTTAAACTGGTCCAGTTGGGTTGTTTGATAGTAATTGCTATCATATTCATAACATACTTGATAGGAAAAGAAATGAAATAAATTTAATATATTACGACTGTCTAGATTATGAGGCAAAAAAAATAACAAAGGCTCTAAAGTTTGTTAACAATGAAGATGAATAAAAAGAATATGTAATTGAGGTTGAAATATTTTATTATGAAAGCTTTTGGTATTTTCTTGAAGTGCTTTAATGGCCTTTATAAAAACGATTCGAAATTTTAATAATATCATAATAATAAATAGTACTTCATAGCATTGATGAAATTAAGTATCCATTTTTTGGAGAAGATCTCTCATTTAATTTTGGAAATAGCTTGATTGTAGTTAAATCAAGAATAGAATCAATTTAAAAAAATTAAAAATTCTCATACTTCCCTGGAATTATTATGATATAAAAATTTTAAATATTAGATGAACTGACTATCATTGATTGGTTTGATGATGTGAAAAGTCTATTTGTTGATTACGAAAACTGTTATTGTAACCCAAATGAAATAGTAGATATTCAAGATTTGAATATCAACTCTTTATAAAAAGGACTGTTAGTTTCATAAAATTAAAATTGCGATTCTTTTTTTTTATAAGGATGGGTAAAAATCTAAGAAATCATAAAGAAAGACAATCAGTTTATTTATCCATTCATAAAATTAGCTGCTAATTATGAAAGTTCACTTTTAACTAGTGATAACTTATCCCCCTTTTAAATTCAATATTAAATATCAGATATTTAGAATTAAGTAATTGTAAAAACTTATAGCTACACTTTTCCAACAGTTACAATCGATTTCTCTAATAATCCATTTCTAATAGAGAAATCTTTTGATATTGTTCATAGCATCAATTTATGGCATAAAATAAAAGTTGAGTTGATAGGTAATTCAATAGATATTTAAATTAAATTTTATGAATAGTTAATGATTCATGAGTATAGACTTTAATTAGAAGTGAATCAATTTTAATCATATTAATTTAAATTGTTGTATGGAAATATTTAATCACTTAATTCAAATTATTTGCATATATTATTAAGGAACTTCTATTTTTCTAATTGCGATTAGCCTTTTTCTGATGATAATTGCCACTACAATTGTGAAGAATGTGATGGCCCCACAAAGGAAGATTGCCTATCTTGCTCAAAGGAATCCAAGAGAATTTATTTGCCTGAACATAAAGTGTGTATCTGTCCATATAATACTATTGATGATTAAATTTGTATCGATTATGAAGAAGTAGGTTTAGAATTTATCGATGAGACTTTTTTAAATAATGAGTGCCCATATGGTTATTTTGAATTAGATAATGAATGTTTAAAATGGTAATTCTTGCATATAATATATCTAGTCCTTCGATAATAAGGAAAGATTTAATCACATGTACAGACTGTTTGTAAAATCCAAAGTCTTTTAGTTAATATCCTTATTGTGAAAATGATTTACACATAAATCAAGCTTAATAGACAGAAGAACTTTAATGGAGTTATCCTGATTAACTATTATTTGATGGAAATGATTTTAATTACTTTGGGTCCTGGTAATTTCCTATAAATGATTTTAAAAGCCTATACTTAGGTTTTTTATATCGATCAAGCTTTTTTCCACTTTATTGCAACAAAGAATATGAAAATTGCGATAGCTAGTAAATTGATAGATGCAAAGAATAAGTTACAACTGTTGTAGGAGTGAGATGTAACGGGTGTAAAGAAGACTATATATTAAAAGACAACTACTGTATTAGTTAATATGTTGGCAGATAAAAGAATTGTTTGACACCCTATTATAAAAGCTCTAATGGTTAGTGCAAATTATGCTCTAAAAAGAATTGTATATATTGTTTCGAATACTAGAAAGATGAATCTTCTATCAAAAGTACTTTGTTTCAAAATTTTGAAAGTTTTAATAACGATGAAATGATATAAATTGGTTGTGCAATGTGTGTTGATGGCTTTATGTTTGACTTTATTATTGGGGAATGTTTAAGCTAATAATCAAAAATTTAAACATGTTTAAGATCATTTATCAATTTGGATGGTATTGAAATATGCACTCTCTCAAGCTAAAATGATTTTAGTGTTGCGCCTGAAATTATAAATTGCGAAAAATATTACTCCAATTGCTTATAATGTGTTCTTAGTCCTAAATCCAGGCTGCAATGCATATTCTGTAGATAAGGTTTTGTGAGCTCTATTACATCAGGGACCTGTCAATTAAGTGGTGCATTTTTGCCATCTAATTACGCCACTTCTAATATATAAGGAGGAAATTAGGCTGATGCTCATGTTCAATTAATTTAGAGTTTTTAAATGTAATTTTTACCTGATTCATATTATTACTTAAACATTCCAGAAAGTATATTTGAGTATGAAATTAAATGTATCAAAGGGTTTAGTTTGACACAGCATGGAGGTTGCCAAAAGTATTGTAGTAGTGAATGTTTAAATTGTAAATAGGATGTTATAAATTTCGTTTGTTTGAAATGTCCTTTAAATTACTACAAATAAACTATGCGAGCTTAGCTTGAAGGCCAATGTGTAGTCTGTTCCAATTTATGCTAATATTGTGAAATGAGAACTTAAGAAGAAATTTTTGTAAAATCTCAAACATATTTTAGCCCCTAAATGCAAATTTTTAACTCCAGGAATCAAATGCGTAATTTATTACAAAATGTCTAAAACCAAATGATGATCCTAATATAGCTATCAATCCTTATTATAATAATGTTAAATACTGTTTTAATAAAGTTTGTATAAATTGGTTTTCATTCTCGATATATTTTAATTATTGTATCAACAATAGATATTCTCCAGGAATGTATGAAATGGATATGAATTTTTAATATTGCAACCAAGTGGGAGTAGATTATTTGACGATCGATTATATTATTTCAATTTAGGAAGAAAATTAAAATTGTGATTCAATTAAATTAATTTTATTGAATGACTTCAAGTCGACAATATTTTCATTAAAGAAAACTCATATGAGATTATATTCAGTTCATAAAAATATTTTGGGTCCAAACCGCAGAATCAACATAACCAATTATGATTCAGTAGAACTCAAAAACATAACCTTTAAAAGGTTTTCTGGTTGTGTATTTGGAAATCGTGACAAAAAAGTAGAGATAACATTAAACAATTCAAAATTAATCAACACCAACTACCTTAGTGTAGTAATTTTTATAACATAAATATATGGAAATATTCTGATTTAAGATGTTGAGATTTTAGATAGTGTCTTTGTTGATTCAACTTTTTTTGAGTTTTAAAAATAATCTGATTTAATACCATTTAAAATAAAGAATTTGACCTTCAAGAATTGTATTCTAAAAAACTCAACTTTATTTAATATTGACTATATTTAAGACATTGCAACTATTGAAAATATCATTATCTAAAATTGTTCACTATTAAATTCTTCATTTTTTTCACTATAAACAATATTGAACCGAGTCGCTAAAATTATATTATAGGATGTTGAAATCAATCAATGTAACTTTGATAATTCCTTTTTCCTCAAAGGTTACAGTAATTTTGATATAGAAGGAAATAACCTATTTTTCCATCATAACAATCTTTTTAATTCGGTGATAATTGCTTTTAATGATAATACAGATTTACTCAGGATTAGAACAAGTTATAACACTCTTATTGAATCGTCAATTTTATCAACATTATTGCAAGTATATTAAAAAAGGCTTGTATGCACAATCGATGATTTTGAAGATAATTTTAGTGCGTTTTAAGAATCAAGTTTAATAATAATTTACTCTAATCTTCAAATCAATAATTTCATTGTTAATATTAAAAATGTTAAAGTGTAAAAAAATAACCTATTTGGTAAGTTACATCTAAAAAATTAACTATTTAAATTGCATTGCCATTCATTAAAAATCTAAAATGCTTACTTTTTTAATTTACAAAAGTTAGCTGTGTTTTATCTTTATCAAAGTAATTAGATAGTTTTCGATTCCATAATATTTGAAAACTTTTAATAAAAATATAAAGTTCCTGTCTCTCAACTCTGTACTGATCTAGAATAATTTAGGAATTAACCATTTTAAGTTTTAGGTTTTCAGTAGTTATCATTATCAAACATTAAAATTATAAATCAATTTAGTATCAATTATTCATTAATGGATATCAATTTTAGTAATCAGTACATAATTGATACTATAGGGATGATTATATTAACGAATATAGAGTTTAGAGGGAATATCATAATATTGAACAAACTAGCCACATCAATATCATTGTTAAATATATACTCTCAATATAATTTAAATATAAAATCGGACAATTTTAAGTTTATGCAAAATGTTATTCATTCATAAATTTATGGAACACTTATCACATAAATAAATTTATTGCATATAAATTCATTAGACAGTTTTGTTTAATTACTATAAGTATATTTTTATCAAAATGCATTAACTAATTCAACTAATCCATTTATTACTCTTAGTGCTGCTGTGATTGAAATTTCTAATCTAACCTTTATGAATTCTAATGTTTTATCTTAAAAGTTATGGGAATAATTTTATGATTTTGAATTAGAGGATTAACATAATTAATAAGAGATTAACTACATTATTGAATCAACATTTAACATGTAAAATTCAGGAATTTATATTGTAGCTTCAACTTTTAGTTGTAAAGATAGTCTTTTTTAAGATATTATTGCTATTAAAAGTTCAGTTTTTTTGATTTAAACTCAAGGGTAAGGAATAATCAAAATAAGTAACCTCTAGATATATTCTATTTATAATAATCTAAAAGATAGCGGAGGTTCAGGTTGCATAACTGTAGATTCGACAAGTAGTCTTTTATCTATTGATATAAAGCAAATCAAATTTACAAACATTTTCAATAGAATGGCTGCATCAGTATTTACAATTACCCCTTCCTTAAGATAAAATGTTATTCGTTTAACTAATATTGAAATACAGAATTGCCTTTCCTTAATGAATACAATAATGTTAGTTAAATTTTCAGCAGATGTTATGAAATAAAGCTTAGTAAGTATTAATAAATTATACATTTATTAAAGTGAAGAATTTTGGTTTTAATTATTTTCCTTGATTGGTTCAATATTATCATCAGAATTAGTTAGGATACAGAGCGAAGAGAATGCTATGTTTTTCTTTGAGAATTGTAAAATTGATATCCAATATCTGATTATAGAAGGAATTGTAATCTCTCCAATCTTAAAAATTTAAAATGCTTTTAAATTAAAGCTTTTTGATTGTAAACTAGAATATATACAAAAATTATATTCATTTGATCTCATACAAATAACTTAAACCACAAGAACTGAATCGATGATTTCTATTGAGAAACTAAAAATAATTTAAAGTTCTACTTATAAAGAAAAATAAAACGGAATTCCTATCTTTTCTGATTTGAATTACAAAATTTCAGGATGCACAATGTGGAGAAACACATCAATAACACAATAACCTTCTTTTTCAGACATCATAAATTAGATATAATCCTCTGTTCAATCAAATCAGCTGATATATGTGAAAAGTATCTCTGACTAAAATTCCCTTATGTTTTAACAGATACAAATTATTAATAATAATGGATCAGACTTTTCGAATGGAATAATCACTTTTGAAGTTGAACAATTCAAAATTTTTAAAATAAAAGATATTTTTTGTTTCTAGAATAGTGTGAAAGAACATGGTTGCATTTATTTTTTTATCTAAAATTACATTAGTTCAATTATTTTAATCAAAGATTCTTATTTTATTTAGAATAAGGGTAGTCTTGGAGGTGCATTACTAATTTAAAATGTTAGATTAAGAATGACAAATTGTAAAATAATCTCAAATTCTGTAAGCAAGTCAGGGGGAGGATTGTTTCTATAATTAAATGAGTCTGATTTTTAAATTGAATAAACAATAATCACTAATAATGAGGCTTCAGATGGAGGGGGAATTTTTTTCAACTAAGATGCAAATATACTCCTTCATAATTTTATGAAGTCGTTTTTACTATTAAATAGAGCAAAATAATTTGGAGATAATCTTATTGAATCTCCCAACCATTTAACATTACTTATCAACAACATGCAGATGCCATCTAAAAAGTATACCATTAACAAAACGCTCAATCATCATTTAGAGCTCTAACCCTATAGAATTATTTAATAAGGAAAGCCTTTAATTACAAATTATTTAATGATTCCAAGTCATTAAGTTATCAATGAGTATCAAATTTATCAGCCATCTAGCAATTAATATTTTTCATACATTTCAAATTTCGCTCTAATTTTAAAGAATAGTTTAAATGAATAACTTATGAATCTTCTTAGTACTACATGCATTCTAACGAACAAAATTATTTACGAAGAAAGCTTGAATTAAGTTGATGAGGAGGCAAAGGAAATACTGTTGTAATTTGATTTAGAAAAAGATTACTATAATTTGGGTTCACTTTCATTCATTTTAGACCCTTATATTTAAGAAAAAAAACTATTATAAATTGAGATTAATTGTAAATCATCACAGCATTAACAAAGTTTGAATTACATGATATAAGTTAAAAGTTTGAAATGTTAACTTGGAGAATTTTATGTAAATTCTGGGTGTCAAATTTGCTCATCAATTTAAGGATTTTACTCTGTAGTATATGATGCAACAAAGTGTTCAATATTTGATAAAACCAAATTTAAAAACATAACTGAAAATAATATCGAATTACTAGAGGGCTTTTGGAGACCTAATTTTTTATCGGATTCAATAGAGCATTGCTTTAAAAATATAAAGTTTTGTAAAGGTGGTTGGGGATAAGGAAATTAAATATGTGATTAAGGACACATTGGAGCATTATGTGAAGAATGTGATATTTATAATGTTAGAGGAGAAGGAAAATATTTTTAAAATTAATAGGATTCATAGTGTATATCTTGTTTTGGTGTCGAAGACAGTATAATCCCATTTATAGCAGGATCGATTTGGTAATTTGGTTTTTTATTTAGGTCGTTTATATCAATTATTATTACCTTAAGGAGCATTGAATAGTCTAATCAATTATTCAAAAGTTTGAAATTAAAATAAAGATTCAGCAAAATTATTTTTAACCTAGAATAAGGTAATTCCATCATTTATTTTAAGGGCATGAAGGTTTTTTAATAAAAATGTTATTAAACTATTTATGGATTTTCGCCGTGATATTTACATTTAATATACAATTTTCTTTTTCATTTACTTTTGTTGATTCAGTCAGTAACACTTCTTACTCTATGACTAATAACCTGGACTGTTATTTATCAGAAAATCAATCAATAAAATTGATTTACTCAAAAATAATTACAATGCTTCTACTCATGACAATTTAATTTTTACTTATAATTATGGGATATCTAATTTATAATTAATATAAGAAGATTGGATTGAGCAATTTCAATTTAGAAACTATTTCTAATACACTACTTTACCTTTATGTATCTAATTATGGCGGATTAGTAAAAATGTATTTCAACTTCTATTAATTTTAGGTATTTTTCCATTGTTTCAAAAAGAGTTGTTTCAAACCAAAGTTACATACAAGGTGATGTTTCACTCCTTTTTGGATCTTAAGAACATGTAATTTGGATTTCCTCCTTTGTAATTCCAGGAATAGTTATTTTTAGTGTGATTATTCCTCTTTCTATATTTATTGTTATGTACATTAAGAAGGATTAACATGATAATATTAAAATCAGAAAGCATTTTTGTTATCTAATTAACGAATACAATAAAAGAAACTACTTTTGGGAAGAAATAAAATTAATAAAAAAAACAATCATTATACTAATCTTAACATATTTTGAGACTTATATTCTTCTCAAAGCATCATTGTTAGGGTTATGTTTACTTTTTTATTAGTTATTTGCGTTTAATATGAAACCATACATCCTCTTCAATTTCAATAACAAGGATTTATCTTCAGCACAAATTTGCTCTATCGCGATTTTTCTTGGTGCTGCTAAATATGTAGCAGAATAAGAAAATAATTTATTTTCCTCAATATTACTCTAAACAATAATTGTGTTACTTTGTCTTAAACTTTGCTATTCATTTATCAAAAGCATATTAGAAGTTTATTCTAACAAGTACACTTTCTTAATTTTAAATTATTTACTTATAATTTTGAATAAGATTTCAAAAGAATCAATCTTAACAGAAAAGTTACAAACTTATTTGCTAAAATAGAGATAAAAAAATTAGAGATTGAAAATTTTGATTAGTAAGCTTCGGCAACATCTTTTAAAGGTTTCAAAAGGCCAGCTTGAATATCATAGGAAAATTGTAAGTTCACAGAACTATAATACTTAGAAATTAAAGTCTGATTAAAAATACCTTTTAAAAATAGAGACAGAATGACTATTATTAGAATTTGCATGAATTTATTTCATTTACAATTTTATCAATAAATATCTATATTATTCTACTTATTATTTTAATTTTATGATTACATTATTGAGATTATTGGCTATAATTTAATGCAAAAAATAAATTAATTCTCTCCCCATAACACATTATAGGATTTGAAATATATACATGATTAAGTATTTTAGTTTCGCCTTCTATTTATTAAATTAAATAACCAAATATATATTCCTAATTCTTTAATTTCATTTGCAATGAACGCAGTAGGGATTTATTTAAAAAAATTTGATATTAATCTACTTAATACATATATTAAATGTAGAAAAAATCAAGAAATATATAATAAGAATAATACAGATAAATTTCAACTTATTACAACAGAAGATTTAATATATATAGTCTTGACTTAATTTAAATTAAGTTCAACAATTTTTATTTTTTACCATAATGTTAAATGTGAAGTTAAAATTTTATATGATATTTTAAAGCAATATCAGAAAACTTAATTGAGAATAATAAGCTAAATCAAAACAGAAATTGAGATTTATGAAGAATTAGAATTCAAAGATGATAATTTGGTACAACAGAATGTAATTGTCCAATGGCGATATTTACCTATTTAGTTAAAACCTATTAATTTAGTAGAACTTATCGTTAAAACAAATAAAATTATAATTTAATTTCTCAATATAAAATTTGCATTACTATGAGAACTATTTAATAGAAATTGAATTTTTATTTTAAACTTAATGAATTGCACTCACCATTTTCAATATCGAGTATCATCAATATGTGTAGCTCCTCACTTATGTTAATATTAAAGAAAATTATGTGTTGAGTGCCAATATGAACATGCGGTTGATAAAAAATAGGAAATTCCGATTTTTAGATTTCAAGAAATGGCTATCAAGAAATTAAAAGAATATGAACTTGATCAAACCTTTGAATTAATCGAATATAAAAAGAATTATCAGATATTGCTTGATCAAATGAAAAAAAATTTAGAAGAGATATTAGAATCAATCTTTTCAATATACGATATGATTGAGCAGTAAAATTAACAATATAAGAACCTTATCAATGAAAACACCAATCTTTTAGAATCCTCATAGACTGACTTAGAAAAATTAATAGAGATTTTCTAAGGTAAAATAATAAATGATTGGATTGGTGATAGAAATTATTATTTTGGTAATTTGGATCAAGCCATGATTGTTTTCAATCAAGAAATTACTAAAGGGATTGAAAAGTTGAATTAAAGAATCAAAGAGATTTATCCATTCTTTAAGTAAGAATTTAAATAATCCTCTGAAATTCATCCAACTGAACAAAGTGAATACGTTTATGAATGGAAATAAGATCTGTATGAGATTTTTTCTAGCATAAAACATATTGATTCCTCTCTATTAGCAAGGATTATAGAAATACTTAGAGAGGAGTAGATTTCTGATTATCAAATACTTCTTTAGAAACAATATCTTGAAAAGCTTTAAGAATCATAAATTTACAATAATTAGTTAAAAGAAGAAAAAAATACCATTAAATTTATTATTGCTGTTGTAAAAAATGTACTTGAACTTGACTTTAATGAAAAAAATTTTTCAACCGATGAATACAAAGAAATAAGAGCAGACATAATACAAAAAATATAGAAACAAGAGAAGATTATCCTGTTTTTGAAATTTTTAGTGCATCTCACAGCTATTGATAATAAAACAATCTAATGTGGATCAAACTCACTGAATTTATTGGTTTTGATGAAGGTTGATCTGAGTGAATAATGCTTTCAAAAGATTAAGATTAAAAATACTTCTTTAATTGGTGCTAATTTTTTCAAATGTAATTTGAGTGAATCTGAATTTGATAATGTTGATATTAGTGGAATGAATTTAAATGGGGCATAATTAGTAAATTGCAAATGGAAAAATATAAAGATATTTGAACAAAATAAATTTGAGGATCCTATTTATTCTATAAGTTTTTCTCCTAATAGTCTAACAATAGCATCTGGTGGTGATGATAATTATATTTGTTTATGGGATATTAAAACAGGGCAATAAAAATCAAAATTAATTGGTCATACTAGTTGGGTTAGATCAGTATGTTTTTCTCCTGATGGTAATATATTAGCATCGGGTGGTGATGATCAATCTATCCTCTTATGGGAAGTTAGGACAGAATAATAATAATTTAAATTAATAGGTCATACTAGCTGTGTCTATTCAGTTTGCTTCTCTCCAAATGGTGCAATCTTAGCTTCTGGAAGTCACGATAAGACTATCCGTTTATGGGACGTTAAGACAGGTTAATTAAAAAAAAAATTTAATGGTCTTACTAGTGTCATTTATTCAGTATGCTTCTCCCCTGATGGTGCTACATTAGCATTTGGTAGTGATGAATTTATCCGCTTATATGATCTTAAGGCAGGATAATAAAAATCTATATTATATGGTCATGAGCATGCTGTAAAATCAGTTTGCTTCTCTCCTGATGGTTCTACATTAACATCTGGTAGCAATGATAATACTATACGTTTATGGGATATAAAGACTGGACAGTAAAAATTTATATTAAACGGTCATACTAAGGCTGTCTATTCAGTATGCTTCTCTCCTGATGGTACTACACTAGCATCTGGTAGTGATGATAATTCTATCCGTTTATGGGATGTTAGGGCAGGAAAATAAAAATCAAAATTAGATGGTCATAAAAAAGAAGTTTTATAGGTATGCTTCTATGATGATTCTACTATTGCATCTTGTAGTGGAGATAGCTCTATTTGTTTATGGGATGTTATGACAGATTAATAAGCTTCTAGATTTAATAGTCATTCTCTTAGTATTTCGCAAGTATGTTTTTCTCAAGATGGTGCTACTTCAGCATTTAGTAGTTTTGATTAATCTTTCTGTTCATTCGATAGGAAGTCAGGATAATAATTTAAACCCTTAGATACGAGTTATTAAGATATTCTTTCGCAATTTAGTACACAATTATACACAAAGTGTAGTACTTATTTTAGCTTATTTAGTTTACTTTAATTTTCCTAAACTTGTTCTGTCGAATATGCCATTTATTTCAGCATAAGGAGCTTTAATCTTTGATGGAGAATTATTTACATCTTTCGGCACGGATTTAAGAAAGCTGTTTTAAGAAAGAGGAAGTTGTGTTTTGAAAAGTTTGGAAAAGATAATTTAAAAGTGAATTTATAACTATTTAATATTAATTAATTGGATTATTAGTTACATAATACAAAATTTTTAAAACCTTGTTTCATCATCTGATGATTGTTTTTCAGTTACTAATTTGAAATTAATTATCATACTTTTAGTTTGAATTAATAGTAGCTTTTTTGAAATATTTTTTGATTTCTTAAAATGGGTGAGTAAAATATGATAGTTTTTCCAAAATAGTCAATATGAGTAAATTATTATTTATTAAAATATAAATAACTGCATCACACTTTTCTATCTGTTAATTATTTCCTTCTATAAAAAATAAAATGAATTTCTTAAACAATAGGATTAAAATTTTACATATTATATTCAAACAGGAATTCAAAAGATTTATTATTTCTTAATAAAGTTCCTAGTTAATTATCTAAAATCAAAACTACAGGTGATTCTTATAATGTTTATTCAGAATAATAGAATATTAAAATCAACAACATTAGATTTATCTAAATTTTGTGAAATTTTGTCTCCAAAATTTTTTACATTAAAATTTTAAGTGGAGAGGTAAATTAGATTAAATAATTAATACAACTCCATATCTTGGTAGGAGAATTAAATTATGTTTTAATATCTTTTACTTTTTTTCAACAAACTTGAATTCTTGAAATATTAGTAATAATTGTAATTACAATAATTTTAACTTAATACAAATTGGCTGAATAGATTAATTTAATTATATACGACTATTTCTCTGAATAAATTATTAGAGTATAAATTTGGATATATTATAAATATGTAACTTAATCATAAATATCCAAGCTTATTTAAACAATCAAATGTTATATAAACAGCACAATCAAATCATAGTATTTATTGATTTAGACCAGAACAAGCACATCAAAGTTAGAAATATAGTTACAATCATAATAATTTAATATTTATTTAAAAAGGATATAATTTGTTAGAAGCATTGAATGCTCAATGATATCCAATTTATAATAACAAGACAATTAATTTAAAGTAATGATAACGATATATGAGTTTGAAAGAAAAAGCATTCAAATGTACCCTAAAATATTACTTAAGCCTCATAATTTCCTATAATGATTTGCTTTTTAAGTAAGAATGGTATATTTTTTAATTTTAATTTTATAATTAATTAATGTTGTCTGTAACGTTGAAGTTATTGATTAATTGTATTTTTCATATATCTTTTAATTCTCTTATTTGTATTTCTTTTGATTTATTATCCCAAGTAATCAAGTATTATCCGTCATCACTTAATTAACCGAATACTTAATCAGTACCAAAGTCTATTGATTATTCTGTTCGAAAGCTTGAATTTTAAATGCTGATAAAATTAACATTTTAACCATTTTTATTTAGCAAAATTTCCTTCTACTTTATAAATTGTTGAGGAAACAAGCAAGATCCATCTGTGCCGCATTGTACATCAATATCTTTCACTTTACTATATTCATTCTTGATACTATTTAATTCATAAAGACTCAAATGTTCTTAAGTCTGAGGCTGGAATGTGAATTGATTATCGTTTATAAAGCATAATCTACATCCAAAATATTCAACATTTATCTTTTAAATAGTGACCCATCTTTACAAAGAGAATGATTTCTCTATTACTAAAATTGTCTTGTCATAACTACAAGAAATCAGTGTATTTTATTTCTCGTTCAAACTAAGCGCAAATACACTATCTGTGTGATCTGTTATAACTTATTAACATACCCATTTATCCTTCTCTATCCAAAATCTAATTGTTTTGTCATCACTTCCTGATACTATTAAATCTTCATTTGTGTTTAGTACTACACAATAAACATTGCTTAAATGATTCTCTAATTTTTATTAACAAATATATTAATTATTTTTATTACTCATCCATATTATAATTGTATTATCATAACTACCAGATATAAATTTGTTTGATTTTTTCATGAAATTTAAAGTCCATACATTATTTGTATGTTTATTACTAATTTTTTGAATTTGATTCATAAATCCTTTTTGAAACGCATATACTCTAATTTCTTCACGACATCCCACTAATACAATAGAGCAATCTTTATTAAAAGCCATTACGCAACATTCTTTATATTCCTTAATAGAAAAATCATCCAATTTTTTTAAAATGAATGCATTTTTAGATTTCTTTTCTTTTTCTATTTGCATCTCTTTAACTTCTGCTAATAGATTTCCAAATCCACAATGTATTTTCTGGATATTATCTTTTATAGTTCTAATCAAAGAATTTTGAAAAAGAGAGGAAATTTTATCCAATAATATTCCCTTGATATCCTTGAAATTATCGAAATATTTTTTTATTTTTAATTCGCCCTCAACAAGTGAATTTTAATCAATTATTTTTATTTTCTAAAGTAACTCTTCTGGGGTTTCTGGAATCATTATATTGATAATCTAATTGTTGAGCCATTCAACCAATTTCTCTATAGAATTTTCTAAATGAGACTTCAAATTCTATAATCTCTCTTTCAAACTAATAAGAAAAATTATGTATTTTTGATTGATGCTATATTGTCCTTTAATTTATGAGGAAAACATATTAAAAAAATCTTGATTTATGTCTTAAAAATTAATCATATTAGAATCGAGTTCTTGAATACACATTTAACAAAGTTTTGGTTATTGAATATGATTTTTTTGTATATTATATATCGCTGGCTGAGTTTTATGTATCTAACAATTATTAAGGAACATTTAATTGAATTTCCTTTTAAATTAATTATTGAAATATTATTCAACAAGAATTTAGAACCATTACCTTGTTAAAAGTAATATAAATAAAATTAGAGAACAGCAATAAGTTTATATTATAAATATAATAATAATAATTAAGATATTTTAACTAATTTGTAGCCCATTTAGTTGAGGTAAAACAACCAATTTCTAATTTGAATTGAAAAGATACTGCTTAATAAAATTAGGATATTTATTGNACAAGAAATCAGTGTATTTTATTTCTCGTTCAAACTAAGCGCAAATACACTATCTGTGTGATCTGTTATAACTTATTAACATACCCATTTATCCTTCTCTATCCAAAATCTAATTGTTTTGTCATCACTTCCTGATACTATTAAATCTTCATTTGTGTTTAGTACTACACAATAAACATTGCTTAAATGATTCTCTAATTTTTATTAACAAATATATTAATTATTTTTATTACTCATCCATATTATAATTGTATTATCATAACTACCAGATATAAATTTGTTTGATTTTTTCATGAAATTTAAAGTCCATACATTATTTGTATGTTTATTACTAATTTTTTGAATTTGATTCATAAATCCTTTTTGAAACGCATATACTCTAATTTCTTCACGACATCCCACTAATACAATAGAGCAATCTTTATTAAAAGCCATTACGCAACATTCTTTATATTCCTTAATAGAAAAATCATCCAATTTTTTTAAAATGAATGCATTTTTAGATTTCTTTTCTTTTTCTATTTGCATCTCTTTAACTTCTGCTAATAGATTTCCAAATCCACAATGTATTTTCTGGATATTATCTTTTATAGTTCTAATCAAAGAATTTTGAAAAAGAGAGGAAATTTTATCCAATAATATTCCCTTGATATCCTTGAAATTATCGAAATATTTTTTTATTTTTAATTCGCCCTCAACAAGTGAATTTTAATCAATTATTTTTATTTTCTAAAGTAACTCTTCTGGGGTTTCTGGAATCATTATATTGATAATCTAATTGTTGAGCCATTCAACCAATTTCTCTATAGAATTTTCTAAATGAGACTTCAAATTCTATAATCTCTCTTTCAAACTAATAAGAAAAATTATGTATTTTTGATTGATGCTATATTGTCCTTTAATTTATGAGGAAAACATATTAAAAAAATCTTGATTTATGTCTTAAAAATTAATCATATTAGAATCGAGTTCTTGAATACACATTTAACAAAGTTTTGGTTATTGAATATGATTTTTTTGTATATTATATATCGCTGGCTGAGTTTTATGTATCTAACAATTATTAAGGAACATTTAATTGAATTTCCTTTTAAATTAATTATTGAAATATTATTCAACAAGAATTTAGAACCATTACCTTGTTAAAAGTAATATAAATAAAATTAGAGAACAGCAATAAGTTTATATTATAAATATAATAATAATAATTAAGATATTTTAACTAATTTGTAGCCCATTTAGTTGAGGTAAAACAACCAATTTCTAATTTGAATTGAAAAGATACTGCTTAATAAAATTAGGATATTTATTGCTTCTTTAATATTATTGGTGGATATTGAGTAAAAATAGACATTTCTAAATGGAAAATATTTCGAAATGAATTTTTTTAATTTCTTTAAAATTCATTAATTGCTATCAGCTTGTGCACTCTTTTAATTTAATCAAGCCAGCCACATAATAAAGAAAATACATTTTAGAAAATTTAAGACATCTATTGAAAGAATCAAAATTATCATGACTAAGTGAATTATTTATGACTTGTTTTATGATTCTTAAAAAAACTCAAGAGCATCTGACAATATAGTAGTCCAATCTTTTCAAATAATAAGAAATGAGAAAACTCTCTTTATATGACCTACAGTGAGAAAAATCCTTGATATAATCTATAAAAAATAAATAGAATATATATCATCCAAGAATTAATCTAAATTACAAATAATCAATATATTGTTTGCTAAGTTCAAGATAGTAAATTAAAAAATAGTCGAGAATTAATTATAATGAAAAGTAAAGTAATATGTGAATAAGAGTAGAATTGCAATTGAACCTAAGTAGGTTTTATAATAATTTAATTAAATTTCTGCCAAGTAATAGTTGAAGATGTTTCTAATAAACGAAGAAATGGAATATAGCAATTGATTTTATAGATAATTTCAACAAATTCGTATTTTCATAAAAAAAACTTAAGAATCAGACTAGATTATAATTATAATTATATAGTTTCTCTTATTTATATTCTTTGAAAAATCCCTTTTCTATGTAATAGATTCCATCTCAAAATCAACGACTCTGAATGGAATTTAGCGTATTTTTTAGGTTGCAATTAAGTTTGATTCTACTTAACACGTATTTATTTTACCAAAAGCAGATTGATAAAAATATTTCGCATCACCAATTTAATTGTAATTTATTTATTAGAGATAATGAGCTTATAGAAATGTAATAAACACGATTAGTTTCCCATCTTCTACAATTCATCATAAATACACTCAACGTTTAAAAATTTATGCTTCTTTTGTATTGCAGAATTTAAGAATGAGGACGTATGAATCAAAATTTGATATTATAGTTTAAGAGATAATAAAACATCCTAATTTATGAGAATAAAGAAATATGTAATAACAATATTTCATTGCTCCTAAAAATAAAGGGAAATTTGAACTAATATAAATATTATATAAATGTAGCATTAGAATCATTGATCAAAAGTACTGATTCCTAAATTAATCTAATAAAAAAGTCAACTCAGAAATGTTAATCATTAATTAGCTAAATCCCAATAATTGATGCCAATTAATTTATTAATGGTTATCAATAAATTCAGACATAATTACCTAATTATTTAAATATTAAAGACATTCTATTAAGCGAAATAAATTCATTTGACAAATCGAATTTCATTCATGAAATAGAAGAAACATTAATGCGTTTTGATGAAGATAACTTAAATCATTCAATATATATTAAAACATAAAAATTGGATTGTGAAAATTCCCATTAAAGTGGGGTTAAGACAAATTTTAGATATGAATTGTCTTAGAAACTTTCAATTAAGCAGGAAGAAATTTGTAAAGCAATTGCTATCAATAAGGATTCATAATTCGTTGCTGTAGGATGTAAAGAAAAAATAAAGATGTTCTTATTAAAGGATGAGAACCTTGATGAAATCCAGATATTAAGCGAACATTAAAAAAATGTAAATTGCTTGTTGTTTATGGGGCAATTTAATTCCTTTGTGTCCTGTAGTGATGATAACACAATTAGAATTTGGACATAACAATAAAATAATTTATGGATATCTTAATAAACTCTAGATCAACATACTGATTAGGTGTATTGTATAATTGTTAATAATAAAGAGGATTTAATTATTTCTGGAAGTAAAGATAAATCAATAATCTTTTGGGGGAAATAAAATTAATGGTTATAATTATAAACAATATATACCCATAAAGATTGCTAACATAGTTTATGTTTAAATGAATAATAAAATACATTAATTTCATGTGGAAGGGATAATACACTATTAGTGATTAAACAAGAAAATATGATTTGGTCTGTTACTTAAACAATCGAAGTTTAATCATTTGGAAATAGTTTATGTTATATTAGTAACAGTGCTTTTTCTTTTTAATCTAATAATTGTAATAAACTACAGATCTATTCATTGAAAGATAATTTATATTATAAAGCTAAAGAAATTTTAACTATGGATGGAAATGAGTTTGATTTATTTTTCCCTTAAAATTTTATCAAACAGAAGTCACTCTTGGTTTATAAAAATGGATCAAATGTCAATTTCCTCTAATTAAATTAGAATTTAGAATTTATTCTCGTTTACTCAATCTAGTTTAATAATTCTTAAGTTTTTGGAACGGTAAGTGTAGATGGTTAATATTTACTTACATGGGATAGTGAAGGAAAAGAAATATAAATAAGAAAATACATTAATTGAATTAAATAAAATATATGCATTACAATATCATTATAATTAAAATATTAATAAAAAAATTTTGATACTTATTCTCTTCATAGATCAAAATTTATGAAACATGATAAAAGTATATTTAATATTTTAATATTTTAAAAATTTGATAATTTATAATAAAGCGTTTAAAAAAAAAAAAATTCAATTGTTATATTCTTCCTATCATTATTGATATGTAAAGTTTATTGTTGAAAATCAAAATTAAAATATGTTGATTGATCCTTAGGAATTGTTAAGTATTTATTTAAGTTAAATGGATATTATAATATAATGATAAATGTTAATTTTATTAATTCTAAAATTTTGTTCATGTTTTTTTGTGTTCATTTAGATTTGTTTTATTAGATTTAATCTTCTTTATTTTATTTCCTTCACTTTCATGCTAAGATCCTTCGGATGATATTTAAGATTCTTCCAATAATTCTTCTGAAGACTGAGATTATTCTTCAATCTCTTAATTTTAAAAATCATCTTACCATTAATCTGAACCTTAATCATATTCTTAATCTAATAATTCCATCAATTCTTAACTTGACAATTCCTCTATTCGTTTTTCTTATTTTTTATTATTTGTTATAATATAATCTTGGAATTAGATATCGTTTGATAATTAAATTTAATTTTATTATTATTGAGATGGAATAGCGAGAGGCGGTTGCACATTAGAACACTATATAAATTATTAATACACATATTTCTGAGTTTCCTAAAAAATATTTTTTCTTTCTTATTCTTAATAAATTTAGTTATCTTATTGATTATAAATCTGTTTAAATACATTTTATTCTTAAGTTTATGTCTAAAAAAATTTTGTCAGATTAGATAGAACTTCTTCATCATTTTTCCATGGCTGGATGGCTGGTTGAACCCATTTGGATAGACTATTTTTCATATTCGACCATAAAAATCTATGATCACAGAAGAATATCACTCTAAGCATAGTAAAAATAATTACCCATAATCATTAATATGCCTAATAACTCTTCCAATTGCTTAATTAGTTGCTCTAACAGCTTATTGCATATACCAATCTTTACTAGACAAACCTTATTTATTTTTTGCTAGTTATTAATCTAAGAATTCCTTCTTTATTTTTATTTTCTAATCCTTCAATGGAGGGTAAGGAATTCCGATCAAAAATACTGCTCTGCATAAATCATCAGATAGATCTATTCCTTCTGCAACTTTTCCTCTATGAACTGCAAATAGAATAGCTCCTTTTTGAACATTTTGTTTAAAAACTTCTAATGTATTGTGAAATTAAGCACTTCCTTATTCTTCCCATAAACATTTTTTCACTTCATTTAGTCTTTATATCAATTATTAATTAGCCCATCTCCTCCTAATATTATGCATAAGGCCGTAAGAAGAAAATACAATAATAATTCCGCCCTTTATTATTTTTGAAAAATTTAGTATGGCCAATCCTAAGTTTCTAATTTAATCTTCATTTTCTCTTTTTTAATAAGAAAAATCGAAACTTAAGTGTTAAAATGCTCTAACATTATTGCGAATGTCTATGACATGTTTATTACTTAATTGTACTTTAAACTCCATTTATAATTCACTTTACCAAGATTCCATAGGTGATAAAGTACCGGAAGTTAAAATTATGGAATAAATATTTTTTTATGTCAATTTCTTAAAGGCTAAAGAAGGATCTAAGCACCACATATTAAGAGATATTTAATTCTAGTTATTCTTTATTACAGCTAACTTATAGAAGTCAAAGTATTTTAATTAATCATCAAAAAAAACATCATAAGCTTCATCAAAATCATCTAAATTATACAGGTTAATTAAAAATCTAGTCCAAGAATCAAAATTAACACCCTCATGTGAAGATGTTTCGCTCATATAAGTAATTATTGTTTTACAAAATGAGATATATAAAGAGATATTATCTTGACTAATTCCTTTTGAAAATATTGTAGTTGCATTTTTTTAATTGATAGAAGTGTTCTCATAAAGGAAAGTAAATACCTATTAAGCATTAAACACTTTGCATTATTCATTATTCTATTTTTGATCAAAATATGAAGCTCCTTATAAGTCTTACAAAAAAATTGAGAAAGCTCCAATTGTTTTGACAATGTCATCATATTCACTTAAACTCAAAGAGGATAGCTTTTTCTAGTTTAACGCTTATTAGAATTCTGAAAAGAAGTCAGGCATCTCGTTTAATTCTTTCAGCCATCTTTCTAGCTCTTTTTTGGCTTCTTAAACTATTGTTTCATTCATAAAAAATGATTATCCATCTTCAGCAGTTTTAGGAACATTATGAGCTTCATCAAAAATAATAATTGAGTTTTCTGTATTAACAATATTTGAAAATTCATTATCTAGTAAATAGTTGTATGGTAATAATATTAAATCAGCATTTGCTAATCTTTCTCTTTCAAAGTAATAAGGGCAGGTCTTAGTATTATGCCCAAATTATTTAGATTCTTCTAAAGAATTGATCAATTTACAATTTTTAGCAGCTATATTTGGTAAAGATTCTTTGTCATAAAATTAACACCTATTTCTTTTAACCAACCTTCTGCAAGCTTATATTAAAGAATTTCCTTTCAAATTAGAAAAATCTAATAAACAATATTAATCTCTTGAACCAACCATAGATATATTTGGTGCATAAACAGTTCTCTTTAATTCTTAAGCTACTTATTGTAATTGTGCATGAGTTCTTGAAGCATAAATTATTTTTAAATTGCTAGGAGTACCAGATTTCTTTTGCTCTTTTCTATGTTTATGGAGCCAACCCATAGTTGAACATAACAAACATAAAGTCTTACCTGTTCCGGTTGGAGATTCTAATCTAATGTTTGATAGTTAAGATTATCTTACAATCCATTATATTTCTTATCTAATATTTGGACTACGCTTTCCATATACTTTACTTGAACATCATAAGGTTTGTGAGGAAAATATATCTCAGTATTCTCTATATTTAATTTTTCTTAAATATTGCACAATTCTTCATTGATTTGAATTTCTGAATTCCCCACTTATTTCATCTCTGAATCTTCGTCCATTAAGTTAATATGAGTATTCTAATTCATTATTTTAATTAATAATATATCATTGGTTTAAAGTCAATATTCCCATTTGAAAAATAGAAATCAATAGTTTTGGAATAATAGAATGATTAATTATTAAATATTAATAAAAATTTATTCAGTTTTGTTGTAATGCTTTGGATATTGTACAATAATTTCTCCTTTATATTTAAAATAGAATTCAATTTCATTAATAAATTTACTAAGTATTCTTTCATTCTCCTTTAGGTGAGATACATTCAAAACATATTCAATTAAAATTATCTCCAATAGTAATAAATCAAGAGTTATAATTTTTATATAGAATTATCATTGCTAGATTGTATACGATGCTATTGATATTCAATTGAAACAACAATTGAATTAGCTTCGAGAATGTATTTTTATATGATGAGCCCTATTTTATTCTATAATTCTAGTTTTTATGATGTTTTAAGATTAGGATTGATTCAAGAATAAGTATTTTATTAATGGAATTTAAAGTTGGATCATCTATTTTAGAAATAATTAAACCATCACATTAATAAAATTTATAATATTATTCCCTGATGTCAATAAATTTAAAATTAATTTATAAAAAACAATACTGTAATGTAAGACTGGAATGATAATGAACTAGTTGATGAAGTTCAAAGTACAAAATAGGGTATTTATATAGAATTGATGCTAATAAATGTTTAAGATTAGGAGAAATCAATTGAAGTAACCAGCTCGTCATAACAAAAAGATACAAACTCCTGTTATATTAATCCTTTCAAAGGTATTCAATTGCTTTTAGTAATATTTAGTTTAGGCTCTAGTGAGGGAAGGAAGATTAGACAAGGCTGAATAATGCTGGGGTGAATGGTTATAAAATTGTAGGAATAAAAAAGATTAAACAAATTTTTATTACTCAAAACGTACCAAATTATGGAAAATCTATTAGGTTAATTTTTACAGATTGCAAGATGGGATTCGAAACTCATGGAAATTATTGAAGAAGAAATTAAAAATTCAACAGACAAGATATTTTATTTAGAAGAGAAGGGTATTAAAAATTGAAATGATTTAAAGGAAACTTATTACAAATAAATAAAAAATTTGAAGAAGCTGTTCAATTTTGTAGAGAATGTATTAAGATATATCCTAACATATTTTCATTTTATTATTTATTAGGTTTGATTTTTATTTACTATTAATAGCAAAGGTTTTAGAATAATTAGGAAGAAAAAATGAAATAATTCAATGTTGGAACGAAGGAATTCTTAATAGCTCGAATATTAATTCCCATAGCTGGAATGTAAATATTTATTACAAAGAGAAAGGTAATAAATTTGAGATCTCAATTAGCAAATGCTTTATGTTAACAGAAAAGATATCAAGAGGCTATTGAAAGTTGGAATGAAGGAATTAAAAAAAATAGATACTCTTTCCAGTTTTATTATGAAAAAGGTATATAATTTAGAGAGTTTAGCTAAACTATTAAGCAAATTGGAAAAATTCGATGAATTAATTGAATGTTGGGATAATGGGATAGAGTCTAACTGTTTTTAAATTGAATATTATAGATAAAAAGGTAATTGAAGTTTAAAAAATTTAGTAAGAGCCTTATCAATCTTAAAGCGATTTAATGAAATTATTTAATGCTGGGAATTAGGAATTTAAAATAATAAGAAAATGATTATATATTATGAAAATAAAGGTTTAGATATTTGATGAACATTAGCAAAAGCACTAGCCAAGTAAGGCAAAATTAAGGAAATTATTTAATGTTGGAATAATGGAATAAACAACAATAAGGATAATATCTTCTTTTACCAAGAGAAAAGTATTTTAAAGTTAAATTCTATTAGTTAAAGCGTTAGAAAGATATGGCACATTCTAAGAAATTATAAATTGTTGGGATTTAGGAATTTCATATAATGGTGGTGACATAGCTTTCTATGAATAAAAATGTAAATAATCAAAATATCATCATCAATATAGCCTAAGCTTTAAAAAGTAAAGGGAAATGTTATGAAGTGATTTAGCTTTGGAATTAAGGAGTTGAAAGGAATAAAACTTCTGTTGAATTTTATGAAAAAAAAGGTCAAGTTTAATTAAAATTATTTAGTTCGAGTCTTACAGTAAAATGGTTAGATTTCAGAAGTTAATTAGTGCATAGAAAATGGGATTTAATTGAATTAAACTAAATACTAATTTTATTATTTAAAGGGTAAAGGTTAACTTTATTCGTTTAGCTTCAAATTTAATAAAATAACATAAATGGGAAGAAGCAATTTAAGTTTGGGATCAAGGAATATAAATAAATGGAGATTCCTATGAATATTATGATGGGAAAAGTATTTGTTATTTAAAAATAAGGTAAATGTCTAGAAAAATAAGGAAAATATTAAGAAGCAATATAATGTTTAAAAGATGCAACCACCCTTAATATTAACAAAAATGCATATTATACTTCACTAAGTAATGAGATAGAATATTGATAGTAAATGTTCTAACTAAATAAAAAGAATGGTTATAAACTATTATGCAATGTGATCAAGCAAATAAAGTACGTTAAGGCAAGACCCTATTATTTTAAGATAAAAAACGTATTTTAAATGTTTATTTTAGTTGCTTCTTTAGAGTCACTCAATTTAATAAAACAAGCAATATAATGTTATCGCCTAAAAGACGACAACAAATTTTTAAGATAGATCCTTTAAAATTAATTATGATTTATCACAAATATATTAAAATAAATATTGCTGACCTTTAATCAATAGTTTTGGGTTTAATTGACTTGATTAAGTGTAATTTAATATAAATTAAAGGAAATCGATCGATTCATTTTAAATAAAAATATTTATTAGTTAATATTTTTCTTGCTTAAAGGAAGAACTACTGAGTATTTTTATTCAAAATTTTTTAAGGAATTAATTGATCCAAATATATATTAATAATACTTATAATTCATAAGATTTTTGAATATGTANTAAGGCAAAATTAAGGAAATTATTTAATGTTGGAATAATGGAATAAACAACAATAAGGATAATATCTTCTTTTACCAAGAGAAAAGTATTTTAAAGTTAAATTCTATTAGTTAAAGCGTTAGAAAGATATGGCACATTCTAAGAAATTATAAATTGTTGGGATTTAGGAATTTCATATAATGGTGGTGACATAGCTTTCTATGAATAAAAATGTAAATAATCAAAATATCATCATCAATATAGCCTAAGCTTTAAAAAGTAAAGGGAAATGTTATGAAGTGATTTAGCTTTGGAATTAAGGAGTTGAAAGGAATAAAACTTCTGTTGAATTTTATGAAAAAAAAGGTCAAGTTTAATTAAAATTATTTAGTTCGAGTCTTACAGTAAAATGGTTAGATTTCAGAAGTTAATTAGTGCATAGAAAATGGGATTTAATTGAATTAAACTAAATACTAATTTTATTATTTAAAGGGTAAAGGTTAACTTTATTCGTTTAGCTTCAAATTTAATAAAATAACATAAATGGGAAGAAGCAATTTAAGTTTGGGATCAAGGAATATAAATAAATGGAGATTCCTATGAATATTATGATGGGAAAAGTATTTGTTATTTAAAAATAAGGTAAATGTCTAGAAAAATAAGGAAAATATTAAGAAGCAATATAATGTTTAAAAGATGCAACCACCCTTAATATTAACAAAAATGCATATTATACTTCACTAAGTAATGAGATAGAATATTGATAGTAAATGTTCTAACTAAATAAAAAGAATGGTTATAAACTATTATGCAATGTGATCAAGCAAATAAAGTACGTTAAGGCAAGACCCTATTATTTTAAGATAAAAAACGTATTTTAAATGTTTATTTTAGTTGCTTCTTTAGAGTCACTCAATTTAATAAAACAAGCAATATAATGTTATCGCCTAAAAGACGACAACAAATTTTTAAGATAGATCCTTTAAAATTAATTATGATTTATCACAAATATATTAAAATAAATATTGCTGACCTTTAATCAATAGTTTTGGGTTTAATTGACTTGATTAAGTGTAATTTAATATAAATTAAAGGAAATCGATCGATTCATTTTAAATAAAAATATTTATTAGTTAATATTTTTCTTGCTTAAAGGAAGAACTACTGAGTATTTTTATTCAAAATTTTTTAAGGAATTAATTGATCCAAATATATATTAATAATACTTATAATTCATAAGATTTTTGAATATGTACATTAGGATTATGGAATTTTTAGATCTAATATTTGTGCTTTCGTTTTCAAAAACAAGATCTTTAAATTATTAATAAAATTTTATGTAATAGCAAAGATATAAAAGTGATTAGTCGATGACCATGTGTTTAATTAAGAATAATTCTACTTTGAGAATTTTTATTTCTTTTTTATATATTAAATATTAAAGAGATTATTATTGATAAATTGAAAACAAAAGTTTCCGGAAATTGATTCACCTCCCCAAGTCAAATTTGATAAAATTCTATATTATAAATATTATGAGATTATAATATTATAATATGTACTTTACATATTAATATATGTTCAAAAAGTCGCGATTTATCTCTAAATTTAATGCTTACTTTTTGGAAAAAATATTTTTTTGATAAATAAATTTGATAATTCTCTTTTCATAATAATAAACTCTATTTAACTAAATTTTAAATCAAATAAAATTATTTTTAAAACTTACACCTTCAATTCCCTACAATAATTTATACTGTGAGATTATACCATATGCTATTTATAAAATATGTTATGATAATTATATTAATATAAAAAGAAAATAAATATGAAAAATATAATATAATAGCATATAATATTTTATTCTATTACCTTAAGTTTAAAGATTAATGGATGACTAATTCTTATTTATATTATTTTCATAATGATGAACAAGCCTTAAAATAATTAATAATCTAGAGATGCTTATTATTAATAATAATAATAAATATATCCCACACAAAAATAACAGGAAGAGTAGGCCATAATTCAATATTACATATATCAGGACTTCTAAAATATCATGAATCTATTATTTTCTTTTAAACAAATTAAAGAGTACTTTGCAGATGAACCTAATCATAAAGCAATAACTTTAAGTTATAAGAAATTGATAATACAATTAAATATTTCAAATTCAATCCATTTTGACTTAGAAAGAACATATCAGAATGAATTTGCTTTTATTTAAGATGCGAAAGGTAAAGTCAAAACTATGCTTGAGAAATTAGACTATGTGATTGGTAAAGAACATTAAAATTTAATACAAAATTATAGAGTTAATAGTTTATCGTAATCGGTAAAGATCAATTAGCTTCCCTTGCAGCAAACTTAAGATTTTACTTTTAATGAAAATCTTTTAAATTAACTAATTCCATAAGTTGAATAGATTGATTAATAAATATAAAGTGTGAAGCAAGCAAAATACTATAATGTTCCGAATGAAAATGATATTAGATAAAGAGCTGAGTATGTTTTAATTTAAATTTTTTAGCTATTTTCAAGCCTTGACCTTGGACAGATTATAAAAAAGTTACCCAAAGAACACTAAACACTTCTAACACGATTCAAGAGGCCCTTAGACGATGCAACAAAATGGAGGGAACTAATTTTAAAATTACCAAGATATAGCTAAAAATCCGAATAGATGATCATATTGAATATGAGTTTTTGTAAATTTTAAACTTTATATTAATTTCAAAATAATATCAATTTAATTTCACCAGAGTCTTTTTATTAAATGATTATTATATTTCCTTTTCAATTATCCCTAATCTATATTGATTTTAATATTGAATTTGAAATAAGGGATAATTATTTTACTTTATAATTAATTAGGTTCTAATCTTAATAGAATTACTTAGTAATAAATAAAAGAAAGAAAGTTTTGCAATTAAGGATAATAACATAAGATCATTTAGATGGGTTGTTGTGCCCCAAGGAATAAAAAATATGTTTTTATAATAGGAACTCCAGGATCAGGATAATCAGAATTATGTAAAAAATTGTAAGAAAATACAAATGACACCTCATTTGTTGCAATTCCTGAAATGGATTTAGATAGAGAAATAGAAATTAGAGAGTAATCTATATTGGATTTTCAAAAAACCTATAATGAGAAGCATAAAGAAAATAATCAAATAATTTCTTTAATTGTGAGTGTTAAATTTGAGAGAACAGATATTATGAAACGAAACTTGTTATCTGTGATTAAATATTTTCGTCGCTTTATAGATTTAATCATCATCATAGTGACTTATTTTGATTAAAGCGAATATGTTGATGAAGATAAAGAGAACTTAAAAAAATCATTAAAATTTTTATTGAAAAATGATGAAGAGCGAATATTTTTTAGTTAAAATTCAAATTAAATTGATGAGAAAGAAAAGCTATTAGATGTTATCAATAAGGTTGATTAAAATAAATAATAGTCATTCACACTAAAGGATACAATATTTGAAGAAGTAGATGACTCTTAAAAATAATAAATATTAAATCAATTATTTTCCTCGTTTGGAACTAGAAAATAATGAAAAATTAATATATTATAAATATAAACAATTATTTATTATTTCTACATAATTCATATGAATTCTAATAAAAAAATTTTAAAGCTCCTTATATAAAATCACTTGACTCAATTCCTCTTATATATTATTTTCTTAAATCCATGGAAACAATTCATATATAACTCTCTTATAAGACAATTTAGTTATCGAAATTACAATTTAATTGATAATACACACCATCTAATAGAAATTTTATAGTTAAAAGTGGATTTAATGTCAACAACATTATTAAATTTAAAAAATAGGAACTTATTATCATGGATGATATTAAGCTGAGTTATTATCACTATAAACTTGAAGTAAGAGTATTGTGCTAGGGTAACATTTTGTTTGGAACTATAAGGAAAAATGGCCAATATTATGATAATTTATGATAGAAGTATCGAACAAATTTAAATCAGAAAGAATGTTGAAAATAATAAAGAGTTAATAAAGTTATTTTGAATTTAATGCTACTTTAGTAAATATTATTAGAATTGTTAAAATTGTATACAATAATAGGTTAAATTTAAATTAATGAATGAATAATAGATATTCATTGCTTTTAAATAATTCAATGAACGTTTGTTATTCATTGCTTTCTCTCCATACATTACCGAATTTGAACATCCTTTGATTTAGAGTCCCAAGTAATTAAAAACTCTCCATCTTCACTTATGGTTCCAAATATCTCTCCATCACATTCGAATCCAAAGTTAATTGATTATTCTAATTAAGTTTCTTAAATTTCATCATATGAAGAAAATTAAAATCTAATTAGATTCACATAGCATCCATTTTTTGAAATTAAGAGTTATTTAGATGGAATATATTACTAAGGAAAATAGAAAACACAGGGTTGTCCTCCTCCTTAAACAGGGATGTCTTTACTTTTGGAAAACAATCCTGAGGATGGATAGAGTGTATAAATGTACAAACTTGGCAATGCTTTACCAGAACAGGCTTGAAAAGAAAATTGATTGTTATTTATAAAACATATTCGAGTCCCTTAGATTTCAACTTAAATTTTTTATTTTACCTCCCACTATTACCTATTAGACAATTCCATCACTAATATTAATTTATCCTCTCCACAAGATATTAATTTATTCCCATCCATATTCAATGACAATGCCCAAACACAATCTAAATGCTCACTAATCGTCTATTGGCATGTCCATTAACATTTTTATTAGAAAAACGCAGCGCATGACCAAAATTTAATGGACTTATCATCACTGCCTGAAATTACGAGGTCTTCTGAAAGAGGATGAATTATCAAACATCTAATACTATTTGAATGTCCATTTAGTTTAAACAATGGAGCCCATTAAGTAGGTTACTGTTAAGAAGAGTTAGTTGTTGGAGACCATATAATTATAGTTGAATCCTTTGAACCTGAAAGAAAAGAATTAAGCATAGAAGGAGTATTTCTGAAAAAGTTAAGAGTATTCACAAAGTCTGAATGTTCACCTTGTAGCAATTATAATAATCTTGGAGTTCTTTTAGTTTCAATCTCATTTGTTGAATTTATCGAAGATGATGAGGATTGCTATTATTAATCAAGCAGAATTTCCATAATTTTGATGTTGGAGTTGCAGGCCACTATAATGATGCTATTATCATGATTGATTGATATTGCTCTGCAAAAATAAGTTTACTTATGGCTCATTTGTGGTAGCAATTAATATGTAAAAGGACTATTGGCAATCTAAGAAGTTCCAAGTAGGTTGGATAGTTAATTGGATGATCTAGATTGGGTGGGAATTTTCATAGAGAATCTTTCTGGAATTAATTTAATTGGAGAGAGAGGTGGAGAAAGTTAGAGTGTATCATCCACTTAAGTTATTTTCTTAAGAATATCTTGGCAATCACTATATTCTTAAAAATCTTTGAACAATTCAAATTTTTCATTTATTTGATTGCTCCATTCAGAATGGATTAGATAAATTTCTGTTTTGAGTTTATTTTCATCAAAATGATTTTATTCATTTTTAATTAATTTATCCAATTCCTGAAAAAATGAGTATTTTGATAATTCTTGTTTGGTTGATTCTAGATTCTTAATCCAATCCTCAGAAATCCTATAAAGTTATTCTAATTGTTGTATGATGTTCTATTTGAGTGCATTTATGGCAGTTTGAATTTATAATACAGAATTGATGTGAGGCATAAGTAAGTTTTCGTATTCCTGAAGTTTAGTTCTTTATTTTTCTTCGATCAATTGGAATACTTTTTTGTATCCCATGGTTCTGGTTTCACTGTCATAATCTTCAACACACTGAGTACACAATAATCGTTGATCGAAACTTAGCTTTGGGTCCCAAACCACCTGACTGATTGGTAGGTCATGTTTATTCATGCAAACTAAATTCTGTTAACTTTCGATTACCTGAGGCTTATACATTTAGTAAATTAAATTAATATTGAATGTAATTTTCTTGATGATTTACTTTAAAACATAAACATTATATTGATTTATCAAAGATATGGATTATTTTATATTCTATATAATTTTAAATTATTATAAATACATGAATTATTTTTAAAATTTAAATTATTATGATAAATTTGTTTATTTATAGTAGTTAAAATTGACTTGCTATTTATGAATACTTGCGTCATAATCTCCATCAATATAAATTAAATACTAAACCAAAATTTACACTTATAATTCGTGAACAATACTGTTGAAGCTCTAATAAGTCATAAAATATAAATTGTATTTTTATTATATTAAATGATTTACAATCAAAGACAATAAAATTTAATCGTTTGACATGATATACTTGGATTATAAAAATTCATTCAATATCATAAATGATACTAAAACCTCTCATTTATTTCTTATTTACATCAATGTATTTAAAACTTTGATACTCTTGGAGATAAATTGAAAATTTGTAAATATTCAAATCTAACGATTGATGATTTAGTATTTTTACTCAATTTTAATTCTGCTTTACTTTGCACAAAGAGGAGTGAATTAGATTTATAGTAATGAGGCTTTTCCTTAAAACTAATAAAATAGATTTTAATATTAATGTTGAATAAGTGGATATATTATTGTTGTTAATAAAACACAATTAAAATTAAAAGATACTTATAAACCAATTCTGATACTCTTATATTACTGGATTAGGAAATTCAAAGGTTTTCGATATTAATAATAATGCTTCTACTCATTTTGAAATGGTTATAATTCACTCAAAATATAATAAACAAAAGAACAATTTTATCAAAATTATAAAATAATTAGCATCAATCTATCCACAGACAGATTACGAAGAAATAGTTGCATTTAAAAAATAAAATTGAGAATGATCACTTCTTAATAATGATCTGAATTATTAGAATGGACACTATTTATTCAAGTGTTAACTATACTTAGGTTGTTATTAAGAAAATTAAATTTGATTTTTATTATTTTTATATAATTTAAGAAAATAGAATGCAATTTATCTAACAAAATTAAAATCTAAGAAATGTATAAGTTGATACTTTGAAAATTTCAAAAGGATTAGTCTAATAATATATCAACTCTGTAAGAATAAATTTTAATTAGGTCTAAACAAAATATTGTGGACATTTTCAACATTTCTTTGAATTAGATGAAGTTGTGAATTAATTCAATAATTACTCTAAATTTATATGCGGAATTTGTTAATAGTCTGCATATACTATTGCTGATCTAGTTTTGTATATTAGCTATCATGCGTATTAAGAATTCCATAAATCTGTTGATCCTATTCATATCATTAATGGAATATTAATAAACAAATATTGTTAGAAAGGATATTTACTTAAAACCATTTTTCAATGTCTAGATCCGAGACTAGATTTTGTAATCATATTTGAAAAATGAAATATTTGATTATTCTCTCAACTAATAAAATGGGAATATAGAATTTTAGCATTCTGTCTCCTAGATAATGTATAAATTAATATACCAGTAAAAATAAGAGGATGTACTCATTTAGAATGCTATGAATTAACAAGTTTGCCTCAACTTCAAAATATTAATTCGCAGAATCAACAAATTATTGAATGCAATCATCCAAAATGTAATCAGACGTTAGATATTTCAAGTTAAATATATTCTTTAGCTAAATTTATATTGAAGTATAACTTCTTAAAATGATCGAAAAAAAGAGTAATAGAATTCAATAAAAATAAAATATAATAAATAAACTTAATCCCTTGAACCTAAAAATTAGAGTTCGGTAAACTTTCTGATGACTTCTAGAATAAATATAGCTAATGAGAAGAGAACTAGACGAATTAGAATGTAAGACCCTTGAATGTTATTTTCTCCAATTTTACAAAATAATCTGGAAGATGAAGTGTTAAAGTAAAAACTTATTATAAACTGCTAATATTCATAATCAATGTCAATGATTGATTAAATAACATAATTAGCATTTGAAATTCTCTACAGATGCAAATATTTCCCTGACTTGAATAAATCTTTAGATTTAAGAACATATGCCTTTGATTTTATTTGAAAAAGAAACTGAATAAAAATGCATAGATATATTAATGCCCTTTATGCAACAACAGATAATAATAGATAATTTAAGTTGTGAAATTAAATAATTATATATATATTTTGATTCATTTTAAATAAAATAAATGCTAAATTATTCAAATGTTGGAAAGGTTTAGGGTTAAAGTATTGAAATATTTAATTCTATTAACATTGATAATTCCAGTCTACTAAATCCATAAACCAACGCCAGATATGAACATCCAGTAAGGTTATTTTATAGAATAGGTTTTAACTAAAAATTGTCAACATATAAATTATTGCTTTGAAAAGACAATGGCTTTGATGGAAATTAGTAACAAAAATATTTATAAATGTCCATTTTGCGATGGATAAGCAAATAGTCCACATGATTTAGTTGATGATTGGAGGGTTAATGCTTATAAAGAATTTAATGAATATACTTAGGATGTAACAATAATTAAAGGGATTATGGTTCACAGATACATGAGAAATAAAAAGAAATATTTGGATTTTTTCACTAAAAATGTAAACATAATTCAATTTAAATAAATGTTTTACAGATTTTACAAGGAAACTTCATTATCATCATTGATATAATAAGATTTATAAAAATACTATGCAATAAATTAACAAAAAATTAATTTTTGGAGTTTTTGCTTGAAAGATAGAGTGAAAATAACTATTCCTGTGAGAATATTTGGATGCAATCATTACGAATGTTATGAATTAACTAGCTTACTATTCTATTAATAATAGAATAGGAAAAAAAAAGAATTCCTAGAATGCAATCAGCCAGGGTGTTCAAATAAATTGAAAATTGCTCACAAAGATTACACTAAATATCCTGATACTCCAAGCACTCAGGAAATGGATGAATAAGAGAACTTTCTTGATGTCTAAGAATTATTTTCTGGCATTTTTGTAGATTAGGATTTATTAGATGCTATCAAATTGAGTAATCCCAGCTCATAGAAATTTTACTATAATAAGGAAACTGGAAAAATTTAAGAAGATTTAAATATAGTAAATGGTTAGCCAGTTGATCCATTCATTTATCAATTTTATTAAAATCAGCCAGGGTTATCGACCATTGTGAAATTCTAAGAATTCCAAAAATTAATATAATAATAGGCAATAGCAGTAAGTCAAGGAGATCTATTATAAGAAAATAAGGATTTAAATAAACAAGTAAATTTGTATAAATACAGAAATTATAAAGTGAATATGAAAGACAAATTCACTAACCTTTCGATTGAATATCCAGTACGATGCAGACTTTGTACAAATTTAGAGATTTGCATGGATATGAGAAGTTATATAGCAGAATATATTTACAGAAAAAAAATGTCTCTAATAAATCCTTTCTGTTGTCCATTATGTAATTAAAAATTAAGTGAGTAAATTCTAAAGATAAATATTGTCAATTAGATATATTTAGATTCAAACATGCTTTCATACATGTTTAAGGATATGTCTTATAGTAATGGAACATAGATTTTTGATTATAAAGGAGAATAATATATGTTTTAAGAATTTTTGGATAGATAAAAGATCAAACGAGAGAATTATGTTGCAGAGTTACGGGAAAGATAGGTTTTATTTAAACAACTTTTTTGTATAATTAATCCAAATTAGAGAATTAAATAGCCTTTAATTCTCTAAAAATGTCCAGATAGAAAAATTGTTGATTTTGCATCATTTTATGAAGAATTAAAGAAAATAAATTTTGATTACGAAAATTAATATCTAATATTATGTAGATGTAACTATTGTAATAAAAATCCGATTAAGACTTTTGTAGGAAACATCTATTTTCACGAAGCCTTTTATGAAGCTCTAAATAAATTTTATGAAATTAAGGAAATAGAAAATGATAATGAATTCTCTTATTAGTTTGAGGATACTAGAGAAAATAGTTATGTTATCAAAAATCAATAGCAATAGCAATAGAAAATCAAAATAATAATGCGATGATTAATTAAATTTTATTTTGATAAGCATATATATCGATATTTCAAATTTGTAATAAATAATTCAATAGCCAAATTAAATAAAAATAAATGACAAATCATAGTTTTTTTTTCTCTAATTTTTTTAATGCTTTAACTAGCTAATCACTTATTTTACATAGCATGTCTGCATGTTCAATATCTTTTGTCTTTTGTTTTTCAATTTATTTTAGTCTCTCTTTTAAGATTTAGAATTCACAATCTTTTTGTGTTAATTAAATTTATAAAAGCTCTCTTTATTCTTATAATCTTTATCGATCTTCTTTCAAAATCTTGACTTCACCTTCATAAGTCAATTTAATTCTGTCAATTTAGGCTTAATTTTATTCTTTGCAATCATACATAGCCTTATTATATATTTTATCTCTTTCTATCTCTACTCTTGCTTCATAAATATCATCTAATTTTTCCTTTAAATCCATGAATTTTTAATTAATATCCTTTAAAGTTAAATTAAAAGTCTGCTAAGATTATAATTACTGATTCTTTAATTCCTTTTTCATAAATAAATCAGGATTTTCAAACAATTCCCCTTTTCTAAATTCAATTCCACCAGAGTTATCCAATTCTAATAGTTTCTTTTCGTACATAATCCTTTCCTCTTGTAAAGTTATTTTAACTTAATCCAATTGTTTATGTAAATTCTCTTTCTCGTTTTTTAGTATCTCTTATAAAGTATTGATTTGGCTTTTCAAAACATTAACTTCCTGTTTATAATCTTCTTCTTTTCTCTAAAAATTCATTTGCATAGTATTAGCCACTTTTTCAATAATTTGCATAACCAACTCCAGAAATTGGACATAGCATTCGTAATTCGAAGGTGGTTTTGCTTCTTAAAAGTAAATCTAAATTCATAATTTTATTTTTCATTACTTTTTTGATATTGTTAACTTAGGCAATGATGTGCTACACATTAACCAATTTCCCCTATTCAGAAAGCTAATTTAAGATGTCATACATTTTACTATGGTATAACAAATAAAATACTTTGAAATCACTTAGTTTGTTCTCTTGGATTTGATGTAGTTTTCTTAGAATAATACTTGAGACTTCTCAGTTATTGATTTACTCAATTAGACAATTCCTTCAATCTACCTATCAGGAGCTATGTGATAATGCAAAATTGACTCTTGTGCTTTTGTACTAACCTAATGCAAATTAGAAAATAGTAATTCATAAGTCGTAGGAAGTGAGATATCAGATGATAAAATCTCTTTTGCTTTTTCCATCATTTTATTGAACTCCTTTGATAGAATCCTATCCCAAACATTCTCAATATTGGGCACACTCCCATTATTTATTGTAGTAACATATTGGGTGACTAATTCAATTAGTCTTTTTCCATTCAGAGGAGTATTCTTGTACATTTTTGGTTGAATATCCAGCAAAGTATTCTGGATAAGTTAGTTTAATTAGATTTTAAACTCGTATCTTAATTCAGAGTAAGCCACTTTATCTAGCTCTCTTAATTGCCTTTCATCTGCCACCGGTCTAACTAAAGTGTAGCAATTTCTTCGTTTGAAATATTTGGTNTGTCCATTATGTAATTAAAAATTAAGTGAGTAAATTCTAAAGATAAATATTGTCAATTAGATATATTTAGATTCAAACATGCTTTCATACATGTTTAAGGATATGTCTTATAGTAATGGAACATAGATTTTTGATTATAAAGGAGAATAATATATGTTTTAAGAATTTTTGGATAGATAAAAGATCAAACGAGAGAATTATGTTGCAGAGTTACGGGAAAGATAGGTTTTATTTAAACAACTTTTTTGTATAATTAATCCAAATTAGAGAATTAAATAGCCTTTAATTCTCTAAAAATGTCCAGATAGAAAAATTGTTGATTTTGCATCATTTTATGAAGAATTAAAGAAAATAAATTTTGATTACGAAAATTAATATCTAATATTATGTAGATGTAACTATTGTAATAAAAATCCGATTAAGACTTTTGTAGGAAACATCTATTTTCACGAAGCCTTTTATGAAGCTCTAAATAAATTTTATGAAATTAAGGAAATAGAAAATGATAATGAATTCTCTTATTAGTTTGAGGATACTAGAGAAAATAGTTATGTTATCAAAAATCAATAGCAATAGCAATAGAAAATCAAAATAATAATGCGATGATTAATTAAATTTTATTTTGATAAGCATATATATCGATATTTCAAATTTGTAATAAATAATTCAATAGCCAAATTAAATAAAAATAAATGACAAATCATAGTTTTTTTTTCTCTAATTTTTTTAATGCTTTAACTAGCTAATCACTTATTTTACATAGCATGTCTGCATGTTCAATATCTTTTGTCTTTTGTTTTTCAATTTATTTTAGTCTCTCTTTTAAGATTTAGAATTCACAATCTTTTTGTGTTAATTAAATTTATAAAAGCTCTCTTTATTCTTATAATCTTTATCGATCTTCTTTCAAAATCTTGACTTCACCTTCATAAGTCAATTTAATTCTGTCAATTTAGGCTTAATTTTATTCTTTGCAATCATACATAGCCTTATTATATATTTTATCTCTTTCTATCTCTACTCTTGCTTCATAAATATCATCTAATTTTTCCTTTAAATCCATGAATTTTTAATTAATATCCTTTAAAGTTAAATTAAAAGTCTGCTAAGATTATAATTACTGATTCTTTAATTCCTTTTTCATAAATAAATCAGGATTTTCAAACAATTCCCCTTTTCTAAATTCAATTCCACCAGAGTTATCCAATTCTAATAGTTTCTTTTCGTACATAATCCTTTCCTCTTGTAAAGTTATTTTAACTTAATCCAATTGTTTATGTAAATTCTCTTTCTCGTTTTTTAGTATCTCTTATAAAGTATTGATTTGGCTTTTCAAAACATTAACTTCCTGTTTATAATCTTCTTCTTTTCTCTAAAAATTCATTTGCATAGTATTAGCCACTTTTTCAATAATTTGCATAACCAACTCCAGAAATTGGACATAGCATTCGTAATTCGAAGGTGGTTTTGCTTCTTAAAAGTAAATCTAAATTCATAATTTTATTTTTCATTACTTTTTTGATATTGTTAACTTAGGCAATGATGTGCTACACATTAACCAATTTCCCCTATTCAGAAAGCTAATTTAAGATGTCATACATTTTACTATGGTATAACAAATAAAATACTTTGAAATCACTTAGTTTGTTCTCTTGGATTTGATGTAGTTTTCTTAGAATAATACTTGAGACTTCTCAGTTATTGATTTACTCAATTAGACAATTCCTTCAATCTACCTATCAGGAGCTATGTGATAATGCAAAATTGACTCTTGTGCTTTTGTACTAACCTAATGCAAATTAGAAAATAGTAATTCATAAGTCGTAGGAAGTGAGATATCAGATGATAAAATCTCTTTTGCTTTTTCCATCATTTTATTGAACTCCTTTGATAGAATCCTATCCCAAACATTCTCAATATTGGGCACACTCCCATTATTTATTGTAGTAACATATTGGGTGACTAATTCAATTAGTCTTTTTCCATTCAGAGGAGTATTCTTGTACATTTTTGGTTGAATATCCAGCAAAGTATTCTGGATAAGTTAGTTTAATTAGATTTTAAACTCGTATCTTAATTCAGAGTAAGCCACTTTATCTAGCTCTCTTAATTGCCTTTCATCTGCCACCGGTCTAACTAAAGTGTAGCAATTTCTTCGTTTGAAATATTTGGTTATAGCCTATCTTATTTAATTCCTTTGCTTAAATTCATCAGCAAAACCCTGTTATTCATCAAGACATTCCTCCAAGTAAGTGTTTGGAGTCGATCCTTACAAATCAAGGCCAAAATCTCTAATTACCCAAGTGAGTGAAGGGAGATATTGAGTAATAAATTCATCATCTCCCAATAGATGCTTACTAATATTAGTGGTGAAGGAAAGTGTTTCCAGAGATTTCTCATCGATGACTTACATTACATTGTAAAGCAAATTAGAACTAATCAAGCAAGCGAGAACAAGCAACCTAGCATCATTATTTTAGTCTCTTTCATAGGAATCTGTAATTTACTGTAAAAATATTACTCAATCCTTCTGTATCTAGAAGAAGAATTGTAAGATTGTCTGATTCGACTCTTTTGCCCCAAATCCAGATTCCTTTCGTGCAAGGATTGGTGCTTGATCCTAAAGTGAACCCAGTTTACTATCCAGCAAATCTATTTAGTAAATAAGACTTTCCTGTCCTATATTAACCCACAATTGAAATTATGGCGATATTAGTTTCAATAGCTTAGATGAATTGAACAGCCTTCTTAGACATCAGAAATTTCCCATCCTCATCAATATCGATAAACAATATTGGTTAAGCCAACTCCTATTACATTCAAAAATATTTTATATTTATTATATAATGTATTTAATCAATTCAATAGTTTTAATTAAGTTTTACTTATTTACTGATTAGCCTTCTCAATCTAATTAAATTACAATATACTTCTATAAGACTTTTCTGAGAATTAGAATTCCAATCATTAACAAGTAATTTGATATTCTTGATTGCACTCCATTTGATTTAAGATATGATATCTAAATTGATATAAATTACACATTCCTTATTTTTATTAGATTTCTTATTTAACCTTACTCAAATAACATAACAAATTATCTACTATTTGATCTTTATTGCAACTCAAATGAACGATAATACAGCCTAGATTAGATCAAAGATATATTATTTAGACAAATTGTATTTACTAATGTTTATAAATAAATTAAATGAAAGCATTAAATTTTTTATAGGAAAAAGCTGAGCAAGAAGGCACTGGTTTCATTCCTTTTAAAGATGAACGAGACGAGCTAGGAAATCTCAAGGGTTTGACAAAAAGAAGTTTCTCAAGAGCAAATAAAAAAAAAAGCGAACATATTTTTGATAGAACTACATCAAATACTTCCAAAACATCTTCAATGTAATATATCATTATTTATATATGATAGAAATAAAAAAGTGAGATTTCTTAAAGAGATTTACTCAACTCATGGAAATTCTGATTGGTGTAGCTTAACTAATTTACGTAAGCTAGATAAAAAATTTTAATTAAATATTGAAACAGAGATCTAAGTTTAAAAACCACTCACAGGATTAAACTAAAAGTTGTAATTTAATGATGGAATTGTAAGAAAGTTTACAACTAACATTTGTAATTCACCAAGACTTGGAAAAAAATAGAAAACAGAAAACTATATTCCTCCATTGGGATATTATCAACCCTAAGACATCTTGAAAAGACAACCCATGCTCGTTTTTATGGATTAATAAATTTCAAATAGCAATAGATTATCCCAGCACAAATTCAGTAGAACCGAAGCCTCCACAGCCTAACCTGGTATTAGGCAAAAACTTTCGCCTAATAAAGGATCACCAGTTCCGTAAGAGATTTTAGAGAAAGCTTTCAAAACAGAGAGAATCATTACTTAATAAAAATATAAATATGTACCTTAAATGATAGATGAAAAAAATCTCGAAAACCTAACAGCTAGAATAAATTGTATCAGATAGAAAATCTTGCATTAAAAAATTAACAGTATATCGAATCAATGATTCTCATGCTTATTTTTTATTAAAATGATTATCTTTTGATTCTAAATTATCTCTTAACAGATATAAGGGCTATTATTGTTATATTCCCTTCAATTTTATGGTCATTTATTTTCAAGTGCAGTAAATAGAAAATGATATTTTCTTATTATTTTCAATATATAAAATAAAAGTAAAAAAATAAGGAAAGTTAAATTTATCGTTTGTGTTCTTGTCCTCTTTTGTATTTTATTAGAAATGTAATCATTGATATTCTAATAAAAGCAAAAGTAAGGTAGGATAATAATATTTGGCCTGTGAACCAGTATTATCAATAAATTAAATGAATATAAATACAAATGCTAATTACAATTATTATTTTCATTTAATTTTATTTTGCATTATTCATTGTTCTTTTTGATTTGAATATTTTAAAATGTTGTCATCCAAAGATATTTGCTATCTAGTGGAATATACTCTGAAAGAAAATAAGAGAAGATAGTTATCCTTTGAAACTAAGAAGCTTTTAACAATAAATGAATTACTAATTTTTACATTAATAATAACAACAAGGAAGTTAACTGATATCTTTTAAGTAGCATTTTCTTATAAAATAGAAGTAGTAATTAAAAATGAAATCTGCGAAACCAAACAAACATATTGAATTTTAATTTATTATTTTACTAAACAAATAATTTTTACTTTCTAAAATTCTAAACTGTTCTCTAAGACTTGGATATTGACATGAGCTATGTGAATGCTTTACTATTTTCTTATAATTGCAAATTTTAGCTGAAAAAATCTAAAATTAACATAGTTTTTCAAATCAATATATGTAAGGATTAATTTATAATTCTAATATATAATTATAAAAAAGAGTTTATTTAATAATTTTCATAAGACTCATAGCAATATTAAAAGCAATTAACCTTCCTGCATGATGTATCTTGATCTGTTGTAGAATTATGGTTACTTTCTAAAACAATAATTAAAGAAATAGGGAATTAATTAATTTCTGAAATATTTTACTAACAAATAATATTAGCTTGATTTAGTTTTTTAATTATATTTTACCATTAAAGAAGGTTGTAAGTCATCTCAATGGGGATTTTTGCTTAAAGAAGATGATTTTAGGGTTTAATTATAAATCTTACAACAAGAAACAACCAGAAGGTCACAGAGAATCACATAAAGATTAGAATATATTTAATTATTATTTTGTTCTGGAACATTTAAATTTCCTTATTTGATATGATAAATAGTTCAGATACACCACAATATTTATCTATAAATTTGAATTCTAAGTGGTCCTTAGATTTATTATTATTATTTAGATAATAAATCAGAATGCCTTATATTTCTCAAATAAGAGATTTAATAATTAGGGAAAAAGTATCTGTATTTTTAAATTTCTTAGTCTAAACCAATAAATAAGTTGAATGAATTTTACTTGAGTGATTCGTAAGGCATATGTAGAAGAGATATTCTCGTTTAATGGATTGTGGCAGTATCTATATTCACATATAATTAGTAATCTTCTCAATTCAGACATTCTCTAAAAACCATCGAACTTGCAGTCATATACATTGATACTTATCTTAATTGTTTTAATATAACCTAATAATATCTATAGTTATTGGGAATTTCAGCCTATTCTTTAGCATCTAAAGTAAAAATGAAAATAACATGTAGTTTAATGAAACAGAAATGATGTCGTAGATTAAACTGTACGATTCGGATGGCTAGAATCTGTATTAGAATGGAGAGTATGATGAAATGGAAGAGTAAATAATTAAAGTTATGGGATTTCAGCTAAATTACATTACTTCATCAGATTATTTATTGGCAATGAATATAGAAATAAATGAAAATATCTAAAGTTTATTACTGTTCATTCTGCTAGGTATTCATTTAAAACTATTGCAGATTTTGACATTTACAAACATTCTCACATCGAACTTGCTTTAGCCATAGTTGCTTATAGCCAAGAACAGAAAATCTAATTTACAAATAAAATTCTTCAGCTATCCTAGTTCATACATAATAAAATACTACGAGCTTAAGAAATTGAAATAGATAAAGAATAAAAAGAAGATTCTGAAAGTAAAATACGAAATAAACAAATAAACAAAAAGATTACTAAAAACAAAGGCATGAATCACTAGAAAGCTCCAAAACAATCAGTTTGAAGTTCTAGAAGATAAATTTCGTTTCAATTGATCAAAGGATCTAAATAATGAACAAAAATTATGTTTTTGTTATTATTTAAACAACTTTAAACACTTTTCTTTCATAAATCTAAAAATAACTAAACCATTGTTTTTAGTATAGTCTAAATTCTTTATTAGAGTTACCACAAAATAGTCGATTCTCAAAATCACGACGCCTCTTTAATAAAAAAGTTTTTTTATTTTAAAAGAAACTGGCTTTTTGCTTTGTATAGAGCACAAAATGTACTGCATTTAATCGATGAAATATTTTAATGCATCAGCTAGGAAAATGGAGTAAATTTGAATAGAAATTAGCTAAATGATGCTTTATTGGATTTACTTATTTTTAAAGAAATATGATAAAAATTGCAACCAGTTATTTTGCTAGTAAAGAATATCCTTATATGAAAGGTTTTTGAATTGGATCAAGTAGAAAAGAGAATACTTATTTGTTTTATATGGCTGACACAAAATCAAAGAAATTAAATAACAATAATTAAGTATCAATTCTTTTCACTCGAATTATTAGAGTGAAATGAAGTATTGTTGATTTTTTCATAGAGACTAGCCTCTAATCTGCTGAATTCCTTTTTTGTATCACCTAACATATTCTCTAAAGTATGCAATTAACTAATAAGGAACATCATTTTTTGATCTATTTTTCCATCTTAAACCATCTAATTTTCAGTTTCATTTTTACCTTCATTTACATTAGCTCTAAAAGTTATTTAACAATAATACCCTAATTGAGTAATTCCAATTTAACCTAGATGATTAAATTTTTATAGAAATGTATTCATAACCATTTATTTTTGTTCATCTTCCTCCTCTTTGACTTTTACACTCTTTGCAATTTGCCGTTTAGTTTTTTTTTTACTTTCTTGTAACTATTATTATTGTTATTGTTATTGTTATTGTTATTATTATTGTTATTGCTATTATTATTGTTATTATTATTATTATTGTTATTATTATTGTTATTGCTATTGTTATTGTTATTATTATTGTTATTAGATTTTATTGTCATCAGAAGATAGAATCATTTGCCATTTGGCTTATTTGGGATCACCCATTTCCACATAGAATTTCTTCATTACTTCATTTAACTGTTAATTAAAGAATGCCAATAATTTTTCTTGAAACTCATTCATTTTATCAGAATCCCCATTTTGGGATTGAGCATCTATTTTTTATTGAGAAAAATTCGCTAATTATTATTCAAGATTTTATTAGAAATCTAATTCCTTTTCTTCAGATGAATTTTTGTAATCATCCTTTTTTAGTATCATTTTCCTAAGGTTCTCTACCTTATCAGACAATTTTTTATCTTTTTTCTTTTGATTGTACCTTTTTTTATATTTTTTATAAATGGTAGAATAATCCTTCATGCATGAAGTACGTTTAATAGGTCCTCCTTATTGTTTTAATAACCTATAAAGTAGATTTTATTCTTAATATGTTTCTGCCTGCATTTTCTTTCTTGATTTACTATCATCATCATCCTCAGATTTAATTTCAGATTCTTCAACTTTCTCCTCTTGCATAGATTTATCTGACTCAGGTTCCTCCTATTCCATTTACATTTACATTTGCTGCTCGTATTTTTATAGATGCTCTTTTACAAAGGTCTATAAAGCTGAAGTGCCATTTTCTCCTTGTGCTTCAAGCATCTAAAGTAAATAAAATGGGTATTTACCTTAAGTGATATCCCATTTTTTTCTTAATCAGCCAATAATTTTCTAACTGTAGAATAAAACCTGTTCTTCACCGAATTTTCAGTTCTGCCTGATAAGTTCTTCGCAATTTTTGACCAAGATGACGAATACTGTAGATACCCTTTAAATATCTCATGATCCTCCTCTAAGAATAGTGATTAGATATAAACCAGATGTCCACCCTCCTTTTTTAACATTAGGATTGAGATTATTGAACCATCGTTCTCTGCATTGCTTTCCAGACCTTCCTGCAATATTTTCAGCGCACAATGACCACTTACAAGGCCCATTATTCTTAACCCATTCTAATAGCTTTTCATCCTCGTCATCTTACCAAGGCCCTAAATCATAACGACGCCATAAGTACCTTTCTTCAGTCCCGGTTTGAGTATTTTCGTCCATCTGTGCAGACATTGTATGGCACTCCTACCTTCCATCATGTCACTTATGATTCGCCAACTCTTTTCTCCGTATTCTACAAATAAATTTCATTAGAAAACCTTCAATCAATTTTTAAAGCTTCTCATCCTCTTCAGGCGTCCATCTGCCCACCTTTTTTTTATCATTTTCATAATCAGCGATCGGAGACTGTTGATTAAGTTTGCGTTTGTCGCTCTTTCTTTTCGATTTGCCTTCATACATATCTACCTCATATTTTATTATTTAACCTCTCGACATCTATTGTTTTTTTTGTTTAGTTTTCGTTTTTATTTAATTTATCCGTTTTTCACATTATTCTAAAACGATTAGAGGCGCTTCCAATTAGACGTCATATCATAGTTCTTATTTTATATATAAATAAGTAGATAATCAATTGATAGAAAAAGTTATTTATCAAACACTTTTTTTTCTTTATTTGATATTAACTTACTTTAATAATTAAAAATCTCACAAAAAGTGAATAAGTTTTAGATCTAGTATTACTACTTTTATCTATTCTAAAGAACTAATAATATATATCATCAAATAACATAATATTTTGAGTCATGAAGCCATTTTAGTTTGAATTTGATTTTTACAATATATATTTATAAATAAAAGATATTTCATCTATTTATGGGGTATCTAGGTTGAAAATAAGAATAAGATCAAGAGGAAATAACTTATTTCTAGGAAGAAGAATTATCATACATTTTAGGATTTTAAATTCATGGCAATTTTTATTTTTTTTTTTATTTTTCTGATACAAGAGTTTTGGAATATAATACTAATTTATTTAGATTGTATAATCTATATTAAGGATTAACTTAAGCTTAAAATTTATTAATTATGAAATAGGTAATTACTTTTATACTTAACATATAGTTTTACTTAAAATTATAATTATAATTACTTTTTAGCTGTCTTTAAACTTCACTCTTAATTTTTCACTATCATATCACTATTATATTTAAATTATCTTATTAAGTAATTATCCAAATTATATGGAAATATTAAATATAAAATTCAAAATAATTAGGATAACTATGAATTAGAGACTAGCTTATAAAAATTGATAATAACCAAATAATAGAAAGGATATTAAACAACAATAAATTTCATAGCTCTCCATTCTTAAATAATGAGCGATAGAATGTTAAGACCAAATTAAATAAATAGATTTTATTCTATTTAAAGTGCGAATAACTAATTTTCAAGTATATACTACAGAATGTCATCAAGAATTACAACGATAATTGATAGACCCTGTTTTGGATTATTTATTTTAGTATTGTTAAAATGGTATAGTAAGCATAGGTGATAGTTATGAGTTAGTCGAACAACAGTTGAAAATTGTTTAATTGAGTTATTACTTAAAATTAATTAAATAATGGGTAATTGTAACATTACTGACAAAAAAGAGTTTTCAGAATCTTAAAGTACTTAGATTGATATATCATAGCTCTTTCTGTCAATAATTTTGAGTTTATCGAGGTTTTAGGAAAAGGGGGATTTGGAAAGGTGTGGAAAGTGAAGAGAAGAAAAAACAAAAGTTATTTTGCATTGAAGATGATGTCGAAGGCAAAGTATGTTACATTATGACTCTTAGAATTATTGCGAAGAAAAGTGTAACTTCGGTTATGAATGAAAGAGCACTTTTGTGTCAACTGAGACATCCATCATTAATAAACCTAGTTGGTGCATTTCAAGACAGGGAGAATTTATACTTAGTTATGGATTTATTAAGTGGAGGAGATCTTAGATATCACATTGGAAAGAATAAAAAGTTTTCAGAAGGAGAAACGAGTAACATCAGTTTTAATTTAGAATTTTTTTGTGCTTGCATCATAATTGCCTTAGAGTATCTCCACTCATAAGGGATAATCCATCGGGATTTGAAACCTGAAAATTTAGTATTTGATTCAGAAGGCTATCTACGATTGACTGACTTGGGCATAGCAAGAATATGGAGGCCAGATAATTCTGCTGATACCAGTGGAACTCCTGGATATATGGCTCCGGAAGTGTTATGCAGACAGAATCATGGAATTGCAGTGGATTATTTCGCGTTGGGAGTAATTGTTTACGAATGCATGATGGGAAGAAGACCATATGTTGGAAGAACAAGACAAGAGATAAGAGACAATGTGTTGGCGAAACAGGTTTAGATTAAAAAAAATGAAGTTCCAATCACATGGTCTTTAGAAGCAGCGGATTTTGCAAATTAAGTAAGCTTTAAAACTATGAACTCAGTTAATTCAGAGAAAGCCAGCTCAAAGATTAGGGTCTGACAATCCTGAAGCAGTGAAAAATCATAAGTGGTTTGATGGATTCGAATGGAATAAATTACTTAATAGATAATTATAGCCACCTTACTTACCACAGAATTATAGCAACTCAGATGGGTCAACTAAGGATACAGAGTAGGATACTAAGGAAAACAATATTATGCTTAGGCGTAATTCGATTCAAGGTATTCATTTAAGATCTATGAAGCATAATTCGAGGGATATAGTCATGATCAAAATGAACTTATTTCTGCTGAACTAACAAAATTATGATTCTATATATCATTAACTTATTGCTTATAAAATATCACATCTTGTTATTGAACTTTTTTATTCATTTAGATCTAAATGATGATTTCCTTCAAGTTGAAAGGTTTAAACTTGAAACTTAAAAATTGTAATAATTAAGTGTGTGTACAAAAAATAAATTAAACTCATATTTAATTAATTTGATATTCCCTAAAACATTTCTTGATAAAATTTACAGCCTATTCATTGTTGTAATTTTTGCTAATCACAAAGTTGTAGAGGTCTTAAACTAAAATTTATTAGGCTGGATGGTTTTTGGGCAATTTTACTTTCATTTCAAGGCATTTAGAATAGAAATTCCTTTTGAACTCCAGAGATTATTTTGGATTATTTTCAGTTTAAAATTTTCTGTAATCATAGATTGAATTGGTATTCTCACTCATGTTTTATTCAGTCTTTAATCGAGCTGTGCTGTTTTAAGATAAGGAATTGTATGTGATTTGCTTACGTTTATGTTATAATTCTAACTTTTCTTTTAATAGAGATTCTAATCTTGTTAGCATCATTATAACACTCATAGATTGCGGAGAGTAAGAAAGTAAGACTTTTACTTCGCTTTCCATATCTTCAAGTTTTTTTACACTTAACATATTATAGCATTTTATGCCTTCTATCTGTTTACAAAGTTCTTAAATTCTAATTAAATACTTTGACTTTTCAGAACCTTGTTCACATTTTTCCATACCATTCTAAGCTACTTAATTTATATGCTCCAATTAAAACGAAATATTATCAGAATAGCATTCAATATTTCTTTTATTTTCCATGCAACTAAGACAGTGAGAGTCTATTTCATTTATTGGAATGAAACTAAAGCATCGTACACAAAATCCCATCTATTCTGAAGGCTGCTATAATCGTCTATTAAATTTTAAAGTTTTATTCATTTTCAGATTTTATTAATCCCACCATAATGTATTNTTAAAAAAAATGAAGTTCCAATCACATGGTCTTTAGAAGCAGCGGATTTTGCAAATTAAGTAAGCTTTAAAACTATGAACTCAGTTAATTCAGAGAAAGCCAGCTCAAAGATTAGGGTCTGACAATCCTGAAGCAGTGAAAAATCATAAGTGGTTTGATGGATTCGAATGGAATAAATTACTTAATAGATAATTATAGCCACCTTACTTACCACAGAATTATAGCAACTCAGATGGGTCAACTAAGGATACAGAGTAGGATACTAAGGAAAACAATATTATGCTTAGGCGTAATTCGATTCAAGGTATTCATTTAAGATCTATGAAGCATAATTCGAGGGATATAGTCATGATCAAAATGAACTTATTTCTGCTGAACTAACAAAATTATGATTCTATATATCATTAACTTATTGCTTATAAAATATCACATCTTGTTATTGAACTTTTTTATTCATTTAGATCTAAATGATGATTTCCTTCAAGTTGAAAGGTTTAAACTTGAAACTTAAAAATTGTAATAATTAAGTGTGTGTACAAAAAATAAATTAAACTCATATTTAATTAATTTGATATTCCCTAAAACATTTCTTGATAAAATTTACAGCCTATTCATTGTTGTAATTTTTGCTAATCACAAAGTTGTAGAGGTCTTAAACTAAAATTTATTAGGCTGGATGGTTTTTGGGCAATTTTACTTTCATTTCAAGGCATTTAGAATAGAAATTCCTTTTGAACTCCAGAGATTATTTTGGATTATTTTCAGTTTAAAATTTTCTGTAATCATAGATTGAATTGGTATTCTCACTCATGTTTTATTCAGTCTTTAATCGAGCTGTGCTGTTTTAAGATAAGGAATTGTATGTGATTTGCTTACGTTTATGTTATAATTCTAACTTTTCTTTTAATAGAGATTCTAATCTTGTTAGCATCATTATAACACTCATAGATTGCGGAGAGTAAGAAAGTAAGACTTTTACTTCGCTTTCCATATCTTCAAGTTTTTTTACACTTAACATATTATAGCATTTTATGCCTTCTATCTGTTTACAAAGTTCTTAAATTCTAATTAAATACTTTGACTTTTCAGAACCTTGTTCACATTTTTCCATACCATTCTAAGCTACTTAATTTATATGCTCCAATTAAAACGAAATATTATCAGAATAGCATTCAATATTTCTTTTATTTTCCATGCAACTAAGACAGTGAGAGTCTATTTCATTTATTGGAATGAAACTAAAGCATCGTACACAAAATCCCATCTATTCTGAAGGCTGCTATAATCGTCTATTAAATTTTAAAGTTTTATTCATTTTCAGATTTTATTAATCCCACCATAATGTATTAATTATGTGGATTTCTTCAAAATGTATAATAACATAACAGTCATATTAAATAAAAAACAAATTTCTAAGTTCATCTTTTTGGGCTTTTATTGATTTTCAACTAAGTACATCTAAATAAAACTATATTTAGAATTGCGCAACTTCAACAATGTAAAAGAATTCTTGTTTTTAACCTTTACATGGCAAACATAAGAAAGATGAAAAATTTATATCTAATTTATGGGAATTCGTTAATAAATTTAATTAAAATTTTGTATTATAATTTAAAGATTACTGGATTTCTAAATTTAATGTCCAATATCAATATGGTTATTGAATATAAGAAGAAATTTGAAGCAGTAAATTTTTTTATTGGCAACTCATCTTTACCTTGAGAAAAGTCAGGACAACATTTAATTAAATACATATACATTAATCTTAAAAATGAATTATTTTTCAAAGAGTAAAACTTTTGATCTGGTTGTCCTAACCTTCGAATCCTATAATATAATTTGGTTGTTTCACACTAATCTAAAAGTACTCTTCTGTCTCTGTGATGTTACTAACCTCTGATATGAACAGTAAGCCAGTATCACTAAAAATTAGATATCAATTACATAATGAATTCTCTTAACGTCTATGGGATTGAGGCTAATTAAACTCTATATAATTTTTATTTGATTGATGTATCTATGCTAGTGTTTGATAAAGAGTCATCTGAAATGTTTGAAACCTAGATGTTCTTCAATATTAATGGAACATAAACATCATTTTAAGCTGGTATGAATATGCTCTATTTGCCAATTTAAATGCTTGACAAATCAAATTAAAATTAAGGATCAGATAATTTGAGTTTTTATTGAACTTCAATAATATTGTCAGATTTCTATTTTTAATTTAAATATTCAATTTAACCCTTTAAAGATTAAAGTTATATTGTCATCTCTAAATTCTCCTAAGTTAAACAGTTAATTTTATCCTCATATTGTAATTAAATTTAATTAAAATCATCCTGTTATTTCAATAATTGTAATTAGTCTTGATTTTTCAATGAAATTATTTCATTATTCTTTTATTAAAGAGCTAAATCCAAATTGTCTATTTTATTTTAAAGTGACCTGCAAACCTCTTCTAATTTTTAGTCCTTTTGGACTTTTTTTTCTTATTCTTCACTCAAATTTTCCAATCTCGAATTCTTTTCTATATAATCTTCTAACAATTCATTATAGACTTGAATCTATTTTTCCAATTCTATTGATTTATTATCTCTTTCCAATTCCACCATCTTTATTTTCTATCTCATTTTTTCATTTTCATTTTATACTGTCTCTACCTAAGAGTAATAATCCTACACTTATTTTAAGTATTATTTATTCAATAAATCCAATTCATTGATTTAATCATTCTGATTCTCATATTATTATTAGATTGATTATTTATGCTTGAGTAAATCTTGTTAAATTTACTTTGATTACGTTAATTAATCATTGAGTTATTTTTACAATTATTGTAATTTAGATATTTCACTATTCTTCTATATTAGATTAATTTCCAAGTTCTCACATTTACTGACAAATTTATTTAAATCATCTTTTAATTTAACTGTGTTATTTTATACAAATTCTAATTTTTACTAAAGTTCTGCAATTAAACTATTTTTGGTATCAATTTCCACTAATTTTGATTCAAAATCTTATTCCTGCTTTTAAAGTTTAATCTTCAACTTCTCATATTCTTGTCTTTAATTATTTATTTATTCGCTAAATTCATTTTTTAAGTTTATAAGTTTTGAATCATTTTCTCTTTAAGATTTATCTGTATTAACATCTATTGATGATAATGGTTTGTTTTCCGCTCTTTAAATAAACATTTTCATAGAATTCTTTGCTGTCAATTAGAGTAATTCAATATATGTAGAAGACTTTTTAGTTGTTTTCTCTTAATAGAATAGATGAGTTTGTTTACATTGCTGATTTAAATCCTCTATTTATTATTTCAATTAATCAAAATCATTTTCCTATCGTTTCTTAAAAGTATCTGTGTGCAAACCAGTTATATTTGGTAATTCAGCATCTACAAAAGCATTTATGATTTGAATTGATGGAGTCAAATTTTTTAATTGTCCAATAAAATCTTAAGGCAAAATTCTACCATATTATTATAAAAATTTCTTCCTTTTATCCTTTTCTTGATCTATCAAGGACATTAAAGATTTAATTTTCTTATCAAAAATATCTCTAAATTCTTTCCTTCTACTAGTTTCTATTAATGCCTATTAATAAGCCTATGGCAACAAAACAGGATTTAAAAGGTATGAAAAATCTTTCTCCATTTTCTCCACCTCTTCATCATATTGTTTGATTTTTTCATTGTGTTATTCAAATTCCTTGTCGAGAGCTCTTAAGTTTTAAAAAACTTTCAAAATCTTAGACATATTTTATTATTTTAATTAGTTGAATTACATAAATACTTATTTAGCTAAGATTATGTGGAAATAAGATACTTTTCTCTAAATGATCGCCTAAATGAATAACAGCATCTTCAAATTACTTTAATTGCTCTTAAGACAATTCAAACTAAGATAAATAGTACATAGCTGGTTCATCATTAATGTCCTAGGAAAAATCAATCATATATTGTCTTAAGGTATTGTATTCTTATTATATAAATACTTTTTACCATCAATAGTGGATTAGACCACAGATTATAATAGCGATTTATTTTCTTGGATGAATTATTAATATTATTGTTAATTTGCTTTATAACTTGATAAGCATTGAGTCATGTTTTCAGTTTTTTCGTTTTTAATCTTCTATTTTGATTTTGATATAGCTTAGGTCAATTTGTCAATTTTTTATTTTAAATTTTATTAAGTATTTAAACAACTATTTTTCCATTTCAACATGGATTCTGGTTTATAATAGATATCACTTAAATATTTTTATGAATTTGTTTGCAAAGCAGCATGTAATTCTATTTTTTTTAACTACTCCAAACTGTCATCAAATTTTTTCACTGTTTATAGATTTCTTTCTAATGATTCTTTTTATTTTTTTGTCAGCTCCTCTTTCTTTGCCTTTGTTATCTTATATGTAGTCCTACTCATTTTTAATACAATATCAAATGACTATATTTGATTTTCCAAGTCTTGCCCAATCTTTTCTAACTATTTCACTTTTTGTTAATAAGGTATATATTTATTCTTTAAGTTTTGTAAATGCTAAAAAAATATTTTCTCATGATTAAGGATGTTTGTGTTCAAATTTATTAATGTTTCTTTTGCTTATTCTGACAGTAACAACTATTTTAGGTCCATTTTAGGCTCATATTTAGGGAATGGAAACGAAACCTGTTCTGGATTTTCACTTAGATCGAATAAATAAATTGTCTATTCCAATATTATAGAATTTATTACATAAAACTTTTATTCATCTGGAAATTATTAAACAGTTTATTGCAATTATTAATCTATATCAAATTAGTTTAAATCTTCCAGTCTTACTCCTTTTTTAGTAAGAAGTAATTAATTCTTCACTTCTACTTTTGTTTCATTTTAAATTTATTCTTATAGGTATTGTAACCTAAGATATTTGTATTAAATACCGTTTATTTTCAGGTGGTAGAGTCAATAAGAACTAATGACCATCAATACCAATTTTTACGATGAAGTCCATTTTTCTATTTTTTTTTGAATTTGAATTAATTAATTAAAAAGTTGTTATATTACCTATTATCAAAAGGGTTGAGGTAATTAATGAAACCACTTCAAAATTATCCTAAACTATCATAATTAAAAATTAACAATAATGAATTCAAAAAGTGATATTTTTTAAAAGAAACATTCCTTTTCTGTAAAAATTCAATTTATTTCACAATAAAAAATGAAAATAATATGAAATCTTATAATCCGTGTTTATTCCTTAATTACATTATTCTGAAACACTTAAAGATCTTCTCGTATTCAACACCTTAAGTAAATATTATAAAACCAATTTGTTTAATCATGTTTCTCTTTAAGTTGATGCATTAACAATATTTAATGTGTCAAAGTGATTTCCATTAAGGGTCATTTTTGTAATTAATGTAGTTTGAGGATTTGCAAAGGACAATAATTTTATTTGACATAACTAAGATAATTGAATTTATCATATGGTTTTATAAAAAAAAATGGAAAAATAATGTTTAATTTCATAAAAAGAAATAGAAATTTTCTTAACTGATTTTTTCATAAATTAGCATATTTATTTCTTATTTAATAAAATCAATCTTATTAAGTTAAAATTAGATTATATGGAACTAGTGAAAATACTAAATTAGCCATAGCTTCTTCGGGTTTTAAATTTTTCTTAACTACAAGATAGTAAAATGCTCCAAGTGTAACTTCGCTATATTCTTAAAAGAAGTTATGTCTTGAGAAATCGATGTAAAGCTTTTATGTAAATAAGCCATCATCATACAATAAAAAGTTAAGAATTTATGAATTGAATTCTCCATAGTTTTATAGCGTAAATATCTAAATAAATTTAATGAAATGTACCTTTAGAAAATTAAGTTGTGCTACTTTCTGTAGATGAACATACATACAATACTTTTATTATTATTCTTAAATCACAATATCTATTGACAAAAAGGCTTATTTTATAATCTTATTAGATAGGAAGTTTTCATAAAACTGTTAAACTTGCTAAAAACTAATGTATAATATTTACATATTATAAATTTTGAAGTCCTTCTTTTGAGTATAACTCCTCTATAGGTGTAATTGACACAGTTTTATCATTCTTTTGTGCCTAATCTAATATGTCAATAAAGGTAGTTCTAACATCATCCTCATTATCTTGCATTAGTTAGTATAATTCAGTATTTTAATGTAAAGCCCAAAATGCTCTTGCAATTGTGTCATCATTAATAATTATGTCAGTCTAAAGAGTTTATTGCTCGTAAATCAGTGTAAAAACTGTCATCATGTACTTAATATATTTGCCATCTGCTCCAAATGAATCAAGTTTTTTTTTTGATTAAAGTGGAAGAACCACTTGAGAAACTTCAAAATCATCACATGAGAAAAGCTATTGGAATATGCTCAAAAAGTCTAGAAATTCCTCCCCCGTTTAATCATCTTTTGGCTATTCATCGTAATATAATATTAATTATTTTTAAAGGGGATCCTTTTCAACTAAATAAAACGAATATGGGTTATCTTCAAATGGGAAGAAGTTTCTTTATTCACCATAGTTTTGTCTTCCAGTTCTTTCAAAAAATTTCTCCTATATATACTAATCTAATTATGTTATCTCATCTTAAGCTTCTTCTTTATTAATAATTTTTTCAAAAATGAAAAATGCCTATCCTGTTTCATCAAAATCTAAAAAGTAAGCCTCATCTTAAATGATAAAATCTTCAAATAATTAAATTACAAAATCAAAAGAATTAAATTCTTAAATTTTAATTTGCATACTTTTTCCATATTTTGTTCCTTTAGTAAACTTATTTATTTAGGGCAAAATTTCTGGGGTTATAAGAATCTAATCAATCTCCTCTCCTTCATCGCCAGGTTATAGCACATCTCCAGGTTTCTCAATATCATCAATATCGAAATCAAAGCCGCTACCAGGTTTTTTCAAGGGCTATCCATATAGATCAGGTCCTATATTATTTTTCTAAATATACCTCTATATGGTGGTTAGTCATTTTTAAAAGAGTCACTCTCAAAATTATCATCAAGATCATCATCAGGAAAATGAATTGCATAAGGATCTTTCATATTTGGATTTTGTTCTTAAGGGTCAGGATGACTTTCAGGCTTTTTTTAAGGAGGATCAGTTTTTTCGGGGTGTGCTGGTTTTTGGATTTCTTTAGGAGGAGCATCGTTTTTTTTAGGAGGGTCTTTTGGAGGTTCTTGCTTTTTAGGCGGTTCTGGCTTTTAGATTTCTTTAGGAGGAGCATCTTGTTTTTTAGGAGGGTCTTTGGGAGGTTCTTGCTTTTAGGCGGTTCTTACTTTTAGATTTCTTTAGGAGGAGCATCTTGTTTTTTAGGAGGGTCTTTGGGAGGTTCTGGCTTTTTAGGTGGTTCAGGTTTTTAGATTTCTTTAGGAGGAGGATCGGGTGCTTTGGGAGGTTCTTGCTTTTTAGGCGGTTCTGGCTTTTAGATTTCTTTAGGAGGAGCATCGTTTTTTTTAGGAGGGTCTTTGGGAGGTTCTGGCTTTTTAGGTGGTTCTGGCTTTTAGATTTCTTTAGGAGGAGCATCTTGTTTTTTAGGAGGGTCTTTGGGAGGTTCTGGCTTTTTAGGTGGTTCTGGCTTTTAGGTTTCTTTAGGAGGAGGATCGACTTTTTTAGGAGGGTCTTTGGGAGGTTCTGGCTTTTTAGGTGGTTCTGGCTTTTAGATTTCTTTAGGAGGAGGATCGACTTTATTAGGAGGTGCTTTGGGAGGTTCTTGCTTTTTAGGTGGTTCTGGCTTTTAGGTTTCTTTAGGAGGAGCATCGTTTTTTTTAGGGGGGTCTTTGGGAGGTTCTTGCTTTTTAGTCGGTTCTGGTTTTTGGGTTTCTTTAGGAGGAGGATCAGACTTTTTGGGTGGATCTTATTTAGGAGGTTCAGGCTTTTTAGATGGTTCTGGTTTTTAGACATCTTTAGGTGGTTCTAGTTTTATAGGCGGATCCTTAGATGGTTAATGTCTAGGATCTGGTTTTTTTTGCTCCTCTCTCAACTTTGTTGGGCCCAAAATTATATCAACATAATGTTCTGGCGTCTAGCCAATATAGACCCCTCTATTCAAGCTATGAATTTATTCAGCATAGTTGTTATTTATTATTTTTTCATATTTACCTTAATCGGCCTGCGGTTTTGGATAGTTTGCAACTACTTTTTAATAATAAAGTTCATTTGTAATAGAACTACCTTCCATGATTTTACCAGTATTTACAGGTTAAGTTGGTCTCGTTGATTAATTTTCTTTAAAGAGCTCTCGCTATTGCTATTATCTTATCATCAAATCAATCTAATCGTTGACTAATTCAGATCTTCTTTTCATTTCATTTTCTTGTTCTTTTTACATGTGATCTCTAACATGTTGTTACTTTTGAAGTTCTTTTTATACTTATTATAAATAAGGATTTTGTTTGTTTTTAGCAAGTTATTGTTCAACAGATTTATCAGTTTATGACATTTATCCTTAAAACTTAGAGATATCTGAGTTTAATAAATTAGTTAATTCACTATAAAGACTGTCTACGTGTTATTTAATTTAATTTGAGGATGGCGTTCTGCCAGGTGTCATTTTGGTATAATATTATTTTGCCTTATCCAAAGCCTCTTAGAGTTTGGTTTCAATTAAGACTTTTGACTCATCTTTGTGATCCAAGATTTCCTTAAACAAACTGACTGCATCATATTATAGATTGGAAGCTTTATTTGCGAAGAGATTTAATTTTTACAACTATTGTAACTACTGCTCACTTGTCAAGGGAACTTTTCTTAAATCTTCTTCATTGATTCGATCCTCTTAAATTAGATAGTAATTTTCATCTTCCTTTAAAGATTCCCAATCGTTTTACGTTTTTAATAATTTTTTATGAAGTTCCTCTCTTTTCTTCTAATATTCGCTTTTTTCTGTTGTAGCAAATTAGAAATATTCAGGAGCAATTTCTTTAAGTTCCTTATTAATTTAATTATAAAACTCGTTGTAAATGATTCTTCTATCTCTCATACACACAGTTTTACTAACGTAATACAAATCATCAGTGGACATTTAGGGATCTGATCTATCATTGATAATTGAATGAAATCTTGAGGATAAAATAATAGAATTACTTAGACAACACAACATCCTTATTAAAAACAAAGAGTGGACTTGTATTTTCATGTTCTGTAGCATCCTTAATTTATTTCATTGAAATAAGAAACATGGATTCAATCAATTCATCTATTTTTTAAAATTAGGTGAGTTCATTGCTGCAAACCCTCTCCAGTAGATCCTCTAGATTAAATTTAGTGATATTAATGATAAAATGCCATCCTTAATCATACTTCAATAATTCATAGACTCTGAGGATTTGATCAATTTTTTTTATAACTTCTCTATCATATTCTTGTGGAGTTTTTCTGGAAGCAAACTTAGTCACAAGATCGTTTGACATATCTATTAATTTTTATCTAATATGCTGTCGAGTGTCTCCAATTCGGTAATCACCTGGAATTAGTACTTATACTTATTTTCCATCCAATTTGAAAACATGCTAATCAAGGTGATCAAAGAACTTATGCAATCGTTTATCCAATACAAAAAAGAATTTTTTCAAGAAATCATCAATATGAAAACCTAATATATTTCAAAATGCCTTACCATTAACGATCATATGTCCAAAGGTTTGATTTAATTTTTTCATCTAATCTTCGAACTACAATATGTTTTTCCTAATTAAAGGAAAATTCTTTTGTAAATGTCTAACAAGTTCTTAAGGATCAAATATTTTGATGGCTTTATAATTTGGTTTCATTATAATGTCAGGCTCAAACACTTGCTTATACAAAGATTTCGGGTATTCCTTGTGATATCCAACGCAATTAGAAGCTAAATAAGGAGCTATGGCTGTTTTTTGAGGATATTCCTATTCTTATTGCATTTTAAATTATTTATATTATAAGCAGTTAGAGAAAATAATCCCCTTTAGTATTTATTTTTTTAATCCAAAAAGATAATGCAAATTTATATGTTCCTTAACATTGAATGTATTCTTCATTTCTGGATTCCAACTATGTGTAAATAAATGTCATTAAACATATTTCACTTATAATATTTAATACTAAAATAATGTTCAAAATTAAGAATAACGCGTGTGTTCTTAGAGGTTTAAACTATTTTCTTCTGGTGTTGAGAATAAATCTTGTGTTAAGTTTATACAAAATTTATAGAATTTAATTTATTTATATGTAATTTCATTTTATTAGCAATTTGTTAACTTCATAATAAACTTTTTTGTTTGCTTTTAATCTCAGTGTTTCATTATAAGAATACCTACGAGAAGATTAAAGTATGTATATTTCAACATGTATTTTGTTATAAAATTAAATTATATGGATCGTTTAATCTCTGTATATGATTTGCAATGGAACTGTAATTATTACTCCTTGTTATGAATTACAATACTCTAGTTTTTAATATTTATTGATTATCAGTAGTATTTAAAAAGACATATATAAAAAATAGAAAAAATAGCTCAATTGTAATAGTTATAGATAAAATTCGTTTCTATCTATTAAAATACCTTAATGTCTGAAATTAAAAGATATTGATGATGCTGAATTTAGATTATATCTAAGTAATTATCTTAGTACTTTATTTACAAAAATATTTAATTAAATATCAATACTTGATGAACTCTGAATTACACTCTAATAGAGAACTGTTATAAGGAATGAAAAAATCAGATTCAATGAGAAGCTAGAGACAATTAAAATCCTGTCCAGCTTACTTCAAAACATTGCAATTTTCAAAATATCAAAATATTTAGACATCTGAATAAAATTAGTAATTTTCTAAGGCGAACCCCCTAAACGTTTTCATCAGAATAATAAAGTTTATTACATTAATCACACAATCTATATTTCCATAGGATTTTAAATATTTGGATGCCAACATGTTTAAAATAATTGGAGATAAAGCAGCAGATTTTAGCTTTTATGTGAAACATGATTACTTCAAATATATAGTAAATATTATTTAATCATAGAAAGCAGCTCCAGAGTCTAGGCTCTAACACATATTNATGTCTAACAAGTTCTTAAGGATCAAATATTTTGATGGCTTTATAATTTGGTTTCATTATAATGTCAGGCTCAAACACTTGCTTATACAAAGATTTCGGGTATTCCTTGTGATATCCAACGCAATTAGAAGCTAAATAAGGAGCTATGGCTGTTTTTTGAGGATATTCCTATTCTTATTGCATTTTAAATTATTTATATTATAAGCAGTTAGAGAAAATAATCCCCTTTAGTATTTATTTTTTTAATCCAAAAAGATAATGCAAATTTATATGTTCCTTAACATTGAATGTATTCTTCATTTCTGGATTCCAACTATGTGTAAATAAATGTCATTAAACATATTTCACTTATAATATTTAATACTAAAATAATGTTCAAAATTAAGAATAACGCGTGTGTTCTTAGAGGTTTAAACTATTTTCTTCTGGTGTTGAGAATAAATCTTGTGTTAAGTTTATACAAAATTTATAGAATTTAATTTATTTATATGTAATTTCATTTTATTAGCAATTTGTTAACTTCATAATAAACTTTTTTGTTTGCTTTTAATCTCAGTGTTTCATTATAAGAATACCTACGAGAAGATTAAAGTATGTATATTTCAACATGTATTTTGTTATAAAATTAAATTATATGGATCGTTTAATCTCTGTATATGATTTGCAATGGAACTGTAATTATTACTCCTTGTTATGAATTACAATACTCTAGTTTTTAATATTTATTGATTATCAGTAGTATTTAAAAAGACATATATAAAAAATAGAAAAAATAGCTCAATTGTAATAGTTATAGATAAAATTCGTTTCTATCTATTAAAATACCTTAATGTCTGAAATTAAAAGATATTGATGATGCTGAATTTAGATTATATCTAAGTAATTATCTTAGTACTTTATTTACAAAAATATTTAATTAAATATCAATACTTGATGAACTCTGAATTACACTCTAATAGAGAACTGTTATAAGGAATGAAAAAATCAGATTCAATGAGAAGCTAGAGACAATTAAAATCCTGTCCAGCTTACTTCAAAACATTGCAATTTTCAAAATATCAAAATATTTAGACATCTGAATAAAATTAGTAATTTTCTAAGGCGAACCCCCTAAACGTTTTCATCAGAATAATAAAGTTTATTACATTAATCACACAATCTATATTTCCATAGGATTTTAAATATTTGGATGCCAACATGTTTAAAATAATTGGAGATAAAGCAGCAGATTTTAGCTTTTATGTGAAACATGATTACTTCAAATATATAGTAAATATTATTTAATCATAGAAAGCAGCTCCAGAGTCTAGGCTCTAACACATATTATAAATAACTATACTCAAATATTACACTATACAATCATTATTTGAATACTTTTCCCATAGTAAATTCCTTTTTAAGCCCGAATAAACATGTATTCTCATATGGAATGTTTACTTGCTTATAATGATAAACTTTAACTTTTTGTATTGTTCCATTAAATTCTCCTTTGACTTCGATAGCAGAGAGCCAGAAAATTACAAACAAAGCGAGATCTTCTTCCTGATAATTCCCTTTATCAGTTATTTAATAGACATTTTAGTGAAATTAAATAGTTGTTATTATGAGGCAGGCTATTTGGTGACAGACAGACATAAAATAATTAAAAACTTTTATCATTCGAATGAATGCATAATTGATTCAATAATCATAGTGATATCATTAGGTTATTTTTTTGATTCGCAAGGTAACAATCTGTTGTCACTATTTATGATAATAAAAATATTGGATGTTCCAAAAAGAGTAGGATTGATACTGGATAAATTGGAATTGACAACCAATTATTGGGCAGTCTATGATTTAGTCCGATTGATCTATTTGATAATAATTGAAGCACACACATTTTGTTGTTTTCTATATTATGTGGGGAAACAAAATAAGGATGTCTCTTGGATTATCAAAGAAGATTTAGTTGATGCTAATTTTATAACAAGCTACGTAAATAGTAAAATGAATTTAGTTGACCACATTTTATTGGAGTGTAATAACTATGACCACAATTGGATACGGAGACTTTACTCCTTAGAATTTGAATGAAAGAGTATTGATAATATTTGTAGCCATTGTATCTTGTTGTACATTCGGGTTTTTTGTATCATCAATAGGATAAATCATCTATTCAATATAGAAGAAAGAACAACAAATAAGATTAGATTTGAACGATTTGAAAAAATATTTGAGGGTGAGAGGTTTTAACTCAGAATTGCAAATAAAAATTAGAAGATATTTTGAGTACTTATGGAATGATTGCATGGGACAAGATTAATTCGATATGTCTAAATTGTAACAACTATTACCTAGCAATTTGTATACTGTAATAATATACAAATTATTTTAGGAAATGATATTAGATTTAAATCTGAAAAGCATATCAAAGATTCCATTTTTTCATGATAATTTTAGTTCTGATTTTTTGTAGGCTTTGGCTGGTGATTTCGAAGAGGAGAAGCTGACCCCTTGGTAGAGTATTTTTACAAAAGGAGAATAGAGTAAATATCTTTACATCCTTTGTGAAGGGGAAGTCGAGTATTACGTATCTCTTCCAGAAGGTTCTGGCAATTGTGTATCCATTCAGAAAATGGATGGGTAAGATGAAATTTTTGGACAATAAGATTTTTTATTGGACCAAAACTACTCAATAAATTGCAGAACTACAAAGCCATCTAGAATATTAAAAATGCATAGAGATAAGTTTCAATAGATAGCAAAGAAGTTTGGTTATGTATAAAATTTTAATAAGCTTTAGGAAAAATATTGTTAATTAAAAGATTTGGTAAAATTCTCAGGAAGATTTGATGAGTTCCATATTTAATGTATTGGGTGTAATAAATCAACTCACTTACTTTATAATTGCCCAATGCTTACGGGATTTCCAAGTAGAACAAAAACCTTGTTGAAATATAAGAAAAAGTGTTGTTAAGAGAGGAATGCTTTTAAGAGAACCAATTTAGAAAAGAGAATATCTACTCTAAGTGTGGAAGGCAAAATCGCAGATAGTGTGTTATATTATTTGTTGAAAGATCCGAAAATGTCAGAAGAATTCAATTATCAACTTAAAAGGAATATGGCGTCATCTTAAAATGGATATCTTAGAAAATCTTAAAAGAAGATAACCAATATACCAAAAAGAGGAGTGCCGTTGTTTTTAAGTCAAGAATAATTTTCGAAAACAGCAGAAACTAATTTCGAAGAAAATCTAGGATTACAATTCAGTAAAGGCGTATTTTAGTAATAGAAGAAAATGACACCTTTGGATTAAGAACTTAGTCAAGAAGAGAGTTCTAAAATAGTTGCTACAGTGAATAAACAGTTTTTAACAAAGAGAACTTCAAACTTAAGCATTGGTAAAACCAATGAGGTCATTTAAGAGGTGGAAAAGGATTATGATTCGAAGGATGAGAAGACTCTATTGATTGAATCTAAAAGTATGATACACTATATTAAAAAGGAGATTACTAAGAATCTATGGGGAGGTATAAGGATATTTTTGAGTCTTTTGAGATTCAGCGCGATTATGAATTATACATGCCTCACATGAACTTCAAATTAATTTAAGAACTTTTCTAAAGGAGTAGGGAAATAGCTAGTTTCCATAATTTCATCGATGTGAACATTGTGAAAAGAAAATGGAAAAGATCTAAAATAGTCATTGTCTTGGAATCTTGAAATATAAAATAATTTAATGTCTTATTAACCGAAGGGACTCAATGCTATAAGATTATCGTAGATAAATCAGACAATTTTAAAGACGCGCAAAAGTTAAGAACACCCTTGTGACCTTTCTTCTGAATACCAATCAAGAAACAATTCTATCAAACACACCAGAGCTATTACACAGCATAATTAAAGACTTATGAATGAAGATGAAATATAAAAAATGCAAAGACCTTAAACATCCGAAGGAAGCAGACGTAATAGAATCTTAGAAAAGCATGCCTAAAATGGAAATCTGAATTCAAACTTAAAATGTGATATACTAGAATGTGATAATGAAGATGATCATTTGTATTATAGTATTCATAAACAATAGAGATTACCAATAGTAGTCAAATTATCATGTTATTTGCAACTCTAATAACACTAATAGGAGCGCATAACCCAAAGTTCCATTTTAGACTACTCTCGATCAAGATTTTTTAAGTTTGTTTGCAAATGATTGATTAATTAATCTTTATATTATTTTTATATAATTTCTTTATAATGTATTTAAGAGCCCTTTGGAGTCTACCCATACACAATCATGATCCAAATGGATTTTTGAATCTTAAATTCTCTAAATTTGATTATTCTCTAATTATTTCCAGATTCAAGCATTTAAATTTCTGTTATTAGAAATTATTAATTAATTATTAACATCTATTTTTATGAATTCAATTGAAAGAGCTAGGGAATTGTTACAGAGCATTAAATCGAAATCCAGATCTAATTTTGAAAAGGTGGCTTAAATAGAATTTAAATAATAACATTTCTAACAACCCAGTCTAATACAAAGTAAAAGTGAAAATTTGAATTCAATTTTCATTAATGACAAACAATATCCATACTAAAACATCATTCAATAATAAAAGAGATTGGCTAGTCAATTTTAAGACCTAATGAAATAATTATATGATGTGGAATAATTGTTTCGAAATGGTTTAGAGGAAAATTGCTTAGTTTAGGGCTTAATAGGTTTATAGAATCTAGGGACTTATATGATTAAGGAATTTGAAATCTTGAAAAAACTATAAAAACCAAAGTAAAATGCACAAACCACTCCGGTTAATAAAGAATGCATGGAACTCGAAAAAATTTATGATGAAAAGATGAGGATTGAGTTGATTTAGATCTTATTATTTATTAAATAGAAGGTTCAAAGCGAAAAAATTAAACATATGAAGGAAGCGATTTACAATAATGAAATATTGATATATGATTATGGGAACATCAAAAAAATTAATCAAATTAATCAAAAATTATAGATCGATGGTCCCATCATTTAAAACCAATTATAAGATAGACTTATTAATATTAAGTAAATGCTTAAGTAAAAGTATCAATTGCTTTTGAGAGAAAAGTAGTAATTGATTGATAAATCTCAACAACAAGAATTAATATAACATGCATTCACATTGTAGAATTTATAAAAAATCGAACAACGCGCATCAACAGTCAAAAAATTTATAGCTGAAGAATATCAAATATTGAACCAATCGTTACAATAAATCAAACTGATAGGAATAGACTTTATTTATAATTCAATAAATGAAAATAAGAATATAATTGAGTATGAAAAACAATAAACAAAACCTTTGACATATCTTGAATCGAATTCAGAATTAGGATAAATTGTAAAATCTCAAAATAATATTATCGATATTGAAAAACTGATCAAATAAATTAAGACTTGGTGCAAACATTCTAAAATTATTTAATATTACGATGACTGCTCAAGTTATAACTTGATTTAATAATGTTTTGAATAAATAAAAGCCAAGAAGACATTCAAAATAAAAGAACTTGATGAATTGCGACAATTATTTATGTAGATTTAGAAATTATGAAATAATTATATATATTAATCTATTGTTATATAATTAAAATGAATTCATTCACAGATGTTTTCAACGAATTTTCCCAATAACATAATCAATAATTCAAATTGAGAGATTTATTAGCATTCCTGGATTCAAAATGTTAGAATGGATATTTTGATCGTGATGTATTTCAATAGTTAATTGATTAAATACCAGGAGCTTAATCACAATAGCAGTGTACAATTAACTAACTGATTTATGTGATGAAGAAAGCTTATGAAGTCTTAAACGATAAGATAAATAAAGGCTAACAAATTATAGATCAAAGAAATATGTAAATTTTAGATTTGAATTTTCAAAAGCGAACTTAGAGCTTATCAAGACAAATTGAGATAATCTCAAACTAACAGTCTCACTAATACCAATAAATTAAATATAGAAATTCTTGATGCTGACATTTTTTATCAAGGGAGTGGATAATTGTAAGTTAGCGTAGAATGCATGACAACCGTAGTATATACCTGTAATTATTTAATAAATAAATTATTAGAATTATCCAGTAGATAAAAACCTTAATGGAATGAATCCTTTGAATTGTATTTAATCGAAAATATTTAGCAACGCAAATGAATCTGCAATCTTAAAATTCATCTTATTAGATACTGAATTACTACAAAAAAGAGGTCTAGGAGGAGTTGCCAACCTTGACATTAATACATTTAATGATTAAATGCTTCATGACATCCATGTCAATCTTACAGATGAAAGTAACTCTGTTATTAGAGCTAAACTGCATATTAAAGTTTAGTGGATTCATTCAAAAGTACTAATTCTTAATAAAAATCTAGAATAAATATTTAATTGATTTAATCAATGAGAATACAGTCCAAATTAATCTATTAGAGTAGGAATTGAATGATCATGTTATAGATTTGGAAATTATTGCCTAACCTTTTAGATAGGAATTAAAAGTTCCTAATGTAGGTGTTTCAACCTATTAATCATAACCAAATTAATAATAATAGTTACTATATCAATCTTAAAATGGAGCTTAATCCATTGATGAAAGATAAATAGATAGGCTTGTATAAATCTCTTTGTTATTAACGATTCTCTATTTAATAATTGGATTACTTAATAGTATCTACCGAACTATCTATCTGGATGTAAGTTTTAGATTTATAAAAGTACATTGTAATATTTTACTGCTTTCTATTCTATTAAAAAAACTATAGATTGCAATCTTTACTGCATATTAAAATAATAATGGCTATGCTAATTGTCGCCTTGATTCAAGACATAGTCTGGTTGGCTATTTATAGCACTGTATTTATTTGATTCAAAATTAGCCTTATTTAGGAGAATTTAATCCAAATTTTGATCATTTGGAATATGGGATATAAAAGTATTAGGTGATACTAAGTGGGCTGCTTTTATTATGCAAAGTATTTATTTAAATAAAACTCAGATTCTTGTATTAATATTTTATGTTCATATATACTCTACATACCCGGACAAACAAACATAAATTTATGATCAATAATGGTAATCAATTTTTGGATTGAAACAAGTTAGAGAAATCAATGTTTATCGAAATTATTATTGATTATTTATTCAATTTAATTTTTGTAACAAAAAAAATGTATTATGATCAATCTATACAAATTGGATTTTCCATATCTTTTCCATTTTTACCCTCTTGAACACTAGTAGGTTAAGGAGATTTTATTTTTATTATAGGTTTTTCTTTCAATTTTTGTTAAGAAATTTATTACTATTGTTATTGTTATAATTATTATAATTGTTGTTGTTGATGTGCAATAATTGGTGGATTTTGATGACTTAGTGCTTTTTATATTAAAATATTTTAATCCTATTATTTTGAATTTATTAGTTATTGTTGAAATACGCTTCCTTGGAAAGCTTATAATGATTTTAATTACTCTTCACTAAATGCTTTCAAATCTTCATGTTGCTTTTCAGTTTGACCAGGATTTTGCATTATAATCTGATCAGCCAGCATTTTAGGGAATTGAGAACTAGTATTAATCTTAGGCTTCTCTTCAGAAAATTTGTATATATATTTCTTGGTGGCACTCTAATGTAGTTATTATTATTAAGTTTATTAGGGATTTTTGGGATTCTATTCATTGGTTGCATTTATGTTATTAGCAAAGTTTTTTCTAATAAATTCAGAAAATTATTTTTTGATTACTCTAACCATTCTTTCTTTTAATCTATTAGATTTTTGATTTGGTTTATCATTTTCTTAATGGGAAACCTATTGTTATTATTATCTTTATTATTATTATTATTATTATTATTATTATTATTATTATTATTATTATTATTATTATTATTATTCATCTTATTATTGTTATGACTACTTTTATTCTAAATTTTATTCTTCATTTAACTAATCATTGATTTATTTTTCTAAATTCTTTTAAGCAATTTCTTACTGGGATATCTCATCTTACCAAGTTTCGAATTTTTTAAATTTAATGAATTTAGGTTTAGTAATAGTTTATTGGGATAATTGAGATTGTAATGAATTTTATTTTCCCTCTATATTAGATAAATTTGACTCAACAAATTACTTTAATTACGCTTTATTTTAAGAAGAATTGACATTTTCATTTTTATCTTTTTACTGGATTTATTGTTATGATAGTTGTTGTTGTTGTTATTGTAAGACATTAATTTAATCAATTTATTTTTTGCAAAGTTGAATTTACATAAAAGTTGCTGCAGGATTAAATAGCATCAGTCTAGAGAGTAATGTTGGATCAGGTTTCTACTAAAGAGGTTGTTTCTATTGTTCCTCTATTTGATTTTATTTATTGATGCTGATTTATTCTTCTTCTGATTCTTAAAATTCTTCTTTGATCTCTTACACAATATCACCCTAGAGTTAAAGTGAAAATGTTACATTTTAATCAAAAACCACCTCCTTGATGTTCTCTTTGTTGTTTCTGTATTAATCCAGCAATTACAATTAATACTAGTCAATCGTTATATCAAATATTTTTTTCTTGCAAACTGGACACTTCCATTTTCTTGATGTACCTGCATTAATTGTAATAGTATTTTCAAGAGAGAAACATTATACATGGGTACAAAACCTTCCTCGAGCAGGAGTCTAATGATATGAAGCACTCTTACTTAAATCATTTAATAGTCGAATTAACACTTCAGGGAGACTTTGATTGTAATTTTATCAATTTAAACATCATTATCAGTTTTTTCTGCTATGCATGCTTTTTATATGAGTTTAACACATTCTTCTTTAGTTTTGATACAGTCCTTATTTTGTTTAATTTGATTGATCAAGTCCTGATGAGGTCTCTTCTTAGTCAAATAAATGGCTTATGCATAGACACCGCTAAGAATAAAAATAGGGTTGTACTCTTCGCATAATTTAAACTATGTTTTGGGCTCCTAACAATTTTGGACTTCTTTGATGATGATCTGGTTGTAGCCTGATTTGAGGGAGAAAGCTAAATTGTTTTGCTATTAGGGAATGATTTAAATTTCATCCTTTCTCTTTTTAAGACTGCTATTGGATTTGAGTGGTTTGAATTCAGAAATACGTTATTAGTTGATGGAGATCTCACAGAAATCGGGCCATGTAATTTCATTCATGTATTTGGCGTCTAATCTTATAGATCTCAATTCGACTTAGTATTAAAATGAGCGATCTTATAATTGGCTAAGTTTATATTGATAGAAATATTACTGATATTCTTCTGTTGTAAGCATGAAATTGAGTGTACTTTAAGTAGTATTCATCAATGTTGGTTTGGCAAGAACTTTAATAATTTGATTGAGCGGGTCAATTTTACTGAGTATGCAAACAGGACACTCAAACATCTTGACATCGTTGGGCTACAATTTGAGACAAGAAATATGTAGTTTATTGTCACAATTAATGCATTTAACTTCCTCATTAGTAATTCTTTTGGCGGGAATGATTCTTGGAATAATAGGAATTTTCTTACTTACATGGACACATGAGGAGTTATTACATTTCTGTCTGAGGAAGGGGATCATTCCATTAATCTAATTAAATCAGAATGCATACTGTTATATTGATAGAAAAATTGCTGTGGAGGGTTTTATCTTAAATGTTATTGATAGAGATTGATATTCATTAATTGGGAGTATTATGGTAACATTTATTGTTATGTTTATTGTGCTTATGGGAGTACCATCTTAAATGTAAATGAATTCAATACATAATTCAGGTAAGAATTTTGGAGTAATTGTGGGATGGCACGCTGCATTTGAGGCTATTGTTGGAAGGATTATGTTTTATTTATTATGCTTCCTTAAAATTTTTTTAAGATGGCCATAATGCTTTCATTGTTTTGGAGGTTTGGTTGGTGTTGAAGAAGTTATTCAACTGGTCTAGAAGGATCTACTTATATCAAATATTATAGGAGTTGTTTTGGAATTTAGGCAATAATTTCTTCTTTTTTTTTTTTTTCAGGTATATTCAGTTCTTTTGCAATTTATTATAGTTGTTTTTTTCCTAATTTTTATAAATGCACACTGTTCGCAGCATCTTTAATTGCCTTCTCATACGCTTAAGATATTTAAGTATTTTGGGGATTCAACATGTTAAAATTCGACATATTTAGAAAACTAAATATTAGAATGCTTCTTTACTTGAAAGGAGGTTGTCCAGACATTCTGCTTGTTTGATATTTAAATTTTGATCTTTAACTAAAAAGATTCGTCATTCCCAACACACCTCCCCCATGCTTAATTTAACTTTTTAACTTTATGGTATTTACAATTTAAGTGAGTGTCGTATCTTTTTTAATTTTTTTTAAAAATCCCCTTATTTAGTGTTTCTTTTAGTTATTTAATTAATATATTTTTTATATCCCCTTAAAATGGAAAATCAAAAATCTTCGTTGCTCTTTGTCTCTCCAAATTATGATCTATTCATTTTTTCGCTTGAAGAAAATTCTATAATGCACATATGTGCTTTACCAAAATAAGCCCTTAAATTGTAACTGTATACAATTAATTTTTTATAACATAATCTAACGAATTGAAACTAAAGTTGCTAAAAGACATCGTAATTATGAATAAAATATCGAAAAATATGAATATATCCGACTCTATATGATATCTTATTGAGACATCATAAGCAAATCTTAGAATACCAGGAGTCAGCGAATTAAAGTTTTATCATCAGAATTTTCAGTTCATGTGCTTTTATCCACTTCAACCTCTAGAACTATCTCTAATTCTATATTAAGCTTCCCTGCAGCACCTAAAAATTGAGTAGCTCATTCAAAAAAAAACATTAAATTCGACATATTATCTCAAACGATCAAATATCTAACTTATTCTTAATAAGATTATCATATTTTATAGTTGCGAATATATATAAAGGACTTATTCAAACATTAATCCAATAGTCATTGATGCTGGTGTCCATCTAGAATAATTTCAAGTTTAAAATAATAAGTTTATTATTTGCAGCTCCTTGAGAGACTAGCTTATGGAACAATACACAAATAAAAAAAGAACAAATCATTTTTATATACATAATAAAGGAAGATTCATAGAATAAGTAAAAAATGGAATGGCTAAAATGAAGATTAAACAAATAATAATGAAGTATGAAATTAAAATATCATAATTCAGAGAAAGATTGAACAAATATGTCTTAGATTGAGAGTATTCAAGTCAATAAGATCCTCAACTTAAAACAATAATTAAATTAGGAGTAACTAAATTTACGAGAGATTAGAGTAAATATTATTAAATTTGCCCTTTTCATTTTTATAATCATTCTATAACAATATTATTATTCAAATTAAATTTGCATGTTTGTTCATTGATATAGAAGGAGTTATTAGCAGAGATTAGTGTTTCTATACTTGGAGAAGTCCCCTATTATATTATTGTTAGTGAGTGTAAATATTAACAATATGTTGTCTTAGAAGAAGGACGAATGAATGTTTCTTAAATCTAAATTTGATATTCAAATATTGTTGTTAATTGTTTAATGATTGTAGTTGATCAAATATTCCTATTCTTAAAGTATTTTGAACCAAGATCGATCAGTTTAAATTTGATATTCCTTACAACAATCCGTCAAGTTATACTATATCAAATTCAACTACCACATAGTAAAAGCATCTTAAAACTCATGTTGTTAATCTCTCAACTAGTATTTTATCATCTCCAAGAAAACAACCCTCAAATTTTTGAATTGAATACTTGCCTTATGTATATTCATCTTGCTAAGAACACACAATAGACAATATATATCTCAATGATACAATAGTTGATTTTATATTTGACTGAGGGTTCTATTTATAAACCTAAATATATGATATTTTATACTTTACTTACATCAACTTTATACACTTAGGCTAAAGCCTGTGCTTCCATTCCTCTTACTTGTGCATCAATCCTTGACGTAGATCTCTGTAAAACTGTTAAAGATTACAATTTTAATAACATTTGTCAATTGAGTTAGACCACCTATGATTGTGAGAAAATACCTCATACACAAATTCCTTGCGATTAATACTCTAATGAATACTCATGCAAACATTAAGCATATAAATGTATGTGGGATGGATTTGAAGTTGGACATTCATTTTACTCAGAAATAAGTGAGTCAGAGAATACTGATGGAAACTGCATTGATTTTACGTATACCAACATTTAATTAAGATAGATGTTAATATTTTAATAACCGTATTTCATGCGGACCATATGCTGATGTATCATGTGATTGGTAAAACGATGAATGCGTTGAAGTAACAAAATGTGAGGATTTCAAAACTATAAGTGGATGCATAAAGTCTAGATTGCAATATAAGTATCCCATAAAATCAAATGTAGATGTGCAGCACTTGTCGATGGGAAGGTTGTTGACTAATCTAAGAGAGTAGTGCCCGATGAGATAAATCTATAGTGTTTAATAGAAGATTGCAAACATAAATTAAAAATGGCTGATTGTAAATTTGTTAATGGAGTTCAATGTATTTGGAGAAATAAGTAGATCAAAATAATTAAATGTTAGTGCATGTTCCAAATGCTCAGATTATCTTACTTATGACTCTTGTGTGAAAAATTAAGGTTAGTGTTATTGGAACATGAATCAATGTAAAAATATTGAGTAAGATTGTTTTAAGAATATTTAGATGCTAACTGCTGAGCAATCCTACTATGTGCAATTTTAAGAAAGAGTAGTGCAGATGGAATTAATAAAAATTTGAATGTGAATTGAATTTGGAAAAAGCTGATTCTCATTGTTATGAGGAATATATTTCGACTTAAAGCAAGGCTTTTTAGAAGGATATAATTTTATTAATGATTCTGATTCTGATTTATTGAGTTTTGATTTGTTTAATCCTAATTAAAATAATTTAATATTATGAATATTATTAATAGTAAATTTTAATTAGAATAAATATAATTAGCGTTTTGGGGGGTATTTCGCAAATTATGTCACAACATCAATAAATGTAAATAAGTTCATGCAAAAGTTCTAAAATTTATTAAGTTTTTGTAATCTTTTTGTTTATCTTAAAAATTTGTTACTGATTTTTTCCAGAAATTATAAAAAAAATCGATTAAGATTAAAGAAATGGGAATGAGTTAGATTATGATTTATTAAAATAGGAATAAATATTGTAATCTCAATTATACTGATTTTTAGAATATAATAACATTTCTTTGGCAGTTATTTTAACTTTTTCGATATTGGAAAGAGACCAAGGCAGCCTTTTAATGTCGAAAGAAAACTAGATTCAAAAATATATTATACAATTTTATCATCTGAAATTTTATTCTAGATTTTATTGCATAAAGCAGCAATTTTTTTTTTTGAGTCTTTTTGAATATGTTCATCTAAGCAACCTATAAAGTTATATCTAATTCATACCTAAATATTGCTCGTAATATCGAACAAATGTTGGGGAAGAAAATATTTCTTTTAAGAAATCTGTATTCATAGTTTTATTCTTGCTGTTTTTCCTGAATGGCAAAATTATGGACTTCTTAGTTTCTTACTCGATTGCTTCGATGAATATTTTCTAAGCTTATTTCAAATTTGTCTCTAACTAATTAAGTTTAATAAATTACTTGATTTGCCATTTTCCTCCTGTACCTTTCTGAAGATGAACTTAAAGGCCTTTCTCAGACAAAACTTTATAAGTTCTTCCCTACTTTTATGTTATTGCTTCTGCTTCTGAGTAAGAATCTCAAGGACATTCGACAAAGAAAATTAGCCACTGTTTTTTAACGAAGAAATTATTTGATTCACAGCTTCATCTTCATTGACAATCAATAGTATGTATTTCTCCAGTGTTTCACTTGATACAACAGGCACAACATCTTTCATCTCTAAAAGTGATCTTCTTGTACCCTAGCATGTAATCGAGTCTTCTTTCAATTACGCTAAAATTATTGTAGCTTTTGATACCTTGTTCCGGTTAGACAGCAATTTACTCTTATAGTTAATGGTAAATTTAAGGTTGATTAACATAAGGATAGCCATAAACATTAGGATAATAAATTTGCTGCATATTCTAATACATATTCCAATAGTTGTGTTATTAGGTGAGTTAGAGATCAAAGATGAGTTAGTTGGTCAAAAAGCTATACATTTAGGTGTAATTTAATTCGAAATATTATAATTAGAAACAAAAAAAAGATATACTATTTAAAATGCCGTATAATACATAATATTCATTAATTAAATTTATCCATCCTTAATCAGGCTGAATGAAGTAATTACATGGCTTGCTGGAGCTATTTAATAAAGTTTAAAATGATTTTCGAATGAGAAAATGCGAATTGGTTACTGAATATACTTCATTTATTTAAATTAAATTACTGATATTTTTAGACTATTATTCATTGTTTGATTAATTAATCATCTAATAAATAATTAAAAATGAATCAAACCATTAAAAATCCTTACCCTTTTGGCTTATTCAATTAAGTTGGACTGCTTCTTTAAGTAATTCCAAAATTAAATCCCATTTTTATTCACAAATTTTATTTTTATGGTTTTAATCCAATTATAATCCTTTAAATTACAACCAATCCCATAACGAACTCATTTAATTTATTCCCCCATAGAATCATAATTTAGTTCTCTAAATCAATTTTTGATTGACGTTTTGAGCCAAAAAATTAAAAAGACTGTTTTTAAATAAATTGTTGGAGCAACAAATAAGAGATGTTGATGCTCATCACTTAATTCACTCTCAATAATGAAATTTTGTTTTAAGAGGACAACGTTTCGTAAAGTATTTCTAAATATATTATTAAATACAATCTTCCATCTATATTGTAAATTATAAATTAATCAAATTTTATATCTCATAAATAGAAATTAAACTAAGTTCTGAGAATTTTTAGTTTTTAGTATTGAGTGATAAAGTAGTCAAACAATGCAAATGCTTCTGGATTTTTGTTATTAATCTAAATCTAAAGCATTATTATTAAGAAAATTATAATTATTTTAAAAAGAAAAATGTAAACCAGAATGGCCAAGAGACTTTAAAAAGACTTAGAGCAAATGCAAAAAGCTTATGCTGATTAATTCAATGTAAGGATGCCCAATAATGATATCAAACATTGGATTGTTGCATTTGAAGGTGCGAAAGGGACTCTTTATCAAGGGGAGAAATTCGAGTAAGCATTGATATTGATATTTTAGATTGCAGTTCAAATTCTCAAATGAATATGTAGAAGTACTTATTCTTATTTAGCTCTTTTTTTCTTTTGAAATTAGCCAATTGAATCACCTGAAGTATTATTATAATTAGAATTAGGTCATCTTTATTGGTAAGCCACCTGAGCATGAACATATCTATTCGAATGGATTCATTTGTTTATCAATATTATTTGATGGTATTTACATGTTGAATATTCATTTTAGAATGGTCAGCTGCATTGACTGTATCATCTGTGTGCCTCTCAATCCAATCCATGTTGTCAAGCGCTACAAAAAAAGTGAAGATTAATGTTATTATTATCAGATGAAACCTCCCAATGATGCAGAGTTTGTAAAGAGAGCAGCAGGGAGAGGACCAAAGAGTTTTCTTTGGAGTTACCATGATGAAAAGTGCTGAAGCTGTTGTAAAAATATATAAATTCAATACGAAACATTCTTAATCATTATTAAATAATGTCCTAATCTAAAATATCATCCAGGATTTCTACATGTCAGAATTGCTTTCACTGCTTAATAGCACCATTTTGACATTTAAATTATTTCCATTTTCTGAAATATGTTCTATACACCCAGGACTGGCAGTCTACCAGAACCAATCGAGATTTTATATATACCCTTAACCGCGGTATTGAACTTCTTTATTCCTTTATTTGAGGAGAGTCTTGTATAATTACTTTGACAACTAGATAAATTGCTTTTAACTATTAAATACTTTATTTTCTTGAGGTATAGAAATCACTTTTAATAGTGAGAATTATTTAATTCATTCTCCAATAGTTTTAACAATCAATTAATTATCACTAACTATTGCCTCATATCATATTTCTTCCTATATTTTTTATTTAATGATTTATTTAAAATCAGCTCTATAAGTTAGATATTTAATTTTTTAAGTAAAATTATTAATCTGCCTGTTACTGATAATCTTAAATGAAAACTTGTGAACTATATCATATTACTGTAATTCCATATTTACTATGAAGAATTTGATACAATGTATTAATTTGAAGAATTTTTGAATTTCAATAGTAATTTACACTTTTTTATTCAATTAGGTTTATTCCTTTCAAAATTTGGTCAAGCCTTAATGACTTAGTTTTATGATGAGGTTTTAGTTCTTCTTGTTTATTGTCTATTGATGATGTTTGACTTCTTATTTTAAGTTTGTTTTATGAATAATTTATATTTACCTTCAAATATTAGAAACAAATTAGAAATGATATTATCTTTTATAGTTTTAGGAGATATTTAGTTAATTTTCAGTAAGCTTGATAAATTACATTAAATTTGAAATCAAGCCTAATGAATTAAATTGTGAATTATTTCATAATTTTTAAACTATTTTGGATAGTTTTATACAAATAGAGACTTGAAAATCGATTGATTGGATGAATCAAACCATTAATTTAATTTATTTTAATATTCTCATTAAGTTTAATTTATGGACTAAATAGATTAAATTGTTTTTATTCTCTTTAATTTGTCTGTTGTTTTTTTCTTTTGCTAAAGAAATCTAGTTTAAATGGCGTATTACTTTGAAGTTGTTCTTTTCATTCTATAATTGCAAAAGCCAATTCTTAATTTAGTTTGATTTACAATTTGACTCGAAATTGTGAATCAATAATGAATATCCATACATAAAATATAATTACATTAATTTACAAATATCAAATAAATGATTCTACAATCTCATATTATTGAAACTTAGATACACAACAATATTGTTGTTTTTAGATTATAAAGATTCTTACCCTTAGCTTTCTATGTATTCCACAATTTACATGTGCTTAAATAAGGTAGTATTTTAATAATGCATTTTATATTTTAGATCTTCTATAAAGCTATGTAGTTAATGATTCATTTGGCTCACTTAAACTTAATTTATCTATTTGAATAAAAAATATAGATTGTAATTTATGATCTCTTCAGTTCGCAGATTAAGATTGCGAATTACTAATTAATCTAAATTTTCATCTATAATTCAATTACATAAAATAAAGTTTTTGTTAGAATAGGATACTGTAAAAACAAATTTATGTTTTTTAATAATTTATTCCAGAATTACCTTATTTTTTATCAACTTGGTTTGCAATTGAAAATATGAATTTAAACAGACAGTTTTCCTTGGCTTATCCTTCTTATTTAGCATTATTTTAAACACATTGATTACTCTATACTTTCTGTTCTGCAGTTAGTTTTATATATTTCTATAAGGAAATAAGAAGGGTTATCAATTTCGTCTAAGTTCTCCTTTTGATTCTAGATAGCATAATCATCAAGTGTAACAATTCCTTGATATTTGTAGATTGATGATTCATTAAATTAAATATGAATTAAACACTTACGCCATGTATATATAAACATAAAACACAAAAATTGAAACCAATATGACTTGTATTCATTTATACTCTTTACTCTAATCCTACTTGTTGTTGTTGTACTTTTCTAAGGCTCTGCATATCTCAGTCTTAAATAACTCTCTACTCTATTCCTTATTCAGATCAGAAGGCTAAGTCTACTTCCTTTAATCAAAACTACAATTGAGTATGGGGACATTGGATTTTTGCAATAGATTAGACTTCATATCTAAGATCTAATTATGTTTGCTGCATTACTCTTACTTGTTAGGTGAGATCTTTAACTCTAGCTCTCTCTGATTCGAGCTTTAGATTTAATTCTATTTTAAACGAAAACGTTACCTAATATCTTTCTCTCGTAGTCATTTTTTTATTATTTTATTATAGAATTGGCCTAATTCAGTTCTAGGAATAAGTAAACATGGGTTACATGATTTGAGATCGCTAATTTCTTCCATATAGAGTTTGTAGATTTGTTAGTGTTTGTCGTCTGAGTATATGGAATTTAGTTTTGGCTTCTCCTCTTTGACTATAATAAATTTAAATCCTTTGTTTTTACAATTAAATAGAGGATCGGTAGTAAGACGAGGGCTTACTTGAGGAGAGTTCTAATTAGAAAATGCAACTCTATCAGATTTGATTTACGTTCTTAGAGAATTGACCTCACCCAATAAATCTGGAGTCATGTCATTCTTATGCAATTTATAATATTAACTAGAAAATTTGATAAAATTCTTTTCAGCCTTTTTGTTTACTTATTTTGAAACAGTATAGATTTTCATCATCTCTCTTAATTTTTATTCATTCATTAAATTAATTGTATTATAAATCATCCCATTTACAAAATAAGAAAATATAAGCACAAAAATAACACAATTAATTTTATTCATTAACATCCCGTTCTCCATCTCTTCTCAAGGTTTTCGAAACTGCAATCGAATTACGGCTTCCCAAGTAATTAATTCACATCATTGTGTCTCTAACATAACCAAATTGAAAGATCCTTCCTCGATGCCACTTATGGAGGATCTAATACACTTTAACATTCCATTTACTTTTCAAAATATCCTTTTGGAAATGAGCCTTGCAATGTTTGCAAGCGTAGAATTCAGCAATGGCATCGAAGAAATTTCTCATCTTCTATTGTTACTCCTGGGTAGGCTCATCTGGATAGTAGATTGCTGTAGTGTGCAACACATTCCAGGTGTAATTGCCATATATGTTTCTTTTGAGAGGACATTCCTGAGTTGATGATTCCTCTTCAAATTAGAGCTTAGATCTCTTTTTGGATTTGAAATTGAGGATGTCCTCCTTTTCGCAAATGGGTTCAAAACAATTCTTATCACTCATAGATTAAATAATAATTCAATAAATACAATCACAAATATAAAGATGCAGCAAAAACAATACCTTTCTTAAGCTTCTTAGAACTTTCCTTAAACTTATTTTCCAATTCCTTATTTCCAATCACCTTAGCAGCCTCTTCCATTTATTTAATTAATTCATCCAATCGTCTAAGACATCTGATGATGGATCCTTCAAACAGATCAGTCATTTTGCAAACCTACAAGAATGACTATCCTTAACACCAAGCCAGGGTTACCTCCATCATCTAACTCTTGAACGTGGCTAAATACTCTTTCTAAACGGTTATGATATAAAGAATATTACTTCATCAATATTCATCTTAGATTCTGTGTATACAGTGTACAGATATTTAGCCTGATCAAGCACTTTTGTATACAATTATTGCATTTTATCATTTTTTAATTAGAACTTTTCGCTGTTGTTTTCATCATGCACAAAGACACTCAATACAGCACAAATTTCTTCAGAGGCCAAATCATTGAAGAGTCCACTTACTAATAGTTCAGTTAACTAATAGAAAATGTATAGATTATAATAAATACCATGATCTCATCTCCTGCTGATATTTCACAGGCCACTTTACCCTTCATTTACACTATTTCATCCTTGGATATGTATTGTAATCTTCTTAGAATTCTTTTCATTCTCTTGAGATCTCCACTCAAAACCATCTGCGAACTTTCCTCAATTTATTTATTCAACAACTTGATTGTTTATCCTAATTTAATTTTCTCATCATAGATGGATAATTCCTATTCTAGATTTTAATTATTTAGGTCCTTCTTCACTTATTCTACTTGTTCCAGAAGTGATTGTCTCTGTTCTAGCAATGTATCCAATTAGTCATCATTAATCTTCATGTCCTTAATGGGATGAATGAGAGGAGGCTATCCCTTGAATTCCTTGAGCAATTTAATCATAGTCTATTTAATTTGTGATTTGCTTTCATTAGTTCTAAGGTCTTTGGGCAGATTCAATTTGATGGTGCTGATCTCATAGAGTTGCTCGATATTCACTGGTACTATTTCTAACTCTCCCTCTTGATCGTATGATAATTGAGGTTAGGGTGGTTCATTCTTAATATTAACTAAATATGGGTACCTTCTTTCGCTTTTGAACATACAACATCACATCCAAAATGATGGATTGCTCTTGATCTTTATTCTTCTTATTTCCAAACTTCTTTTACATAAAATTGATTTATATGCCCCATCCCCAATCTCCATCGGATCCCTTGATTCTAATGATTCTGCCTATATGCATAAATGGTAAGACAATCTATGGTTGATAGATGATCTTCCTTATTTTATTATAGACGTGTGTAGATTAAGAGATTAGATCATGATAATTACCCAGTTTATCTTCATTTTCTATTTGTATTTAATCTCGTTTTTGTTTGAAGTCCTGTAACTTCTCCTTCATTTCAGGTAATTGTCTATCATTCTAGAATTAATGGAAGGACTTCTTGATAATGAATTCTGGATCAGTGTCTTCCATCCTCATAGAATTGATAAGCATATTGTAAGATAATCTGAATGAAGAGTTCAAACAGTCTGATTTTCCCTTGAGCATGGATTTAGCCACTTCTTAGTCCATCTTCTCATCACACATTAAAATGCACACTCCTTTGTCATCGATACCTCTTCTGCCTGCTCTCCCACTCATTTGAATGTACTCTCCTCCTTGAATCCATCTGAATTATTCACCATCGAATTTTCTGACAGAAGTGAAAACCACAGTTCTGGAAGGCATGTTCAATCCCATAGAAAATGTTTCAGTTGAAAATAGAGCCTTAAGATACCCTTCTTAAAAGAGAATCTCAATGATCTCCTTGACTATTGGTAATAATCCACCATGATGGATGCCTATTCCTTTCTTCAAAATTGGAAGCATTAATTGAATTTATGGTAATTGTCTATCCTCTTCAGACAAGCAATTCATGGCATTTTTATAGATGGTTTCAATGTTCTCTTTTTCTTTCGGAGTAGTCAAATCCAATTTCTGCATTCCAATAGCATATCCTTCCACTTCTCTTTTAGAAAAGGAGAACACTATGGCTGGTGCTAATTCTCTCTCTTAGATCATCTTCATCAATTTGAATAGATCTGAACCCTCAGTAGCCTTTCTCTTCCTTGTATTTTCAACATTTTCCTCCAACTTGGCTACTGCCTCTTAAAATTTATCTTCTTTGAATTTTCCTGTTTCATCAACAACTAAATAGATTCCCTCAGCCCCACTTGGAAATAGATAATGTTGTAAAGGCGTAGGTCTATAATCAGTATAGACAACATGACAAGGTTGGCGTTTGATTCTGCAAACCCATTCAGCAAATTCACTAGCATTTGGAATTGTTGCAGATAAAAAGACAAATCGAACCTAATAATTAAATATACATGTTTACATTTTAATTCAATAAGATGATGGTCTCCTCCCAAACCACTCCTCTTTCTCTATCTCTCATATAATGTACTTCATCCATAATTACCCATGCTACTTCCCTCACAATTTCAGAGCCTCTATACAACATACTCCTTAAAATTTCTGTTGTCATTACCAAACAAAAGGCATTCTCGTTCAATGTCACGTCTCCTGTCACCAATCCCACATCTCCAAACTCTTATTATAATTCTCTGTATTTCTAATTTGATAAAGCCTTGATTGGCGAGGTATACACAACTCTTTGCTTGTCTCTCTTAGCCATGGCTATTGCATATTCTGCTACTGCTGTTTTGCCTGCACTTGTATGGGCAGCCACCAAAACTGATTCATTTGATTCCAGAGTCTTCACTGCCACTTTTTGGAATGGATCCAAAGTAAACTTATATTATTTCGCATTCTGTTTCTTTTCTTGAAGTGGCTAGTAATCCTCAGGTGTGTACCACTCATGAATACACCCTTCATTCTCTTGGTTTTTTATTATCTTAAATGCCTCAACCTTCTCCTGTGCTTCTACATTCATTGACACTTCTTCCTCCACTTGGTTCTCCACTTGAATTCCATCTGCATTTGCATTTGTTTCAAAAACACCAAATAAATCCATTAATTAATTAAAGTAATATATTGAGTTAAATATTCCCCATAAAATTAATTTAATTTGTTTTTTCAACATTCTTCTAATGATACTCAAACATTACTCAGTCAAGATCAACAATCTCATCCAAAATGACAAAGTCCATTATCAAATCATCGTGACCAATGTGAACAATCCCGCAGATACCAAAACAACAATGAACAGATATTCGGAACTCAAGGACTTTCATGAACAATTAATTAAGAACATCAATCTACTCAAACTCTAATTATAATTGCCTGAATTCCCAAAGAGATCACTCTTCTCCAAAACCAATAAGAATCAAGAAAAGATTATTCAAAGACAACAAGAATTAGAACTTTATTTCAATCAGCTTTTCAGCATTGACAAAATTTTGAGTTTGCCTCCCGTCCAATCCTATTTGCCCATCGAAACCCCTTTAAATTAACAGTAACTATACAGAATCTAATCATAGAATGAAAATCACTGTGTCCATTGAGAGCTATACGGTTTATGATGATGTCGTAATCTACTCGATGAGATTTAAAAACAAGATCACAAAAGAGGAATGGATCTACAAGTAGAGATACTCAGAAATCAAGAATATTCACGATGCTTTGCTTGAGCAAGGATACAAAGGTAAATTACCTCCCTTCCCTACTCGTAAGCTTTTTGGCTAAACCAACGAAAATCCAGGTATGTAACCTATTTTTAACTTCTCCTAGAGACAATCGAAAAAAGAAGAGAAGATCTTGAAGTCTACCTCAATGCTATTTTTAGCACTCAAGAAATATACGACAATGAGATCATCCAATTTTTGATATCGGATTCTAAAAAATATTTTGAAACCAATAAAAAATAGGAAGAGTAGAAAAAGGCATAAGCCTGAATGTTTCATGATTCAATTTTACTAATACAACTCTTATTTGTCTATTCTATATATTATAATTATTCATATGTTATATATATTTAATTTAAGTTAATTTAACTATTAATGAAAACCAACAGTGTTCATTCAATCATTGTTGATAAATAACCTAAATACTCTCATATCTTGAATGGCTAACTCTTCAGTGGTTATCGAGTCCGTGGAAAGGATCACTCCAAAAAACTCTCTAATTAACTAAGCCCATCAGATGATTAAAAATTATCAAACAATTTATCAACATCTTAAAGTTATGTGAATGCTATGAAAGCATTACAAGACAAAATCAAATCCCTAGAAAATGAAAACCAAAATCTACAAGCCTAGATTGTATGAATATACAACATATCCTCATAGAATTCTCATGAACTTATTAAATCAAGCGAGATTAAGGAAAGAGAAGTGAGTTCCTATGGCAGATTAAGTGAGAACCAATTAATTAAAGATGTTGAGTCAAAGTTAGCTGAGACGGAGATTGAAAGAGACTCAATGAAAGAAGAATACGAATAAAAAATTTAATAATTACAACAAAATTTAATTAGCATCGCTTTATAATCGGACTAAAAATATAGAGAATAATAAGAAACTATACAGTAGTTGTAATTCATTTATCTATTCACTCTTAGGTCAGACTAGTTGGAATTGCAATTAGAAAGCAATTAAAACTATAGAAATAAAATTAACTCTCAAAACCTAGCAATTTAGTAAGAGAAATAAGTAAGCATTCGAATTATGTAAATAGAATAATAGCAATCTCGAATACATTTTAGATTAGGAGAGGAGGGATGGCAAATGTTTAATAGAAAAGAATGAGCGTTTGTTGGACGAAGTCAGTAAATTAAAAGAGCAACTATTTGAAATACGCACTTATATGAATTGTTATACAACATAATATGATGAAGCGAAAATCTAGAGTATGAATCACTTTTATGGGTAGGATTGCAAGAAGAAACTACTAAATAGCAAACTTAGATCTCAGAATTAACTGGATAGGTGTAATAATATAAGGAGCTTAATTTAAAGTTGAAATTACAGTTGGAACATTAAAAGTATGAATTGGAAAAGTCAGAGTTAAAAAGAGTTAAGAAATTATCAGAGTCTAATATCTAGATTGATTTACTGAAGCAATAACTGATTAATTTGTCTTCCAACTCCATAATTCACACGTAAAGTCCTAGAGACACATCGAAAAGGAGTAAATTGAGTACGAATATCTTTAACAACAAGACCCAAAGTGTAAGGAATTATAGAAAACTCAATAATGATAGCAATAAAAAGTTATTAGATTAACCTCGCAATTCCATGTTTAACATCTAATAAGAATTATTTAAACAGCCACAAAATGATTTATAGAGTAGTGTGTTGAGCAGATAGAAGACTTATGAATAGAATTTCCTTACTCAGTAGAAGAGTGGCGATAGGTATAATAATGGGAATTCAGCAGATGAACGCGTTTAAACAGATTAATTGAGTGCCAATAAGCAATAGAAATACTTCCAAGCCTAATCAAGAATCCATCATTTAAATGAATAATTGAAAATACTTAATATGCAATACGAGGACACTGAAAATGAGATCTAATAATTGATTGATCTAAAGATAAAATAGGAGAGAAGGTAATCACTGCTTCAGATAATAAATTAAATATAAGAAATTAATAAAGAACTTAATGATCTTGTAACCATTTCCAAACTTGCTTAGCAATAGTGAATCTTTCATCAAAGTTGATTATTATGCTCATATATGTATTTCTCTAATGTGTTTACATTAAATTTATATCATAATTCACGAAATCTCTTCGACTAATAATGCTCTTATGTATCTTTCAAATTAATCATCTAGCATGGTTATGGAAGATGGGATTAATTGCACGAATCTTTTTATGGTATTAAATTCTGTTTCTAAGTATTTTTTCAATCCTAAAAATATCACTGAAATGGATAGTACAGCAAATATTAAATATATTGAAGATAGTACCTAAAACATATATAAAATACATAGATACAATTGAGACAGTTTATAATTCATTTGTGACTCCCAACATACTTGATTTCAATTTCTGAGTCATCATCTAAAATACTCTAACCATGATGATGCCAGCCTCATTGTCATAAATAGGGTATTCTACTCGTGTGCTAAATTTATTGACGACAATCTGAGTTTATATCTAATTTTTTATAAAATTCAATGCCGCCACCACTCCTTTCAAATAATTTCCTTATATTGAAATGGGACAAAAATCAACCAAAAATCCCAGTTGCTCCTGACTTAAAATATCACAAATCGACTACTTCTAAACTTAATTAAAGAAAAACACAAAATCATTATTTACTTAATATTTGGATGAATCAAATTCCTATGTCAATAAGTTAAACTTCACAATATTGTCAATTCCTTAATCAATCAATGAAAATATCTATTAACTATCAAACTCAGTCAAATAGGTAAAGTTGGGAAATATGAAATGGTAATCTCTATTCTAATACAGAGTGGCAGAAGAATAGGTCATATCTTAGATTAGTTTGTAAATATCAACTGTGTCAGGGTATTTTTTCAAGTAACTCAGCTCTCCTTAGAATATTATCACACTCAACCCCAAAAATACAATCCAAATCCCCAAGATAAGAGATATACTCATTATTATAGATAAAGGTTCATATTGCAATTAACCATTCCGCTATTGATCTTTGTTCTTTCTATTCAGTTGATCTTGTACTTTCTGTTGGATTAGAAGCTATTGCTCCTTTTACGACAAGTCAAACTTGTACAAGAAAACTAGATCAGGATTCTTTAGTAATTGTTTCTGAATCAATTTGTATCTATCTATTTCATACTGCAATCGACTTAAATTACAAAACTTGAACACTCCCAAATACATATCTTATCTCTAATTGAACAATCTGAAATAATAAACTATGCATAATGTAACTAGCAAAGTAATCACAACGAAAATGGCCCAAATCATAGTCCAATCAGATTCTATTGTAATACTTCTATTGGTTGAGTAATCCATTATTTCCAAGGTTAGTTCCTCTAACCAATAATGAAGAAAGAACTAATTGGCTACTCCAAACACTTAGATAGAACTACCCGCTGTGCTCATTCTATTCTCATATCGATACTTGTATTGATGCAAATTCTAAATGATCTATTGCAAGGCTTCTCTAATATTCAATGTCTGATTATAAACATCACTTGTGTTTGCACCCATAAATATCATCCCAATAGTCTTATTTTCAAAAAAAGGCTATAGATTTTGATTATTTAACTATTTGATGAATACTTCCTTTATTTCATTGAATCCAATTTAAATGTTATCATAAAATGGTTTAGTCAAAGCATTGGCTTAAGCCTATGTAAGTGCACCAGGAGAAACGTAAGCGTTGTATGAAAGTATAGCCACTCTCATAGCTACAAATATATCATGAGGTGCCATGAAACTACTATGCAATTCTATCATGTCTATTTCAGATATAAACTAATTTAGATCATTCTAATTCTTTGTGATTATGATGATATAATGAATACAACTAATCATAAAATACACTACTAATAATATGGTAAAAATTCTGAGTTACCTTGGAATATGAGGTCTCAAAATTTATTAAATCATTTCATATTTTTTATAAAATTGAGACTATTTGGCCCATGCCACTTGGGAAGAATTCGTATCCTCGCCCTTTTTTTCAAATTAAGGTTTCTTAACTTATTCTAGATCATCCATATCCACTGCCCTGCCAAATTGATTTTTAGATGAGTACGAAATGCCCTCAGGATTTTATGCTATTTGACTGTAGAACTCTTGTTGTTTCAGCAGGGGATTAGCAGAGTTCAAAGGAGTTGGATTAGCACTTAAATCAACAGGACTCATCAAATTAACCTCATACTTCTATTGATCTGGGTGATAAAACTGTTAGCTCTTATCTAGAATTAAGTTAGTTTCAAATTAATGATCATTCCTTCTAAAAGGTTCAAACTTTTCTCTCTCTATCTTCAAAATCCCTGGAGGATTAGCGAATCCTTCCTGATCAGAAACAGGTGTAAATGCTTAATCTAATGAATTGCTCTCGAATTCGTTGTCGAAATAGGAATCATTAACCTTTAACTCCTTTATCTCCACTATATAATATTGATACCCGTAAAGTTCGCGAATATGAATTGACATTAGACATTCGCAATACATCAAATTCTATTATAGTTGCCATTCAGAGAAATCCTATTTAGTGTTTCTTACCTTATCATCAATCAATGGATTTATCAAAATGGGTTGTTTTATAAATTTAAAATCAGCGAGATTGACTAAGTCTTTATACGTGATAAGTTATTAGAAACACGGAATCAAATATTCAATGGGTGTATTCAATAACAATTTATATCTGATATTTTCAATGTAATAATTGGAATATCCTAACTTATCCAATAGATTTTAAGTAATTCCACCTACTTGTTAATTTACATCGACAAATATATAGGCTGATGTTTGAAAACTTTCGCTTAAAAAAACCAAAAATTAGATTTGTGTAATATCACTAAAATTAACCTCAAAAAAGAATTCAAAAGGCTGAATGATTATTTTGTGAAGTTTAAAAAAACTCAGATTCTTGTTCAAATAATACCGAGACTACGAAGTTTGCAGGAATCTTTACACCAATAATTAGTGTTCGTTGATGATTCCATCTGGTAATAAATAGTCAATATTGCTGTTTGTCTTTAAGTCATCATAGTCTTTTAAAAAGAATTTGCATATCTGCGGAGTAATATTCTATATCTGAAGTTCTTGAGTGTCTTCAAATAATTTAACATTCATGTATATTAGATCTTTGTTAAATAACGCATGCTTCTACTAAGCATTGCTGTGCACATTTATCAATTTCTCATCGGATATAGAGGAATTACAAGTTATTTTATGAGCGTATAGATAATTTTCTAAGAGTTCTCCTTAAAAGTACGTATGCAATGACTGAATCCTTTGACTTGGAAAATATTTGTATAATTTGATTAGTTTGTTTTCTAAGATTTCTATTTTCTTACTTAATGATTTAGACACTTGAAAAAGTTAGGCTGATCTGATATGCTTTACTTACTGTAATTAAAGAAAGAACCCCAATTTGGAATTGACCAGCATTTACACTTACTCTTTTAAGTTTTGGTTCCTCTTTTCACTTTTTAAGAATATTTCTATGGCCATTTGTAAACTATAGGTATCGCCAATCATCTCCTTGTATTGAAAGGATAGTTTTAATTTGTCCCTAACTTTTTCTCTCAGAATCATCACTCTCACTTTTTGATAGAAATTTAATAGATGAGTTCCAGTAAAGGCGAGCATTTTGTTGAGTTTATTAATTTGCAATTAACCTGCTTCCTGTACATCTTAAGATTTGGATGATCTACTCATGGATTGTCTTCCTTAATTGATCGTGTTATTAGATTTAATTTACTCACTAATCTTTTCTTTAACCTAACTTCTACTATTGGTGCGCATAGAGATATTGAATAATAGGATATTGATCTGCTTAAGAGCTAAGTTATTTAATCCGATTCTGTAGAGAAGAGAAACGTAGTGCACATAATGATTGGCATTTCTATTTTTTGAATCTACTCTCTGGAGTTCTCTTATGTACTTTTTCATCAGACTTTTGAAGTAGAAATTCGATAGATATTTAGGTAGGTATTCTTTATTGATGTAAGTTAATGGTAATGACAATTGTGGTTCAATAGATTATTTCTTATGTTGATATTCACTGATGATTTTGCTATAGGTTAAAATAGTTTAAGAGAACGATATGAATTCATCATTAAAGAACTTGCCAAGTATGTATTTGCAATTTGAAATTGAAAATTTTTGAGTTTTCTGCATCATCCTTTAATCCTTGTATACAAAGAAATCGTAGAGGATTTAGGCCAGCAAAGGAACCAAGATATAAATAATGATGTTGATGTTGGTGTCTATGTCTGATTAAAAATTGACTAAAATCAATAATGATTGGATAGATTAATATGAAATTACCATCAAAGTAGTTAGAATCACTTTTTTCAAACATGTCAAAAGACTAAAAATATTATATAACATTATCAAGGCAATAGCAAAGAGGATTATCCCCTACAATACTTCATTGAATTTCGTCAAATGATAGTAAATGATTATTTGGAATATGTTGAGCATCCAAATGATGAAATCGCCAAAACTTAATTTAAGGGTAGAAAAGCAGTTTAAATTAAAATCGATTGTTTCCTTGCATAGGAGAATGATCAAGAAATTGATGGTGTATAAAAACAGCAGGGTCGTAGTTATCAAAGTTATGTTTAAGTAATTAAGTTCAATAATGCCATTGGTGCTTAGGTTATAACTTAAAGATTGAAAGCAGAGACATTATAATGGTATTTATAAGAAAATAGGCTGGAGTTGGAAAAGGTTTGAACTTAAATGCATATAAAAGGATAGCTTATTAATCATTCGTTTATTATTTGAGTTCTATTTGTTGGAGATATTCAATAACAAAGGGATAAAAATAAACAGCATGCTAAAGATCATGGAGATCAAATAACAATATTTGGGTATGTAGCCCGAAACGATAAAGTCAGGACGAGCCACAACTTCGATGTACCAAAACTAATTTATGGGTGTTAGTATTTAACCGTCCATTTGAGTAAATGAATTCAGAGGGAAGTTTTGGAATAGCAAAGGCTAAAGCAGTCCTAAAATATAGAAGGCAAATAAGACTGATTTGTTCATAGGAGCATAATAATAGAGTTGAAGGATGGAATTGATGAATTGCTCCTTAAAGGGAATCGAAACCTTTGGCTTATCTTACTTGATTTTCATAAATTCAAAAATTATATTATTTGGTACAACACAGTCATCGAATTTTAATAATAAAGCCTTAATATGATTAAAACTAAGAGTATTTTAAAAATGGGTTCACTAATTGATTAATTTTTATTATATATTAATTACTATGTCTAAAAAACCTTAATATGATCTTATGTGTAAATTCCTAATTATAGGGTCAGCTTAAGTTGGAAAGACAAATCTACTTACTCGTTTTATCGACGACGTTTACAGCGACAGTCATATCACTACTGTTGGGGTGGATTTCAAATTCAAGGAAATGAAAGTCAATGGCAAAATCATGAAGATGCAAATTTGGGATACTGCAGGATAAGAGAAGTTCAGGACTTTGACATAAAATTACTATAAATATGCTCATGGAGTCTTGTTGGTTTATGCTGTTGATGATATTCAATCTTTTAAGGAAATCACATTTTGGATGAACTCTTTGAAATAACATGGAAAAACTGATCTTGCAATTGTTTTAATTGCTAATAAGTGTGATCTAGAAGAATAGAGGGTGATTTCTAAACAATAAGGAGAGGACTTAGCTAATCAACTTGGAGTTGAATATTTTGAGACTTCTGCCAAAATTGGTAAAAATGTATATGAAGCATTTCAGAGATTGGCTGATTTGGCAGAGTCATAAAACAATTAAAAGATCACTCTTCCAAATCTTACTGAAGATAATAGTTATAAGATCAATTTGACTTCAAATACAAGAAATAAAAAGAAAGGATAGGAATGCTGTTGATTATTATGATTGTTAATCTATTGAAATCTCCCCTTATAGTTATAATTGATCGCGTGGTGTAGGGGTTATCACGCGTCCCTAACAAGGACGAGGCCGCCAGTTCGAGACTGGCCGTGATCATTTTTTTTAATTAATTTCTTAAAGTAATTAAATTTTTTGGTTTTGAGATTCCTATTTTAATATCAATAAATAATTTTCTAATAAAAAGCAATAATGAAATGAAGAAACTAAATAAAGTTAGTTTTTGCTATGATTTCCTTCTCATCTTTTAAGATTTTTTATAACTAGAATAATTTTCTTTAGAGCATAAAATTAGAATTTATATAAAGATTTATGAATATAATTAGAAAGTATTTTTAATTATATATATTATAAAACAAATATGAGAAAGACTATTTCCCTAATGATTTAAATATAATTTAAATCACAGAAATACAAAATATCTTTGATTTTAATTATAAATGTTCATTGTTATTTATATGTAAAAGTTCCTTAGTTTTATCTAAACACTTCCCGATTTAATTCAACTGTCATACCTGTAACACTAAAAGAATATTTCTTTAATTCTTGACTAGCATTCTGATTCATTTTGTCAACTGCCTCCTTAACATTCGCCTTAATACCTTGCTATGAGTAGTCGATATCTATTCCACCTATATTCTATTTCAAACTTTAAGTATGATATTTGTAACCTTAAATCTCTGTTTTACGAAAGATCTATTAATATTCATCATCATCCATTAAATCTAAAAATCCCTCTTCTCCTGACACATTTTGTAAATTGGAAGCATCTCTTGCTCCAACATTATTTTATACAAGTTTAATTTTAGAATTAGCTGTAGGTATTCGATTTTTGATAACTTAACTCATTTATTCTGTATCCTCAAACTAATAGGAGAATTCATTATCATTTTCCATTTCCTTAATTTTATAAAATTTATTTAGAGCTTCATAAAAGGCTTCGTGAAAATAGATGTTTCCTACAAAAGTTTTTATCGGATTTGAATTACAATAGTTACATCTACATAATATTAGATTTTAATTTTCGTAATCAAAATTTATTCTCTTTAATTCTTCATAAAATGATGCAAAATCAGCCATTTTTTTATCTGGACATTTTTAGAGAATTAAAGGCTATTTAATTCTCTAATTTGGATTAATTATACAAAAAAGTTGTTTAAATAAAACCTTTCTTTCCCGTAACTCTGCAACATAATTCTCTCGTTTGATCTTTTATCTATCCATAAATTCTTAAAACATATATTATTCTCCTTAATATTGAAAAATCTTTGTTCCATTAGTATAAGACGTGTCCTTAAACATGTATGAAAGCATGTTTGAATCTAAATATATGTAATTGACAATATTCATCTTTAGAATTTACTCACTTAATTTTTAATTACATAATGGACAGCAGAAAGGTTTTGCTGGAGAAATTTTTTTTCTGTAAATATATTCTGCTATATAACTTCTCATATCCATGCAAATCTCTAGATTTGTACAAAGTTTACATCTTATCGGATATTCAATTATAAGTTAAGTGAATTTGTCTTTCATATCAACTTCATAATTTCTGTATTTATACAAAGCAACTTATTTGCTTAATTTCTAATCTTCTTACAGGAGATCTCCTTGACTTACTGATATTGCTAATTATGATATTGATTTTTTGAATTCTTAATATGATATTTTTTCTTACAAATCTGGATGCTTTTCATAAAATTTACAAATGAAGGGATCAACTGGCTAATTATTTACTATATTTAAATCTTCTTCAATTTTTTCAGTTTACTGATTATAGTAAAATTTATATGAGCTGGGATTACTTATTTTTATAGCATTTAATAAATCCTAATCTACACAAATGCCAGAAAATAATAATTAAATGTCTAATAATTTCTCTTAATCCTCTATTTCCTGATTGCTTGTAGTATCAGATTCTTTAGTGTAGTCTTTGTGAGCAATTTTCAATCGATTTGAACACCCTGGCTGATTGCATTCTAAGAATTCTTTTTTTTTCCTATTCTATTACTAATAGAATAGCAAGCTAGTTAATTCATAACATTCGTAATGATTGCATCTCAATATTCTCACAGGGATAGTTATTTTCACTCTGTCTTACAAGCAAAAACTCCAAAAATTAATTTTTTGTTATTTGTTTTAACTCTATTATTCTAAGTCTCTTTTGATCATTGAAGAAATTGAGGTATCCTTAGTAGCTCTGTCGAATATTTGTTGTATTTAATTCATATATTCATTTTAAGTAAAAAATGACATATATCTTGTTTTATTTCTTATGTATTTAATAACCAAATTTCCTTTGATCAATGTCACTTCCTCAACATATTCATTAAATTCTTTATAAGCTTTAGCTCTCCAATCTTCAACTAAATCATTCAAACTCATTGCGACTTTGTTACAATGTGGACATTAATATAATCCGTTATTTTGAATTTTGTTTAGAGCATCTTCCATTTCAAAGCAAGCATTTTTATGTAAACATCCTTTAGTTAAAGTCTATTATATAAAACAATCATACGGGATTTTTATATCTAACTTTGGATATGGGATTAAATAATGAGAATGTATCAAATATAACCTCAGTTGGATTTTGGTTCATTCTTTATTTAAAAATTTAAGGATTTTTAGAAAATGATTAAAGAGTATAAAAAAGCTCCGAATTCTATTAATTATTTAAAGCAATTAATTTTCAAAGCTAGTTTTAATCGAGAGGAAAGGTTTAGACAATTTAAAAATTACGATGAATTTTAGTGCTCAAAAACATTAAAATTTTAGATTAGAAATGCATTTTAAATATTATATATTATTAATATATAAAATAGTAATTGAAATGAGTTAAAAAAAATAGGAAATATCAACTTGGATATTGGCTCATACTTAATTGGCATAGGCTTTGGAGGAGGCATGGTAGGAGTTTTGCAAGTAAAAGAGCTAAGAGGATGATTGTAATGATGAGTAGGAAATCAAGAGACAATAATATGAGAAAGAGAAAAATATTGGATAAATTGTGTAGGAGGTTTGGGAAGCCAATTTGGACAAGTTAAAACAAAACCAAAAGTAGAACAAATCTTCAAGGAATAATCTTTTCGATGCTGAATGTACAAGCTACAACATTCATCAGGAGAAGAATTTGGGACTCAAAGATATAACAAGATGGAGGTTGTCATTAAGAGATTGTAAATTGGAACAAACTAAAATTGGGAATGGAGTGGTTGAAATTTAAGCATTAGAATTCAATGAAAAGGATCAAAAAAAAAAAAAGAATAAAAAATGAATTGTAAAATTTAATATTGCTTTTAATAAATATATATATTTATTTCTATCTTATGCAAATGAATTGTGGAATTTAAAATTATATATTATTAGATTAAAGATTGAATCAATGAATTAGCCATTCACAATTGCGAATCATTTCTTTATAGACAAAAATAGCAAATCCACTTCATTTTGGGATAAAGATTTTAGAAAATTGTTACAAAATGAAAGGGATTTTAATCTCAATAACGAACATTGTATCTGTTTGTACAAAAAAGGAAAATTTCTCAATCAAATCATCGAAAGATATTACACAATATAAGGAGCATATCTTTTTTATGGATATAATGTAAAGATGAGAGAATCTATTATTTTTTCAGGACTTAAAAGGTTTCCGAAAATTAGAAAATGTCTACATGCGAACAGCCGTTGATTCGAGTACTTACCCATACCAAATACAATTAATTCATAATCAGTCTCAAGTCATTTTATATTCTAATTCGGAACAGAATTACAGCTAAATTAAGAATCAATTAGAATAGTATTGCATATTAATTGGCTTTCACTCATAATACACTATTATCAATTAAATTGGGTTTGGCTCTACGGCATAGGTTTAAATTTTCACTGATAATTTTAGGTTTATATATCAAAATCTTAAGCAAATGGTCAATGCTATGCAATCAAGAGAATTAGGAAAAATTCAAAGCTCAATCCACAATTTTTGATGGAAGAAATTTAAATCATGAATGAGCTGTCTCATCCAAATATAATAAAATTGTATAAAGTGTTCGAAACAAACAGTAATTATATTCTCTTTATTAGAGCATATCAATATGGTATTAGAATTAGTGGAAGGAGGGGAATTGTTAAAGAGTCATCGTTACAATCTTCGAGATGCTAGGATGATTTTTAAATAATTGGCGACGTGTGTGGATTATATGCATTAAAAAGGGATTATGCATAGAGATTTGAAGCCTTAGAATGTTCTGTGCAAAACTAATAGCATTGAGATAGTGTTGGCTGATTTTGGCCTTGCAACTTGGATCAAAAACAAATAGCATATCTACTATCGTTGTGGAACAACTGGATATGTTGCCCCTGAAATTCTCAAATACAAAGAAGGAACTAAAATGTACACAGAGAAATGTGATATTTTCAGTTTAGGAGTGATTTTGTATTAATTGTAAAGAAATTGCATTAATATATTTAATGTAGGATTTATAATATTCATCCATTTAAAGATATTGATAAAACTATAGTCTTATAAAAGAATCTAAATGCAGAGTTCAAATTTGATGATTCGATTAAAGTTCCATAAAGCTGCAAAGATCTAATCACTTTAATGCTTAAATAAAGTCCAAAATAAAGGCCAAGTGCAGCTGAAATATTACGACATGACTTCTTTAATGAATAACTCTATGAACAATCTAATTCAAATTTCACCATGATCATTTAAGACACCTAGTAATCTAAAAAGTTATTTATTGTAGTTCAGATATAAAAAGATCAGGGCCATCCTTGAGTTTTTAAAACGTAGATATGAAATTTTCTACAATCAATAATGGTTTTAAACTATTTGAAGATGAAGTGGATGATAACATTGAATAACAATAAGGTACTGATTTTTTAGAATTATCTCCAATCTGGACCAAAAGAATCGATCTACATCGGTGCACCTAAAACTAATAATAACCCATTTCGATGGTTTTTTAAAGATAGTATTCATAAGATATCAAAGGCAAGAAATCCTCAATATTTCGTTCAGAATTGAAATAAAAATCAATCCAAATGCTATAACCTTTATTAGAAAAATCACAATTAGATTTTCAAGATTATCATCAAATCCCTTATGTTAATCACAATAATATGTTATTGGTCCACATGAAATGAATTTATACATATATTTTTCTCTAATTTTATCATTTCTTTTAAGTTTTAGTTAGCTTTTTGTCTAATATCTTTATTAAAACTATTTTAAATGATTTACTTCAAATAATGATTTATTGGTGATTTTAATTTTTGCAGAAAAATAACAAAATTAATAAAAATAATGATTTCTCTCAAAAGAAAGTAAATGCGAAGCTCCATTACGAGTGCCCATTCAAAAGGCTTGATTTCAAAAAAGGTTTCAGCTCCAACCTCAGAAATTACTGCAGAATTCCTGAAAAGATAGAAAGAATATGAAACTATAAATAAATATTCTCAATAGGAAGAAAGCAATGACCTTATGAAGGCTTCTCTACGCAAATCTAATTATCATGCCCTTAAAGACGCTGTCAATGAGGCTAAACAAAAATTCTTTGAATCCACTCCTCAGCGAAAAAACTTTATGAATTCCACCATTCCAAGTTATCAATAACAGTATAATTCAATCCAATACATTGCTAATTAATTCAGAACTTAAAAAAAATCGAATTGCTTCATACACAATGAAAAGAAATAACAACAAAAGCAATGGAACCTTAGATTAATTTTACTTATAGTAGTACCATTCATTTGCATCATCCGAGTATTTTTTGCATTATTTGTTTTTGAATGAAAAATCCATCTGATCAAGTCTAGAACATTATTATCATCATGAAACTATCATAGATTTAAAATTATAAATATCATCTAGTAATATCGATTCTAAATTTATTTCAATAAAACACATTAATATTTCACAATTAATCTGCTTATCATAAACTTTTGGTACATAGTACATATTAAAATCATTTAAAATTAACATAAGAAAATCCAAAAACTAAGTAAATTAATCGTTTTTAATTCTTTTAGTCGATTAAAATTGATTGAAAAGAGAGAGTTTACAATCATGAATATATCATAAAATGATTAAATGATATGTTCTAACTCAAAATTACAGAAATTTGTGAGGTTAAAATTCTAACTAAATTTTTATAGGAAATTTATTATGATAATATAATATATTAATATAAAAAATCGAATGAAAAATCATTATTTGATGTAATGGTTTTCACTCAATAAATTATATACTTGATTTTAATAAAATAATTATTTTATGAGATTGTTTTTGCTCATTGGATGTATTCTATCCTTTGGATTTAGTTACCTAATTAAGAGTGAAATGGGAATAATGTGGGAGCCTAATATAGATGCAGTTATTAAATAGATGAAGGAGATGTAAGCTTATTATCGATAATATCCAAACTATGACGTGGCAATGGATAAGTAAGGACTTCTTCATGCGTACATTTAACTGCTTATAGAAAAACAGGATGAGATTGTTAATGCGCATAAATTAAAATCGTTAATCAATTATTTTGAGAGCTAATTTTTAGAGATTCACAATAAATACTCTGATAATCAAATTCCCGATGATAAGTTTGGACCAGCTAAATGGGAATTTGATTACTAATACTATTTACAATTTATTTATTGGCCAATAGGTTTTGTTTTAGGGTTGTTTTTGATAAATTTGATTTATTACTGCGTTGCAGATTATTGTTTAAAGAGGAAAACAGAATGATTATTATTTTTATATGGTAACTAATATTATTTGAGTTTTATAAAAATGCGTATATTTATCTTTGGATCATCTAGAATTAGAGCATTTGCGAATAAATTAGATGGATGCTGGAATTATGATTTTCTTCAAAACGCACTTAAATTCTCATTTTAATTAAATTAATAAAAAAATAGATTGTTTTTTCATTAGTGTATGCTTTAATTGTCAATGCAGATAAGAAACAGCAAAGTGGAAACAAGAAAATCTTATCAATAGAAGAAGTTTTAATTAAAAAGTAGCACGATTAAGAAAATTTTATTTTTGGTTTATTTTGTTGGAGTATTTTAATTTGAGAACAAGCAAATTATTGTGGACTTGATGAACATTAGTTTATTGATGATATAAATTTGGAGACACAACACCAAGATACAAATATCAAATATAGATCGTTTTGATTTGACCATATGTTTTTGTGCTTTAATTTCTAGATAAACCATTCCTCAATTACAGAGCATTATATTATCTCTATGCTTTTTTTCATTCAAAAACAATCTTTCGACTATTCTGAAAAGTGTGAAATTGCTTAAAAAAATAAAGAATTTATCAATCACCATTATTTTCATAATTTTACTCACATCCTATTTATTCACTTATTTATATCATTCATATGAGTAAACATTTACACTATTTGGGACTTTTAGCAACACTTGCATAACAATGTTGGAAATATTGACCTTAGATGTATTTTTGTTATGAAATAAATCTAGTCGTGGGGTTCAAGAGGAAGAATTCTAGAATAGTAGGTAGGATATACAGGGATCCCGTCGATAATCATATGTGCTTATGTGTTTTTGATGAATTACTTTTATATGAATATTCTGATAGGACTAATTTTGGAGACTCTTTAATTGGAGTAGAACCAATAATTGGTTCAGGTGAATTTTCTAGATGAACACGAAATCAAAGAGCAGAAGATAAATAAAAAACTATCTGATAATACTCATATTTGCAATTTAATGTTAGGATAATTTTATTAATAAATTGTAATGGTGTTTAGCATAGTAAGTGTGATATTTAACATTTATAATAATTTTGTGATTGTAGATACTATGGGTAAATTGTTTGATGCTCTAGATGATATTTTATATTCTATTCATTTTATATTTTTATTGTTTCTAGATGTATCTTTAAATCATTATCATAAAAGAAACCACGCATATCGTATGAGAGATCAAAGTGGGAACGAATGTTTCTCCATTTTATAGCAGGGCCATTAGCATTATTTTTGTCTCATGATTTAGCTTGTCTTTGCAATCTATGTAAACTAGCAACTACTCCTATTGTAAGAGGGATATTTTCAGGGACAATATCAATATTTCCTATATTGTTTCCGATTATAACAGTACTATTGGCTATAATTCTGTTGATGGCAGTTTATACGAGCAGATTCTATAGTTCATTTATTGGTTTTAAAGGAGAGACCTATTACTCATCTCTGCAATAAGCCTTTTACACTTTTGTGCAATTGCTCACTTTGGATGGTAATCATATGAGATATTTTTAGATTGGGATGCAAATGTCCTTCCAGTGTTTGAATCCCAACAAATAATTATGCCCTACATCCTATTTCCATGTTTTATCATAGTATCCAATGTGATATTACTCAACATATTGATAGCATGTAGTTGCAAATACTTTAAAGAGATTGACTACTCCATAAATTGTTAGAGTCTGAATGAAGCCCATCCTGATAATTTATTAGTTAAATTAAACAAAGTTGCTGAATTGTAAATTCCAATCATCATTTGCAATGTCCCCAATACAATATAAGAAAGTCACATATGTCAAAGAGAAGGACTAGTTTAAATTTGTTATAATAATAAAATAATCAATGCATTGTTGGTTAGATAATGATTAATGCATTCTATATCTTTATTATATATATATATATTTAATGTATAAACCCAATACTAATCATTATTTCTTGGCATAGATTGTTGCACTTATAATTTTGATTCCACTGTTCTGAAAATCCTTTAATTCCTGCTCAGAAACATATTTCAACATCAACTCATCAGGGAAATCAATCACCTTCTCTTTCTTAATCTGAATGTCAGTGAATCCTAGTTCTTCAAGAATCTTTAACTATATATCTTTTCTTAGAGCTCCAGAAACACATCCAACATGCAATTCTGACGCCTTTCTTATTGAAAAAGGTAAATCTCCAGTAGTAAGTACGTCACTTATGGAGAAATGACCATTTTATTTTAAGACTCTCTTGATTTCTAAGAATACTTTTCTTTTGTCTGGTACCAAATTGATAACACAATTGCTTATAACAACATCAACAAAATTATCTAAAATGGGTAAGTCTGAAATATCCCCATATCTGAACTCAACGTTTCTGAAGTTGTATTTGTCTGAATTCAATTAAGCCTTTCTGATCATATTGGGGGTCATGTCCACTCCAATAACTTTTCCACTTTCTCCAACTAAAGCTCTGGCTATAAAGCAATCATTTCCTGCTCCGGATCCTAGATCTAGGACTATGTCTCCTTTCTTCAATTCTGCAAATTCAGTTGGAATTCCACATCCTAATCCTAAGTCAGCTTCTGGAACATATCCTTAAAGTTTTTCATAATTTTCTGCAAACACAGCGTAATCTATGGTTCCGCAACCTGAGGAACTGCCGCACCCTCCTACTCCACAAAACGTGGCTGCATTTATTTGTTTTGTTTATTCACAGATTTCTCCATATCTTTGTTTTACATTATTTTTGATTTATTCTTCTGATTCACAACAGTCATTTGAGCAACATTATTGTTATTATTAGACTTATTCTTCCTAACAACAACTTTGCTTGTCACAACATTGTTCTTCCTTACAATTTTTATTATCTTAATTGTCCATGTATTTTATTTAAAATTATTATTAATTTTGATTTTTATTTAATTTTTAAATACCCAATTGAATTTTAATTAATTACATTCATGAATCACCATAATAAATTAATGAATCACTAAAATAATAACAATACTACTTTCTTATTTACTCCAAAAACTATAATTTCAATAGATTTTTCTTTCATTAACCAATCATAGAGATTGCATAAACATTTTTAAAGGTTATTTGATGCATTTTTGTTCATCAATGGGAATTGATCTTATTGAATTGATGTTCCTTATCATAGCTTTATTGTATTCAAACTCCATGGATCTCATTTCATCTAATCAAGGTTGTGCTACAATTTTGAAATACTCACAAATAGTAAATTCTGTGTGGAGTTCTTTAATAATGCTTTGTGAGTTCATTTATTAATAAATCAAATGAATGAATTTAACGATTTCAAATAATTGCGTTAAAATTACTCAAATGCTTTGGAGAAAAACATCCAAAAACTTTAGGGCAGATTAAAGGCTCTAAATAACAACATAATAAACTCTACATCAGCCTAAAAAATTACAATGACGAAGAATCCCTCAGAAGTGAAATCATTAAGATCATCATGCTTATTTCCAGACAATAATTTGGCATCACCAACAGACAGATTCGAGAACAGTCAAGTCTTTGCCAATTATAACAGATACAGCAGTCTCGATGTCCCTTAAGCAAGTCAAGGGGCTTAAAAAAGCAAATAATCACCAGATGTTTTTGAAAATATTTTTTTGAAATAATCTTACATTCCCTATGAATAGAAATAGATAAAGTAGGCAAGTAAAACTAAGCAGAAGAACACTCAAAGCAACACTTTGAAGATAACCAAAAAAGTAGACAAAAATCCTTTAAGCAATCAAATGAATAGTCAATCCCTGTAAAACATCAAGAAGAAAGATGATATTTCATAAGACAAAACTCTAAAAAGGAATCCTGAGAAAAAGAAAGCACTAATCCCATCGGCTGCTTAATCAAAGACTAAGAACACTTCGCGTTCCCCCTAGAAGCAAAGAGTCAAATAAAATAAACAACAAACACCATAATAAAATCAACAGAAACCATTGCTAAATGACATTTTGAAAAAATTTGTTTCCTCCAAAACCAGTTTAAGTAGAACAATATCCAAATCTAAATCGAAATCCAAGTCAAAATCAAAATCCAAATCTCCTGAAAAGGAATCTACTTCCTTTAAGAAAAAACTCAAATCCAGATCGAGAGAACAAGCCATACATCATTACAATGAACAAATTACCTCTTAGTTTAGTCCGATTCAAGAGAAGTTTCAAATGAGGAATATTGACTACTCGCCCAGTCTATTACGTTAAGTGAGGACTCTAAGTAAAAAGAAGGGAATCAGTAAATCGAAGCAATCCTTACAACAATAGTAACAATAATAAATTACAAATCCCAGTCCAAATAAGGTGTCTGAGATTCACACTCTGAGATTGAAGCATTTATTGAGGGAGAAATCAAGCAAATAGGACAAAAAGGCGAGGAATCAAATACGGACTACCGAGTCTCCGATTCAAATAAGAGACTATAAAATTGATGTATTTAAATGACATAATAAGTGTAGGTTCCCTAAATTAAGAGTCTTGAAGATTAGCCAAAGGATGATTCCAAGCCAAGTTCGGTAAGACTCAACACTTTATCAATTTAAAGATCTGATGAAAAGGATCGAAGTGTTTTGATGAATATATTCAACGAATTGAAGAATCTATCTGAGGATCAAATTCAATAGTTTTAGCAAATATTAAAGTAGATTCGAGTGGAAAGAAAGGATGAGGAATTGCAAACATCCATTTCCTACATAAATTAGGTGGTAGAAAATCAAAAAGGCAACAATTCAGCAAATTAAAAGAATAATATTTTAGAAAGTCATTTGAAGATGGCATTGGAGGAATTCCCCAAAAAATCTCATGCATCCTCGCCAATGTCAAACAGTAGTTTCATCTTTAAGAAGGAGTTCCTAACGAATTCATAAATAGAGGACATATGCTAATAGAGGGAGAAAGTAAATAGAATTTATATGAATTAGAGTATCAAATTGAGGGTCAACAGTCAGATGTAGGCATTTCAGAATTTGTTGCAGCAGTAAAAGATATCTCCGAGATCGTTTCATCACAATAAATAATTGGTTTAATCGTGGTTTTCAAAGTAGGCGGATTAATTGTCGAGATTCAAAAGTGAATTGCAGAAGGTGCAGAAGCAATCAAATAGTTTGCTGAAGAAGACTGAATAGGATGTGATTATTGTGAAGGACTTGAGAAAGGATTAGATGCTGGTGTTGTCCTAGTTATGTATGTATTGGCACTTTAATAGTTAGAATAAATTTCATTTGATTAATCTGAAATTAAGGATGAGAGTTTCTTAGATTAGTCTGATCTTTAGTTTAGCATTCCGAATTCTCCGAAAATAGTAACTCCAAATACGAAATTCTTGAATTAGATTAATGATAGGAATGAAATGAAGATTGCTTAATAACAATCAATATCATCATAGTCGAAGTAGAATTAATTTTCAAAACCATTTTAGTAAGATCCAAAAAGAAAGGATTTTGAAATCTCAACATTTAACGAAGAACTCTTTTTTGGAAATTAAATTGCAAGACCTTTATAGGTATCACCTAATAACGAATCGAAATAAGTAATAACAGATTATCGAGAACCATAGGTGTAAATTCATGGTTTGAATTACGCTTTGAAAGTGGAGGAGGAGGCAGAGAAGATCATTGAGCACTTAATCGACGAAGCATCGAATAGTTTGAATAAGATAGAATTGGTTCAACAGTATGCCTATCAAACTAATGCGGGGATCCTCACAAACTTGGGAGTGATCAACAACTTTATAAATTTGATGTGCTTTGCAATTCTAGGTAGGAGCTTTAATGTTATGCAATAGAAAGTGATTAGCAGGAATTTCTGAAGAGAATGAACACTCCCTATGGCAGAAAACCCATAAGCAGATTGAGACAGTTGCACGGGCAGGACGATTGCGAAGGTCATCAAGAAATGCAACCCCTTTCCTAAATAAGTTATAAAAGAAATCTATCATAGAACAAATATTGGAAACTCAAAATCAGTATGAAAAAATTCACAACTAGGCCATATTCGATGCTTTCAACGAGGCTCTCAATATTTAAAGACCTTTCTACCAAGATGAAGGGATTCCCTATCCATGGTGCATAGAAACCAACATTTCATAAAGATTGTGTTATGGAATAGAGGACCTCCCCAACATCTTGGAGAGAGCAAGACAAAAGGTGTTTGATTGGTCGAAGACTCTGTGTGGTATGGAATGAATGTTTAACCGTGTTTTAGGATTGTTGTCCGATGAGATTCCAGTGATCTCGGTTCGACAACTAAATTATGAGCAACTCATAATAATGCAGGAATGCCAGGGGAATGATTCTTTGGCTTACATCAATGAGGAGAGGATACAAAATTGTCTCTCGATTGAAGTATGATATGCAAGTGATCTTAAATTAGTTGTAAGAAGGAGAAAGGAAATGGTTCTAGATGGCTCAGGAATACTCCGAAGTGTTGATGGAGATAGCAGATTACGTGTTTGAAGAATTGACTGAGGAGATGGTTGTTGAGATTCTGATGTGATCAAAATTAATTACTTTTTTGTATTCTAGTTAAAAGAAATCGAACTAATAATAATAATAATTCAAATTTAAATAATAGATAACAATTTTACAAATCATCATTTAGCAATTCCTTATTCAAGTCTATAGAATGCCCCTTTAAGACCCACCAATGTTTAGTAGTTACCTTCTTCAACGATTTTGCCGTCTTCGAAGACATAAATAACATCAGAGTCCTAATGGATATTATGAATTAATTACTTTGATAGTTGAAATTCTGTGAGCAATAGCAACAGTGGTTTTTCCCTCCATCAGTTTGTTCAGACTGTCCTGCACTAATTATTCACTTGCAGCGTCCAGAGCACTGGTGGCTTCATCAAGTAATAACAGATTTGAATCTCTAAGGATGGCTCTAGCAATGGCAATACGTTATTTCTAGCCTCCTGAAATCTAGGCTCCCTTTGGTCCTACTTGTCTATCGAATCCTTGTCCTCTTTGTTTCTCATTCCCCTTCTATTCCACCTGAGTTTCTTCGAATTGGTTCTTGATGATAAAGTCGTAAGCATTTGCTTTCTTGGCTGCATTTTCTATTTACTCACCAGTTATAGTAGGTAGATTGTATTGAATATTTTCCTTAATAGTACCATTGAACAACACTGGCTCTTGTGAAACAATACCAAATTGTCTTCGAATGTACCTGATGTCATAATCAGTGATATCAATGCCATTAATAGTGATGACACCTTGATCTGGTTCGTAAAATCTCATGAGCATTTACATCAAAGTAGATTTACCACATCCAGAAGGACCAACAAAGGCGACTTTCTATCCTTATTTAACAGTCAAACTCAAGTTTTCAAAGACATTCTTATCTCTTCCTACATATTTGAAGGTGAGATTGTTGAAATGGATGTCTCCTTAAACTGGCTTAGTAATCTTCTGCTTTTTTAATCTCTCCTCTCTTTGGAATTCATCTTCACTATCAAGAATTTCAAAAATGTTTCTGCTGGCATTTTTAGCTGCTCCAATATCACCTGCAAATGCTGCGTTGTTTCCTGCACTCATGGTTGCAAATGTAATGGCAAGAATGGACTTGAACATACCTTCTATTGTGATGACTCCATCTCTACAGAGAATGGCTCCGACATAGAAGACAATGGCATTGATGATGAACATTTACATTTGTGAAAATCCGAAAGCCAAACCAGCATACACTCCTCGCTCCTTTGCTTTCATCAATGGAAGTTAGACCTTCTTTGAATATATTCCAAGAATGATTTCCTCATTACCGAATGAAACAACAGTTCTTATATTGGTGACAGCCTCCATAATCAAGTTACCAGAGTCTTTATATGCTTCGTCAGTAAGATCTGAGAACCCTTACAAAAACTTGGCTTACAAGATTCCTCCTACGTATGACAAGGGAGCCAATCCAAGCATGATTAGAGTCATTTACCAACTGGCCACAAAGGAAATGACCAATCCACAAATCAAAGCACCAACATTTGATATGTTTATACCCAAGATGGATGAGGTGAGTCCATTAATCAATTTACAATCAACAGACAATCTGCTTGTTAAGGTGCCTGCATTGTTTTTGGGGATATCAAAGTATGGAATAGGCATTCTCAACAATTTTCTATAAGTATCCAATCTCAATTTGCAGGTGAGTTTCTCTCCCACATAAGCCAAGAAATACATTTGGAATGTCCAAAGAATTTAAGCAGCAACTCCAATCAAGAAAAACCAGAGTGCCAGTCTATCTGCTTTGGTTTTGACTTCATCCTTTAAATCGTCCTTCAAGAGTTCGCACATCTCTGGAGTGGGGTTATCGTATGTAATTGAACATTGGTAATCAGCAAATGAAGGATTGGATTCCACCAAAACAGTAATCATTTCAGCCAAGAACAAGGAGAACACTGGGAATGTACATCCATTGGCTAAGGCTGCAATAATACCAATGATGAATTGGGGTTTTTCATCCTGATTGTAAGTGAACAACCTTCCCATCTATGCATCGACTTCCTATTTCTCCTATTTGGATTCATCCTTCTTAGGTAATGGTTGTGTTTCCAAGTCTGTTTCATTTTTCTTATGATGATGATGGTGGTGGTGATGATGATGTACTTATCCGGAAACCTTCTTGACCAATTCAGGTACTCCCAAGTCTTGGAATCTCTCGATTTCTTGTTTAACAGCAACAGCAATATTTTGTTGGTCGACCATATTCATCTTAAGTTTGACTGATCTTTAAGAACCTTTTTGTTACTCTTCGAGATTCTTCTAGGAAGGATTAGAACTAGAAGATCCAGAGTCATTCTCTTGATTTTATGCTTGAATCTAGTTCTTAGCCAAGATTTCATATTTTCCATGCATATTCATCAACTCTTGATGAGTTCCCATTTCGACCACGACACCTTTATCAATGACATAGATTAGGTCAGCATTCTAGATGGTGCTTAATCTGTGAGCAATGACGATGGTAGTGATTCCCTTTGACACTTCGTCCAAAGTCTCTTGGATCAATCTCTCATTGGTTCTGTCCAACGCACTGGTGGCTTCATCAAGTAACAATATCTGTGGTCTTTTTAAGATGGCTCTGGCAATAGCAATTCTCTACTTCTATCCACCACTCAATTGACCACCTCCGATACCAACGTAGGTCTCCAATCCCTTGTCCATTTTGGATACAAAGTCCCAAGCGTTGGCTTTCTTCAAGGCATCAATCATTTCAGTCTCTGTTGCATCTGTCTTACCATACAATAGATTCTCTTTGATGCTGGTGGCAAATAATACTGGCTCTTATCCGACAAGACCAATTCTACTTCTCAAATCAATTAGATCCAGGTCTTTGACATTGATTCCCTCAGCTCCACCAAATAAGACTTCTCCTTCTTCACAATCATAGAATCTTTCAATCAATTACATCACAGTGGATTTACCGCAACCACTCTCTCCTACCAAAGCTACTTTCTTACCAGCAGGTATATTCAAGTTTAATCCTTTGAGTATTTTTTGATCTGGTCTGTTTGGATAACTAAATTAAATATTCCTCAACAGAATTGTTCCATTAAAAGATGTTAATTTTATTGGGTTAAGGGGGTTGACAATCTTTGGATTTCTGTCTAAGATGGCAAACATCTTAACGGCGGCTTGTCTTCCCTTTGCAAAGTTCTGGACACAAGGACCTGCTTAACCTAATGAGAATCCTCCAGTCAAGATGGCAAAAAATATGATCATCACATCTCCCACTGTGTAAACTGCTCCCATGTTATCATTGAGAGTCTATAAAAATATATAGAGATATTTGGGTTACCTAATCGGCAATCAACTTGGCTCCATACCAGAAACCAAGAGCGTAGGCCCAAAGCATGGCTGCCCATAAGAATCCGAATGCTAGACCAACTCCGAATTGATAACTGATTGTTGTGGCTGTTGCATCAAGAAGGTGCTTTTTGTACTTCTCGACTTCAAAGTCCTCACCATCCAACATCTTCACTGTCTTGATGGCATTGATTGCTTGTTCGGCCAATGCTCCAGCATCTGAATAGGCTTTTTGGGTAGCATTCTCAGAGGTCTGGATAATGATGGCAAATATGGCTGTGGCTATGGAGATTGCTGGCAATGTGGCTGTGACTACCAAGGCTAATTACCAACCACTAAAATATTCATGATAAAAATGATTACTAAATGTAACCAATCAAGAAGCCAAAGAAGGACATCGAGAAGGTCATGATAAAGGTGGGAACTTTCTCTCCGATGGCACCCTGCACTGCAAAGGTCTCATTTGCCACTTTGCTATTCAATTCGTTTGGATTAATGGTATCGAACCATCCGATTTCCTATCTCAGAATTGCGGAGAAGTATCTCTTTCTGAATTCTATGCTCTGATTCTCTCCAGTTATCATCCAAGTGGCGAACATTATGAAGGACATGAGCATTGTTCCCACTGCAACAATAATGAAATATCTATATTCATCTTTTCTATATATTTACATTGCATTCATTCCAGCTTAACGAACCATTTCATCTCCTGCTTCTGAGAATGAGTCAGTCATATCTCCGAAGATGATTGAAAAACTTGGAAAGGCAGCTCCGTTGCAAAAGGCTGCGAATCCGCCAATGAACATTAAAACTTTGTCCTTTGGACTGGCGTACCTTAGAAGTTCAAAATATGGAACCATTGGTTCTTGTTATGGTTGTGCATTGGCTCCATTCCCATTTGTTAGAGCCTAATTTTCAGCTGCACCATCAGTTTTCATTTAATTATATTTTTGATGAAAATATGAAATTCCTAAAAAGCTTTTATACTATTAATTAAAGAAATTCTGATAATTAATTTTAATTATGATAAAAATGACACTATCTATAGTGATTCAAAACCTTATTAAAGAAATTAATTAATAATAAATTGATCTTATATTTGAGCCTAACCTTCCCCCATTTGTATCCTGCTAAAGCTAACCGCACTTCCAAGCGTCTTCAATCACTTCAGACCTCGAAACGACATCAATTGAAAAGTGAAGAACATCCTAAATTAATAATACATGATAGCATCATCACCCTACATCACAAGGAGGAGAACATCGCCCACCGCAGATACCCACTATTGAACATTCCGAATATTCCTAATTATAAAGTTAATAAACTTTTAAATTCGAATTCAGATAGATGAAAATACTAGACTCGCAAATGAGTGAGAGATAATGGATCATTTTAATTAAAAGACAAAAGGTTCGTAATTTCTGAGAATGGCTGTTACTTCCAGATAAAGGGACATTCCTCATCTGAGACTGGAACCTGGAGAACTGCCCCAGTTGATGGAGTCGATGATGGTAGACATAAATGTTGGTTGCGAATTGATGGGGTTGAACGTATTGTACTTATAATTTGAATATTATATAAATTAATTAGTTTCATAAATAAATAAATGAATATGAGCCTTTCTTTTGTAGCGTTATAGTCATGCAAGAAGGGAACGGAGCACATAAAGAATGCATTCCTTAAGATTGGGTTTAGGACACTGAAACAGAAAACACTTCATCAGAATGAGATAAATAGATCGGCCACACTGATTTAAGCTACTAGCCAATACTTGGGGAATAAGAATGGACAAGAAGCCTAAACTCAGTAAAGGGAGGACTTCGAGTAGGAGACCAAGAAACAAAAGTAACTGACATTCCTATAAACAAAAGTCAGGCAATCAACTTCGCCTCAATAAGTAAATGAGTTGAATGAACTTAGGACATTATGAGATAGCAAGAGAAGGACGAGATCCTAGACAACGAGATATCTGATAATTAGTCTGTGTAGAAAGAAATAATAAAGTCAAAGAAAAAGTCATTAGTCCAAAACAAAGGTCCAGAGAAGGAGATCCAAGGCCATCGACAATCAGAACACCCTTATTTGAAGTTTGGGGATGTCTTCGTGATTAAAACCAATGTGGCTGGCACGGCAATTGGAGGGAAACAGAGTGAAACTCAAATCCACGAATTGATTATAATAGGGAATCTGTAGTACTCTGGGTCAATCAATTGTGTAAACATGACCAATCAAGTGATTAACAACCCATATTCGCATCAATAGAAGTGTTTTTTTACAATTCGGAATCCGAGAACCATCATGAGTGATCAGAGTTACGTTTGTTATGGTCAGCGCATAGTGTTGGTTCACTCTAAGTCAGAGTAGAGTGTGATGATCAACTTGGACGTGCCCTCACAAGAGCGAGGGTCATTTTAAGTCAATTTGCAATCCCAAATTGGTCATCAGAACATACTGAGAATCATGCCATACTCGAGTGCAAATAAGATAGGAGACAAGATCCAATACAATGATCAGTTGCTATTTCAATAGGATTCCAATAGATAGTATTATCTGAAGTTGGAGAAGGATGAATCGCGATACTCAAGCAACAAGTTCATAGACATCAATGCAAGTGATAGGCCTGACTGTTTCCATCTGCACAAGGTCAAGAGTCATCAGAACAACATCATCCAAATCATCAATCAACAGTTTATGATAGCCATTGGAACCAGTGAAAAGTAACTGCAGCAATTTATCATCAACAAAAATGCCATCATCAACAATTTCAATAATGATCAGTAACAACAACAGCAGGAGACCTTCTCTCTGAGAACCCTAGATCTCAACAAGTACTTGATGCAGGATTACGAAGTGCAATCGAGCAATCTCCTAAATTCCTACACCTACTTTGAAATACAACCTCTATTTCCATTTACAGAACAACAAGCTGGTCCTAATGCTTGTAAATTAAAATCCTTATTTACGTAGTAATATTTGTCACTAGATCCCAATGATGAAAAGAGACTCAAATTGACAGCAGGCTACATGCAGGATGAATATAGCATCTTCTATTTCAATCCTGAATCTACTGAGCAATAAGAATCCAATGAACAAATCGTCAGCATTCAAAGCTCCTAAGGAACATACTTGATGCTGACTTAGAATGGAAAGTTCCAATTTCAACCTCTCACCAATGATTAGACACCCCAAATATTCTCAATCAAATAGATCGACCCTGCCTCTTCTGTCATTTTGGAGGATCTCAATGAAATTCATATGAGAATCCTCAACTTCCATGTGTATTTGCAGTAATGGTCCATCTTATCAGATAAGAAGAAATCCAACGAAGACATTTTTGTTTTCGATTACCTGAAATCCCTGTCTCTGAAGGGACAGTTGGAATAGGAGGTTTATCATTTGTAATTGCAATTGGAAGCCTTGAGTAATCACTTGTCAAACAAAGCAAATCAATATGAAATGAACAATAATGTTCAAACTAGTTACCAATAGAAGCAAAAGTTGTTGAGAGAACAGAAGATCTTGGAGTTGCTGTTTTCATTATTGAAGTTGATTGACAACATCGTCTTCACCTAATAGAAAGTGTTTAGAGAGAAGGAGTAGAGCCGATTGTACAAGACAGAAAGACGACTGCCATCACAATAGACAGCTGTAATGTATTGCGTGTATTTTCTTAGTCTTACGTGGCATTCAAAGCTTTGGCCTCTATCCCTGTCCACATTTACAAGATCATCCTTTTGGCCATCAAAAACAATCAGAGCAATCGCAAAATAGCCTTGGATAATGACGAATTCTTGTGTAGATAAATTCGAAGTTATGGACCCCATGTTTCAGCCATTTTGAGGGAAGCAGTAAAAGACCAGCCAAACATCGATTTGACTGATTGGGTTCGCCTATTAGAACCATTGGAGGAAGTAGGCAATAACATCTATGACATGACTATTTATCTTAAGGTAATATCGATTGCAATGGTGGATTCCAGCAATCAAGGGATCTTTCGATATCAAAACAAAGTTTGTAAGGAACTCTTCTCTTAAGGAAAGAATGGCAAGACCAAATTCTTGTGTCAATTCAACGTTCTCCTAGATAAGCCTACATTTAATTTGTATCGAGAGGAACCCTTGGCTGATTTCTTGTTAAAGAACCCTTCCTTAAATCAATTGCATTTGATAAGGCCCTCTGAAAATAATGAGATGGAATTGTTTTCGCTTGAGGAATTGGGAGAGAAAATCTTGGTCAAGAAATCGCTGTTGCAATTCCTAAGTTATCTGACTGCTTCAGTGAACCTATTGGCTTAACTATGCAAGGGTCGAAATAAGAAATGCATGAAGAAGGTGTAATTTTTGGGAATAACTTCTAATCATATTTAGAATGTGATTAAATCAACCTAGATTCCTTTGTCAATGAAAAACAGTTATCTCAAATTATATGAAGTCTTGTACATAGATATTGATCCCTTTTTGCCCATCTACTCCCAAACCTGTTTTATTTGGGGTTAGTTGTAGATGGAAAAGGATAAGAAGATTGCCCAAATTTTCAATCATTACGTTGAAGCAGTGGAAGTGGGCAAATTGACTAAGGAGTTCGAGGAGAAGATGTTGCCTCTACTTCTAGAGTTACTGACTCAGGGCAACAGTTTCTAGGAAGGTCTAATCAAGGTGAAGAAAAAGAAGATGCATATACGATTGCCTTCTCTAAGTGGAAATTAGGTCTAAACAGAGAAGGTTGAGTAGAAGAGCAAGATTTCGTAAAAGATTAAGTTTTTGACTACTCTTTATCATCTGGTGTACAAGATAATACAATTGGGCTACTTAACGGAAGAACAGATTTGTTCGATTGTCAAGCCCATGTTGTAAATCTTTGTGCCATTTTTGTCTCAAAGAGAGAAGCAAGCCTTGGAAGTGAAGGAGAATTGGCTGAATGAATTGATTGCTTCAGCAAAGTCATTATAACAATAGAGTTTGGTTGATTTGATAGATGAACTATTTTCGAATGCTGGTTTGTTGATGAAATAGTATTTCACAATTCAGTTGAATGTGTAAATTCAGGAATTCTTAAGACATTTCTAGAGGTCCTATCAAACCTATTGTTTATAATCGCTGGAGAAGTTGATCGCTGAAGTTAGGGAGATCATTATGCGAATGCAATTAGGATAGAATAAGAACTTGGTGTTAGGGTATCTGTTGGGATTTTATTGTTCCAATTATCTATTCTAGAGTAAGGGTTTTAGGTTGTGTCAGGAAGCCTTGAATTAGGGAGTCAATCAGCAGTGGATCTCATAATTGAGACAAGCAGAGATCATTTTAGATGGAGACGAATTAGAGTTGTATTAGCAATTGACTGGTAATTCTTTGGTTGGACAAATATTCTCTCCTATTCGATTGGAAGTTCAGATCTAGCAATTGGAGGATTCTCAGAAGAAGAATTCGGAAGGAGGAGGGAAATAAAAGGATGAAAAAAATTGGGAAATCGACAATCAACTAAATAAATTGATCAATCGAATTAAGGAAATAAAAATGGATTCATTTAAATTAACAAAAACATAGAATATTCTAAGAAATCTAGGAGTTCATAAATAAATATTGAGATTGATTAAGGCATAACGTGAACAGAGTGATACTCAACAAATCTCAATTAAATTCCTATGTTTATTTCTATTGAATAATAGATTAAATTGCTCGGAAATCTAGGAGGACCTATTTACAATAATTCAGTTAGCTTCCAGTAATCTAAAGGTCTCCAAGTTGATTGGGGTCTTCTGTTAAAGTCTCAATGATTAGTGGACTGTACTTCAGTAATTAATCAAATCCATTTTCGCCACTATGCATGAACACAAAGGAACTTGTTAACAATTTTATAAGGCCTTGTTGTCCATTCTGCAGAATAGATTACTCTCTTAGGATCGCATGAATGCTTTAAAAAGAGAGATCCTGAGTAACCTATTCAAAATCCCTAGTTATATCAATGACCTATAATATTATAAGCAATTCAATGACGTTAAGAACAAGAAGGAAGAGCAGCAGTTTTATGGGATGGAATTTCAGATTTTCTCAGCTTCGAATGCGTTGACAGCTCAAGTCATTAAGGATTATTCTTTGGGAATTCAATAGATCCAAGGCATTTTATTTACTGAACAAATTAATTAGATGATTCACAATCCAGCCATATCTTATTTGATTAAATCTGAATTAATCAAATTGGTCTACATAACTCAGATTCAATAGATACAAACATTCACCATGTCAGATATGAGAGAACTGTTAATTATGCTATTGAATGATCTATTGGCATACCCCAAATATTTAGATGGATTACTAAAGTAATGCGAGACCAACACTGAGGAAGACAAGGAGAAAATCGTAAAGGATAAATTGTAAGTAGACATGATCAAACAGAAGATGTTTTAGGATACTGAAGAAAAGAAAAAGAATTTATTAGCAACTACACCTGGCATGCCCAATCAAACAAATGCTGCTTAATAACAAGTCCAACAGATGAATGAATAGAAAAGAATTGTTTTTGACAATACTGAATATTGGAAATACTTCCTCAAGATTTCTAATTGGTAGAATATTCAATTTGGAGTACTCATGTTGTTACAATAACTATTTTTAGAGATACAATATCGTAAATGGAATATCTAAGAAACCTAATCGAATTAGCAGATCCTCTAAATCGAACAAATGAATCAAATTACTGAAGACTCCCTCTATGAACCATTGGCTTTAATCAAATTAATACTCGAGAATACTAGACAAACCTTGAATCTAATTGAAAATACTTTGCAATATCCAAAATATAGAGTGTACTTGGCGTAACTATAACATTATATATCCAAATGTCTTATGCAATGTCCCTTAGAATCCAACTTAAAGAATTTCAAAACCATCAAGTATGCCTAAGAATATAAGACTCAGAGGGCTATCAAGACCTAAATCAAAGAATACAAATAGAAAGCATTGCCTAAGCCATCTTAGGAAGAGTTAAAGTAAAACCTAAACTAATTTTATGAGAAGCTAAGATGTTATATGATGGAAAAGCATCTCACAATCAATGAAATGATGGATAAAATCAGAGGAGAATTTCAATTTCATTCAGAATTACTAATTTCAGAGGGTCAATATAGTGTCAACACGCCAGATAAATTGATAGGCAAGGATAAATTTTGTAACTTGTTCAATCAGATCTTGGATGAACACTTCTAGCAATTGATCTAAATCAAATTATCGAAGACATTGCCAGACATTAGTAAGTATCTGACTTACGAGGATGCTTCCAAATATTATGAATCCTATATGCAACTAAGAGATTCCACCAAAAACCTACTAGATATAAGTAAATTTGATTTACTATTTTTTTCATAGACAAGTTTTTCTAGAAACTTATGAACTATTTAGATAGCCAAAAAATCAAATACAATAAAGTGGAACTTAAGGAATTGTAAAAAAAGAAGATTCAATAAAAAAATTATCAACAAGAAGTATTAATTATGATTAACCTAGTCTCTGTTCATACAACAAACCTATGGCTAATTCATTTATCAGTATGAGTTGTTGATCAATCCAGACAATCCATACAATTTTTATAGACTGGATAAAGCCTTATTTAATGACATCCAGGAACAGTTCCTTTTGAAGTTGTCTAATGATGATGAAGTTATTTATATATTTTCTAGATTGCTAAAGGAAGAGGCTATCTAATAAAAATAATTAGCCCTGAACATTATTTATGAATGCTTACAAAGAGAGTAGAGTATTATTGAAAAAGATCGATTGTTACATTTTTGTATCAAACAAATACCCTTTTTGATGATGTACTTAGAGGAAAGCGATAATGAATACACAATTAAGAGTATTAAAAAAGTTAAAAAAACTCTGTTTATTTTTGAACAAATCTAAAAGATGAATAAACAACAATTAGCCACTGTCATCGAGAATGACTGCTGGGTGTAGTTCAATAAATTTATATCGCGCACATTCAACCAAGTTGATAGACTATTTAGTTTGGAGTAACATATAAAATAGAGTGCATCAAGCAACGACAATCGACTCTTCATCAGTAAGACCGATCTAAGCAATGAGAAGAATTAATTGCTTGGACAATTCTTTAAAATTATCGCTTCTATCTTGAGACTCATAGGCAAACTCATCCAATGCATAGATGTAACTTCTCAATTCGGAGATTCTGCAAATCAATCTTCTCTAACAGAAGAAGTGTTGTATTTTACTACCAATTATTTTAATTATATCAATAGATCATAATTAACTCACATATGCACAGAAACTGATATACTAACACTGTATACTGAATCTTTCAGATGTTTAAATAATTTTTGTGAAGGAAATCCTCAAAACCAAAATTTAATATTTAATCACAAACCCTTAATCTAAATCATATAATTCGTTATCACCACTCCTAAGTATGATATTTTGGCTGATAATTTATAAGACAATAATTATCGAACCTTATTTAAAGCAACAATAAAACTACTTTTATTGGTACAATTGGATTTACATTAAAGTTACACTGAATTGAATTTTCAGATCCTTTTTGAAAAGCTACTGACAATTTATGACACCTTTGCTCCTAGGCTTTAGATTATAATTCAAGGGTAGAAATGTACTCATGTGGACAATATTAATTGCACTTATCTAAAATGCCAATATGATTTAATTGCCCCAGGGGAATTTGAAGTGTTTACCATCTGCTTTGATTTGATCATACTGTTTAACATCTTGTGTGAGAAAATTGACAAGGTGGGGAAGGGAGAAATCAAAAGGGATTATTGGTAAACACTCAAAGAAAGAGTGATTGTAGATCAGATGCATGATTTAACTTTGAACTAGAAACAAAATATCAATTTCTTAAGAATCTATTTGAGTATGAAATAATTTGTCAAGTAACAACCATTTGATGATAAAAGACGAGAATTTTTGAGAGAGTACTTACAATCAAATGAGTCTGTAATCACTTCATTAGAAATCAAGGAGCACAAGTAATAACAAAAAATAAATGTTAAAAAGAAATCTACAAGTGTTAAATCTCCTATCATTCTAAACAAATAATAATCTCTATTAGGAGATATGGCTAGTCCAAAAAGCAAGTTGAAGGAAAGCATTTACAAGATAACAAACAAAAAATTACAGGTTAAACAAACCTTGGAAGAGGCCATTCCTTTTAAAAAGTTCGAAGAACAGGATATGGTGATTGAAACACATGGAAAAAGAGGAAGTAAGATGGAATAAAAATTAGAAGAAATAGCAATTAATTGGTTGGAAGGTGCTTAACAAAACAATTAGAGGGATATTATTAAGTAAAACATGTGTTTGAAAATGGCAGAGGCTATTAATTTTTTTAGTAAATATGTTGGATAAATATAAATTAAAAGAAATGATGAAACAAAGTTATAGTACTTTGTCTTACCATTTTAATCATCATTTTTATTAAAGCAAACTACAAAAAAGGCTAAAATGCTGAGAATGAGAAGAGGGAGATATGAGTAATTAAAAACCATGTCAGACTATTTTTAAAAGGAAGTAATTTTTAGACAACATATATCGATGTATCCAAAATTAAATTGGTTTTCAATTAATATTCATCTCATTAAGACTTTTAATTATTTACTTGTTCTAACGTTAAATATATGCTATTTAGCTGATTTAGAAAGACAATCTGAAACTTATTCATTTAAGAATTAAATAGTTCAAATCATTGTGATTATTTTAACTATTATTTTAATACTCCTGTCATTATTTGTATTGATAATAGAGATCATTAATTAATAGCCATACATAGCATTTAGAGTAAACTTTTATAGAGAATAAAATTATGAAGACGATTCTCTTGGATTCAAAGGTAGTGATAATCTAAATTATATTTACCCTAACTTATAAAGACTTAAGAAGACCAATCAAAGAAAGAAGATTAAAATGCATTAGTATTTCACCCAAAATAGAATTTTGGCCTAAATTACTAATGTAACATTTTTGTATCATTTGTGCTATTTGGTATTGGCAGCATTGTCATTTTTGGCATCTCCATTTATTTCCTTATTACTTTTTGACATAGTTCCAAGGGTGAAAGTAAATAATCATATAAATTATAGGGTTTAAAAAAAGTATTAGAATCTGTTTTTGTAAATATTGGCAAGATCATACTGATTTTGTATTTAGCATTGGTTGTAATTCATTGTTATGCCTTCTTGGCCTTTTTAGTAGAGGATATTTCAGTTTTTCAGGAGGATTAAAGTGTGGAACTTCCATTCATTACTATTTTCTTGAGATTTTTTGGAAATGGATTTAGGTTGTAGAGTGCTTTTAGTTAGGTTGATGTTTATCCTGATCAATAATGGGGTAATTATATATTTTTGGTATCCTTTTTTTTGGTTGTATTTATCATTTGTTTCGCATTAATCATAAGCATAATAACAGGGCAATATTCTCATAAAAATCTACTATCCAAAAATCAGAAGAACAAATCTTGTAAAATTTGTAACATATCCTATTATTAATGTCGCGAGAAGTATAAAAACACATTATATTTTAGAAACATAAGTTGGCAAGAACACATAGAGAAGGTACACAAGTTGTCAGCATATTTATTCTTTATCATATGTTTGTAGTAGAAATAGGAATTAAATTATGTAGAAAGAGAAATTGCAAAAAAGTTACTCGAAAAAGATATGTCTTGGTTGCCCACAAATTGATAAGAAATTTATATCATAAATACTATTTGAGAATCTAATATAAATATATATAAGACACTCTTTGTAATAGACCTGTTTCATTATTAAATACCTCTTAATCCTTAAGAAAATCAATAAAGGGTAACAGAATTTATGGACATAGAAAACATAATAATAATACAATCTACCAGCTATAATAATATAAATCTAAAGAATCCATATTTATATGTTTAATTTCAATACGATAAAGTCCTACGACTTTTTCTTATATGATCTATCTTCTCTTTCTTCAATTGATACCTTCTAATTATAAAGAATATAGCCACAAAAAGTGCCACTACTATTGAAAACGCTACAACACAAAAATAAATGTAGAGATTTTCTTAATAAGGAGACATCAGAACTCCATGGACGTCAAATACATAGTCAAGTCTACATTGACAATAATTGAAAACGTCTGACTAATTTTTATTAAGGCAATTAGTGCTATTCAGACGAATCTATCAAATATAATTTATATTTTACAGTGACTCTATTTTATTAACTCAGTCTAGCTTAACAAGAAATTTAGGCTGATTTTTCATATATTGAATATATAGCAACACCATATTTGTAGATTCCAACCACAAAATCTGTATCCATTTCAATCAATCCCAAAAACTCCATTTAATAATAATTATTACTACATAACTTCATTAACTAATTACCCATTATAAAGATATGGTTCGCTAAAATTGTCAATCAGATTTTTCTGATACATGTTGTTTGTTGGATTACTAATTAATAAAGCATAATTATCAAATTATTTGATATTCCTGATGATTTACTTAGTAGCAGTCATCTTTCTAATCAACACCCAACTATCATTGAAGATTCTGCCTTCATACACTTCTGAAAATAATTGATTCTATTATATCAAGATGATTTGATTATTTTTAACCGATATGACCTTGCATCCCTTTTGACTAATAAAGAACTTCTTATCCATATGCATAGACGCAAGGTTAAAACGTCTGACTCCATTTTCTTGGTCTAATAGATATAAGTATTCCTTGTCTATAGAGTAATCAACTAAATTCAGATTAGTAATGTCTAGGTTTTAGTAAATGTCCTAAATTAGAGATGTAACTATTACTTCGATCATCAATTTATTGACTAGCAATAGGATGTTATTTTGCATTTTATAAATACTCATTCCAAAAATGCCATTGATCAAGTAAACATACTCTTGTCTCACAAATATCTTAAAATGTCCATTCACTTTATTCCAACTGCGTATTTTAGCTTCTTCCAAACTACCATTGTTGATATTGAACTTCACAAATTACTCACTGTCAATATAGTAAAAGGATTGGTTATCCGCCAAAACTTATGAATATTCGTTTACGCCTAAATTAATTGATAATTAATAGGCTGTGTAATTTGTTAATGTGGGACCATCGTTATAGTATAGGTGATGGATTGTTCCGTTTTTTTCCAAGAGGATGAGATTCCTATCTATTGTTGCATATGAAATTAGTTCATCTGAAAATCCTTGCTGAATATCTTCTTATTTCAAACTATCAATATCAATTTATTGCAGATCTGTTACCAAAGCTATCAAAGTGTCTGGTTATCTTTAAAAGAGCATGGTTTGATAATCGAAATTGCAAATAGGTTCATCCAAGTCTCCGCTGTATTCAATTGAGATATTTCTACATAGTTTTAAGAATGTGAATACAAGATCTATCCAAATTCTTCGAATGTTCTTGAAAACACAGTTTTATCAGCGATTAAAGGAATAAACTACGGGAAAGCAAAGGAGTAATTAGTCCAGGTAATTTCCTGAGAAAAAACATGCAGAAATTAGAGAAAGATCAACATAATTAATATTAATAATTTGGGGGAATTAGCTGTATTTTGAGTTAGAGGATCAGGTATCATTCTATTACAATAAATTCACGATTTCTTCGATTGGTTTTTCATTCAAAATCAAAGACAAGGCCACAGAAGAAAGATGATCTTCATTATTTTTTTGTAACCATTCAATTTAATTGATGGGTTAAATAGTATTCTTTGAGTTGGAACTAGGATTTTTGATCTGTAAGATTTGGGCCAAGCAAAATCCTAAGTCTTAGAAATTAAGCATGTTGTTTCCGATTGTAGCTTCAGTGTAATCAATCAATATGAAAGATTTGGTATCTTCGTGGTATAAAATAGAATCTAAGGTGATTTGCTTTAAGAGTAATTAGTGTTCTTGGGCAGAGAGCAAGCCTTAAATTAGATCTAAGAATATTGTTTTAATTTGCTTGTTTGTCAATTCATCTAAGAAATGGAGGATTGTTTTACGACAATACTAATAGACTAGTAATTAGAAGGAGATGTGGAGGATTTCTAATATTAATTTGAGATGAAATACTTATTTCTTTAGCCAAATCGTCAATTTTTTGGGTCTGAGCCGAATAGGTGAAAATGTTTTCAGGGGTAAGTATAAATTTATTATTTAATGAAAATAATTTCTAAATAATTTGCACCAAATTGTATACTTCTATAATGTCAGATTTGATTGAAATTGGTTTAATTTAGTATTTTTTTTTTGACTTTAAATCTTCGATCTAAGCATATACAGACATATTTACAATGATGGGATAATTTTTGGATAGCAGATGCTAATCTAATTTTAGATAATCAAATTGGTAAGTATTCTAATCTCTTAAATCCAGATCGTTCTATTCAGAAATATCTAATTTGCAACTTGATATTTTCTGAATCGAGAACCATTTCTGTTATACATCCTGTGGTGGTCTCTTTTTGTGTATTTTCTTCGACCTTTATTTAATAACCTGGATTGATTTACTTTTCCAAAACCTATTCACTGCTCTAATGAACTTTATTCCAACTCATTTAACTGAGATTGTCAGGAGAGGCGATTTAATCTTGTTGGCTGGAAGAATAAATATTCATACAATTATTTAATTTTTTAATTGTTTATTACTTTCTCTTCGATGACTTTCCAAAAAATGCCATTCTTTTCGTGATTTAAACCAAATTTACATAATAATACTTAATCAAAAATAACAACAACATCTTTTTTATATATTAATATTTTAATTATCTTTATAATCTAATATTTTAATTAGATCCTTTAATTTCCTTTTTTATTTATGTGGTGGATTTAATAAAAAAGATTGTTTCAATATATTAAATATTTCTGTTTATATTACACATTAGAATTAATGATTTCAAATTCACCTGAGGCTGAAAAACTCAAAGAATTAGGAAATGAGCAATTCAAATTGAGTAACTTCCCAAAAGCCATTGAACTCTACACTGCTGCTGTTGAAAAGGCAGCTGGTAATAATTATTCTTAATAAATTCCTAGGCAATCAAAGACTTGTCTGTCTCTCAAATAGAGCATTTGCACACATCAAAATGGAAAACTATGGACTCGCTATCATCGATGCAGACGAGATTTTGAAGGAGGATTCTGGATTCATTAAGGCTTATTACAGAAAGGGTTCAGCTTATTTATTATTGGGCAAGTTCGACGACGCTAGAAAGGAATTCAAAAGAGTAATACATTGATTAATTTGTATAGGCTGACACTCTCACCTCTGGAAAAGATGCCGATATTTAGGCTAAATTGAAATAAATCAAATAGGCAATCTATGAACGAGAATTTGCAAAATCCATAGAAAGACCAGACGAATCAAGTGAGCCCATCGACATCAATGACATCTTTGTTGAACAAGGGTACGATGGACCAAGAATTGACAAAGATATCAGTGAAGTTACACCAGAATGGTATCACTTATTCGATTATGACAAGGTGTGAGAATTTGATGAATCATTATAAAGATCAAAAGAAATTGCATAAGAAATATGCAGTCATGATATTACAAAAGGTAGGAGAAATATTGAAATCTCAACAAAACGTAGTGGAATATGATGTTCCTAAGTAAATATTGATTGAGATAATAATTTTCTAGAGATCTTGAGTTTACTGTTTGTGGAGACACTCATGGACAATTCTTTGATCTCTTAAACATATTTAAAATAAATGGAAATCCCTCCGTGAAGAGACCTTATCTATTCAATGGGGACTTTGTGGACAGAGGGTCTTGGAGTGTGGAAGTCATGATGACTCTGTTTGCATGGAAGGTATGCAATCCAGACATCATGCATTTGACCAGAGGAAACCACGAAAGTAGGAACATGAACAAGTTGTATGGATTTGAAGGGGAAGTCAAACACAAGTATGATGACAAGGTTTATGAGTTGTTCTAAACTGTTTTCAACTATTTACCATTGGCTTACACTCTATCCAAATAAGTGATGGTTGTTCACGGAGTAAGATGATCTCTTTACTATTTCTAGGGATTGTTCTCCAATGATGGTGTCACTATCAGTGAATTATAGAAATTGAATCGTTTCAGAGAAATTCCAGAGGGGGGTCCCATGGCTGATATGTTGTGGAGTGATCCCATCAAGTAGAATGGAAGACATCCAAGCAAGAGGGGCATCTCTATCTCCTTTGGACCTGACATCGCTCATAAGTTTTTGAATGAAAATGGATTATGTATGAGAGTTCTATTAACTATATTAAAGCTCTCTTGGTGAGGTCGCATGAGATGAAGGATCAAGGGTATGAAGTAGAGGCTGATGGGAGAGTCATCACCATTTTCTCTGCTCCGAATTATTGTGATCAAATGAAAAACAAGGGGGCTTTTATTATATTCAAGGGAGGGGAAATGAAGCCCAAGTTCATTCAATTCGATGCTGTGGTATTTGCTATGGTCTATGAATCATTTAGGAACATCCTAAGTTACCACCCATGGCTTATGCTAGAAATTATGGAATGTTTATGTGAAAAACACAATATTAAGTTTATGTTTTTGTGCAAAGAATAATTCGCAATTTATTAGTATTATATTTATATGCTTTTTCTTTTCTTTCGATATAAATAAATCCAGAAATCAGCACATTCTAAATTGCGCATATAAAGTAATAGTTTAGATTAAGATTATTCTTAGAAATTCTAACAATCCCTTGATTTATCGAAATTTCTAAAAATCATATTTAATTATTTTTTATGGATAGAGCAAAAGAAGAACATAATATTAAATAAAAGGCGTCGACTCCTTCTTTTTTAATTAAAACCTACGACATTTTGGAAGTACACAAATTACCTCTACTTATTAATTAGAATCCTGATTATAATGAAATTATATCATGGAATGAGGAGGGTACAGCATTCGTTGTAAAAAATGTTAATGAATTGGCTGAGAAAGTACTATTGCATAAAATAGTCTAGGTATTGCCTAACCACTTCAAGCATAATAATTATGCGTCATTTGTAAGATAATTGAATATGTATGATTTTCATAAAATGAAAAATGAAGGGGGAGATAATGAATTTAGACATAAATATTTTTAGAGAGGAAATAAGTAATCATTAATTCCTATGTCACAAAGGCATTTACTGTGTGAAATCAAGAGAAAGTAAGGAGAACAGGTCGAGTAGTTTGACGAAAGAAATTAAAATTCAAGTTAGAATTGTAAATTTATATGTCATTTATAATAGCCAATAATTCAATGGAAGTAGATATGTCCAAACTAAAAAATGATTATTAATTTTTTCTTAATGAAATGCTCGGCATTAAGGGAAAGTAACACGAATTACAGAAGGCCCTGATCTTAATCATGACCCAAAACGATCATCTGATCAATGAAAATAAATTATTATGGCAAGTAAGACATCCAAACTCAATAATTTCTTAAGGAAATCAAACGAATCAGAGAGACTGACGAGAGAAAAATTGATACCTTGTCTTACTTATTAGCCACCTTGATTACAAATATGAATTAATCCTAAAACCAATAAACAGTTCAACAACTCGTCGGTGTCTAAGTGCCACCACAGACTCAAATCCCCCAGCAAGAACCAAGTAAATATTGATATTAATAAAAGATAATCATATTGATCAGCAGTTTAATAATCTCTTGAATCTTCAACAATTGAATCAAAACAGTATGATATTTGAATAACCACATTAGAACCTGGACAGCAAAAGGATTAAAAGCAGCTCCAAGAACATAATTCTTTTCTAGAAAAAATAATGAAAACCTAATAACAACAAGAACAGCAATTACAATCAAGTATCTATTTATCCACTATGTAATAAGTCAAACAAGACATTTCCTAATATGATAATAGTTATATGAAGAAACAATGCAACAATCAATTTTAAAGACAACCATAACATATGGATTCAAATTTCATGGTTTAACAGAATAGCTAGGCCTTGATTTAATGTAAGTTGCCCTCTATAAAGTAGAACTCATGAGCTTGTCCTAATAATAGCAATCGCAGTAGCAATAGCCATAAGGACAATAGTTCTAGAACAATTTTTAGAATTATTTTGGATAAAATAAGGGAAATGAAAATTTTAGAGGATTCCCATATTTATGAACTATTTGATTATTATATAAAATTATTATTAAGGATTGCAAAGATAGCTAATTTAATTAGCGAATATTAAAATTAATCAAATAGTAAAATAACAGAAAAGTTTTTCTTTTTTATAAATCAATCGCTATTTCAACAATGTTCTGATCTAGGACATGGAGTATGCATTTGATTCCAATTTTATTATACACAAATAGCACATTGTATGTAAGAGGACATGTGGATATTTAAAACGGATAGCTAAATTAATGTTGAAAATGAAACCAATTGTCGTTTTTGAGTTAATAATTTATATATAAATATTTATTACATGACTCAAGCTGCTCCAGATTAGAACATGCCTTTAGACGATATAAATTCCACTTAAAAACAATCAAATGGATTAGGGATTGCTAAAAAAATAAAAAAGAAGGAGAAAGGATGCTTTTGTAGAAAATAAAAACAGAAAAAAATATATACATTTATTTCACCAGATGATTCCTCCTATGAATGTGAAGGGTGGGAAGAGGAAGATTTATTTAACAGATAATCTGACCATCGACGATAAAACAAGGAAATAACAGATCTTAAATGTTTAGCTTGGAACCTTGAACTGATTATCAAAAATGCAAAATAATAACTTGAATATTTGGAGGGAACTATGCCATCAGCTCATGTAAAAAATTGATTTTCACTTTTTTCTTTATTTAAATTTATCAACTATACCCAAATGTCCTTGCTTAAATTTCATCGTCATCATGTCTTTTAATCTCCCTTCAATTCAATTTTATTCTTGCGTCTAAATCTATTAAAATGCCTAAATTTCATGACGTATTATATCCCAAGTCAAACAGAAGCAATACTAAAGGTATCTAACAATTTTTAAAATAGCCTTATTTGCACGTGGAATTTTAAATTGCATTTCCTGTGTGAATTTTCGCATATTCTAATAATCATGAAATTCTTATAGTAATTTCAACAAATAAGAATCAAGAACTCATTTTGTAGACCGATATTAATAACAATCATTACCAATCAAAGGTTATTATTAAATTTTACCTCTTGCGGATAAACGTATTTAGTATAAAAAAGAATTTAAAAATTTACATTTTAACTGTAATACATTACACGAATGATTTTATTATAATTATATATATCAAGTTAAAGTCATTTTAAGCTGAATTGTTGCAAAATTTTACATACAATTTGCATGTTTAAAATTTATTTTTATATACCAATATAAATTTTTGTATATAATAAATTATACTATTACTGAATGCTGTGACGTGATTATATTTTGCAAAACAAAAATTGAAAAAATAAAAATGATAAATTAAACAAAAACATAACTTTTCGAAGTTTTTAAAAAATTCGATAAGGATGGCAATGGCTATGTAGAATCAAATGAATTAATTGAGATTAGCAGGTAGATGAACGAAGAAATTACACAGGATGATGTTGATAGAGTATCCTTCAATTATCAATTTTTAGTTGATGAAAGTTGTTGATTCCAATGGAGATGGTAAAATATCATTTGAAGAGTTTTGGAATTGGTGGCAATTTGGAAAGAACGAAAAACTAGAGAAACTAGTATTTATGAAATTGAAATTGATGAATATGCTAAAATCCATAAATTCTGAATTTACAAGATTTGGAGTCTCTCTTGAATAGAAATATGAACCTAAATTAGATCACCATTATTGGGCAATTAATTATGGAGATTTCTAATCCCATTTTAAATTCAATGTCAAATTCAAATATAGAGGCTCAGGAGTTCAAGAAGATATTTAACAAGAAGTTGGTGTTCCATAATCAGAATCGCTACAAATTGTGTTCATTTTCAGAGCAATTAAACCGGCTTTAGCCAAAGAAAAACTAGAATAATTATGGAATGAGTATAAAGACAATCTGAGAGAAAAGCAGGATTAATTTCTCCTTCCAATAATAGAAGGTTCATTAAATATTGAATTTCAAGAGAGGAAAGACTCAGTTGCCATAGTAATCAATGTGAGTCATCCATTGATTGATATGACATTTGAATCGGGATATTTACCTTATTGTTAAAAATTAGGTCAAGATGTTGAATTATCTTTGGAGTTTCTATTTGGAATCAAGAATGGAATCACAAAATTAATGAAAAAGGATCAGATATTTATAAAGTATTTATTGGAAGGCTTTATAATGGAATTTAAGGCTGCTTTTAATAGTGATCTAGGCAAGAAACTTGCTGGTGTTATTATAGCTAGTATTGGATAATAAGCTGCTAAAAAGTTAGTTCAACAAAAAGGAAGAAGATTGTAAGAAGAAATCTTATGGCCTATGCTATTTAAGAGTTCAAAGTTTCATTTATAGTTTAAAAATATGGAAGATGTCAATTAATTTTTGAAATCTTTGGGTTTATCAGATTTGGCTGACGATTAACCAACAGCAAGATAATTAATAGATGAACTTAAAGGTGACTTTAAATTGTAATAGATTAAAAATCCAAAATCAGATTTATATTTCGTTTATAGAGTACTTTTATTTCATATCCATAGCTACTTTCAGTTTTAGCAGAGTATTTCATAGCTCAAGGTACAATAAATATAAATATTCCTTTTGCTTATTTAAATGTTTCTTTTAATTTTGAAGGTTTGAAAGAAGTGTTTGATGCAGTATTTGATCACGATAAGTAAAAGCAGTAGAAGATCATTTGATTTTATTAATTTCACATAAAAACCAAACCATCATATCTATCTATACATTTATGAGCATTAATTTTGCTCATTTATAATTCATTAATAACATAGATTCTAAATGTAATTGATTATGAATTTTAATGGCATATAATAAGTCTAGATCTTTTTTTATTTATATTACTTATTAGAATATACCATCAATTAAGACTTAAATGAATTCCAGTTGCAAATAAGTTTATAATAAGAATAGATATAGATATAATTCAAATAGAGAGTATTTTTATAAGAGAAATAAATATTATTAAAATAACCAATATTAGAATGAAGGAATATATGCTGCATATTTTGTATTTTGTTTTTTGATTATTTTGAATTTAATAAATCAATGTTTTTGTTAGGGTGGTGTGTCATCCAAATCTAATAGGATAAGGAAGAGTTTTTACCTGTTGGGAATGATTCGCTCATGTTCCACCATGACTCGTTGTAAGGATAATCTCTGAAATAGGGCAAGTGTGGATCAAATTTGCCGTCATGGACTGGTCTTTATTTATAAAAGCCTAGAGGATCAAATTTCAATTCTTTATCGGTGTAAACAATATATCTGGTTGAAGTGCTGGAATATGGTCTACATTCATCGACATATAAAAATGCATCGTAGTTGTACTCTAACCAACTGACCCATTTATTTTCCAATTCAGAAAATTCTACTTTCTATTCTTGATTTAAATCTAATTAGTTTTGCCAATGTAGTTTACTTGCATAATTATTATTCAATTCCTATAATCTATTAAAATCTTTTTGGGCGACTTGCATCTCGTTATAGAATCTAATGTGATCGCCTTTGAAATTCTCTAATTGGGAAGTGTAATGTCTCCTGATGGTTGCCCTAAGAATATACTTTGGATCAACCTGTATAATCTGGTAATTCTTTGAGTTTAAGAGAGAGTGTCAGGATGCTTCACTCCATAAGCAAGCAAGTTAACCATCTCAGACCACTTGAAATTCTTCACAGCTAAATAAGCTTTGCTCATTAAAATCTTTATATTAAATATATTATTTTAATGCAGCCATCTTTTACTATTAACCCATCATGTTTTAGGTTGTTTGTTCGGCCTAAACCGAATGCACAAGGCAAACAGTCTGCAAAACCGGATTCGGATGACGAACTCAAAGTAATCATAGTTTTTAATCCAAAGTAACACGATGATCAATTTCATCCAAATGTTTAGAATCAATTCCTCATGAAAAATAGATCAACAACGATATGTTCAAATACATCAACATTGCCTGAGACTTTATCTACTTCCTTTCACAATCAGGAACTCAATCAATCAGGCTTAGAATAAAATAAAGAAGATATATTTTATAAAACCATGCCTACTTCATTCCAGCAATTTCAGTTCAAAAATAAGAGAAGATATGAACCATAAGCCTAAATAACCCAGTATCAAATTAAATTAGATTCGGTATTCGTGTAGAATCTAAATAGATTCCTGGAGATGAGAGAACTACCTTAATGATACGGAACATTCCAAATAAATACACATAGCCTATGTTATTGGAGAATTTTGATATCAATCATAAAGACAACTATGATTTTTTTTATCTTCCCATTGATTTTACAGTAATCTTTAAGATATCATAGAATAAATGTAATGTGGGGTATGCCTTTATTAATTTTTTGGATTCAAAATTCATTCCCAAATTTTTTCTAGAGTTCCACGGACGAAAATGGAAGCTCTTCAATTCGGACAAAGTAAAAATAAGAGTTAATTTAGATCTGTGAAATAACTTATGCCAGAATCCAAGGTGTCGAGCAATTGCAAGGACACTTTCAATACTCTACCATCATGTAGGAGAAGGTAATCAATTGCATGTGATAGTAGGACAAGAGACTTAAACCAATTTTTAAGAAATACCAATCAGATTAATAATTCAAAAGAAAATGATATTGATTTCAAGTAGATAATACTATCTTCATATATATATATATAATCTAATTATAAATTATTTTATAATCCAATTTAATTATATACATAGTGTCTCACCATTTTATACTATTTTGTAATAGCCGCCAAAAACTAAATTCAAATAATGTGGTAATACATGCATTTATACTAAAGTTTCAATTATAAAATTGGAGTATTTAACTTTAGAACTACAGGGTTTACTTTAATAATATAAATAAAATGAAGGCTTTTCTTCTAATAACAATCAGCTATGTAGTGTAATGTTGGTGGGATGTTGGTCATATGATGACTGCATAGATAGCCAAGAATTACTTAAAAGACAATCGTCCAGATGTGTTGGCATGGTCTGATTCATTGGTTTAAGATTTGAACCCACTCACAGATGGGAAATCTAACACATTTGCAGAGGCTGCAGTGTGGATGGATGACATAAAGGAAACAGGAACAGCATTTATGAATGATTGGCATTACACAGATAGACCCATAAATCCTGACGGTCTATTGATAAAATTGGACGACCAAGTCAGAAACATAAATTCTATTTATGCAATTAACCAAGCAGTTTCTGTGCTCACTAACACCAAAACAGCTAAGAATAGACACACAATGTTCAAAGCTTAGATGATTAGAGTGCTTCTTCATGTTATTGGAGACATGCATCAACCATTACATGATACTACCTTCTTTAATTCAAGTTATCCAAATGGAGACTAAGGTGGAAATTTCATGAAAGTTCAGGTATAGTTGAAATCGATAAGTTTAGTTGGAGAATGGAACTCTAGTCAATTTACATTCTTTTTGGGATGCAGGTGCATTTGCTTTTAGTCCCAATAACTCTTTTTTAGTAAGACCTTTGAGTTAAAGTGATCAAGAATATTTGAATAAGTGGTCATTGGACGTAATTAAAAAGTATTAAATTACGAAATACAATAATATCGATATGACGTATTTTATGCATTAATATTTAAATAGTAATCCAACAGTTTGGACTTATGTGGGGTATAGACAAGCTGTTTAATTTGTGTATCCAATGATTGCTTCATCAAATAACTACAACAAGGACTATACGTAATAAGCACAGCAATTCTGCGAAGAGAATCTAGCTATTGGAGGATATCGTTTGGCCCAGAAGTTAATCGATATATTTGATCAGATTCTCCTAAATGAAGCCAAATTAACATTTGAAGATTGATTTTTTAAACTACTATTTTTATCTCATTCTATTTTATTTAAAAATATATTTCAATTCACTCTTGTTATCTTATTTCTAATTATTTATTATTGTTATTCCACAAGGCTATGTATTCTCCATTGTCAGTCAAACTGCCACCTCTGTAGTTGTCTGTGATTTTCTATTGGACTCCATATCTCCCTGTTGTTTATTGGAATAAAATGTAAATGCAATCAAGATGACGACAGAAGATGGATTACAATTACTGATTGTAGAACATGTGGAAGAAATCGAAGTAACTCATCTTCGATTTACTGAGTTCTAGTTCTTGAATCTATTCGAATGATTCAACCGATTCCATATATTGATAAAGAATAACCACCCCATTATATAATTTGGTGACAATTAGCTTGTCATTGATGACACAAACTGAATGCACCCAATTTTCATAATCATTCTATATCACTTGCTTTAATCTCCATTGTTACTATTCATCCAACTCATAGATAATTATAGTTTTATCATAAGAGCCGGAAACCAACATTGTGCCAGCTGAGTTTAAACTCAATGAATAAACGTCCTTCTTATGATCCTGTAGAGTTTGATAGCATTTCCATTGTGGCTGTTATGAAGTCAGTAAGGATTCTTGCATCCACACCTTGATTTTATTATCATCTCTACTGGATAAGATTTGATCTTCGTATTAGTTTATAATAACACAATTGATGCAAAAACTATTGCCTTCTAAAATCTATATACATCCCCATTCACTATTACTAAACTCCTTCCAAATTCTTAGGGTCTTGTCTCGACTCCCGGAGATGAACCAATTATTCTTACGACTGAAGTAGAGACAGGTGACTTCTTTGTCATGTCCTTTCAATGTTTGAAACAATTCCAATTTGCCATTGTCGAAAGTCCAGACCTTAATGAGTTCTTCAGAGGTGCTTATCATTATGGAATTGTCTTTGTTGAAGGCTGTGGCTAAGCACTTTTCCTTTTAGGGAGCCTTCCCCACGATTTCTTCATTAATGATAAGATTGGTGGTTAGAGATTCTTTGAGTATTTCCATATTGCTTTGGATAGACTTGATGTTGTTTTGATAATTGGAAAGAGTGGTTTACAGTTGTTGTTCCTTCTTCATTTGAACCACAGAGTAACCAGCTTTGATCAGTGAAAACTCATTTCCTTACTAACTTAATTGTAATCCTATATTTTGCAATCCACTTATGGTCAAATACTCATTAATATCGAATTGCCATTGAACTGATTAGGCTTATTGAATGACTCCGACAATCTTTTCGATTCTTTCATTAATCTATTTACTAATTTCATTGAGAGATTGTGAAATGGATTCAGAAAGTTGATGAATGACCTTCTTGAATTCCAAGAAATCGTAGATCTTGTTTTTTCTATAATTTCTAATCTGTTGTTTCTCGTCCTCTTTCAATTTCTTGAATTTCTCTAGAGCATTTTTCAATGGAACAGCATCATTCAAAGGTGTGCAATTCAAACATTTGGCCCTATTATTAATCGGTGTATCCTTCTTGGTATCAATATAACTGATTGGTTGATTGTGATTTGGACAACCGACATTGCTAGCGAATGATTACAACATTTATATTATATATNTAAATGCAATCAAGATGACGACAGAAGATGGATTACAATTACTGATTGTAGAACATGTGGAAGAAATCGAAGTAACTCATCTTCGATTTACTGAGTTCTAGTTCTTGAATCTATTCGAATGATTCAACCGATTCCATATATTGATAAAGAATAACCACCCCATTATATAATTTGGTGACAATTAGCTTGTCATTGATGACACAAACTGAATGCACCCAATTTTCATAATCATTCTATATCACTTGCTTTAATCTCCATTGTTACTATTCATCCAACTCATAGATAATTATAGTTTTATCATAAGAGCCGGAAACCAACATTGTGCCAGCTGAGTTTAAACTCAATGAATAAACGTCCTTCTTATGATCCTGTAGAGTTTGATAGCATTTCCATTGTGGCTGTTATGAAGTCAGTAAGGATTCTTGCATCCACACCTTGATTTTATTATCATCTCTACTGGATAAGATTTGATCTTCGTATTAGTTTATAATAACACAATTGATGCAAAAACTATTGCCTTCTAAAATCTATATACATCCCCATTCACTATTACTAAACTCCTTCCAAATTCTTAGGGTCTTGTCTCGACTCCCGGAGATGAACCAATTATTCTTACGACTGAAGTAGAGACAGGTGACTTCTTTGTCATGTCCTTTCAATGTTTGAAACAATTCCAATTTGCCATTGTCGAAAGTCCAGACCTTAATGAGTTCTTCAGAGGTGCTTATCATTATGGAATTGTCTTTGTTGAAGGCTGTGGCTAAGCACTTTTCCTTTTAGGGAGCCTTCCCCACGATTTCTTCATTAATGATAAGATTGGTGGTTAGAGATTCTTTGAGTATTTCCATATTGCTTTGGATAGACTTGATGTTGTTTTGATAATTGGAAAGAGTGGTTTACAGTTGTTGTTCCTTCTTCATTTGAACCACAGAGTAACCAGCTTTGATCAGTGAAAACTCATTTCCTTACTAACTTAATTGTAATCCTATATTTTGCAATCCACTTATGGTCAAATACTCATTAATATCGAATTGCCATTGAACTGATTAGGCTTATTGAATGACTCCGACAATCTTTTCGATTCTTTCATTAATCTATTTACTAATTTCATTGAGAGATTGTGAAATGGATTCAGAAAGTTGATGAATGACCTTCTTGAATTCCAAGAAATCGTAGATCTTGTTTTTTCTATAATTTCTAATCTGTTGTTTCTCGTCCTCTTTCAATTTCTTGAATTTCTCTAGAGCATTTTTCAATGGAACAGCATCATTCAAAGGTGTGCAATTCAAACATTTGGCCCTATTATTAATCGGTGTATCCTTCTTGGTATCAATATAACTGATTGGTTGATTGTGATTTGGACAACCGACATTGCTAGCGAATGATTACAACATTTATATTATATATATATAAAAATGATAAAGGGAAAAATTGGAAATATCATATTAATAAAATTTATATGCAGCCCCATCAAAGTTTAAAAAACCTGTTCCTGAGAACCAATGGACTGATCAAAATAAAGCCAAAAGTGAGGGTTACTGACAATTACACCCTGTCCCTTGTGTATACTCCTGGAGTGGGCCATATTTGCAAGGTGATCCAAAAAGACCCAGATTAACTGTACGAATAGACGATAGCTGGTAATTCGATTGCACTTCTTGCTGACGGATCAAGTAAGCATCTCCACAATTACTCGATAGAATTCAATCTCCCTCGGTCATCCAAAATGATCCCAAATTTAGAAGCCATAAGTGCCTTGTACAAAGCATTCTATGACGTAGATGCCTATCCTATTATCTTGGATAGAACTATTATGACAGATGTATCTGATTATGTGCTGGTGATGGACAATTTGTCACCCACTTACAAAGTATCACCTTTTAGATTATTCCCTAGACTATAGTTTTAATTGACATCGAAGATACGTTAGCATCACAAATCCTCACAGCCGTAGAAAATGCCAATCTCCAATGCACTGTGATTATTTCCAACTCCCACAATCTGAGGGAGTAGCTCTATGATGCTGCTTTAGTCAAGGCGACTCTTGATGCAAGATCCATTCTTAAACCCTCCCAATGTGAGTTGATCAAAAAATCAATCACTTCAGTTGATTTCGCTAATCTACCATCTTTTTTGACAACCACATTAAACAAGGCCTATGCTCTGGGATTGCAAGAAATCTACAACCATAAGTTGTATCATCCCACTGTTGCCAACGTAAACCCAGAGATTTTCATTAATAAATTAAATGATCTTTACATTTATGGAGAAGTTGCTTATTACAACAAATGGTCGAATGATCATCTGTTATAAAGTAATGATTTCAATTAGAATGCCTTGGAATTACACAAAAGATACCATGGAATGATCACAATTGAACTCAAATTTAATCCAAGATCTCTAGAAGATTTGTTCAGAATTTATGAAACCTCCTATCAACAAGATGAGTTGGCATAACTCAGACAAATCCTCATTGATGATCCAACCAAATTAAGAGAAATCACCTTTAAAAAGAATTACGCTGCCATCATAACTAATGGTACAGCCATTCTTGGTTTGGGAAACATCGGACCTTCTGCAGGACTACCAGTTATGGAAGGCAAATCAGTCTTATTCAATGCTTTGGGAGGCATAGATCTTATGCCAATCTGTCTCAAAGAGAAGGATCCTCATAAATTGGTCAGAATCATCAAATGGTATCTCCTCATTAAATCTTTCATAGCATTGCTCCCATATTTTCAGCCATTAATCTAGAAGATTTGAGAGCCCCCGATTGTTTCCCCATTGAAGAAGAGGCAGTCCATAGTTTACACATCCCCTTAATGCATGATGATCAACATGGAACAGCCGTAGTTAGTTTGGCTGCTGTCATCAACTATCTAAAATTAACCAAAAAGAATGTGAAGGATCTAAAATTAGTTATAAATGGAGCAGGGTATATTATAAATGTAAGTATCAAAGTGCTGCTGGTGTTGCAATTTGTAAATTGTTGTATGGACATGGAATAGAGGATATAGTCATGTGTGATACTTCAGGAATCATTTATGAAGGTAGACCTCAAAATATGAACAATTTTAAAAATGATTTAGCCAAGTTCACAAATAAGGGTAAAATCTAAGGCACTCTCGCAGATGCAGTCAAAGGAAGAGATCTCTTTGTTGGAGTGTCCAGTGCTGTATTACTCTATATATATTCAACTTTCATAGGGTGCTCTAACACAGGATATGGTCAGAGCAATGAACAAGGATCCATTCATCCTAGCCTTGGCAAATCCAGTGCCTGAAATAATGCCCGATGAAGCCATTGAAGCTGGTGCATTTATCGTTGCTACTGGAAGATCGGATTTCAATAATTAAGTCAATAATTCTTTGGCCTTCCCAGGTATTTTCAGAGGTGCCATTGACACTAGAGCCAAAGAAATTAATCTAGAAATGAAGGTATTATTGATTTAATACAAAAAGATTGCTGCTGCTTATGCTATTGCCAATAGTATCAAAGATTCGGAACTTAGCACAACGAAGATATTGCCTGGAGCTTTGACAGCAGAGATTCCTGCCAATGTGGCAAGAGCTGTGGCTATTGCTGCCATGAAGACAGGAGTTGCTAAAGTTAACGTAGATCCAGAGAAAGTGTTCGATCTAGCTAGAAAATTGATTATGGAAGGAAATCTAGCAGGTATTTGAATAATTTAGAACATTACATACAGTTTAATAATTTTAATTACAAAATATATAAATGGGAAAGAAGAAACCAGACAGTTTCTTAAGTTAGATGTCTAAATTGTTTAATGGTGAGAAGATCATCAAACTGACTATCAAGAGAAGTATACATGTTACTTATCATTTTTGTTAGATTTGAAAGAGCAATATCCACAACTTCGAAAGAGATTGAGAAGAAAATAGAAGCAGCAATTGTTGGGCGAAATCAAACAAGCTAACGATGTGAATGAAATCATCATTAGATCGTAGACTCAAAAATTAACGATTTCTACATCTTCAAATAAATAGCAAATCAATAAATTTGCAGATTCATTATCAAACATCTATCGCTTATATTGTCACGATCAGCAGAAACAAACCAAAGTAAAGTTCTTTTCTATCCTAGAAAAAACCAGTTTTATTGCCCACTCAACCTAATGCGAAATCGAAAACTTAGTAGAGATTAAAAGCCAAAAAATTGAGAAACAAAGAAAGACGCTAAAAAAGACACGAACTATAGAAATTAAAGAAGAAGGATTTGCAAAGGCAAAAAACATTTGCAAGCAAAAAAAGAGAAGATTAATAATAATGATATATGTATACGATTTAGTACGTGTTTAATTAATGTTGTGGGTTTTAGAAAAAATATTAAAAAACAAGAAATTATTGATCAGAATTTAGATTTTTTCGTTATTCTCCTCATCGTGAGTCTAGATTGTCTCTGCTTTTGTTTCTATTAACCTTACAATTCAGCAGGCAAATTGTCAGGCTCATCAACCAGAATGATATATTTGCTCACTAATAAGTGAAAATACTTCTCGACATCCACATGCATAAATAATTAGTTCTTCATATGCATCGCAAATATGTCATTAGTTAATCTAAATATCTCACCTCTAAATGTATTAGCCTCCACAAAATCTCTACAAACTCTCAATTTCTATTTGTAATACTTAAGATCCATTTTATACTTCTTGATTAATTGCTGATCTTGCAAATGCTACCTGATTCTATCCCTCATCAATTCAAAAAAGAAGCACTTCCTCATCTGTTAAGCAAATTCCTTATCTTTCAACACCTAAAACCAAGTAACCAATCCCTTCTTTCTCAAAGCAGCCTATTTCCACTTTATTTCCTCATCCTTTATCTTCTCATTCAAATTGTCCCATTTGACAATCATATCACTTTTGTATTTTGTGTAGTTCTCTTCGAATTATAAGATGTGTTTCTTGATAATATTCAGTTTATTTCCTAACTTTAGCATTTTCATTTTTATACAGTATATTATTGCTCTTTGTTGAAGAATAGGTAATAATCCTTAGATTTATTTGGTTCTTATTGCTCTCCTGATTGTTTTAGTTTTAGCCTTGATAGAGATGAAGCAATCAACTAAAACTCGTGTTTCTAAGAATTCTCCTTTTGGACAAATGATTTTCTTTTTCATTTGCCTTAAGAGTGATTTAATTCTAAATGCTACTAGTCTATTCTTCTTCATGATTTACTTTTTATGCGAGAATGCATCAAAAATTCTGGAGCTCATTTTAATGAAAAAAATAATGATGGCCCATTGTTATTCAAAAATTACTTTTTGACATTTTTTGTCGTTTATAATTTTGGTTATGATTTTTTCTTGATTCGCCAGTTTCTTGGCTTTGATTTGATATTGCTTCTACATTTTTGCTTGTGTTTTGGATTGTCTTTAGAAGTTCCTTGTCGATAGTACTTTGAGGAATCGGTCTGATCTTGATATTTCATCTTAGTATCTGTTTTTTTTAATTCCTGCCTATTCCTTATTGGAATTGATAATACATTAAAAAGATTTGGAATGAGACTATTTAACCATTTATTAGTAGTCAGTTGATGGAGTGTCTTGGAGAGTTTTGATTCTTTGATATTCTTCAAGAGGCTGATTAATTTAGAGGTTGAATTGAAGTTCTGAATCTTTCCGAGTAATGATTGATATATAAATAAATTCACCTGCAATCACTGAAACAACAAATCCTCTATTATTGATAACTTGTTCGCAATTGTAATTGGTGGGGAAGGGATGAACTTACGAGATCATCAATTAAAATTCACTGGTGCATTGTACTTGACAGCCCAAAGGTGCCATTAAATTCTCGCAAGAAATCCTCAAATACTAATGCTCCATTGCTTTGGTAATGTAGGTCTTCCCAGATATAATTGTATTATTCTTCTCAGCCTTGATGGATCGGTTGTTCCTTTGGATGATCTGAGTTTAAAAATGAGGTAGTCTGACTTGATTTTGAGAGGATCTTAGATAAAGAGATTTCTTGGTTGAAGGTCTTCTGTTCTCGAAAAAGATTTGGGAGCTGCAGATGTAATTTAGTGAAAGAGTGGCTTCCCTTCTGAAAGTAGTGTCACTCATCTCAGTTTTAAGATTTTCTTTCATGTCTAATTGTATTAAATTTATATTATTTGTTATATATAATTATTTCATAAAAATCATAATGTTTTTTATTTTTTATTACTTAAAGCCATCACTCCAAGGGCAGTGGAAGCCAATGCCAACAAAGACATAGATGACAAGATGGTGAATGCCTTTTGATAGATTCTCCTTGAGGATTTGGAAAAGTACATCTGGATAACGATGCAGATGACAGATCCAACCAATAGGGATTGGGTTTTGCTGGATAAGCTACAAAATAGTTGAAAAATTCTTTGGTTACTTTCTCAGATTCAGTCTATGATTCTCCTTATGTACAATGGGCTTATGCATTAACAATGAGATGACATGCAACAAGGTTTAAGAGTTGTTTTTTCTATTTCTTTATGTGTACTGTTCATAATCGGCATATCTATCCCAATGTTCCACTTTGACTGGCTGTTGGATGATTTATTAATGCAATTGCTTGTCCTAATCGATCTGTAGTTCATCTTCTTAGATGTAATTTTCCACTAACTCCTTTTTGATTGGTTCTGGGAATAAGTTAATAGTTCCTTTTCTGAGGATGGCTTCTTTCAATTAAGGATTGATATCATCAAAGGATTCGATAATTTCTTCAGGGGTTTTTTTAATTAGAAATGGACTTAAAAATACTCTTACATGTCTCTTAATTGTTTCGAAATACCATATATCGCACAAAATATCAAATAAGGATCTCTCCAATAAGACCTTTCGAAGTTTCTGAGAGACATTGTTTAGGAATCCCTTTCGCTTGATTCTTGTCCACTTGATCTTCAACAGAACAGCAAGGGAACAAAGTGTTAGAGCCAATATGATGGTAAGCTGAAGTGAGACAAACGTAAACCATGTGTAGGTGACACAACTTAGCAAGAGGAGAGCGAATACCATTTCTATAGCTGTGAGATCAATCTATGACAATTGCTTATTATTTATCATTAAAAATATATATTGTGATGAAATGCCTAAATTTAATTATTATAATAGATGATGGTTCAGTTCACAAATTTAGCACTTCCTGCTTTGTTCTATTGGGATGCTCCTTGTCCCTGTTCTGCTGGCTTCAAAATTTAAAAAGAACACATGAGCGATTCATCGACAGTCATCATGGATCCTAATTTAATTGTAATGAGAGGGTGTTTTACCTGCATTGTCAAATTCACCACAATAATTGGGAGCTGAAAATAGTGTGACCAACTATCTTTTACTGAAAAACTCATATCCATCTTCAACTACCTATATGTAATATACATAATGTATTTCTACTTGATGTGCTCGGCATATCAGATCCAACTCATGCTTTTTCAGAAAGACCTAAACGATCTCTTGACTAAAAACATATGAAACTCCTCTCTCATTGTCAGCCCATCCCTGCACATCCTTGTCAGGATCAGACCACAATAAATCACAGAGCAACCCAGTGTCTGGCACGTCTGTCGGTCTCATGATCCTTCTGATTTGCTCCAAGTTGGATAATTCAGGCGACAATCCACCATGCATGCACAAAATCTTTTCGTCAATTAATGCAGCCACTGGCAAACAATTGAAGCAATCAGTAAAGGTCTTCCATAGTTTTATAGTATATCTTCTCTTGCCTATATTGCACGATCGATCTATTTACATTCATCGTAGAATCCGTATATTCTGTTAATGGATGCACATTCATGATTGCCCCTAAGCAAAAAGAAATTCTCAGGATATTTTATTTTGTAAGCCAGAAGCAGACAAATCGTTTCCAATGATTGCTTCCCTATCGAATAGACCATTTTAATTATACCTCTATCAACATAATCACCAAGGAATAGATAATTACTCTCAGGAGGGTATCCTCCATACTCAAACAATCTAAGTAAATCAAAATATTAACCATGCACATCACCTACAAACCCATATTATCATAAACTAACCACAGATCTTTAATGGAGCCTCAAGTTCCAATAAAATTGGTTGAGAAATAAAAATGTCTCTAGCTTTTATACACAATCCTCTGACTTCCGCCTCCGTTAAGTTGACATTCTTCCCTGGTTTGCTCCCTCTGACACTCAACAGTCTCTCAATGATGCTATCAACATCGATTTCACCCTTATTATCCTTACTCATATATTATAATTTAAAATTTAAATCAATATAATCAGATGCAATTATACTACTAATCACTTTAAGTTAATCAACACAGAATCTATGTTCTAAACCCCAGAACCAATGAGCATTCATTATTAACCTAATTATAAATAACTCAACTAAACCATCCCCCAACAATTCTTGCCATTAACAGACCCCTTTAATCTATTCTTTTTGTTTGAGAATATGATTTCCATCCAAATTGATATAATAATTAAAGGACAAACAGCATTTTTTTGAATAAGTGAAGGTCATTCTCAAACTTAAAAATTGAAATCCATACAGACAAAATGGTTATTGGAGACATATAAGAAATATGGCTATGAGATTAGGAAATGTGTTGAGAAATCAATTGATTAAACTTAAAACAATAGAATAATCTATTATACAGCTTCAGGTTCTGGAAATTCATTTTCAGAAGGAGATCAGCTAAAGTCAATTCAATGAGATAACTTTGATTTAATCAATTTTAAAGAATGAGACTTTGTTGATCAGAGGTTTAATTAACCTTAAATTCTGATATGAAGGGGATAGAGCAGCTTACAATGGAAAGATGTTTGATACAATTTTTAACCCCATTAATGGTAGATTATAAAGCAGTTCTTCAATTATTTAATACTATGATGATTTATGTGATGAGGAGATGGCACTATATATATATTTGATTGATATTGTGTAATTTAATTAATAAATTATGTATTTGATTTTGTCAGCATTAACAATTTGCTCTTACGCAATCGCTCCTCATGTGTTGACGTAAGGACCATTTACAGAAACTAAAGAGACTTTTCAATTCACATAGCTCTTGGATCACAGTGACCCAGCCAATACTCAGACATGGCAATAGAGATACCATGTGTATTCCTAATATTTTAATCCCACCAAAGGTGGAGTCATCTTATACATCTGTGGAGAATGGAATTGCTAGGGTGTGAGTGACAACTCATTCTCCTTCTAATTGGCTAAGGATCTAGGTGCAGTTGTTATAGCATTAGAACACAGATTCTATGGACAATCTCAACCATTCGGAGCCGATTCATGGAGTTTGGAGAACTTGTCTTATTTAAATGTCCATCAAGCCTTGGATGATCTCGCCTATTTTATATTGTAAATCAAGAGACTCAAGCTCCACAGCATCGATTCTACATTGCCATGGTACATAAGATATCTTTACATAGGTATGCAATTGGAGGCTCATATCCTGGGGCTTTGTCAGCTTGGTTCAGATACAAGTACCCTCACTTGACAGTCGGTAATTTGGCTAGTAGCGGAGTCATCAACACAGTCCTAGACTTCTGGGAATTCGATGATCAAATTAGAAAGAGTACAAGCAAGAGTGGCGAATAGTACATATATCTCCCTTAACAACATCTAGATGTCCCCTCTACTTGCAGTTGTTGAATGGTTACGTCGACAAGAACCTAAAGAACTTCAACACCAAATAGGCATTCAAGGAATCCTTTAGATGTGGAAAGATGACAGACAACGAATTCAGATGGTTCTGGGTTGACACCATCGTCTAAATGGTCCAATAGGGAAAGAGAACTAAGTTCTGTCAAACTCTTGAGTCGTTGCCATCAGTCGAGAGAATGGCTGAATACATTAAGGAGATCGCTCTATCTCAAGGAGACAGTTACAAACAATACGGTGCCTACTACTTAAGAAACGAGACCATCGACGAGAATTCTTAACATCGTCAATGGTATTTCCAATGCTGCACCGAGGTTGCCTACTTATAAACACCTCCATAGGTATGCACAATATATATTGTAGAATAAAGAATCCTTAAGATCTTATGAAATGACATTGGATTGGTGGAGAGAGTGGTGCAATGATGCCTACTCTTAGGGAGAAGTAGTATGGCCGGACGTCAGAGTCACTGAAGCCTATTTCGGAGGTTTGAATTTGAACGTTGATCATTTGATTATGACCAACGGAGGAGAAGACCCTTGGTAAAGAGCTTCTTTGACTAAAACCACTAAGGCTAATAGCAAAGTCATAACTTATTTAATTGATTGTGACGATTGCTCACATTGTGTCGATTTGAAAGCTCCCAGCGCTAATGACCCAGCAATTCTGACATCAACCAGACAAGCTATCAAGAACACATTTAAATAATGGCACGACTAATTTTGGAGTAAAACTCTGATTGAGTGATTAATAAATATTAAAGAAATATATATAGAATCAGTTATTATGGCTTTCGTACCATTCACAAAATTTTAACAATTAATTTGCATTCATTTATTCAGCATAGAGCTTAATTTTAGGGAAAGTAGTGTTATCAACCAATAAGGACAACTGTTTCTCACACAAGGATTTCAGATCTGGTATCAAGTAATAATCAGCCAATTACAAGAATTGTCTGTAGAATTCAACTGATTATTAAAATTAATCGCATTGTAACTAGAATAAGAATCACACTTACGTCTCCTGAGTAAATGAAGTATAACAACTATTCAAAAATTAAGTGCGAACAATCATTTATATAAACTTTCTATTATTGATTTTTGTATTCCCATTCAAACATCTTATTAAACATTTCATATCGAGATAAAACTATTTTGTGAGCATACAAGTGTTTGTCCTCCACAACAAAAATTATATCACTGTACTTAGGCGAATTGAAAAACCCTCTGAAATACTGATTTATAGAGATATTATTAAAATCAGTCACAGAAATGTTTGGAGGCGGGTCAGTATCAATAATGAAGTAATCCTTGAAATAATAGGATCCGCAAGATCCACCGAATACATAAATTAGATTACCTATAGCAGTCATACTATGACCTGCTCTGGCCTTCTCGAATTGTTCATCATCCTGTAACTCAATTGTGCTCCAGGCATTCTTAATAGGATCATAACATTGCAAATCTCCAAAACAAGTAGTTTATGGTCCGCTGCCACCAAACAAATAGATCTTATTCTCAATAGTAGTCATGCACATTCCTGCCCTGGCACTCGGAGATTGGATTGGCTTTAATTCACACCACTTATTGGTTGTCACATCATAACAATGTAAATCATTCAGTCTCTTGGATCCATCCCAACCTCCAAAAATGAACAGTTTGTTTTGCCACACAGCAGAACTGTGATTGGCTCTTGGTGGAGGCCTCTAATTCTCTGCTGTCTATACTAATTTCCACATGTTGGTTTTGATATTGAAACTGTGCAGATCATTCAAATAATCCTTACCATCTCCTCCTCTGAAGATAAATATCAACTAACCAACCTAATCAGCACTATGCATATTACATGGACCTGGAACCTTAACTTTATTTTGTAATCATACTTCCCCCATCGTATTCACTAGTATCCAATTCAAACAATCCAGATCTAATACATACACATCTCTACTGGCATAGATCCCACTTCCCAGCCAACCACCAATCACATACATCTTATTGTCTACAACAGTAGCTGTGTGTCCATTCCTACTCTCCGGTATTTTCCCATTGGCTTTGCACTTCGTCCAATTCCCATCCTTATAAATATGGATATCATTGTGATTCTTTTTAGAATCATATCCTCCAAATATAAATATCTAATTCTTGTAATGCACAGATGTGTGATTTTTTATTGCCGGGCATTGGTTTGCATTATTGCGATATACCTTTACTGCCTGCCTTTCCGATGAAAACCAATTAGGCGATTACCCATTACCATCATTCTAAAACATTTATTATTAATACAATATATATATTATAAACAAAAACCATTTCTATTTTAATTTGTTTCCCACTCACTTTTATATCTCTGTTTGACATATCTCCACATTTCCTATTTTTCATGTTCTCGCCCTACTTTTGACTCCTCTCTCTTATAAGTTCTTTAAAAAAGAGTACTCTTCTTATCAAATTTAACACTCTCCGTTTCTTCCCTTGTTGATGTTCTTTCTATTATTAGAAATTTGCTCTTATTGTCATTTTCTTCTCCTTCGACCATATATTATTATATAATATCTTCACTTCTGCTTATTTCACCTATCCTTTTTTTCAAAATTCATTATAGTAAAAAGGTCCAATATCTTGTTTCAATTCTAGTTAATCATCCCAAAGCCTGTTTAAATAACTATTCATACAATACTGCCAATCCAAACTTCGACTAATTTTTGCGTCTACTTAATTAATTTTTTCCATTAAGAAATTAAATTTAGATACACCTTTTTCTATCATCAATAATTCATCTTATAATCTCTTTTTATAGTCGAATTCGTCAACTTATTTATTTACTTATTCCAACTCTTGATCACTGACTCCTCTTTCTCTAAATCCTAATTACATCTCCTCCTCCCTTTTTAATCCTCCATTTCTTTTATAAATCATAAATTTCAGTCTAATTATCCTCCTGGTACTCTTAAACAACTTAATCTGCTTGACTTATCGCTCTCTCTTGTTTCCCTTTAACCTTTTAAATCCGCTTAGTAAAATATCTTCAATTGATCTCTGAAATATAGGTACACATTCATTCTTCATCATTAAAAGTTACATGGTTTGATTTTATATGTCATTTAATTATTATTTGATTAAAAGCAAGGCATAAATGTTTTCTTAAGATCATCAATCTTATCTACTAAACTTTAGTGAATAATCACATAAGAAGAAAAGAAAATTAAGCTTTTATTTTTGCAATGATAAACTAATTTAATTATTAAAATACTTTTAATAATTCTCCCAAAAAAAGTCAAAATTAGTATTAATTTAATCATTTATTAAAGAATTTAATAGATACAAATATTATCCACTGACTTTCCAAGGATTAAGATTGGCTTGAGATCATAAATACAGAGGAAATAATAACTAAATTTTGGAATCTATATCTATAAATCTTCCTCAACTAGTAAGCTTAGATAATATTACTTTTGATTAAAATCATGTATCATATTTAAGTTATTTAATTACATTATTCATGATTCAAAATTAAAAATTCAAGATAAAATAATCTTTGTAAATTACATATAAAGATCACATAATTGATATAAATTGTTTATAATGTAATGACAGATCTATTTGGATGTAATATAAAATTTGAGGCACTTACAACCATCAAAGATATTAATTAAAAAGTAACTGTAAAAAATGAGATAATAAATTATGAGAATAAAATTGCAATTTTATAATTTTGTCATAGTCTTTTTTTTCCACAAGAACCACAGTACTTATGATTATTAGCTAATTTGCTTCCACAGTTAGTACAGAATACACTTCTCTGAAATTTATTGCCACTGCTCATTCGAAAGCATAGTTAAATATGCTTATCAGCTGCCTTTTATTCAAATGTTTTCTGGCAAGAAGGGCATTTAACGATAGGAACAGAGCGAGATAACAAGTTTTCAGGACGCTATTTGATTTTAGGCAAAAAAGTAGGTTGACTTGAGGAGAGTTCCTAGAGTAATGTTTCATCTGCTTCTTCTTCTTCATTTATAGATGCAATGACTTTATATTTGTCTAACGCTTTTGGTCTAGCAAGACACTTTAGAGCATGAATTTGAGGATTCCTCAATTTCTTATGGCAATAAGGACAAGGCTGAATAACTGGTTAAGTTAAAGGTAATTAAGTTTTTTGCTTATTAGATTTTTTGAGAAAAGGGTGATCTGCAGTACAACTACGTAAGTGTAGAGCTAACTTTCCTTAAAAGAATTGTCGCTTACAAAATCTACACTATTCTTTAGGTATAGAGTCAACTTGAGCATCCAAAGGAGTGAATGGTCTTTCAATCTATTCATCTAATTGTTCCTTATCAAAGGAATTGTTTAGTGCCTAGATGGTTGATTTTGAAATAGCATCCTCATCAAAGAACTCATTGTCTTTGGTTTCTGTAGGCAATGACAATCTGTTCATATAAATTATAAATATATAAATATGCTTTTAAGGTGTTTAAGCAATGCTTTGTTAAAGTTCAGATTTTCCAAAATATACAACATATTCTTATAGATTGTGAGCTTCATTTGGGTTCACTTAAGTCAAATGTTTAATGCTGAATCCAATATTGTTCTCATATAAAGGTTTGGAATTAGAATTTAATTTGGCAGAGGAGGTACTCAGATTGTCAAATTCTTTAAATTTTACACTTGAAGGAAGTCCATTTTAGAAAATAGCATATATTCATAATATGCACTAGGACGAGAGATGGAATACGATTGGAGCGAAGGCGTAGAATAAGGTGGAGTAATTGAATTCTGAAGGATATAATCTTTTAGGAAAGGTACATTTAAGAAAAGGGGAATTATTATTATCTTCAAATTTATAGGAACCCTATATGATGGTCACAATTATTAGTTAAAATATCATTAATGATGATGATTTAGATCTTGAGTGGAAAAATAAAATTATATGAAATTCAATTACTAATTTAACCTTAGCTAAAAAGGATTCATTTGTTCAATTTTACTCTATAGGCTTAGCGGTTTTATTGGATGAATAAGTTAATGATGTTTAACCCGACATTGATTTTTAGGATTTATATATACAGGTATTTAATCGGCATACAATTGTTACAAATCTTTGCTAAAAAGATCTACATAAAAAGTAGAATAAATCGTAATTCCTTAAATTTACAAAGATAAACTTTTGAGAAGTTGAAGTGGTTTTGCATTGGATGAAGAAAAAAGAAAATTTTAGAAGAAGTTTATACAAACTGATACAGTTTATATGTTTCAAGTAAGTGGTATTCTAATATTTGTCATAAGAAATTAATAATATGATAGATACTATAAGAATTTATAATACACAAAAGGTGAATTATATTCTATCATATTTATTAATAGAATTATAAGATAAATGATTGAAGAAAATTTGAATTAATTATAAATAACAAAGATTAAAATGATAATATTTTTTAGAAATCAAAAAGGTGAAGTCAGTATCTTTTGAATTAAGAGAAAACAATTTAGAAATGAGAATAAAGGAATGCCTCCTCCTAATTGATAATATGGGTATATTGTCTTAGCAATAAGCATATTAATAAATAAATCATTCATTTCCTATTGTAGCCAACATCTCGATGATTTCATTGATAGCAACTTCGTTTAACATTTACATTTTAATTTTCTTGCTTTTGATTTCAATAGCATTTTCATATGGAGTGCTACCCCATCGATCTCTTTCACTAAAGTCGAATTTAGCTTTAAATCTCAAGAATTTAATGATTTTAGAATTCATGGACATGACAGCCATATGAGCGATGTTACGGTTATCAACATTGACAAACTCATTCAGGTTTTTGATTCCTCCATGAAATATGAGTTCTAGCATCTACAAATCTCCATTCAAGCCAGAACTTAAGATTAAATCCACCATTACATGATGAGGCGCTGAGATGATGCCTCCATTCTGCTAGAAGAATAATAGTAATTCTTTATCTCTGCTGATTAACACCTCATACATGGGGGAATACCCTAAGTAATCGATTGGATTTATTTCCACATGGACTTCTTCAATTAAGTACTTTATGATTTCAAATTATTTATTAGCTGCAGCCAAATGAAGTACAGTTCTCCCATCGAAATCGGGGATATTGAGATTGCCTTCATTCCTTCTTAGATCCTTGATCAACTCTAATTATCCTGTTGTGGCAAGAAAGCATCCCAAATTCGGAATGATATATTTATTCATAATGTCCATATTCTGACTAATTTGTTCATCCCCTGATGTTTTCTGTAGAGTCTCCAATATAGTTTAGATGAAATGCTGCTTTTGTCCCTCGAATTTCTCGAACTACCTAACAGATTCGGTTTCTCCTTACAAATTCTATGGGAATTTTCGAAAGATCTCCTATTAACTATATCCCTTGCCTAAAAGGTATGCTATTTTGGCTTAAGCACTTTCCGGAGTGATGTCATATTAGACGATGATGCCATTAACTATCTTCTTGAAATTTATGATAGGTTGGCCTTTAGTGCATTGTGATATTTGAATCAATATAATTCCCAATTGTTATTGAGCATACAACAATACATTATACAACTCCTGATTGTGAGGCATCTCGCCGAAGTGGTAACACTCTAATATGCAACATTTCAATTTTGGGGTGTTCAATATATGTCGAATGTGTTCAACACTTGTGTATGGTGTGATCTTTATGATAATGATGTCAGTCACAAAAGGAGGGGCTAATTCCAAGGTGCTTTCGTCATTGGTGAACATTTGCTCTCCTCTTCTTAACACCAATTGCCATTTAATTTCGATATTAATTCCAAATTCTACCAAAGGGGGGAAATTTGGACTCTCAATACAATCCAATGAATCGCATTTCAATTGTCTACATCTATTGGCCCTGTAGGCTTTATGATCCATGACTATTACGACTTCTGGGATCAAGAAATGGCCAGCTAAAATTAAGGAGTCTAAGATATTTTAAAATGCGTCATTTCTCATGAATGACAGAGGTATTAAAGAACCAGTTATTACTACAGTTTTTTGTAGATTCTCTAACATGAAGGAGAGGTTAGTGCCTAGATAAGTGATAGTTGCAATTCCACTCAGAATGACGAAGGCACTATATTTTTCATAATTCTCTTTGATGATTTCTGCAATGTGTCTGATATCAGCATATGACTAGATATTAGAATTACAAATACCGTTTGTCTAGAATTGGTTATTTGTTCCAATTCCATAACTTTGTAGACTGTTCTCCTTCCAAATTCAGATATTGGAGTTGTAAGACATCCATCTTGATTATGGTACTTTTGAGATATGATTTATCAAATACTTAAGTGTATTCAAGATCACAGAGAAACGAAATATTTTTCAATCTTTATTCTAGTCTTCCTTTTAAGACGGTCATATGAGATTCATTGACTTCGCCTTCTGCAGCAGTGGCTCCTGATGCATAGATCATTAGAACTTTGCGGTCGTTCAAAACTTACAGGTTTTGTTGAGCTCCTCCTATGTTGGCTAAAGATGAGTTAGTCGTGTCATGTCTGGATCCTTAACTTTTCAATTTAGGTGTTTCTCCATCCGAACTCATTTCTCAATTAAAACTAAAAAATAAATGTAAAAAAAACACATACAACGAAAAAGACTACAATATGAAGAGGCTCTCAAAGTGGCTGCCAAAGAAGATGTATAAAGCAATGAGATGTTTAGGTGTCTTTTTTCGGACAATGCACCAAATTTAGAGAGAGATCCACAGAGCCTGCACCAATAGATCGCGCTATTTAATTTCTATTCCTCAAAGAAAATGTATATTATTCTGAATACAAGAATGTTGATAGAAAAATAGCCTTGTAATTCGGGAGTAGGAGACTATGCAAGATAGACAGTACACGTTAATACGATGGGCCTGCCAATTTTAGAGTTATGAAAACATCCAAGCAGTTATTAGGTTCAATCAATGGTTGGCAAAATGGAACTGCTGATGTTCGATTCGATTTGGGTTCTGGTTTTACAAATATGTAAGACAGACATGAAAATAGTTTCACCTTAAAATGTGATACTGATCAAAGGGTCATGACTTCGGAGAGGGATAGAATTTCAATGTAAAAATATGAGTTCTCCAAGTTCAATTCTTAGAGATTGACGTAAGAATTATGTAAATTAAAAGCGGAGAACACTTTCAAAAATATTCAATATTAGTAAATTGTTGATTTTACCAAACAATCATTATTTCAACCTTTAGAATAACAATCCACTCCAAAACAATTCAATGAAGATTCAGTGAATGAACATGAACCAAAAACACTTGATGACTCAAGCACTCAAAGAACGAGAGCTGTGACTAATTTTCATGAGAAGAAATAAGCATTGATCAGTAAAAAGACAATCTCAGAACATAGGTTTGGTCAAAACAAACAAGCCTATCTCAAACTCTTTAAACAACTCAAATCAGACAGCCAATTGATTAAACGCAAGCAGACTGCAAAGAAAAGCTTGTAAAACGAAAGCAAATCCAGAAGAATCTCTCAACTCTCCTTCTTCTTCAATCTTACCAACAAACAACGATTAAACTCCAACACCTCCATCAGCAATTCACAGCAGAACTACAATTAGCAATAAAGTTGTAGACAAGAAGAGACCTTTGAGCAAAAACTAGAAAAATTTGTCAAACAAAGAATGCTTCTTCAGAACAATCAAACTCAGTGTTCCACCATTGATTATTCGAATTTACATCAGAAAATAAATGTATTCTGTTTTAACTTAAATTAGCAATATGAATAAATGAAACAGTAGGAATTTAAAAGAATTTAAAAAGTGCGATTGATTTCTTAGAGATGAATTATATATCATTAATTAACTTTGAATTTGATAGGCAATAGTTTAGGTGATGATTCTGTATTCGACTCATTTAATGATGGTTGGGTGGGATGTCTGTAATTCGAGTGTTTACGAAGAACTGAATATTCATTTTATCGTGACTTTATTATATCGTCTTAAAGCATACTTAATTACTTGGCTCTTTTCGAACTTCCAACGATTGCCCCTCTATCCTGCGTAATTTCTATCTCAATCGTGACACCTCCATCTCCTTTGTAGAATTCGTGATTTGACAAGCCCTAAGCATATCTCTCAACAGCGCATTCTCCTATAATAACTTCGAGTTATCACTCTTCATCTTGAAGTACTACTAAAACTGCACATTCGACACAATCTCCTGAGTCCTTCTAATTTCATCCTAAAGAACTGCAATCTATCAAACGTGAGCATCCTTACCTCTTTCTAATGATCAGACCGCATTTATTTGATTGCTCGCTCGTGGTTCTATCTCGCTTGCTCAATTTGCAATTTGAGTGAATCAATTTGCCCTTGCATTTCTTAACGTGTAACACTTCTGAGGTACATTCTTTTGTTTAAATACTTATTAATATCATCACAATCATCATCATCCAAATCAAGAAATTGAGCAAACCCATTATTAAACCATTCATCTCTAACTGATCCAGCATACACAATGCAAAGAAAGCCTTTATAATACCATTTTAAACTCTTGTTTCTTTCAGTTCTTTTATCTATACGTTATGAATCTTTACATTCATCTAATCACTTCGTAATCTAAATTTCAGCCACAATAACTATCTTATCAATATCTAGCACTTATTAACGATATTTACAATCCTCTTTTAAATACTTTCTATTCATTATTTTTAAGTTTGATGCCTTTAGTTATATGACATTTTTTTGAAAATAAATTCTATGTATCCATTTTGATTCCAATTCTACTTATATTTCTCCTTGCGTCATGGATAATAATAATAAACATTCTTTTAGATTATGTGTTAATTTTTAGTTTTCAATAATGAGAATTAAATAGGTCATGATTAACTATTTGATTTTACAGAAAAATGTTTATTAATATTCACATCTGATTTGATTGTTTACAACAATATATTTATTAATTTTAAAGTAAATTTTTTCCTGCAAGTGCTAGTTAAATACACTCTTGTTTAGGAGTCTTTACCTGATCAATTTAGACAAGAAAATGAAAAAGCTGTTGAAATAGAATTAGCTATTAATATAGAATATAGGAGACATTCCAGTCTATTTCTACTTCCAAATAAATTGTCATTTTAGGATTTGAAAAGATTTATGAGATGGTTCCATTATGATAAGTTGAGTAAATTAATAGAATTCTTGTTGTTGAGAAGTTTATATATAAACATAGAATAATAATACACTTATGTTCTATCAACTCTTAGGCACAAAGTTTTTATAAAAATTGACCAATTTTTGTTTTTAAATGATTGCAGTCGATTCTGGAGTTTCTGCTATGTAGACTGCTGGTCTTCCTCCAAATACACTATTGGCAGGTACAACAGTATCAGGTGGCAATATGGAATCGTCAAGAATGATCGAGTTTTCTCCAATTACGCATCTGTGAGACTACACAAAATAAACATTGAAAACTTACAATGTAACAATTTTTCCCGATTGATGTACATGTACCTATCTTTGTTGCTTATATTATTGAACTTGACTCAATCTCCACATAATCACTTATCATCAAAGGAAGAAATTTAATGACTTTTTTAGTAGGGGATTCTTTGGTGTAACCGTATGTGTAAGATGGTTTAAGAGTGACTTTTTCATGGACAACCAAATATTTGCCTATTGATACTTTGGCTAGATCTCCTCTCAAAATGACATCATTGAAAAATATGCATCTTCCACTTACATTAATCTGTTCGGTCCCCTTTATAATTGATTTTTTAGATATTTTAATGCCCGATGATGTTTCATGAAACTCAGACTTGTCATATTGGATAATTGAATCCATTATGAGTATAAAATAATTATATTAAATTGAATATTCAAACCTATTGACAAAGCCAAACTCTCATATGAAATTATATTCATCAATTAATGGATAATGTTTGAGAGCATATTATCCTCAAATAAAGAGCGGAATATAGACATGATAAGTTGGAATAATATACTCATCAAATTAATCTATCTGATTTCTACATCAAAGGGATATCAATTTACTGTTATTAACCTAAAGTATAAAAGTAACATACTATCTGATACTATCCATTTTAATATACGCAAGTCCTGTAAAAATGACAAGGTTGAGATGGGTATTCTACAAATTAAATTATCTTAGGAAATTACAAATTAAATTATCTTAGGAAATCGAATGACTAATTATACACTTTACTACTGTATAATTAGTCCTTCAATTTCCTAAGGACGTATAAAATCTAAGAGTAAATTAAAATAAAAAATGTAAATGGTTGCTGCGGGATTTTATAAAATTAAAAAGACCTTGTGGTCAAATTTTGATTACTAAATATTAGTACTCAAAAAAGGAACTAGCTAGATGCTTTTTTTATTGTTCACCAAATTATTGTACAATTGGTGATTTAATGCAGATCAATAAATGTGAGAATAGTTAAATTTAATTAATTCATAATATGGATTTCGATCTCAGATTTTTTAATTATATTTATAAATGCTTTTGTTTCTCTCATTCTATATTGTCTCTTCTATGTACCCTGTTTCCTATATAGATGGTCGTCCGCATTTGAGCTTAGACTCAGACCTTAAGGTTCAACTAAAATTAGATGAGGATTTGTCTGAATTCTTGCAAAGACATTCATAGAATGATCAATGTCCAGACTATGAATATAATTAGTGTTATGCGGAAGTCTATTAAAATGGAGAGAGAACAAAAATTAAACTGGAGAAGGAAACCTTCTATATTTATGATATTCAATCTGATGAAGATGACTCTCAGACAATCATTTACTCTGATTAATAATTGTAAGAAGGTAAGGTTCAGGAGAGTTTCCTTGCTCTGGCTCCATTTTAGAATCACCAAAATACCTTTTATTCGAACGGATTTAGTTTGTGTCTGTCAGAAACTGAAGGATATATTATTTCAGATTTCAATTCAATATCTCAGAATACTGAGTAGTTAAATAGCGAGGGAGTGTTCAATAAGTTGAAAGAAGAAAAGTATGTAACATATAGTCTACATCTTCAAAATATGGAGATTTCTTTCAAGGTTTATGATACTTCATCTTATTCAATCTACATTGTGTCTGATGATTTGATTTCAATTCCCAAAGAAATATTTCCCCAAAAGTACTTTTATTCCAGAGGCTTTGTCTTTGATCCAACTGGTTTCTATTATAGAGATCATAGAGATCATTGGGATAATGATTTGGAGCCTCTACTGTTTTATAATAATGCCAATCAAGACAATCCATTGATAGTAGATGCTGCTAACTATGTCTTTCATGATGATGAGAGTGGATAAGACGTACTAAAGATCTACTCAGAAGAACAATATGGGAATGCTATCATATTAGGATTGCCGTTCTTGAAAAACAAGAAGTTTAATGTTCAAACTTTAGAAAATTATGTATATATCTAGTAACTCGGAAATGGTCTATGTATTCAAGATGAGGATGATCAATCAATTGGAGTTTGGGAAATAATATTTATAGTACTCCAAATGATTTTACTACCATTCTTAGTTTATTTCACCTTCAAAAAGTTAAGACAACATGAGCAATAGAAGCAATAGCAAAGATAAACTTAATAATTCATAACTGAATTACAATGATAGTAAATTTATTTTTATAATTCTATAAAGTAATTTAGTCATAAAATATTATTTTGTACAATTTACATTCATAAAGAGTTTTCAATATAGATACCAAACATATAGATAATTAATTCATTTAGGTTATTTAAATAACAAGCCATGGAGAGAATCGAAATCTTGCGCTTCTAATTAAAGGAGAGCTGTTTTGGTAGAGTCAAAAATAAATCCAGGTTTGGTACACTTAATCTCTGCAGTTAAAGGCACTCTAGTCTTTTGTACAATTTATGAGGAATCACATAAAAATTTGCCTTTAAACTCATTGGTTTCTTTAAGGTAAATAAGAATATTGTTATCAATTGTGGCTATAATTTGGCAGGGCTTCCATGTTTTCAAAACATTTCCACAATCTATTTAGGCACTTTTGATTCTTAACTTCACTAAGGAGTGGTTTTCTTGCACACTTCCCAATTTAATGTAGGCATCGGGATAATTGCAGAGGAAATCTTGCAATTATGGAAGTGTCAACAACTATTTTCCAAGCATCTTCTACACTATCCTCACAATATCTTGGCTTAAGAAATTCGATACTTCAAATGATTGAGCCACTTGTTCAGATTCTAATTAATTTATTAGCTAGACTATATAAAAATGAAAATGCTACTCCATAAATCAGTTCCTCTTATGCTGAAATCTACTGTTGTTTGCTTTGACTCAATTGCACATGCTTATCAAGGTACATTCTTAAAGAAGTGATGACAATTTGATATCTATGGACTTCTTGTTTTTTCACTTCATCAAATAGTCTCGTGACTGCTTGTCCCATAGTTTTTTGTAATTTGGCCATTTCAAGGAAGGAGTCTATCAATTTACGTTCAGTATGATAGAGGTCCTTACCTTTGTTCTCTCCCTGCATTTGTCTCTGGTATAATCCTTGATGTTTTCTGCGGTACTTGGTGAGTTTTGAGGAACTGGAGGCGAAGTTGCTAAAGGCCTTTCGATACTGATCTCTATGGGTTGAGATACCAGTTTCAAACATCTCTATATTGAAATCCAGTTTCTCTTTGATAAATTTGTCAATTCCATCGAGGAGATTGAGGATTTTGATGGCATTACCTTGATCATAATTACAAATTTCTTTGATAGTTTCATCCAATTTAGGATAGTACAAAGTCTATCCATCTTGAAATAGTTTATTGATATCCTTGTTCTTAGTTCTTAAGTACTCTACGTTTTATTTTTCATGTTACACGAAAGTCTTAATGAAATGAATGAGATTTTGAATGCTTCGATTTGAAATTGCAATTCTCTTATCTAAAATGCGATAAACATCCTTGATAATTTGTCTGTGTTGCTGCATGTCAATTCCAACTTGTTCCATCCAGGCTTGTAATTGATTATAGGATTGATGCCTATGGAACTTGACTGAAGTAGGGTCATCATGATGATTGGTTGGTCTTTGTGCAGCCGATTGCCGAATAGATTCTCTGAGACGATCTTCCACCAGTTGTTCCGGATTATAACTAGGCATGTTGACAAACTTGAATGATTGATCCTCTGCCTAGACGTATTCTGATTTGACTACTTCCTCTTAGAAATCACTTTGCATATTAAATATTTTTAAAATTAACTCAATCAGATATCATTGCTTTAACTTTTCCAACTCTGTCAATTTGGTTTCGATCCTTTTCAAGATGGAATCCAAATGATCAACTGATGATTCCATCCCTTCAATTGAATTCTGTATCTAATTGATTTTCTGAATATTCTCATCCAGTTTATTTTCTACAGTCTTGATAGAAGATTGGATAACTTACAAATGCTCTTGGTTTCTTCGAATTCCGATCGGATTTAATTGATTTTGTCCAGGTTTTTTTAGTAATGCACAATAGTCACCTCGTTCAATTTTTAAATGGTCGAAGTTTTCAATTAAATAACTTTAGACTATAGAACATAGACATACTCTTTTGCTAATTGTCCACGTAATTCACAATGGATGAAGCATATTAATCAATGACATCAACTTGCTCTTTGCCAATCATAGATTATATTAAATTTTAATATAATATCAAATTTCTTTCTTCGAATTTCTGAATTGTTTGATACTGCTTTCAATCTTGGCCTGACAAGCCTTGTGAATTTGGGGCTTGTAACCTAAAAAGAACAATATTTCCAAGAACACGAAGTCTGGGGCCACAAAGATCTACAGAATGTTGTCCAAAAGGGCAGGGGCACGTTCTAGGAAAATTAGAAAAATAGTGCGGTAGAATTACTTTCGAAAACTCCATGTCCAACAAACTACAAAATCCAGCAAGTGACTTGGAAGGTGATAGCCACATACAAGTGATTACTCCATTAAGCCTCATCGGTATTGGTGAAGCGTTAATTGAGGAAGAGTGTGACTGCGATATAAAATGACGAAGCAAGAATCTTTGGTGTATCATAAAAAGAAAAAACTTACTCCACTAACCAGGTCTACAGCCATGTAGACGAGAGCAAGAACGAACAGCATTATTAAACCAATGTTTAATTGACAACATCCTGTGTCAATGGTGAATGAGTAATGGTTCATAATTTAAACAGCTGATAGCAAAATGAGTGGAATGCACACCAAATGTATGGCCTTGTTCCTGCATTCTGATATTTATATAAATTTACACTATATTGCTGTGATAACTACCATAGGAGCTGTAGAAGTTGACTATGTCTATTCCCATATTAATAAATTTAATGACTGATAAAGATATCAAAATCAAATCACTAGAATCAGAGTTAGAAAGTAGACAGACCCAGGTTTTACAGCTTGAAAAGAAGGTTGCTGTCCTTGAGACTCGAATCAATCAGAATGCAGATGTATTTCAACAATTTTATATTCTAGGTCTTAGAATTATAGGAAAAGATCAAAATGCTGGAGACCCAGAATATAAAACTGGTAGAAAAAAACCAGAGTGATGTTGTGGAGTGGAAAACTAAGGAAAGAGAATTTAAGGTAGAAGTTACATCTATAATCAAGCAATTACTCAAGCAACACCAAGACGAGCTTGCTTCTATTAGGACTGAATTGGACTTAGCCAATCAACAGTTGGCCAATCAGCAACCTCAAGAAGGGAATGCTCCTGGATTGGAATAAACAATTAGAGATTTGTAGTTAGACCGCAATGATTTGAAATAAATCAATGAGAAATTAATACATAATGAAAATGTACTTAATTTGGAGAAGGAGAAACTTAAGAATCAAGTGACAGACTTGGAGGAAGATAAGAAATAAATGTAGAACAATTTATAAGATTTAAAAAATAAACACAATAAAGAATTAGAAACTTTGAGAGAACAAATTCATCAATATCAGAATGAGATACTCCAGAGGGAGAAGATGCATGAGGAATAAATGAGGAATCTGGCCAGATTGGAATAACAAATGGAAAACAAGGCTAAAAGCAATGAGGAAGAAGTAGATCAAGTCAAAAGAAAAAAGGATTAATTGCAATGTGAAAATGATGCTCTCAAAAAAGTGAATGAAAAATAAGTACAAGAAATGCAGTATTTGGATCAATAAATCAATTGTTATGCTAAGCAAGTCTCTGAAAAAGAGAAATAGTTTTAAGAGTTACAAAATAAAGCAGAGGAAGAGCATACCAAAGTGGTTAATTTGCAAAAGAATAATGGAGTATTTTAAGAAAAATTGAAGGATTTAGAGTAGACCTACTAGGTACAACTTAAAGATAAGGACGTACAGATTCAAAATGCCAAGAAGTAATACGAGGACAGGATTTCATAAATATAAAAGTATTGCATTCCCATATAATTTCATAGAGAAAATGCTACCATTTTGGAGTAATTACAATTGGTAAATGATTAGAATAGAGAGTTATTGACAAAGCAAAAAGAGCAGGAAATTCTATATAAAGAGAGTTCAAGTAAGTAGCTTGAGAAGGATAAGAAATTGGTGGAAGCATTTGAGAGGATGAGAAAATTAGATTAAGAAGTATAGAGTGCTCTTTACTGTAGGTAAAAGCCTTGATGAAATAAAATCAATTGTTCAGGGAATAGATACTAATTCTTGAGGGAGATCTCAGTAAGAGTAAAGAGTAAGTGAGGATGCTCTAAAGAGATAAGTCGGAATTGAAGTAGTAGTTAGATTTTTTGATTTCCCAATAGAATAAGAAAGGCAGATTGAGTGAAATTGACTTGTTGAAAAAGTAGGTCCAAGAATTGCAAACAGAATTAACATTATTGAGGGAATCGCATAAAGCAGCTTAGAGTTCATTGAAATCTACAATGGAATCATCAGGTTACTTAAAGGGGAGATTGAAAAAGTTAGATATCGAAAATCAAGCATTGCTGGATTCAAAAACCAGATTGGAGACCTTGTTTTAAGAGTTGTTGGAAACAATGAAATCGAAAAAGTTGCAAAGGAATTATTCTGAGGTGTAGATGAATGGACACCAGGGGAAAATGATAACAGAGAGTAGTTCAACTTATTTAGAGCCCATGACGGAGAGATTGACAGCTAAGACTAATAATAATTAGTAGTAGAGGAATGGGGATGTTCGTTCTATTTTTAAACGACCAATCTAAGTTGCTAGGATTAGATCATCAGGATAGTAGAAAGAAATTAAGGGTAAACAAGAAATCAAAAGCAACAAGGTGGAGCAGGAGTAGCTTGTAGATCAAGAGAAGAAGGAGGAGTATGAAATTTTAGAGGAGGAGTCTTAATTGAATCAAGGGGAGGATAAATAGAATGATGATGAATAGAATGAGTCTTCCTTTCTTTATACTGAATCATGAGCTGATGAATTGTTATGATTATATATATATTATATAAATTATAATAATTATAATTGATATCGAATTCATCACACATTTAAATTATCAATTTCCATAATTCTCCATTCATATTGTTTACCTATAAAATGGTTTCGGAGGTATTTCATTCTCTTCTTTGAACTCAACAACAACACCTTAATTAAATCTGGATTTGTCTTGGCAGCTTGTGTTAGTTTCAATTCAAACATGACCTAGATATTTAGATTCATGAATACTCTGTGATAAATGGATTCGAAATGGGCCTCGGGAGTTGGATGCAGCATGAACTAAGATAGTATGTAGCATTCAACTCGAAATGTAACACTAAAATATAATTTGTTTATACTTTTCAATTTCGGATCGTTCATTATCATTGCCATGTATATCTAGATTCACGCAATCGAAAAGAGATAACTTTACGCACTATTATGATGTGTCACCAATTGATAATCTATTAATATTTTAAAAAAGTGATACGTTAAATCAGAGTAGACAATATCTTTAGTTCCATTCTGGAGGTTCAATAATTGAAAATTATATTTCTCTAGGGATCTTTCTAGATTTGCATTAGCTATAGTTGAAATGAACTTGTAATCTTTCTCACTGAGCGCTTAAATGAATTGTCTAAACAATTTAAATGAACAAATACTCATAAGCCATATGAAATCCTTCATCGATTCTGTTGTCCCAAATTTCAGAGAGTAAAGATCGCAATCTATAACTTCTGGAAGTGTCAATGTCATCGTATTTATACCCTGTAAAAGGGAGGGCAGCATGCAATGCAACTGTCGAGAACTTCCCTGCTAATGATTTGAGTAGAGTATTCATGCATATATATAATAATAACTATTTTAATTTATTATCTCCACACTTATTAATTCCATACTATTTATACCCTTAATCTTGTCAAAACGAATCACGCATACATAAGTTCTTCAAAATATCTTTCGATTTAGAAATAAGTAAAACCTTCGCAATTACTTAGATGTCTCGTGCAATTTTAAGCATTTGAGAAGGATTTTACAATTTTTATGTTGAGATTTCAATAGAAATCCTCATTCTTCAATAGAAAACAGAAAATATCAAAAAACTTATATTGCCAAAAAATTTAATTAAATATAAATTAATGAAAATTTTAATAATTCATCAAAATAAATAATTATTATATTAATCATAGTATTCAGTCTGATTTCATTTTAGTATTAAGAGTTCCTATATACATATTTTCAGTTGTCAACTGGCTTTTTTTAACTAAGTAATCTGCTATGTTTAAAGATGAATATCTTACCTTCTTCGTCATGCTCTTCACTGGCTCTTCTGGATGTCCTTCTTTTCTCAATTATTCTATCGCTCTTTGATTTCTATGTTATTTGTTGATTCTGCATCTGCTTCTTCTTGATCATATTTTTGGAGCTGTTGAATTGCTTCTTCTATTTAATGGTCGACTGAGTTATCAATCGCTTCTCTCCCAAGTGCTGGTATCTTCGTAATAGTAAGAATTCATTAATATCAAACCATTTCACAACAGGGGGTCTGGACACTAGGGCCCAATAGGCATTGCACAGACCTTTGATAATATTGCGTATCATTCCGATTACTTAAAATATTATGGTGACTGTGATTACGGTTTAGTAGCCCATTTTCATAAACATCAATTGGTAGTTATTAAAGAAGAATAGATATATGAAGAAGGTGGGTAACTCAATTACAAATAACTAAGTCAGTTAGAAAATCTGTTTCAAATTAAATAGACTATTCATTATTTTAATTCCTGATTGTGGACAAAAATTGCTGACCACATTCTCGACCAGAATATTGGTGTCATAGATATTCTTGATCCACAGATTTGACAAGAGAAATGAAGCATCCTTATTTGGATGTTTAAAGAATTGAATAGTGCATTTCACATCCTGATAACAAAAAATGGTGAATTTAACACATATCATTATGGTCATCATGTAAGCAGTTGCTAAGAAATTAGTTTTAATTTATTAAAAGGAATTGTCCTCATATTTCTGAATATAACTTGACATATTATAACTGGATGATATGATTAGAGTGTCGAAAATGTACTTGCATTACAGTAGTATTTGCAACATCAATAGAAGCAACTCCTTTTTTATGGGGAATTTCCTTTTTAATTCCTTCTTTTATTCGTAAGTCAAAATGTAGAAGTCTGGCTCTGAATTATTCCTTAACTTGATTGCTATAATCATGTTTGTTACACTGCACATCACTATTACGAGAATATCCACTATGAACAAAGTCAGAGTGAGAATTTACACGTCGTTAATAAAACAATATTGATTTCGACAATTTCTGTGATCTTGTAAGTCCTGTAAAGACAAGGGAGTCTACAACATGAATGCTGTCAAAAGTGCCAATATTATAAATACAGGCTCTACAAAACAACCCATAATGTAATAAATTTTCATTCTGTTCATTTTTCTCCTCAGGTGTTTCTATAGTTAACTACTCATCCTGAATTCAGTTAGAGATCCCTAAAACACATACAACAATTTGTTTATTATGTGGATTATGAATTTCCCAATGAACCCCCATTTTATGGTTTCGATATTTTGATCATTGATGCCATAGCTACTTTGCATGATGGTGTAATTTTGAAATCGAAATTTCTATTTCAACAGATGGTATCTAATCAATCCGTCATCGAACATAGTCAAGGTTTGTTGTTCTACTTCATCAAACTTAACTTGAAGCAAATTGTAATTGACTTGATTGTTTATCATATTTATATACATGTGCATCTTTCCCATGCTTGTACAGAACCTTGTATTGCTTGAGAAATCTATGTATTACAAATAGGGCAATTGAAAATAATTATAACCAAACCAAATTAGAAAGTCATCTGAGAAATCAGTCTCCTTTATAATCAATTATTATATGTAGTTATGTTAACCATATTTTAGGTTGTACAATTAAGTGAACTAAATGTAGGATTAAATTACTAAGTAAGCCAGTTAGTCATTGATGTTGACCCAATGGTTAAAGATGTAGAGTTTAGGATTTTGGGATAAGAGTTTAATAAACCCTTTGCAACCCTTGCCATAACAAAGATTGCCATCAAGAGACAACAGTTCAAGGGAGTCGATTCTCATATTCAGTTCTTTGTATTCGAGTTAGCAAAAGTATTCTTCATTGATTTTGTTTTTAGATAAATTTAATGCTTTGAGTTTGGAATTTCCCTCCAGTATAGGGTCAAACAGGTCTTTAAATCCAACAAAGGTGATTTGGTTTTGACTGAGATGCAGCTCCTTCAAATTGGTTACGATTAATTTGCTTAAGGCTTTGCAATGATGATCGTTGAGATGACACTATTCCAAATTAAGGAAAAAGAGGTTTTAGAAGATATTATTCGGTTAGCAACACTGGACTAATTTAACGATACTTCTATTTTTTTACTTATTTTTGGAGATGTCAAGATAGAATAAATTGGGAAGACTCTAACTGTTAACAAGATTGTTGGGGATCTCATCAATCATTAATTAACAACATAGTTTTTGTAATAAGGAAGGATTTTGGCTGAAATTTTATTTAAATCTTAAAAAGCTTAGTTTTGTGAGATTGCATTCACTGATATCTAGTTGAACCAATGAGGTATTCAAGGGTAGAGTGTCTATGAATATCTGCATTACTTCGTCATCTAATTGGCATTTGGATAGATTAAGATTCTTGAGAGTTTAAGTAATTTGAATCCCCTATGAAAGCAGTTCAATACCTTGTTTGGAGATGATGCATTTGTGTTCATAATCGTTGCTTTGATTGCTACTAAGATCCAATTCTTCCAAATTCTTAGAATGTGATAATAATTGATAAAGGAATTCAAAAAATTCAACAGAAAGAGTTGACTTTCGTATCGATAAAGTCTTCAATTTCTTAAACGATCGAAACAATTCTTTCAAGGAATCAACCACTTCTTTGTTATCGAAGTATTAATTGTCCATTATTAGTGCTTTCAAAGAGTGCATCTATTTTAATTGCTCTAACAATTTCTTCAATTGATAATTTTTTAATAAAGTGTTTGATATTTCTATTATCCTCATCCATTTTTAATTTTAGACCAATATCTAACAGAGATTTTCAAAAATATCTCTTCTCAATTTCAATCTGTTTATTGAAAGAGTTTCAACCTTATTATTGTCTCCATACACCAGCACATTATTCAAATAATCAATGGACTGATTGCCAAACAATTCCAATTTTCTAATTGAGTAAGATTCACGTATGATTTCACTGATGCTAACAAGATCGTCTGCTGTTAGTTTTAATTGGCTCAAATTCATCTAAGGGAATTGCTTATACTGTCTTAATAGTATTTTTTTCATGTTCTAGAAAGTGGCACTATGAATAGAATTCAATGACAAATCAATGTATTGCAAACTTGGATTCTTGAAAATTTCAGGCAATTTGATTATTACCTCATAATCTTCTTCAATCTGATTATTGCTTATGTTCAAATAGCGTAAAGAACCACAGTTTTTTAATCCATTTACCAAAAATACTATTTTAGATTTTAATTTGTTATTTGACAAATCAAGGGAGAGCAATGTAAAATTATTAGCAAAACAACTCTCCAATTGTTTCAACTCATTTTCATTTAAATAATGCAAATTGTTATTCGCTAAACACAAAGTTTAAAGTGTATAAGTCTTTGATAATAGATTATAAATGCATTCCAACACTTGGCTATTTTGTTACTATGAGCTTTTTTGATCCGTTTGATCTATAACAATTGGTTCATCAAAAATCAGAAATTTAGCCTCACTTGATTTCTTCAAATCTATTGTCAAGGTATCCGATTTTCTCACATGAATATCAAAAGGTTTCTTTATGTCTAATGTTTAGGTATCTAACTTCTTAAATAGAGATTCCCTTTCTGGTTTCTTAATCAATTGACAATTGTTTAGATTTAAGTATTCTAGACGATTATATTGTTTAGATAAACTTTTAAGAATGGGCATGATTATCTATGGATTACAGGAAAAATCGATTTCTCTAAGATTAGCACATTTAATCTCGAATAATTCATTTTTGCCACTATGAATTTCATTTTCATCTTGTCTCAATTATGATAACAATAATGTCTTTAATTTACATTCTTTCATCATAGATATCAAAGCATAGACCAAATCATACCTTAAGTAATTATGAGATAGATCTAAGTATTAAAGATTCAATTGTTCGTGATTAAAGATATAAACAAGGATTCCTTCGCCATTAATTTTATTATTTGCAACTGATAGATTGGTTAAAGATTTGTTCTCAATTAAAGCGTAGATCAGAGAAATGAAGCCTCTGGTTTTAATGCAATTGTTGTTGATGTTGAGATCCACCCATTAAACCTTCTTATAGGATAGTACTTAAGAAATTTAATAGGCTCCTTGAGTATTAATCTGATTGTTCGATAGATTAATTGATAACACATTCAGAAAGAAATTATTGGGGATTTCTTCAAAGATGTTGCTTGACAGATCCACTCTCACTAATTACTTATTGAGGACTTACTAGTTCTAAAATTCTTAGATCTTATTTCTTGACAAATTCAATTCTTCTATGTTTAATTTAAGGAGGATCTGTTCCAAATGAACCACTCCATCCTGACTGATGTGATTGCCAGATAAATTGATGGATTTAATATTAATAGAGGTTATTACTGATAAATAAAGAGATTTATTAAGTAATTCAAGCCCATGATTCTTTATCTAGCAAAATGATAGATCAAGATAGTCTAAGAATCTTTTACCTGTGTAATGTAGCATTGCCGAGGAAAGTGCTAGCAGCGACTCAGAGCTCAAGCTCATTAACCCCATCTTTAATCTCTTAAGTGACTTGAGATTTTTCAAATTCGGTAGTATCATAGATAATTAAGCATTTTCGATGTTGCAATGACTTATGTTGATTTCAATCAAAGGATTCTTGCCTTTAAGAACATACTTGATGAAGTCTTGTACAACAGTTGGAGTAAAGGATTAATTATTAAATAAATTCAATTGAGCCAATCCGGTATGATCGATCATCTACGGTGTTGATCAATAGATTATTACCGCTTTAAAGATGCAGCTTAGTGAGAATGAATTCAACTTGCAACTTGCTAATTGCAATACTTCGATATTAGTATTTTTCTATACTAGTTTCGCCAACTGAATTGCAAAGTAGACATTGATGTTGCAACCTGAGAGATTGACTTCACTAAGTTATATACTTGTAGTACATGATGCGATTATTACATGATAAAGATTGACATAATTCGCTAAAGCAGGCCAAAGCGCCTTGGTTGACAGTAAAATATGATTGCTCATTAATTTTTTGTTTTCCAAGAAATCTTTTAACGAAGCGATGCTTTATAAGTATCCTCAGGAACTTGATTTTGACACTATCAATATTTTACATAAATTTATATTAATTTATTTAATCAAAAGTTTTTTAATTAGATATTCTTCATGGACTTATTTTGAATGGGAGCCATTGGCATTTGGATACTCTCTGGAATGTAATCCACATCATCTTCATTGAAGCTTTCTCTCTGAATCACGATGCTTCGATCACTCCTGGTTTTAATCAAGGCTCCCATCTTGAAATCAATGCTGCTCTTCTTACCAATCGATTGTGAAGAGGATATCTTTAACTTCTTGATAGAGATCTTGGGATACTTCTACACAATCTAAAGTGAATTGCCCATTTTCTGATAACGTCTTATCAGTAATGCTTCATTAAGATCAGACACTTTCAATTAAGGAGGTCTCGAAATAAGAGCACAATAGAAATGCTTAACGATTTTAATGGAGGATTTGCAAAGAAATATCATAATAATTATGTCAGTAGTCGTGTACAACTCTTCGAATTGAAATATCAGAAAGAATTGTCTCCTGATTTTTGGGAGTGCAGCTATGCAAATCAACAGCCCCAAATCCAACAGACCTTGGATAGGTTCAAAAAGCTGTTTGTAATTCCACAATTTCCCCTTGATGTACATGCCACTTTGAGGACAGTAATTCTTGAGAACACTCTCAATATTAAGCATATGATCTGCCTACACCTTGATGAAGCAAGCCTGAAACAATTTTGCTTGATCTGCCACAGGAGCATAGAGGAAGATCAGTAAGGATTTTATTGTGATGTACAACTAGAAAACAGCCTTGAAAAGGATGAGTGAAATGATAAAACTGAGCATCAAAATCAAATTGTATTTCAGATCTCCGAAATCCCTTGATGGATTGGCGTTGATGGATGACAGCATATCAAAAATCGACCCAATTATCTTGCATTCTAACAAGTAATTGTATGATATAATGAGTTGCAAGACATATAACCAGACTTCGGATTTGTGTGCCAATTTAAAATGCTGGTATCGAATCATATCTGAGGTCTGGATGCAGTAATCAGGAGTGGCATGCAATCGTATTTGAATTGAAAACCAAAGACCAAAGCATGATTGAAAAAGGACCAACACTATTATGAAGATGGCTTCTCCGTAAAATGCCATATCCACATCATTTCCAAAACAATGGGTCAAGTTTTTACACTTCTGGAAGACCATATCCAATTGACTAGGCATCAGAATAGCACCTATTCCCAAAGAGATCTTAATGATTTCATTGATGGTGCCTGCTATCATGCTGATTCTTATTCTAGTCAATTGTTTGCGTGTGTAACTGTGCAATGAACTGCTAAATCTGAAGTCGTAACTTTGAGTCTAGATCAAGTTGAGGGTTGTATTGATGATATGAACAATCCATTTGCCTATTTTACCCCATCTCACTTACTCTATGTCATTTACTATCACTCCCATCTTTTGCAATGAGATATGATTCTTATTTTGTAAGAAATCCTTTAAGTTTTGCAGCCAATACTTAAACAATCCATCATCAAAATGATTAGGTCTATTAGTTAATAATGCTCTTACTCGTTGTCTTAGTTCTGATCGAAACAAACCTCAATCAGATTGTAATTCACAAAATTCTCATTAACTATGTCTATATACATATGCATCTTGCTCAAACTAGTCATCTGTTCTGAACTCCCTCTAAAATCTATGTACTCCAAATAGGGTAATCGAAAGAATTGGGACCCAAACCAAATATAAAATTGATCACTCAACTTGGTGTCCCTTATTATAAGAGATGTCAAATATTTGGGGATCCCTTTGGAGATATTATAATCATTAACAAATATCACATACTGTTCAACTATTTGTTTTGCAAAGCTTTCAGTCACATTGATCCAATTATTATAAATATACAACTTAGGATTCTTTTATAACAGCGGAATCAGGCCCGAATTCCTGAATCCCTGAAACAAATTCCCATCCATTATCAATATTCGGAAATGCTTCAGAGGAACAATCTAAGCTGACGTCAACTCATTGAAATATTGATCCTTGATAAAGTTTCTTAAATTAATAATGAGACTTCTCTTACTTCGATACATTCAATTGCTATACAAAACTGCTGTTCCTTAGAATGGGATCGAAAATAGTCTTAAATCCTCTACTGGTCACTCTATTGCCAATCAAAGAAACCTCCTGAATTATCGCATTGTCCTCTATCAAATTAGCCAAGGTCTTGCATTAATCATCCATGATCCCACAATTATTCACACTCAACACCTGCACATTCTAAAGAATCTTGGTCTTGATGAATCCATCCAATATCTATATGAAATTCTCATTCTATTTATAATTCATAGAAATGTCGATGTTGTTTAAATTATGCAAAAGATTGCTGAATTTATTGGTAGAGGGAACCTATTCGATGTCCCAATACGTTTAAATGTTCTATATCTTTAGACTCTGCACTGAGCATCTCTGTCCTCCCAAAATTAGTTCCATCTATTGCAGAATCGCCAGAGTAATCTCGTTCTGAGAGATGTCCACATTCTTAATCTGAGAATGAGAATGCAGACAAGGCATTAATGATAAACAGGATTCATCTGTAAGTTTGCAATTTCGAAAATTCAAAGCTATTTACTATATCATATATACTTGTCACACTTTTATTGACGATCAATCCATCACACAAGATCTGAAAGTCATTCGCATTCAGCACATTACCACTCAAGTCTAGTTCCAGTAACTTTTGGGATTTTCGCAGCAGTTCAGAAACGAAAACGTAGAATGGCATACTCAATGTAGACTTTCTGACACTGAAGTGTTTTAGATTGCGGAAACAATTTAAACAAGAGTAAAGGGCTTCAAGCACTTGTTCATCAGTCTCTTTGAATGATTGATAGTCCAATATTATTACAACCAAATTTTTGATCAACCTTATTGAGGATAACAATTATATGAGTTGTTCTTAAAATAGCAAAGTATTGGAGATTTCCAAGAATCTTATGTGTCTGAAATTCAACTGGATCGTGTAGAGTAAATTCAAGAAGCTGTCCTGTCGAAACAGGATTTTGTTTATTGATAGGGATTCCACCTTGACGTTCTCTCCGTATGTCATTACATTGTTCATGTAGTCAAGGGAGTCATTGTCAGATAGTTCTAACTTCTTGATTGATTGACACTCTGAAATTATTTGGGTGATTATGTGTAAGTCATCGGCAGTGAATTGTTGTTTTGATAAGTTCATTTGTGGGAAGGGACGATAATATTTAAAGAGTGTTTCTCTAGTGTGCAATAAGGTTTGACTTCCTATTAAATTCTTAGATATATCTATTGATTAGAGATTTGGATTTAGAAATAATTTTGGGAAGTCATGAATGAGGTTTCTTGTTTCATAAATTAAATTATTACTAATATTTAAAAACTTTAAATATCGACAGTTTGCCAAACCATAGATAAGATTAAGGATTTTAATTTTGAGTTTGTTTGTAGATAAATCCAAATGAGTAAGGGATTGATTACTTGAGAGTCCATCATTAAAGATCTTAAAGCTTTATTCATCCAAACTGCCCAAATTATTTCTAGCCAATAATAATGTTTAAAGACTCAGAGTTCTCTTTAAAAAGGAAGACAAGGACTCAATCAAAGCTCTCTTGTTGATCTAGCAACCATTTAGATTTAGGTACTCGACCCTATTATATTGCAGAGACAAGGAATTGAGCAGAGAGGAGATCATGCAACTATTCTCAGAAAGGTCGAGCATCCTTAGATTAGTGCATTTGATCTCAAATAGTTCGTCTCTCCCACTGCAAATATCATTTTCATCCTATCTCAATTTAGAGAGCACCAAAGTCTTTAGTTAACATTCTTTCATCATTGAAATTAAGGCGTACACTAGATCATACCTGAGATAATTGCAGGAGAGATCTAAGTGTTGCAGATTCAACTGTTCGTGATTGAAGACATAGACCAGGATTCCTTCACCACTAATATTATTGTTGGCAACTGATAGGCTGATCAAATTTTGATTTTCTTTTAGTGCATAGATCAGAGACACAAATCCTTAGGTTGAGATCTCATTATTATTTAAATTCAATTCCATCCACATCACCTTCTTGGAGCTCACAACCTAGGAAATCTGATATGCTCCTTGTGTCTTGATGGAATTGTTTGAGAGATTCAACGAAAGGACATTCAGGAAGAAATTATTTGGAATTTCCTCGAATCTGTTATGTGAAAGGTCAATTCTTGTCATTTTTTTATTCAAGAGTTGTTGATTTTGAAATTCAGAAATTTTATTTTTTGACAAATTGATTTCTTCGATATTCAATTTCAAAAGGATTGCTTCCAATGATTCTATGCAATCTTGAGTCAATTGGTTGTATTCTAAATTTAAAGATCTAATGTTGATCTGTCGAACTGACATGAACAATGCCACTCTCAGTAGTTCCAATCCATGATTCTATATGCGATTCCACGATAGATCTAAATAGTCAAGTGACTTGTTCCCCGTGTAATTGAGCATTGCACTACTTAATGCTAGGATGCTCTCAGAAGAGTTGAATTTGACTAAGGAAATGATAAAACGCCTTAAAATTAAGTGTAGTTTACTTCAGAGACCTCAAGTATTTGAGATTGGGGAGAATCAGAGACAAGGAAACATTGTCAAGATTGCAAAAACTCAAATTGATTTCAATTAGAGGGTTTTTCCCTTTGAGCACGAATTTGCAGAAGTCCTCGACTGAAGAAAAGGTGAAGCCCTTGTTGTTTGATAGGTTCAGACGTGTAAGACCTGTGTGATCTATCATCTACTTATATGGGAAAAGTTACTGATTTGAAAATACAGCTCAAAGAAAAGGAATTGAGATTGCACCCAGCCAATTCTAAGACTTAAATGTTGGTGTTCTTCTGAACCAGATTGGCCAACTCAATCGCATAGTAAATGTTGATGTTGCATCTCGATAGATTGACTTCCCTAATTGTAAAAGTAAACCACTTACTTGATTTAGTTGTTGCAAGCCAATTCTGTACAGAGCTCAGCAAAACACGATAAAGCCCCTCGGTTGATGTTTTACGAGAACTCACTCACGTTGCTTTCACTCCACTTATCCTTTTTCTCCTTCTTCCGAGACATCTTGTTGACTATTTGCCACAACGTATTCACCAAATTCTTCTTCTTCATATCTTTCACAGTATTATAGCATAGTTGTTGACTTGATTAACACTCCATAGAAAAGCCATTATAATCCATTATTATTTATTATTAATTAAACTTTTATCTTACAACTTTATTTCTCCGCACTCAAAACAAGACTCAAAACATAACCATACTCCCTTTAATCAAATTGAAAAATTCTATTATTTATTATTAATACCCAAAAAAAGAATTAATTATATTTTTTTAACTGCTAGTTAATTAATGGGAAATCAGCAGTTTGAAGCTAATGAGTCTCAAACCAACATCACACAATATTACCAAAAAATGCTCAATTAAAACAAAGAAAACATCCCTCATCAAAATCAGAACACTCCTAAATTGCTGAGTGCCGAAAGTCGAAACAAATTGAGACCCACCTCTAAAATCAATCTGGATATGAAATTGTGTTCCAAATCTTCAGAAAAATCGCTGCATGGCGTATCATAAGTATGGTTACAAGATTTAAATTAGAAAATGTTTTAAGAAACCCCGGTGGTGAGAAATCCCCTAGAGAAATTACATAGGAAGAGAAGTAGTACTAAAATAGTTTAAGAGAATGATGAATCACATATTCAATTATTGGATCTTCTAAAGAATATGGTCAGGCATCAGGATTCAACAATGCAGAGTAGTCAAGTTAAAGTTTCAGAATAGTCCTGCTAAGAATATGATAAAAAGAATCTTATAATTGATTCAGATTAATTTTATAAACCATAAATAGAAGATAGACCGTTATAGTTTAACAATAGAAGAAGATCTAAAACATTTGAGGAATCCTTTAGAACATTAATATCAAATGAAGATAGATGTCAACCTTTGAATTTATATAGAAGAGAAAGCAAAGAAGAAGAAGCTCTACAGTTTATATTATAGAATTGCACTTAAACTCAATCAAGAATTGATCAATAAATTTCAAATAGCGTAACTTTTGAATCTTTGGAAAGTGATTGGCAAGCGTTAACTAAAAAGAATTCAAAATAGTTAGAAACTCCTGGAACTGCCTAATTTCAAGGGTTAAATAAAGATGATAAAATGTTTGAACTCTCCACTTCCAATTTCATTGAATAAAACAATGATGAGATTTAAGGTTCCAGGAGACCATCTTGCATGGAATCCACTTTTCTAATCCCTATGGTGTTACATTCACAAGTTAGTTTGGATTTCGATGATTCCAAAGAGGTCTATCAAAATTCCAAACCTGCTCAACCCTATGAGTACAAGAAAAGTTAAATTCCAAAGATGAATGGATTACTATCACAATAATAGTCTCTTCATTAATTGAATAAATTAGACTGTAAAATCAATTCAACGAGTAGAAATGTGGCTTAACCTATGAAAAAGATAATCTAAACTTTAGCCTCTGGATTGCCTAACAAAGCCCCATTCAAACAGAAATCACTCCATTAACAATCTGAGCATTCCCTCTCATTACCTTTGTAGATGATCAATTCCAAAATAGGTTATAGATCTAATTTGAGTTTTGTCCAGAATGTCCCTCAATCTTCGTTGTCCTCCAAAAACGGAAGAAATCAATTCGATTCAAAAACATTTAAGACAAAACCCACAGTGATCATCCATCCTGAAGAATAATGGTTAGCCAATTCAAAATTGGAATATAAGAAAATCATGCTTATTTTAGATGAATAACAACAATAGTAATAATAATAGATCTAGAACTTCAGCATTTAAAATAAAAGTGAAATGATATCAAACACTTTCAACAGTTCAGACATTAATTGTTCATAGAGATTCTAGTTAGATGATCTTAATTTCAAACTTAAACCTCATCTTGAAGATAAGAACACTTAAACTCAATTAAAAGATTTGTAGTAGAATTTAATAGACAGATTATCTTAACCTAAAAGTAGATGTAGTTCTAGAACAGCTGAAAGCAACCCTTATTGGAAATTGAGAGAAGTAGATCAATCAAAGAGATCCAGAAGGAAATGAATTGATTAATTATTTTTATTTCTGTTATTATTTTATAAATTTGGCTCACAACTTGACCTATCCTTCTTCCCAATCTTCGTATTGTCTTAATGTAGCCACCAACTCTGGGTTGGAATCTTCTGGAGAATTTTCTTTCTGCAGATATGCACTATTGTATGGTAGATATTCGTAATCATGCTCTCTGGCTATAGCAAATTGATTGCCAATCACATATGATAATTAATTCAAGTCTTTCTATGTTTTGATATCGCACATAATAGTTACCTCTTCTACATCTCTTACATATTAGGCTGGATTGCCTGCCCACAATTAATTGCTAGGAATGAGTCTTCCAGGTGGTACTACTGTTCCTGGTGCTAAAACTGCCCCATCTTCTAATTTGGCTCCCTCAAGGATGATGGATCTGTAGCCAATGAAACAATTATCTCCAATAGTGCAAGAGTAGAGAGTGCAATCATTTTGGACCATGACATTATTTCCAATGCTTAATACAGCTGGCATGCCATTTGGCAATGATGCTGCAGTGTGCAACACTGATCTTTCTCCAATGATAACTCGATTCAGGATTCTAGGTTAATTGGACTCGATACCTGATTCCATTGAGATCCCCTCTTAAGACTGCGCCATACCATACCACACATTGAGATGCCAATTCTACATCACCTATTATTGTAGCCGTAGAAGCAATGAAGTGTTGACTCCCTATTTCAGGAGTCAAATCATATAATGCCATGATATTTCTGTGTTTTGAAATGATGAATGGTTGTGTTCCCACAAATGGCACAGCTAATCAAAATCAATTAATCATCATTACGTTATGCTGCCTATTAAAATGATCTCTGAATCAAACCAATCAGTGGTCTTATTATTTTTTTCATTTTTATTAATCAATATATTTATTTATATATTTATATGCCCACTTATTTGGATCAATATTAATATCTCATTCAATCCAAGCACACAAAATTTATTTAACTCGCTGTCCAGTCATTGGAGTAAACGTCTCTTTATTAGTCTCAGTCATTTGCAATGCTAGGCTTGTAGAAATCACCATCAATGTCCTTTTCTCAATTGTAACGATTTCTCTTACTTTTGAGTATTTCTGAATGTGCTTCTTAGTTAATAGAATCATGATATTTATGAAAGTAAGCAATTTATTATAAAGTAGTAAACTCAAAAACAGTAAGAAATTCTAATAATCTGTTGATATTATGATGCTCTCATTTTAAATCAATATTTATCATGAAATTGATTGATGCTAAAGTATTAAAACCTCAGAAACGAAACATTAGGGAAATACACCAAAATTCTAACAAATATTGCCTTAAGTACCTTCACTAAACTTTATATTTATATTTAATTCAGTAGACATCTTAAATTATATAATTGAATTCTTAAAATAAGCATTGAAATAGGTCTTGTTGATATACCAAGTCAAATAATCAACTCTTTTAATAAGACACTCATCGATTTATATACTACAGCTCTTTAGTAACATAAATATTGAAGTATCTAATTTTTGATCCATTTAGAATATTAAAAACTTCAATAATTTGATTTTCAAATACAAATTCTATATGATTATTGTATGAATATTTGGTTTAGTAGGAGATGTAGCAAAGGTGCATCTAAGAACAAGAGGAGATAATAATAACCTTTACATTAAACCTGTTAAAGATCTTTTTAAAAAATTTGATGCTGTTACTCTCTCTTAGTATTTATATACTGAATATTTAATATTATATACATTAAATAGTGAGTTGATTCAAAGTTATTTTTTATGTAAATAAAATTTATCTATCATTTTATAAAAAGGTCTGTATCCTTATTAAATGTACTCATTAACTTTAATTCTTCAAGACCAATTAGACTCTCTATCTAATAAGTTAGGATGAATAATTTTATTTTAATCGAATGTCAATTAATTTAATTCAAAATAAAAAACTCAAATTAGCATTATAGTTAAGAGAATGGGGGCCATTTATAGTTCAATTTCGAAATTTGAAGAATTATTGTTATTTTATGATTTAATTTAACTCCTGTTTATTTTCTAAATAACAGAGCTTAAGAAATAGATAAAATGTTTTGGAAGTTTGATTTATCCCAACTAAATTTGAGAAGGAAATAAAAATTAACAATTTATTAACTTATTATTTAATAATTAATTTTTTTCATAATATATTTAAATTTGTGGTTTTTAAAAGGAACAAATATTATTTCAAATCTGATGTTGACAATAAAAGTTTTTTGATTTTTACTTCCTAAAAATATTATGCTTTGATTGCCGAATTGTATCATTTGTATTTAATTCTCAACTTTCTTTTATTTATTTTATGGGATATTATTTATAAATAAATATATATATGTAAGAATCACTTTAACAATCTTTTTCATAAGAGTATGATTAATTTACACTTGTAAAGTGATTATAAATAATTGTTTTGATAAGAAAATAACTGTTGATAAGCATTTTGTTGAGTGAGTCTCAGTAATTTGTTTGCTTCATTTTTTAAATAAGTTATGCGTTGTATCTAAATAAGAAGATATAAGAATTCAGCTTCACTTTAATTCACAATTTATTAGTATTGATTGATGAGCCATTATGAAAAATATCGATAATATTTATTTATAAATAGAATGATTGCCTTATCTATCGAATTATTCTGTATTCAGCTGGGATATTTTGACTGCCAATTAAAAATCACTTAGCTTCCAGGATTTTATGCATTAGGACGATTATTTTCATTATTATTAGTTATATACCCAAGTTCATACGATGTAAGAAGCGGCTTTAAAGCTTTAAGATCTGAGGTAGTTGAAAATCGATTTTATTCTTTATTGCAATTATTAATAGATCTAATCAATTAGATATTCGCAAATGCTTCGCTTCAAAATTATCTACAATTTGCGTTTAATTTGATAATTTTTTTGGGAATTGGTTTTGTTATAATTGCCAACCTTAATACAAAAGATACTATTGAAAAAAATATTAGGAAATAAAATTTTTAAAATATCATTTTGAAAATGATGACTTTCTTCTTTATTTGCATTTCTGTAGTGTTTTCAATACCTTTTTTAATAATTGCTCTCCATAATTTACAAAGGTCAAGTAAAGATTAGAGTTATGGTTGGTTTATCAATGATGTCGTTTATTTGGCAATCATCCATTTTATATCCCTATTTTATTTTATTCTCCTTGAGGGAACTTTGATAGTGAAAGATAGAATATGTAAAAAACTATAGGTCAATTTTCAAGACTATTTAATATTTCTCTTACAAATGATTCAACCATACATATTTATACTGAGTTCCAAAGAGGTGGCAAATTATGGTCAATCAATTATATTTTTGCTGATCACATTCTTAGAAATCGTTTCCATATATATTTATAAGGAATACTCTAATAATTGTTAAATAATGCTCTTAATATTCATTCATTCCTGTGGGGTTATAATAGCTCTAAGTTCCCTTACTCAGATTAATTAACCCATGATATTTTTTATACTTTTGTCGCCCCTGCTAATTTTAATTGGTATCTATGTACATAATTAGTTGTAATTTTTAATGCTTACTTCAAACCATTAAATACTTAATTTATTTGAAGTCAATAATCTAATATGTTCATCATTATTCAACTAACAGAGACAGTCATTCTAGTAAACTTGTATTCTCAACTCGATTTATTAATATAGACATTTTTAGTAATGTCAAAATCCCAAATGTTAGTGTAAAATATAGGAGCTAAGCTCGAGTAACCCCAATAAAATGGTTGTACTGTCAGATGTTGTAGAATAAGAACTTTATTATCGATTGGTAGAGAGAATGAAAAAATTGATTTAAAATTAAGAACCCAAGGATTGCTTTTATTTTCTTATTCATTTCTTATTTGCTCAATAATACCATGGAGAAGTCTATGAAATATACAGTAAAGTGGAGAATAAGTTAATATTAAATAATCTATCTTATATATAGAGAATTAAATGGAAATTCTTTATTATGATGATCAAATAGAATTTGTACATCAGTTTGAATGCAAAATTAGATGTAAATCATTCTGATAAAACCAAACTCTCCTTAAAAATCAATTAGTTTGTTCAATCTGAGGGTTTTAATTAAAGTATTAAAGATGGTTTGATTGACATAATTCAATAAAAATTACAATTGCAATAGTTATTAGTTAAATAGCAGAGTAAGGCTGACTTGACATATTAATATTACAACTTATTGGAGAGTGTTGAAAAGCAAGAAAAGATACTAAAATCTATATATGATTCATTTCCAAGCCAAAGAAATTAATCCCAATTAATGTTTTTTTATGCCGAAATCAAATATGATTGGAAAAAGGCATTCGATTAATTATAAATCAATGCTATTGATAATTCATTATTAAGTATCGTAACTGATGTTGATTTTAATAGATTAGCAAACAAAATGGCATATTTAATTTATTCTTATGATGACAGAAAACTTAAAATTATTTCATATTCTAAGAAGGCCCCAGGAGTCTTTGGTTTTTAATAAAAATAATTTGAGTTGATTGTAACTCCAGATCCATTGATTCCAGCAGTGGTTAGAGATATTCATGATTAATACATAGCAGATTTTTTGTAGAATGGAAAAGGAGCGTACTTTAGACAAGTAGGTTCTAACTTTTGTTAATTAAAGTCAGGTTATTTGTAAAACATAGAATTCTTTTTTGATCTCTATTTTGATTGTAATCAATCATTTCGCTTTATCACTTTTATAAATTGTTAAGAATAGGCAGATCCAATGATTTTGATTGATTAAGCAAATAAAATTTAGGGAGTAAACAAAGAATTATTCAAAAAGTTAAATTTCAATCCAAAAATCATCGATTAATTATAGATAGAAAAATCACTTTATAATTTAACAACAGACTTATTTTTAAACAATGATATATTGAACGGAACCTAAATTTAATATTAATTTTAGTTTTATTTTCCTAAAGATTCATTTTTTGCATAAGAATTTACCACAACTACATAGAAGATTACAAGTCTAAGACATTAATAGAAATTATCTTAATATGAAGTGAGTTGTGAAGTTTTGAGACGGAGTAATTATAAAATCATAAGGTTAAAGAAGATATAAGAAAATAAAAAAATGAATCTAGCATAATCAATAGAATTGCAATTGAATTAAGAAAATAATTTACCAATTAATCAAGAAGAATCTATTGTTCTTCCTTATGAGAATTCCCTGTTAAATGAACCCTCTTCAAACATGATTATTCAAACTCAAAGGAAAACGGATGTCAGATTTTTGAGTGAATTAGAGGAGAAGAATCTAGAATAAATTGATGAAGAGAAAGTAAAAATATATCATTATAGCGAATCAAATATTATCGATTATGATAATAAAACTATTAAGATATTGGGGAATGTGTATGACAATGACATAAGAAATCAGGAGAATTTTGCTATAGAAGGGTCTCAAGCATCTTCAATGGCTGGTTTAAGAAAATCAGTGTATTATAGAAAATACACTCTTGTAAATCAACTTAACGACTAAACTCCAGTTATACCTTTATTGAGTAAGCTTTTTGGATATCTGTTTTTTGCTCTAATCAATTAAGTCTTATTCCTATCGATTGTAATTATTTGATATATATTTAGAATATTTCATTCTCAAAAACAGACTTTTACTCACTAAATTATTACTACGAATCAATCTAAATTAATCATTATTTTATAGAGCCGATGCAGAAGTTCTTTTTGACTCGTTATATGCTCCAAGATTACCAAATTTTAAACCTATATTAGAACATAACCAAAGATAGACTTAACTATTATTAAAAATTTATTAACCCTCTATTGATAGGGTCATTTGATGAATTCAAAATTAACTTTCAGGATCATTTTTAGGATGAGACATTATCATAATTTATCAAAGACGAATACGTTAGTATCTAATAGTAAATAACTCACTATGCTCCAATTAAATTGCAAGAATACAATGTGACCTTATTTAATGCATTTAGTATCTTGCTTGATGCCTTTTACAAACAAGAGTAGATTTACATCAACCCTTAATCAGTTAAAGGCACGAATCCTTATAACACATATTAATATAAGAACTATATCTTATTTGTAACTATCTTTGATAAGATATCTGATCTAATGTTTGAAGAATCTATCGAAAAAATTGAATTGGTTGTTCAGAGATGGATAATCATGGTCATTCCAATATCAATTGCAGTATTAATATCCGTTTTGTTACTTGGGTATTATTACAACTATTACAATCGATTCATTGAGAAGTTTTTTGACCTCAGCAAACACATAGAACAGATTGAACTTGATACCGATCAAAATAGACAATAATTTATACTTCAAAGTTTAAAACAAGGATCTGAATTGATCCACATGTATAAATTTAATTTGATTGGAAAGGAGGAAGTATTAGCAAAGAATAAAATCAAGGAATCTAAGAAGGAGATCAAAAATGTGGTCAATGAACCAAAAGTTGTTAGACAATTTATTAGGATTTCGAAATTCCCTCTTATTTTTTCAGTCCTAGCTTTGCTATTACAATATTTGATGATAGCTGGTCCTTTAACTTATGTTGGCAGTGATTATATGAGCAAATTCTCCACAACTATTCACTTTTTTAAATCCCTTTCTGATATTGGTGTTTATGTTCCTGCCTCTTTCTCCTAAAAAGAAATCTTGTATTTCTTCTTTTATTTCACTTACTATACTACTGATGATAGAGTGTTCTTTGTTGATTAAATATAAAAAGCAGTTAGCAAAATTGACACTTTCTTAAACTTACATATTGAGAGTTCGACTTTGCAATTTTCATAATAATTTTTAGACGATTATGAATACTTGGAGCAAAACAATCTATGCTAATTGTTGAATAGTTCAAAATATTATGATTTAGATTACTTTTGTTAAAATTCTCAAAATGGAATATTGAAATTGGGTTTGAGAGCATCACTGACTAATTTTAATAATATATTGAAGACAGAATTAGATATCAACTTTCCGACAACTCGTAAATCCCCTCCAAAAGAGGAATTGGAAGCTGTTTATTTAGGCTCGGATGTAATTTCTGAAATTACGTTTAAAATGGAAAAAGATATTAGTTCACAAACCTTAAAAATCGAGGAATTATATAATGTATATATATCAATATTTTAAAGATCATAAATGCTTTAAGCCTGACTTATACTATCATGCTGATTATTGTTATTTAGTTTTCAGTTTTCAAAGTTTTTAGATTGAAACTTAATAGAACCAAAATGATCTCATTAATATTCCCACTAGAAACAATCTTCCTAAATGACCATTTTGAAAGAGAACTAAGAAGAATGGTTACAAGTGAAAAATTGATTTGATAAAAGTTTGATCTGATTTGATTAATCATAATTTTACAATAATATTAAGTTTCGAAATGAAATTGGAGATGCTTGAGTCTTTATTGATTCAGTTGAATTTCTAGGAGAGCTAACTAAAATGGAAAAACACTCTCTTTTATGTGATCTTGAGTCAAATATTGAGTATTTTTTTTTTGATCTACCCATTTGTCTCGAATAGAGTTAGACATAATTAATTTGAATCAATTATGGAAATACCTAAAGCAATCCTCCTTTAATTTTTGGAACAAGTGAATGTGGCTGAGTATTCTGTGTTGATTCTTAATGTCTGGATAATAATATTGCTAATTAGTATGTGCTTTGAAAATTAGAAATAAAAAATAAGTCAGATGAAAACATTTGAAAAGAAGCAATTAAAATCAGTCTCAATCTATTATCTGATGCTTACATCAAAAGTCATAAATTATATGTTACTGCAACCTTTACTTTGTTTAGGGTTATTTAATTTGAAAATCAATTTCAATTCTAACCTTTACTTTGTGATCTAAAATTTACTGTTTCTCTTGTTTGTGCATGTATTTTCCATAAGCTATTATATTTTAAATAATACTACCTTACTATTAACAGATAAAATGGATAAGAAAATCGAAGATGACTATTTAGATTTCATCATCTATCTTCTTAGAATACTTTAATCCTATGTGTTTATCTTGTTGGACAATCCCATCACAGACAGGCTTTAAAGTTGTATTTATTTGTTCATTAGCTTGATTCGTATATATACAATTTTGATTCAAATGAAGTACTGTGATCTCAAACATTGCTTTATTCTAATATTCTTTGCCTCTTCTGGCTTGATTATATCCATCTGCATATTTTCAGAGTAGCTTTTGAACATAGGATATTTGATGCTGTTGAATCCCTTATTAATATACTGCATTTGGAAGTCTTTATGCTATTACATAGAATTCATCATCCTAAATGACCCCTAAAAGTTATCGATTGACATGTTGCACTTCTTAGTTTGCTTTATATTTGCAGACAATCAATTTTCTTAGTAAAAAAATTGCATCCTTAATGGAATCAAATTTAGTAAGCATCTTAAAAGTTGTTAAACAGTTGGTTGCTCTTGTGAAAACAAATACAAAACTATCGATCCTTTGGAATTGAATCTAATTCAATTAGATATATCCTAATAATTCTAAAATTCAATCGTTCAATAGTTTAGACAACTAAATTTACATAAGAAAGGGAAGCACTTCTATAAGATGTGTCATCTTCTGTCTGCCTTACATCAATTAGGATATCATTAGGAAATCTATTATAGAATAGAAGATTAGAAATATAAGCATTTGTTAACCTTTGTCTAATAAATCAATTGGATTGTGTTCACCTTTATTATAAAAAAAATGATGTACAATAAATTTGCCCAATAATTAGAAACCAACAATAAGGAATGTCTAGAGTTGTCAGCAAGAATAACTGCTTTTCTACATTCTGAATCATTTCATTTGTAAATTAGAAATAATTTGATCTCAATTATCAAATTGAAGATCCAAATTCTATCCTCCATATTGATGCTAGATAATGAGCCATTATATGAACAAATCTAAACTTTTGCTTTAGAGAGTTCTAAGAGAGAAAATCAATTGAGACAAATATTTTTTAAGTTCCCAAGCTCCAAAAATTAGTCTATCTTAATGTTTTTTATGGGAGAAGTTGTCAACGATTGGTATAGAGCATACGAATTCTGCAACTTTAGTTCGCATGATAATAATACTTACTAATAATTTATTACAAATGACATCAATAGTATCTCAAATAAAATGACATATCTGGTGTTTGTATATGAAAATAAGAAGTTGTACTTGCAAAGTATTTCGAAAAAGGCTTGTGAAATATTTGGCTGGGATTAAATGCAATTCTCTTAATTGAAGGATGCAAATGTGCTTCTTCCCTATTGTATAAGAGAAACTCATGATTTAGAAATTGATAAATTCTTATAAACAGGAAAGGGATTGTACTTTAGAACAAAGGGTATTAATTTTTGTCAATGCAAGAGTGGCTATTTGTAACCTATACACTTTTTTTATGATATTCAATTCGATTAATAATCTTTTTTTCAATTTATCTCCTTTATTTAAAAGTTAGAAACTCCTTTAGCAATTTTGGTTGTGGATGAAAATGCTAAAATCTAAGGCATTAGTAAAGATTTCTTTAAGATGATGAACTTTTCCTAATTGATTACTGATTCCTTTTAAATAGAAAAACTACTCTATGGTTTACCTTCCTCTTTGTTTTTTTAATTAAACTAATTTACCACAGAATCTGCAACTAAATCAATCATAACCTTCCCTAATGAAGAATAATGCTTCTTAATGCAGAATCAAAGTTTAAACTAAAAAATAAATTTGTGTAAACTGAGACAATCATTAAATCTATTTGAAGTCCAAGGGGATATTCAAATTAGGAAGACTTACAGCATCATTCGAATCTACAGAATGATGGAATGTGAATCTTCAATTTAAACATAAAAATAAATAGAATACTATAATTCGGGTGAATTACCTTCCCTAATTAACGATGAAGATGCAGTAATCAGTCCTTATGATGAATGCTTCTAGTTCTTTTCTCCTTTGAATGAAATTCATTAAAATTAATCAAATCAATACTTCTTAAGAACCACTTAGAAACAAAGCACCAAGAAAATCTAACTGATCGAATCTAATATTTAGAATAGTATCTCATAATTAGTCGAAAATGAATAGTAGACAATTAAAATGCTCGGAAACATTTATTAAAACCAATAAGAAGATGACACAGTATCATTTTAATAAGAAGCTTAATCCAATGCCTCCTATGAAGAATTAAGAAGATCTCGCTTCTATAAAAAATATTGTCTGTATCATACTGTAATTAATTCAAATGGCACTCAACCCCATATTGTCAAGTCAACAATCAACTTAGTTATGGTCATAATCATCATCTTGATATTTATTATAATGGTAACAATGCTCAACTATATTTTAGTTTTTTATTTTAAAGGCGTACGATCTTAAAAAGGTTACTTTGTATTATGAGTAAATTCAAATCAATCATTTCTTTATTGAGCCAATTCACAAATTTTTCTTAGCTAGATTCACTCTCTAAGATTATTTCTACCTCAAATATTTGAATTAGATTACTGAGGCATAGAATCAATTCTATTAATCCTTCTCCTTATCGAACATTATTAGAGAATATTCAGTGATGCGAGTAAACTTTTAGGAACATTTTTAAGAACAGAAATTTCAAGAATTCTTATTTAATCAATATATGGTTGTTAAACAACAAACAATCCATTACAATCCTATTAATACTACAGACTATAACATGACTGTTTAATCAGCTTTTTCTTTATTATTAGATGCATTTTATAAATAAGAGCTTATTTATTTGAATTAATTTAATGTCAACATTTTAGGTGTGGCACCACATTAAACTTTCTAATACCTAAATTATATAGAATTTATAACTATATTTGATAATATTTCCCATGAGATTTATCATCAATTCTTAAATTAAATGAATGCTACATTAAACTTGTTTGCATTCCTTTGTTTTCCAACACAGATAATTTCCACTATTTTTCTTATTGGATCTTTTCTTTATCTCAGACACTTTAGAAGAATTATTGATAAATTTATTAATCTAAGATCATATACTGATTTGTCAAGTGTAAGTAAAGATCTAAAGAGACTATCCTTTTTGATCAATCACCTTAAATCTGATTCAGATATGATCTATAAGTATAGATTCAATTTAAATGCCAAAGAATCTATGATTATGGAAAAAATGAGAGGAAAAAATAATTTTAAGGATGAAAAACTCTATGATAAATCATCGCCTATTTTGAAATTAATATTCATCTATTTCCTAATATTCATTATAAGTGCTGGTGTTATATTGACCTTAACTCTCATCATAACATCATTCTATTAGCAATTCCCTAAGACTTTAAATTATTTTAAACTCTTTTCTGATGTTGGAGTCTATGTACCAGCCGCCTTTTCACAAAAGGAACTTTTATACTTTTGGAATAGATTTCAATTTTTCTCTTCATAAGATAGGGTGTAATTCATGGAACAAGTTTCCATAGGTATTGGTAAAATAAATGAATTCATATCCACAGATGTTAATATGGATGAGTTTCAATTTTCTAATGATTTTTTAGGGTATTTCCAGAAAATTGGAGAAACCAATCTGTGTCCATTATTAAATGAAGTTTTATCTTATTTGTATATTATAGAGCAACTATGTTGAATTTGATTACTTTTGTGAAAATTCAAAAAATGGGATTTTGAAGAGAGGTCTGCTACCAACTTTGAGTGATTTTAATTATTAATTGAAATATGAATTGGATGCTGGATTGACCAATAGAACTTTAATTCCAGTAGAGGAATTAGAAGCAGTGTATCTGTGCTCAGAAGTAATAAGTTCATTGTGTGATTAAATGCAGTAGGACATTGTGAACCAAATAAATAAATTAGATACTATTTTAGATGTAATTTTAGAAATTATTTCTTAGTGGTTGTTGTTGTGCAGTTTTATAATTCTAGTTTTAGGATCCTTCTTAATTTATTTTAGGTTTTATCCTAAAATGAGAAACAAATTAAATTACGTGAAAAAGATCACACAAATTTTTCCATAAGATTCGATGTTTTTGAATGATCATTTGGAAAGAGATCTCAGAAAAATATTATTAATAGACTAAATAACTTGAATAGTTTAATTAATTATTTATTATTTTTTATATTCAGTGTTTCATTCACATTGACAAAAAATTCATTATACTAAATCCTGAGATACTCTCGTACTAAACTATATTTATTAAATATATAATACTATATTAATATAGAATTAAAATATAAGATATCTAAATAAATTAAATTAGTTTATCAATTTATAAATAAGAGAACATAATTACAACTTGTAGAGTCTTATATCAAACTAAACTTTAAGAAAAGGTTTCAGCTTTTTCTTTAAAATTTTGGATAAATCTTGATTTTTATTTGAAATTTTCAGATTACGTAAGAGGATAAATGTAATTCTCTTATTATTTAAAGCAGATCTGTGATTGGATAGTAATAATACCTTCTAATAACCTTAAAGTTTGAATTAAAATTATTTTTAATATTATGGATGCTTAAATTGATCAATAAATGAAAATAAAGAAGGCTCATTTCATAAATTCAAGTATAAAAAGTAAAAATCAACTTGCAAATTGATAGCAAATATAAAGAAAGATTATAAATTCATTAAGGAAATAGGAGCAGGTGGTTTTGGTGTAGTTTTTGAAACTGAGTAGAAGTCCACAGGTATAAAATTAATGCTCATGAGGTATTAAAAGAGCAATTAAAGCAATTGCAAAAGATCGTGTTGTAGATAAGGAGAGTTTTAAGAATGAATTGTTGATCCTTAGAAAGATTGTAATATTTAAATTTGAGTAGAGGATCATCCAAATGTTTTGAAGATGTATGAGGTATATGAAACTGAGAAGACAGTGTATTTGGTAACAGAGTAAGCTTAATGAGTATAATAGGATGTGCGAAGGAGGAGAACTATTTTATTACATAACCAAAACCCAGCATTTGACTGAGATGCAAGCAGCCAAAATAATGAGACAAATATTTACAGCAGTAGCATATCTACACGAACATAAAATAGTTCATAGAGATTTAAAGCCAGAGAACTTCCTATTGAAAAATAAGGAAGATGAGTCTTCAATTAAAATGATTGATTTTGGATTGGCTAGATTCTTCAGAGAGGACGAAGTGATGACGTAGCCTAATGGGAGTCTATTTTACATTGCTCCCGAAATTATTAAAGGACAATACTCATATGAAGTTGATTATTGGTCATTAGGAGTGATTTTATATGTGATGATGTGTGGATAGCCACCATTTCCAGGTAGGAATCCCCAAGAGACGATAAAGAATATACAGAAAGGAATATTTACATTTTCGAAAGCAGGATTCAAGGGGGCAAGTGAAGAGGTAATTGTATAAATTGAGGAGAGGTTAGGGATTTGATATAGAAATTGTTAGTGATGGAGCCTAAGAGAAGATTTACTGCTAAATAAGCTTATAATCATCCTTGGGTGTAATAACAGGTTAGTCATGAATTAGTGAATTTGAGATTGCATGATGATGCAATAAAGGGATTAGAGAAGATGATTAATGCATAATAAATGAAGAAAACAATGTTATTATATTTAGCAACATTTATACCTGAAAATGAAGTAACTTCATTAAGATAATTATTCGTTTCTTTGGATAAAGATGGAAATGGGATGATTTCATTAGATGAGATGATTGAAGGATTAACTGGCTTTAAAAATATGAAACACAAAAATATGGATAAAAACTTTGTTACTCAATTATTCAAAGCCATGGACATTGATTAGAGTGGATAGGTCGATTATAGTGAGTTCATAGCAGCATTTTTGGTGTGTCCACAATTTTAGAATGAGAGATTCATAGAGGAACAATTCAAAAGAATAGATTAAGATAATAGTGGAAGAATATCTAAAAACGAATTGATGGATATTTTTCATACTGATACTATATCAATAAAAGACATAGATATTGAAGAGTTGATTAAATAGGCGGATCTAAACAAAGATGGGGAGGTATTACATTGAGATTATAAAAGATTGATTATCAAGAATTCATGATTCTTTTAAGGGATAGATTTGCTGATTAGATAAAGCATTGACTATTTGATAAAGTTATTAATAATTATTATGAATCAATAGTTTTAGCAAAGCTGTCCATTTTCATGTAGGTAATACGATTTCTTGACAGAATCGGATAATCATTTGGACAAGAAAAGAGTCAAGCCGATGTAATCATTCGCTGATTATGTTAATACTCTTCCTGAGCCAAGACAAGCTAAGATTCACAGACAGCATACTGAAATAATAAAAAAATCTCCAACACTTCCCAAGCTTGAACCTGTGATTCCAGAACTTCAAAAGATGAAGGAACATTTTGTTTTGAGCATGACCAAAAATATTGTTCCTCAACCATGTCCAGGGAATCACCCAATGAGTCCTAGATGCAAGGTTCATATGCCTTTGTCAATAACGCGAAAGTCGTCGAATTGCCAAAAGTAAATAAAATTGTCTCCGATCACATCCAAGAGTGCTTTTTGTATAAGATTACCGTAAGAGGAAGATGACGGTATCTTTTTGACCAAGATAGGAGGTGAAGAGACAATAAGGGGAATAGCAAGACTGTTCCATCAGTATTCCCAAAACCATCCAATAATTTAAAGTAATCAGTCAAATAATGTATTAAGAAATTGATGATCCTTAAATGTATGAATTGAAATTTGCAACATTCCTAGAGTATATAATGGGCAAACCTGTGTTCTTTAACATCGAAACTCTAAAATAGAAGCACATTCCCTTGCAAATCACCAATGAATAATACAACCAGTTTAAGAGTTATTTGATAGTAATTAATAAATTTAAATTTTAAGAGCAGTTTCATAAAATGCAACAAGGGTCCACCTGAGTTGATATTTGAATTCAGTGCCCTAATAGAATAGTACAAGTATTGTATAATCACTACTGAACAAACTTTTGCCCAAATATTCAATAAGAAAACTGAGAACAACTCTGAAGAGACTCCAGAATCCATAGTAAACTTGGCAGATTAGACGTATCAAAAGATCCAGGAAGACCAGACTCTTTGCGAATACTTCATTGGGATCAGAATGGATGAACAAGCCAAGAAATTAGGGAAGATAGTTCATCAAATGATGGGATGGGATTGCAGTGTTGATTACGTATTGAATTATTTGAGAAAATCCCATCAGAAGATGAATTTAACCAATGTGCATTTCACATTGTTCAAATCCTACCTAGTGGAATCAATGAAAGACATAGGATTGAAAGAAGATCAAATAGAATTGATCACTCAAAGAATGGACGGCTATAGAAGTTGTATAGTAAATTAGGATTGTTTACTGGACTTCTACTTTCAATCTTCCACTCTTTTCAAAGTTCAGGTTAAGAAATATGAAGTGCTTCTACAAAAGGATCCCAGATTTCGCAATTTCCCCAATCTCCCTGCGTTGTTAAGACATGCTCATTTCCTACTGAAATATGTCACCCATCAACATCAACCATTGTTAACCAAGACTGATCTCAAGACCTTGCACAAACATTGTGTTATTTAACATGAATGGATCGATGCCTTTAGAGACAACTTCTTTCATCTCATCAAAAGCTACACTCTAGATAGACTCATTCTGTAGGATTATGCAGACACCTGGTTCTAATTGAGATACACCATCATGAATCAATGTACCATTGAGAGTGTAGTTGGATAGAGTGTCATCGATTCAGTGCAATTCAAAATCCAAATAAATCTGCAAGACAACGAGATTTACAGTGATCATTTCAGAAATGCCGATTATCAGATCAAGTCTCACATTAAGAAAATCATTGCTTTCATTTTCAAGAACTCTTAAATCTATAAATCTAATGACTTGAGGGTTATCCATTATCCACTCAAAATCAGCGAACAAACCTTTAATTTATTTGTTTAATTAATCAAATAAGTTATGCAAGAAGAAAAGGTGCCTGCTCATCTAATACTTCTTGCAGAACAGATTTGTCAATATTATAGAAATAGCATTTGCAATCTGTGAATATAATCTATTAATGTACTATATATTCATAAATCATATATTGCTCATTATGTGAATGGTAATACTCCTCTTTGTCTAAGAATTGCCTCCAAAGCTGAAGCACTCTATCCCTTTTATCTCAAATATCCAGCCAAGATCACTGTGTTGTTCTTTTTATTGTAAACACCATTCTCATCAACCTTTTTTGTTATTAACAATCAATACTTATCCAACATTGATTTACACACTTGAGTAATCACTGCTATTCAGAATCATATTAGTATATTGGCACTTTCTTGGAACATAAATATCAACGACTTGTTTTTCATCATTGATCATTCCTGCATTTTCTTGAATTCTGTGAGCCATATTATTAAAAAAGATTTAAATTTTTTTATATATTTAATTAATTCACAAAAGCTTAATCTGCACAGACAGAAGGATCAATGGATCCTGAGTTTCAAAATATAAATATTCAACTAACTCTTCATTTCTTAAAATTGGACAATGAAAAACTGATCCAACTTATAGATCTAACTTCTAAATTGGTATTAAATGTAAAACAGGTAAGTCACTCTGAAATTCTAGATGTCCCAAAGCTTTCATCTTTTGTGTCACATCATTGTATTTGGCCCCCTGGACCTTCAGACCTTAAATGTAGACTCCAGCATCTGGTCTATACTGTATTTCCAAATGATGCTCTTTCAAAAATATCTACTTGAACACCACCTCCTCTAAACCACAATTGAATTTCAATGCATACTCCAATTTAACTAAATTCAAGAAGTGCTTTGGGTTCTTAAAATAATTCAAATTGTAATATTTCTGACTGTTCCATTTAGAAAAGAACTGCCCTTTCTCAAATATCTTACTGAGCCAGGGATTGAATTATTTAATATTCACTTCACTCAATCTGAACCACTCCTCAGGTACCTCATCTAATTGCAGTTTCTATATAATCTCCTCAAGTCTTGGAGCCAACTATTCCCCTCTTATGTATTCAGACACTGCCTTAACATCCTCCGTTATCCTACTTATGAGTGAATTGAACTAATCTTTTTCCACTTAATAATATTAATCAATGATCGACTCACTTTTGATATCGGACAACTTAAGTGGAGTATATCTCTCCAACTTCTCTAATTATTCTAACAGACTCTGATGATTCCGAACAGTTCCTTGCATCAATTGAATATTTTGCTGCACTCTCTTCATCATATCGATCTGAATTAGAATTTGAATGTTCGAATTCAACCCAATACAATTGAAATCATTGACTTACCCCAAATCTCTGAGATACTGTAGGTAACCCTGCTTGTTGGATTTGATCATCTTCAGCTCACCCCCCATGTAAATGAAACCTTCTCTCAACGATTGTTGACAGACAGTCTTATTGTAGAGTGTATTAAATAGATCCATTTCATTCTCATTTAATTGGCTTTGGTAGATGAGTTCTTTGGAAAAGTGCAATTGATCTGCCAAGGCCAATTTCAAGTCACTTTCATGGTATTGGTGTGTGGAGTATCCATAGGAGTGTCTCAAATTGTTAATGGCTTAAAATAGATTCAAACTAAAGAAATGAGGGTGATCCAACTTATCTTAAGATTCTATCTAATCAGCTAGTAATGATATAATATTATTGGTCTTTGAATAACCCACTTTGACAGTTCGATTGAGCCACGAAATAGGAAATGATTTACAATTTTTGGCTTATAATATCAATTTAAAATTGGGATGTGCTTGATTTTCTTCAAGAATCTGTTCAACTACACTCAGGAATGGAGTGGCGAATTGGCAATTTAGGAATTCCAGTGTGTGTCCATGTTCCAAGGAATCTCTTAATATCTTTTCAGCTTTGGAGTTTTGTCCTTCTCCCAAAGTGACACTCAATTTACTATAAGATTTGCTATCATTGAAGATGAAAAGAGGGGTTTTGGAATCAAATTGGATCTCACTGATGTTGATCTTGATTGTGTTGTATTTCAACTGTAGTTGCTGTTCTATAATATTAATCATCATGGGAATGACTTTATCTGGTCTGAAGGCAAGAGTCAATAACAACTTTTGGAAAGAAGTCAGTTTTTGTTATTCAGTTGAGAAGGTTTAATGCAAGTACACTGACTTGAATTAATTGGGATAATCTTCAATAGTTTCTAAGATATTTTGGAATGGCTAGAGCTTATTCAGATGATATAATTTGGTTTTGATTGATGGCCATTCACTATCGTCAATGAAGATACAAGGATTACAACCGATTTTGAATTGTGGAGGCAACTATGGATTCTGGCATCCCAAAAAGGCATCTAATTCTTCTTGAGTTATTAAGCCCTTTGTGCTTAAAATGTCAAGGGATATAGAAAAACAGAATATTAGTCGATCCTCTTCATTAAGCAATAGACTAACTTCATTGATAATTCCTTTGTAGAATTATGCCTTGATTAATTAGATGTTCAGTGCAACATCATTTTATCTCTAAATTTTACTGCTCTGTTGAATAAGTTGTTTAATGAACCATTCTAAACTGTATTGATAGATTGGATTCATCCTTTGTAGATTTGAAATATTAATGAAGATCAAGGATATTTGTTAGGCTAACATCCTATATTGATCTCTGCTTAGATCGATATCTTCATTTAGTCTTTTGGCCATGTCTATTCTTTTGGTTGTTTCTTCATACAACTATTTAGAATTGTGTAATTGGTTGATCATGACCTCATTATTGAGCAACTCATCAATTGACTTCTGGTTTTATAGAGTGTTCAATATTTGATTTTCAATTTCTATGAGTTACTTCTTCTCCTGATTACACAGATCAAGGTTGTGTTATTTCTTCAATTCAAGGGTTGGATTCTCAACTTCAATCAAACATTTAAGTAATTTCTCAACTAGAGCTTCTTGAGTAATTGTATAATTGATGATCTAATAATTGATGTAAATTTGATCTTCGAACTTTGCATTCTATTCATGAGTAAAGTGAATCGTCTTTGCATCGTGATGAAGCAGTTCAATATTATCAGTGATGTCAATATAAAATGGTTATTTAAGTTGTAAATGATTCTAGATTTTCTTGGGATCAT